CGATAAAAATCAGTGAAAGACGCGTGTTCACTCGATAAAGAGGGAAAGTATGGAGAGGAGGGAAATGGCTACGAAACGGCCACGAAGTGGCTATGAAATGGCTAAAAATGGCTACCACTCGATAACGTTGTTATTCGCGCAAAGTAACAGGACCAATCCGGAGACAACGGAGAGGGTTTCGTGTAGTCCTGGCAAGAATTGGCTCGAAGTCGTTTAATAAAAGAAGGCCCAGCAAGGTCACGTGACTGGAGTCGTGCCGATAGGCTGCTGAGATCTGTAGGATAGGCTGACGAGATCTGTGGCCCATAGACTCATATGCTGAGAATAGGCTGTTGAGGACTATGGGCCATTGACCCGTAGGCTGTTGAGAAGTATGACCTATAGACCCATAGGCTACTGTCATAGGCCACCCATAGGCTATACAGCCTATGGGTGGCCTATGACAACCCGCATGAGAGTTGCTCATTGTAGGTTGCCGGAGAGATCTTGAAGGGTGGTGCTACCATGTAATAATGCTAGGTCCGTTGCCAGAGGCTAGCTCTGTGTCCGCTCGATCTATTGAAAGAATTCTAGAGTTTCTACCTCTTGGGGCGCCGCCCGAAGGCATTTCTTCCCTTTGGGAGTCACCCCAGAGCGTAGAACTCCAATATAACCTATGCTACACGTGATCTCATGCCCTACGCGCTTCCCCGCACTAAGGTGACACCTGCAGCACCTGATTACAGGATGTCACCAGCCGCTGATGTCGCTGAGGGTGTAGGCGGAGGAGTAGGCAAATGCTCTTTGGCGAGGGCTTGGGAAGGCACAGACGTGGCGTCTTGTGAGGCCAACAGGCGGAAGAGCAAGGCTGGCTGTGGCCGTTCCGTTGACCGCAGTTGTTCCAATGCATTTTGAGCCTTCCTCCAGGATGGCAACGTTTGCAAGTCGGTCATCATGCCTTCTATAGATCCCATGAAGTCTTCCACATGATCAATGCGCTGACTATGCAAAGCGACGTCGCTACCGACGCCGTTGATGTAACCAGACACAAGCTGCAAAGCCTTGATGGTCATAGCGATGCCCTCGCGCCCGCGTGTATCGATATCTGCAAACATATGGATGTCAGAGACGTCGGCGATTGTTAAGACAGACAAGCTGAGGTTTAAGCTGTTTTTCGACGTCCCCATTGGGTTCTTGCTCAAAAACGCGATCATCCTGAGCTTGTCACCAATGAAGGCAATGCACGGACTTACTTGCAGTTACTCGGTCCTCTGACTCCATGACTCGTTTTGTGAGCGCCGCCATCTGGTGCTGTATACCTTCTTCAACCGTTGCAACCTTCGTCAGTATGGAGTCGTAAGTTGCTTTGATCGCGACGGCGACATTTGGCAGCACATGCTCGATAGATGCGATTCTTGGATCTGGTGACGTTTCCTGCGCGGCCTTGACTTTTGCTTGGTATTCGAGAAAGACAGTATTGGCGAAGACCGGATGGAGCCAGATTGGGTTTGCTGGAAAATGCGATTGAAGTAATGCGGCATCTTGTAGTAGGCTTTTGCGTAACTTGACTAGCAGGGTTGCCACGTTCTTGCTGGCAATGCAAGGCAGTGTGCGTTCCTTTGGATCGTGGGCATCGAGTGCTTCTTTAGCCCATGGGAAGATCCGGTCAACTAGTTCCTGTGGCGGTTCGACTTCCCTTGCCAGAAAATACCCGCCTCCATTTGCAGGCCACTCGCCGATGGCCCGCATCACTTCTTTGGGGACATCCGTGTCATACCCGAGCCGAAATGCACTACAATTCCAAAGCCCCATATTGGTGATCGCGTTTTTGTTCGCTCCGTTGCCTCTGGCTTCCTTACTACCGGTACCGCGGGTTAAGTGGGTGACCTTGAAAGCGTGAATCCCGACTGCCGCGAAGGCTGCTTTGAACATCTTGTTGTGCGCTTGGTATGTAAAGCGATTGGGATCATTTCGCAGGCCCCCATCTTCATCGTCTGACAAGAGAACCTCGCGAGTTCGTTTCCTTCCAGTTTTGGTGATATCCTTTTTCATAAAGTACGTGTTGTACCACAATGCCTTGTCAAACAGATCCGGTGGAGTTTCCTAAGAGTATCCAGAATTAGAAACAAGCTGAGAATAACCTCGGTTTCGGGCGTCCCACAACGGGGCATGTCCAAAAGCGCACTAATCCTCAGCTTGTCCACCTCAAGAGAAAGGTCGACAAGCAACATGCAACATGTTCCTTACCTTGCTTATATGCCATCGGTAGAAGAGATACACTGCAACATGCGCTATGGCGCAGAATATAACGTTCTTTGCCCGCATGAAACCGACAGTTTCCAATCGCCCAAATTGATTTGTTTTCCCATGCCGCGATGTGAGGTTGACGCCCCATGCTGGCGTGGGTTCTTCATTACCGTCCAACGGCAGAAAGGCGAAACGGGAGAGTTGTAAACCGCGCATGATTTGGCCTCGCTGAAGGGTGGCGTGTTGGATCAGAAAGGACGTGTAGTTCCGGAGCCCGGACTCTGGACTTTGCTGCAAAATAGGAATCCTGAATTAGAAGAGGCCAAGCTGAGGTTTATGCGGTTTTTCGACGCGCGCACGCCGGAGACGTCGGAAAATGCACTAATTTTCAGCTTCCCAACGATCAACCATTCACGCACCTGCGTCCACCAATGCTTCGCTAGATTCAACTTGTCCTTGTTGTCGTAAGAATCACCTGTACTCCCGATCCCTCGATCTTTCAACGCTTTATAATCGTTGTTATACTGATCCCTACTCTGAGTTTTCAGCATCTCCTTTATTGTGGTCGTTCGAGGATAATTGGGTTTGATGTTCTCGCCCAATGCCTGCTGGGAATGGAACAAGTCCGTCACGGCATTGACGTACTGGTCCAACATAGCCCGTGACATGGGTTTTCTGGATGGTAGGGCTGTCCTTTATTGTTCAATGCCCCCCGGGGCTTGACATATTCGTTGAGCCACAGAAGGACTTTGCCCGGCGTGACCTTTTGCGAGCGCCTGTTGGTGTCGCACCATGCCAGATACGACCTCGCACGGTGGCCATATGCGTTGTTAGTCTCAACCGGCCTCGCTCGTTGGTTCTTTTTCATTTGTTTAATGGTGCTTTGGTGAACTTCCGCATCCTGCACGTCTTCCAAGTCCTCCACTATGCTATCGTCGTCCCTCGGGGCGTCACCATCGTCCAGACCAGCTGCAGCGGCGGCCTCTGTGGTTGCTGTAGGGGTCGCAGCCATGTCGTTGCCGTCCAGTGTGTCCAAGCTGAGAATTATGCCAATTTTCAACGTCGCTTTGGACTTCTCGCCCGAAAACGCAATAACCCTCAGCTGTACAAACGAATGCCGTCACCCGGCCTATGGTCACACGCATAACTAATCATTTCCATTGTACCCATGTATGGCAGAAATCCCCCATTGAGGGCATTTCCGTTTTCTATTAGTGCCGTACATAGTCATTTCCCAAGATACATAGGGGGGTCACGTGACTCGCATTACTGGTCTAGTTCTCAGTAACGTGAACGCGTTACTGGTGTCACTGACCCGATAGGTACACTCAGTGGACATAAAGCTGTGTGCATGCCAGATTAAGTCAGTGTCTGACGCGCGTTGCGCGACATCAACTCATCATCCTTAATCTTGGGGCATTGCGAAACCTGACCTAAATGAATGGATCTAGATCTGAATTTCGCTAATACCTAGTTGTCCCCCCATTGGCTGCGATTACGGCTGCCATTCTTGATGGCATTGACCGTGTCAATGCATCAAGATGCGGCTGCATTGTGGGCCATACAGTTTGCACAACGTTGTCCAACATTCCAGGGGTAGGGTTCGCTTTCGATACCTTCCGTTTGAGCATTGCCCACAGATTCTCAATCGGATTGAGATCTGGACTCTGCGCTGGCCAGGGAAGAAGCTCAATGCCGTGTTCATCAAAGAACTGTCGAGTTTCAGCCGATGTATGAATAGGGGCGTTGTCTGCGGAACAACAATACTGCGGAAGGCAGCCAAATCATCGTCAGAAGGCTGGTACTTAGCTGGTCTTCCTGTTGGCTTCTTCGATGGATAGGCGGTTGGTGCAGTGGCACTCTCGTTCGCAAACCTCTTAATAGTGTTCCTCACAGTATTCCTGTGAACGTGCTCCTGCCTTGCAATTTCAGATGTCGTCTTGCCTGCTATATGGAGGGCAACTATGGCTGCCCTTTTTTGTGGTGTGAGAGGTTTCCCCATAGCTGAGGTGGTGAAGATGTTGGCGTGCATTTCGCCATCACGGCTTCGTCGCTGGCTTCAATACTCAAGCTTGCGGCTCCAAAACGCGCGGTGCGCTTTGTGAAACGGTCATTGAAATCCATATGGGGTGCACACAGCTTTTTGTCCACCGACTGTACATCGACTACACGCTTCGGTATCTGCGCGGCGCGGCTTCGCCATTGAACATCGCACCGCCCAATACACTCAGTATCTCCTCCAAACATACTGTACCACTGAACGTTGAAGAGGTGGGAAAGACGAGAACGTAAACCGAGTCACCTCGCAAAAAGCTGTGCCCCTCATTGAAATCAATGTCGGTCACTCACTTGAATTTGGCTTTGTGGCAGTCGCTGATTCAATTCCGGGGCACAGCTTTTTGCGAGGTGACCGTAGCCAATCTCACTGTACCGTTATGCCATGTTACCAGAAAAATTCTAAACCGCGACAACCACTGGTCGTCCTGGAAATCCAATAGAAGTATAATCCATAACAACAAGCGGAAGCAAAAACAGGGGGGTTATCCTCCATCGGGGAATACAAACTACTACTACTAAGTGTACATACGTACTATAAGGGGGTAACAAAGAAAATCTAAAAATTCGACAAGTCTAAGCAATAGGGGGGGCTCGAGGATGTGTATATGTGACTATGGGGAACATGCGGAGGCGTGGGGTACAGTGATGGTTGCTACGCCGTATGTACCAGTCAATTTGAGAGACGACTGTTAATGAGATTTATGTGGGAAGGCGCCGAGGCAGTGTCAAAATAACCGGCCGGGGGTGCTGAGGTGTTGAGATAGTTTGAACAGTAACTTGGTGTGTTGTGGTGCAGGGGATGCTGGCATTGCATGCATTGGTCAGGAAAACGGTGGCCGGCATCGTTTTGGCGGTTTGAGAGAGTGAATGGGAATGTTCTCGTTGTCAAGAGGACGACCGTCAAGTAGCGGACCTCACATGATGGAGCACCCCTTGCAACAGCCAGCCTCATCCTTCTTCGACCTCTTTCCGCCGTTGTCCGACATTCCCATGCTCTGCATCGGCGGCCGATCCACCGACATAGACATGCGTCCGTTGGCGGGCTTTCCATTCACAGGCTGTCCGAACCCACTTCGAGTGCGGTTCAGGGGGTCCCTGTTGTTCAGAGTCGGCGCGAAGGACAGGGCGATGGTCTGACCGGCAGCGGCACCCGCCGAGCGCGCTTCATCGATGGATCGTGAACGCGCGGCGTGGTCGGCGCGGGACTTTGCTTCTTCGGAGGCCATAAGGGTGAGCAGATCGTTGCGGAGGGCGTCGGAGTCGAGCGTGGCGAGCTGGGAGAAGGTCTTTCGGCGTTCGAGGGCTTTTTGAACGGCGAGCTCCATCTCTTCTTCCAGGCTTTGTGGGGCGGCGGAGGGTGTGACCGCGGGAGCAGGGAGGGTGGGGGCGCGCGTGGCTTCTTTCGCGAAGCTCCGTTTGGTTGTGAGGTTGCTTGCATCTGGTGCGGGTGCGACGGGTAGGGCTTTGTTCCTCGTCTCAATGGCAGCAGTTTCTCTTCTGCGCTGCTCAGCCTCTGCCTCCGCTACGGCCTTCTTTTGCGCCAGCTCTTTTTCGGCGAGTGCACGCTCGGCGGCCTCCTTTTCCTGTTGGATAGCACGCAGACGAGCTTCCTCTGCCTCCTGAATCTTGCGTCGAGCGGCTTCCTCCTCTTCTTCGATCTTTTTCCTGGCGGCTTCTTCCTCCTCGGCCTTCTTCCTTGCGGCTTCCTCAATGGCCCGCTGATTGGCCAGGTAGGCTTCACGCGCCGGTTCGCTCATTTGCTGAGGAAATGGTCCATATAAGAAGGATGTTCTCGCCATCTCAGAGTGTCACACAAACCGGAGACATACCTTTAGCATCTGCTGTTCCTCGAACTTCGCCATAGCGTCCTTCTGCTTCCGCAACTTCTCATCCCTAGCAGCCTCCTCCTCCTTCTGCCTACGAAGCGCATCCTCCCTCTTCAACCTCTCCTCCTCATTCTTCTTCTGCTTCGCAAGTTCCAACTTCGCAAACGCCTCGGCCTCCGCCCTCTTCAACTCCGCAATCCTCTCCTCCTCAGCCCGCTTCGCAGTCTCAACTTTCTGCCTCTCAAACTGCTCCATCGTCGCCTTCTGCTTCGCCAACAGCTCCAATCGGGTGGCTTCCTCCTGTTTACGAGCCAGCTCGTCGGCCTCTTTGCGGGATTTTTCCTCGGCTTCGAGTTTCATGCGGAGGACACGGGCTTTTTCGAACATCTCGGCTTCTTGGCGCTTCTTCGTTTCCTCGGCTTCCTGTTGGCGACGTCGGGCTTCCTCTCGTTTCTGAACTTCGAATTGGGAGAGAGTTTCTGCTCGTGAGATCGGGGCTGCTGCAGCAACGTTTCTGTTGACATTGGAATGTTAGAAGAAAGCGTAACCACTTTTTTCCCACGATATCATTCCCACGGTATGGGCACCATAGATCTACATACCCAGGTGCAGCGACGTTCAACGCCTCCTTATCATCCAACAACTGTTGAGCCGCTCCACCCTCCACCCGTTCATGCTCCACTTTCTGCTGTTCGTGGTAAGTGCTCACGTCAGCGGGAGTAGCGATCCCACTATCAATGGCATAGGACGAGTCATAGGCGTGGGTCGCAGCGGCAGCCAGTGGCGAGACTGAGTGATCGACTGCCGGCGGGGAAGGCGGGACGTATTGGATGGGGCTGTTATGGAGCTCGTCTTCGTCCATTGTTATGAGGCGGGGCGTGGGAACTAGGTGGTGGGAAATTGGTGTTCTGAACGTCGATCCGCTGCTGCTGCGTGCGTGGGGAAGGTCAGTCAAATGCGGAGAGGAACAAAAACAACTACGTATACCAAGACGGACCTGTTACGGCCTCCTTCACAAAGTGTGTGCTGCTGAGGAGCGGCTTATGGTTTCTTTGAGGCATCCGCACAATTGCGTCGTCTCCCCAGCGAGGCGTCCTGTGCCTGCGCGGCGGCCCGCTATGGGAACCACGGTGCGATCGCAAAGCGGGGCGGACCAATCGTGTTGTAACTGTTGCTTTACCATTATCTATCTGCCGAATGGATTTTGCCTTCACGATTCGCCTTCCAAGTCGATTCAAGGCATCAGAACAGCGGACAACCTATGACAGTCAGCGGTCTTCTACGGGTTCGTCAGACAGTCCCAATGGTCGCATGAGTGCATTGGTAGCCAGTTCTTCCCAACAAATAGTTTTCTCATTTTCTGTCTTAGCAGTGGGATACAGATCAACCTCCAGTTTGGCGTTGCTTCCACCCTACGTTTCGGCAGCGGCGGTCAACCCAACGTAATCTTACGCCTCATCTAGCATTTCCCTCTTCAGCTAGCATCTAATCCAACCTAGCGAAAACAGCCGACAGATTTGCCCAGACGGCAGCAGGGCTTTGCGACGCGTCGATTCCGGTCCAGATGCCCTTGCGCTTGTAGTAGTCCGCGACGGGTTGCGTTTGCTTGTGGTATTGGTCGAGACGCTTGACGAGGGTTTCAGCATTGTCGTCGGAACGTTGGATGAGGGGCTCGCCTGTCACGTCGTCCTTGTTGGCAATCTTGGGCGGGTTGAAGATTTTGTGGTATGATCGGCCACTATGGGGATGGAGAGGAGTTGTCATGAGTAAATCACGCACCGAAGATGGAGACCTCCTCTGACAGCAATGTGCCACCGCTCATCGATCTCTTACCTTGCGGGGTGGATCAAACGACCAGTGATCCGGTCAACCAGCAGTTGGTCGTCAATCATCAATTCAACGGCGGTCTGAAGAGGCTTTTTCCTCTCGTCCAACATCTGGTCGAGCTTCTCAGCCTGCACAACTGTCCTGGGGAATCCATCCAGAATGAATCCCTTTTTGCACTCGGGGTTGGTGTCCAGGTTCTCCCGAATCAGGTTGACCATAATCTCGTCGCTGACAAGACCTCCCGCGTCCATGACCTTCTTTGCCTCTTTGCCGATCTACAGATAGTGGTAGAAGTGAGTGATGGCACGTCTGGATCAGATACCGTGGGAGACGATATCCCGCTCGCTGTCGTTCGCGAAGAACGGCGAAGCGGGGATTGAGCAGCATTCCGACGTCCAATGCGCAATAACGGGCATTCCCCGCGCCGAGTTCTTCGCTCCGCCTTCCCAGACCCCTTTCGGCTCAGAGTCCTAGTCCTTCGCTCCAAACGAACTCCCTCGATTTCAGCTTCGCTTGCCCCGGAAACGCCCGGAATCGCCCGGAATCGCTTCTCGCTGCGCTCGCACTCGCCCCCAGTCCCATCCCACCAAGTTACACCAAATCACGTTCGAACCATACCTCAGATCCAGCACGAACAGCGGCCCTCAGCATGTCACCAGTAGCCAAGTGGCAGACACAGAATCGTTCCTTGATGGTGGGAGCCTGGGTTCCCTTGCCAGCGCCTGGCGGGCCCATGATAACCATGCGGAGGTCTTTCCTGCTGTCGACGCCGGCGGCGGGAGCGGATTGTGAGTTGCCCATAGTGAATTTGACTGTGGATATGTGGAGGAGGAGGGGAAGGATTTGTTGCGTTCGTTGCTGTTGGGAAGGGGCAGGTGGAGGAAGGGGGAACGATGACGATGGGGTTTGCCGTCTCCAAGCTGCCCGTTGAATTGAAACCGTTAGGGACAAACGTTAGACAGCGTCCGTCACGTGTTTGAATGCCCTTTGCGCGTCCTTCACGCCCTCCGCTCTCCAAATCTTCCCATCTCGAGAGGCGACGAGAGCTGCCTTCGGGACAGCCACGGAACATACAGATGTTCATAGCCGCAAGCAGACAAGGACGAAGAGTTGGGAAGCAAGGACTTCTTCCGAAAGCACCCGAGGAGACAACGCTTATCTTTGTTTGGCCTCGTTCGGCGGTGGAAACGGGTCGTCTGTGTCCGGTCGTCGTCACGGTCAGCATCGCCCGTCGTCGTACAGCTCGGCAACCTCTTCAGTACTACAACTCTGCAAATACACAACCATGCATCTGCCACGATCAGGTATTTCGCTATCGGCCAGCCGCGGGCGCGCAGGCGCATGCTATCGCACTTTAAGGGTCGTAGTAGTTCGTCCATCGACATCACCTTACTCGACGTTTCAGTCAACGACGGCGATATCAGCAAACCCAGCGCTTTCCATACACAGAACAACCAGCACTAACCATTACATCGCTCGCAGGCGCGGCTCTTGGCTGGTTATCGGGAATATTATGGGCTGTGCCGAAAAAGAAGACGACGCATAGAAAAACCATATTGCGCGACGTACCAGTTTTATCACTCTCTTTTTCACAACAGTGCATGAGAAGGGCGACATAGTGGCTCAAACCACTCCGGAACATCTGCACGGTCCTTTTTGCGCGAGTCCGACGCTGATCCATCATTTGTGCAGGCGTTGCACGAAGCAGATATCGAAGGAGTGAGTAAGCAGGATCCAGGAAGAAGTATATCACGATAAGGGTGGAATTCGAAGAAGTTAACGAGACGGCAGGCTGAAGAGGTTAAGGATTGGCTCTTTCCAGTTCGAGCTCTGTCGGAGGACTACGTCTTCTCCAACACCTCGATCGGACCTTAGCGAAGAGAAGGCCGTCGAGGTCAAAACTGCGGAACTGGCCTCGAGTGACGAATAGTAAAAGCGAGATTGAACATACCGCGGCGATCGCGCCCCTCACTCAAACGGACATCACGAAGGAGCAGCTGTGACGGAACAGATCGCTACACTACATCCCCTCCGCGAGCCCTACTTCAGCAGATGTACCAGGGTTGAATTGCGCCCTCAGCAAATTCAAAGCTACTGTGGATCACCATCAGACCGACCGAGATAAGACTGCATGAGAAGAATATCAGACGGCTCCACGTCGAACACAAAGCGCAAAGAGGCGCGTTGGGGGAGGGCTCTTTGGCCGTCCGTCGGGACCATTGCAGCTAGATATTTGGCCTGGAACAACGTTACGACGAGAAAGACTTTGAACAATACAAGCATCGTTGCGAGTTGAGCGGCCGTCGCGAAACGTGGAGGAGGAGAACAAGAAAGATCAATAGTGGCAGAACCCTTTCGAAAAGCGAAGAAACGGCCGACACGGACGAACCATCCCGCCGTCAGGTTGATCGTATGTACTATATGTCAATGTGTTGTTCAATGAATATAGAATCAGCCAGGGCATGTCCCTGCTTGACATGGAGAAGTTCGGTGAAACGGCGGCCAGCGGAAGAGCAGAGTGGCCGGTGGAAATTCGTAGGGCGGAGAAACAGGAGGAGTGGGTGCGCTCGCGTTTGGCGCGACCCATCGAGCGAGACCGTCAGCAGAAACCGGTGGTATGAGAGAAGAGAAAGTGACCGAGGGGCGCGTCGCCGAGCAAGAGTGACAACGACTAGCGGAGATTGGCAGAGCGGAGGCAGAGACATCGACCGAGCAGCAGCGACTCAGAGTCGGGGAAGGGGAGCAGCATCATGCCGATCAAGTGCGAGTAGCTACGCAGAGAGGAGGAAGACGTGCCCAGGCGCAAAAGAGGTACACCGGGTAGCAGAGGAATGCGAGCCCAAAAGAAGCAGCGCTTGGAAGTACGCGTGACAGAGGAACGAGTACAGTACAGAACGCATCTGAGTTGCCCACGAATGACTCGTTCTTCTATGGCAGCAAGGGATCGAAGCCAGGTGCGATAAGAGACATGGACGGAGTCCCGAGGGGATGAAAGTGCGGAAGTAGCCCTGCGAGCAGAACGTGCGCAGAACGTGCCACTCCCGCGGCAGCGTCGTATCGGGATTCGCCTTTGACGGAGACCCTGGCTCGGATGGCGACAAGGCAACTGGTGCCTGGCGGCAGCGTAGGAAGATGACGATACGCTAGATATAGATCCCGCACATGATGAGAGTTAGCAGTCAGTTAGCAGTATAGATGCACGCGTGATAAGTTGAGCCCTTCATATCATAGTCAGTGTCGTTGTCAATCTTGAGGGCGTTGATGTGGCGCAGCAGCGCGTCTATTTTGACCCAGGACACTGAGTCTACTGAGTGCGTCACCATCATCAACCCTGAGGCAAGGTGGAAAGCAACTCTTAAACGAGCGTGGGAAACTTGCAACGTTTGGCAAACACTTCCACAACATCGCAGCTGTCTTATCTCTACATATACAGCCGTAGCCCAAGCACAGACACAGCATTCGCCCTTTTCCTCCACCCGTACAGCTGAAATTCTGAAAGAATGGTATGTGTGTTGCCGACACTATGTAGGGCAGAGTGGATGAACAGCCGCGCGTACTAGGAGCGAATGCCATCCCACCCGGCTACCCCACTCTCGCAGCCAAGCGCTGCAATGGCGTTGAAGATGCTGATTATCCTGCTCGGAAAAACGAAATACTGCAAGCTGACTATGTGTTGTTTTTGCGTCCATCCAGGCGGGTGCGTTAGAAAACGCCAGCAAATTGGTCAAGATTCGCGATGAGGAGGATGAGGGGGCTTTTGGTTACGTTTACTCTGTCTCTGGACCAGGTGCGACATGAGGAAACTAGTCATTTACGCCGGGACATGCCTTGATTCTGGGAATGTGGTCCGGAGGGAGCATGGCGGGAAACCGATGGCGTGGGACTGAAGAAGGCTTTACTAATCGGCGATCCGCACATCTTGCGCGTCTTCTCATTTTTCCTTTCGATCCCTCTCGACATATTTGTTGATCTCGACAGTCGTGGTCGCTGAGCAGATGATTGGCTGTGCTATGTACGAGCTGGTAAGTTACCAGGCTCGCTCGTATCGATAGGCTTTGGTATAGGCGGGGAAAATTACTGACAGGGCTGCATTTGGGCATGTGTTGCGTAGGTTCGTGTAGGACACTATGAGCTTGTTGGAGAGGTCATCCGTATCGATGGTGACAAGGCGACGTTGCAAGTTTACGAGGACACTTGTAAGTGGAGTCATTGGATAGCAGTGCCAATCAGCTGTCGACATGCCCTCGATATGTCAATTTTCGCGGTGGAGCGTCTGCAGACCCAGTGAAACATCTTTGTCTTACCGCTCGTTCCTTCCAAACAGCGGGAGTTACGGTCGGAGACCCTGTCTTGAAGACCGGGAAGCCTCTATCCGTCGAATTGGGTCCCGGTATCTGCTCCAACATCTTTGACGGAATCCAACGGCCTTTGCAAGCCATTCAGGAGGTGTCTCAAAGTATCTACATTCCGCGTGGTATAAATACACCTGCGCTTGACAAGAAGCTCAGCTGGGACTTCGAGCCTGTTAACTACAAGGTACATCCAGATTTCCACGCAGTGACCCAACGTAGAGGCTGACTGTTTCTCCGATATGTAGGTCGGAGATCATATCACGGGAGGCGACATTTACGGAAAGGTTTACGAGAACAGTTTCATCACAAACCACGGCATTATGCTTCCGCCAAAAGCTGCGGGTACCATCACATACATCGCGCCAAAGGGACAATATAACCTTACGGTAAGCACAGACACGTACAAACCGACCATCAACAGATTGTGAAGCTCATGTCCATCATCCTGAATAGGACACGGTTTTGGAAGTGGAGTTCAACGGAGAGAAGACGAAATACACCATGTTGCAGACATGGCCCGTCCGTAGCCCCCGTCCAGTCACGGACAAGCTGGCGGCCGACTACCCTCTGCTCACCGGTCAGCGTGTGCTCGATGCGCTTTTCCCGTAAGTTTGAAAGAGCGTCCGGTAACGTGCAGAAATGGGCCACTCGATCTAATAACGTTACGGCAGATGTGTACAAGGCGGAACTACCGCTATCCCCGGAGCTTTCGGATGCGGCAAGACCGTCATCTCTCAAGCGTTGTCGAAATACTCCAACTCCGACGTGATCATTTACGTCGGGTGCGGAGAGCGTGGAAACGAGATGGCGGAAGTACTCATGGACTTCCCAGAGGTAGGGTTGAAAGGATCTTCGCGCATTCTGCATCGGAAAGCCGTCTTCGGAGTGAAGGACTTACACTACCTCCTCCATAGCTCTCCATCGAAATCGACGGGCGCAAGGAGCCCATCATGAAGCGTACAGCCCTGGTGGCCAACACCTCCAACATGCCTGTTGCCGCCCGTGAAGCCTCTATCTACACGGGTATCACTCTCTCCGAGTACTTCCGTGATCAGGGCAAGAACGTGGCCATGATGGCTGACTCGACCTCTCGTTGGGCTGAGGCATTGCGTGAGATTTCGGGCCGTTTGGCTGAAATGCCTGCTGGTATGTGCAGATGTTACAACGGTTGGTGATTATGGCGGCGTTTGACGCGTTTGTGCCTGTGCAGATTCTGGTTACCCTGCCTACTTGGGAGCCAAGCTTGCATCCTTCTACGAGCGTGCCGGTAAAGTTGTTTGTCTTGGAAACCCAAGACGACAAGGATCTGTTTCCATCGTCGGCGCGTGAGTACAAGCGCTGGCTGCCTTCCATTCGAAGCTGTCAATCTTACTCCCTTCCTCCAAACCCCAGTGTATCACCTCCCGGAGGAGACTTCTCGGATCCCGTGACGCTCGCCACCCTTGGTATTGTGCAGGTCTTCTGGGGTTTGGACAAGAAGCTCGCGCAGCGCAAGCACTTCCCCTCCGTCAACTGGTCCGTCAGTTACTCAAAGTACATGAAGGCTTTGGACGCGTACTACGAGGGCTTCGACCCGGAGTTCACCAACATCAGGACTAAGGCTAAGGAAGTGCTGCAGTCTGAGGAGGATTTGTCTGAAATCGTGCAGTTAGTTGGAAAGGTAAACTATTGGGGACGTTCTCCGACATGTTGAATTTGGGACCTTGGTTGCTGACACATCCCCTTCTTCCCCTTCCGAAATACAATAGTCCGCCCTCGCCGAATCCGACAAGATCACTCTCGAAATCGCCAAAATCCTTAAAGACGACTTTTTGCAACAGAACGGTTACTCCGCTTACGACCGCTACTGCCCCTTCTACAAGACCACCGGCATGCTGAAGAATATGATGGGATTCTACGATATGGCGCGGCACACCGTTGAAGCGTCTTCGGGCACCGTTACGTGGGCGAAGATTAGGGATAACATGGGTGATATGATTTACAAGCTTAGCTCGATGAAGTTTGAGGTATGTTCGGAGTTTTTGTTAGCTGGATGAAGAGGGTCGAGTTTGAAGAACTGATATGATTCTCTTTCTACAAACAGGACCCAGCAGATGGCGAGGATGTTATTAAGGAACGGTACGCCACTCTGCACAAGGATATGGACGAGCGGTTCCGGGCTCTCTTGGATTGAGATGTGTTATAGTACTTCAAATCAAAAACTTTTCGTCAACTTCTGATTTCTGATGGTTGCTCGCGGACAAATTCACGCATAGCGACCTTTATAAAGCACTCTCTTGCATGAGCCGAAAGCTTGATTTGCCATTATATCGAAAGTGCAGGGAATCCGGCGGGGATCCCGTGCAAATCTCGGAAACTATGATCGCATGGATGATCTATCAAAACATGCGGTGCGGTATAAATCCCCAAATTCTACGCTATACTCCGTCCGCGTCCGTCGAGTCTTTTTCACGGTAGTCTTTTCCTACATGGTGGTTCGCATCCTGATGAGCTCCGTGACCAGCGCCTGCATTGAATGTTCTACGGCGTCATTATAGGTGTAGCTTTCAATGCAAGAGTAGCCCGCCTCCTTCGCATCAGAAACAGGCGCGAGAATGACATCTCCCGCAACCCAGCCTGGTTGATGCCCACACGCCAGCCGCATCGTATCCAGAAGTCTTCCACACACGCCTGGTATATCAATGCCCTGGCGGAGTCCATGTGCCGGTGAGTCGCAAGTAAGAATGTGGTTGCTGCGATCGTGCTCAATCCGTCCTCTCCCAACCCCGGCAAAGCTATCGTGGTACGCAGCCCAAGCTTGGGCCCAACCGTGGGCAGCCCAAAAACGCGTATCCCCTCTAGAGTCAGGCTCGGAACTTCTAAGTTTAGGCTTTGGTTACGATCGCGGGATTGGTGAAGACGAACGCGGATAGGATGAGTGAAATTGATGTTGGGTGCGAGCGTGCTGAACCAGTTTAAGGGATCCGTTCGGACTGTGTCGTCGTCGTCGTCGTTGTCGTGGCTGGTACATGAATATGAGAGAGCGAGGAACCCATATCGGGTACGGTTGCGGCCGCTGCTCACTCTCAGGAATATGGTGCCCACCTTCGTTGCTTGATAATACTCGATCAAAAGCGCAAGGTAGTTGTGGTTTGCAGCGTTGAAGTCGGTGTACCTGTCGGAAGGTTGTCGGAAGTATGGTTGACCGCCTCGGTATGAAGGGATGGCGGAGACTTGAGAGCGGCAATAACGTCGCCGTTGCGTCGGCATACTTCCTGTAGAGGCCGCCAACCGCACAAGGGGTTGTTTGATTGTGTGGCCATTGTTGCCGTCGGAGAATGCAGTTCAGGATGCATTGGAGGTGAAATGGAATAACGAAAGCGAGGAAGCAGAGTTTTGACAGCGTGCCCGGTTTTTGACAGCGACCGACTCCGACATATCTGTTGGATTCGCGGGCGTGACTAGTGGGTGACTCGTGCTAAATGTGGGTAACTCACCTCCAGAATAAGACTTTTTTACAGCCAAAGTGAACCATTTGATTAACAAACCTAGCCCCTTTGCCTTCGGTGAGTCGGCCTTACCCGGCCTCCTACAACCAGGGTCTACCGGCAACTGTCTAACTAGTCTAACCCTAGCCCGAGTTACTCACATTTAGCAACGAGTTACCCACTTCTAGTCAATCCCTGGATTCGCACGCTTCCTCTTCCAGCCAAAAAATGGCATCGTTACTACCAGGGAAACCCCTCGATCATCCAAGAGAAGGACAGAAGTCGTGGTATCTTAAGTGCAGGGTATATTGACGTATAATTTACTATGACAGTCAGGCGTCCTAGTCTAGTGCTTCTAAATATACGCGAACGGCATCTTCGTACCGCTGGCCACCTACTGTTTCGCCTTTTCGAGCGATGTACGGAACATCGGCGCATCAGTCGCCCCCCTTCGCGGCTGATCCACGCTGATGGTCTTCAAGCCATGAGCTTGGGAAACCTTGCTTGACGAATGATCTACTTTCCCGGCCTCAACATTCTCCGTCGACGGCACTTCCAAAGTCTCAACACTGTCCGACAAAGTTGTCTTAGATAAAAGACTTGGGCTCTTGTCTAGCCGTTTCCACCACTGAGCACGCCGTGCCAATTGGTCACACCATCCTCAGTTTGCCAAGTGAGTTTGCGTCAGCTCGTCTTCCACGTCGCTTTGTCCCGATCAGGAAAAACAAAAGAGAACATTGCGCATCACAATAAACGTATTCATCTTGATACGTCCCTCGGGCATGAAGGGGTCAACGCTCCCGTTATGTTGACGTCTCCGCGGCAAGATTGAGTCTCGCCCGAAATGTAGACTTCTATATTACTCCCCTCCCTTTACCTCATCATCTCGGACAGTAGAGTACCATAGATCTCAGACTAGTACGCCCTTTCAATTACAACTTGTAGCTTCGGAACCTCATGTATCGATGAATGCTATATATGCATTTACAGATTTTCCTCTTCTCGCCGTGGCTACACACGCGTGTTGTCGGTGGTGGATTGCTCAAGTCCCAAATCATGGGCGGGGATAAACTGCCTCTGCCACGTAGTTTCTTGCGAAAGCGTCTCAACCTGGTTAAGGATCTCCCTGCCTTCCGACCATCCCAGGTACGATGAAAGCCACAACACAGTGGCAAAAGGCGCAGTGACGGCGGCTTCAAAGATGCGTAAGGCGGGTTGCTTGCCTTCAAAGACCACGTGAGCCTGACCCTGGGCCGCAAAGGCGATAGCCGAGCATGTAGCGGCACCAGCAGCCCATGCAAAAGGGTTCACCGGTCGCACGCGTTGAGCGGCCTTGTACATAGCCGCGGCACCGAGACCGACGGCCCCCATGTACGCCGTGGCAGGGATCAACGTTTCCGGGAAGAGATTCGTAAAGTACGCCGTGTAGATGGCCGGGATGCCGAAAACCAGTGCAGATGGGCGAGAGGACCGCACGGCGGTAGCGGTAGCCTCCTTGACGCCCATGCGAGCGATGGGCAGCGGTGCCAGCGTAGTTGACGCAAATGCAAAGCCTAGCCCGACGGAGCAGACATGAAGGGCTCTGTTTTGAGGACTACGGTGGTACCATGAAACGAAGGCGAGTTCGTCAGCGAGAGTTGCACCGTTTGCGAAGAACGGCGAGGAATAGGAGCGAAGACGCTGGAGCACGCGCTGCTTCTGCTCGATGTTGAGCATCGCGGGCGCTTTCGCAATCGATTGCTTCTGGTCCATGGCGACGCTTGACGGCGAAAGGAAAGCAGACCTGAAGGTAGAAGCGGCAGACGGTCGTAGGGCGATGAATGCAGCGATGGACTTTGGACCCAGCGTACATATGTACAGTCACGTCTCGTTTATTTCAATTCCGGTTACTTCAACTTTCGCTTATTTCAACGGTCAGAGGGTTAAGGTTAGGGTTAGGGTTCGGGTAACATTGACTTTGACAACACTGGGAGCACGAGGCATGAGCACACTGAAGAGTTCATTGCTCGCCAGATTCTTAGTGAGGAAGGGTTGGAGGTTATGGGGTTAGCCTAGGGAGTGCCTGTTCACCGAGCTTAGCGTAGGGTTTAATTGCGTACCCGTTTGTATACCCTTAGTACGAGGAGGATTTCAGATATTTCAACTTTCGCTTATTTCAAGGGTCAACGGTGTTGAAATAAACAAGACGTGACTGTATGTACGTACAGCCAGGGAACATAAACCTGTAACCCCCGCCAAGCAAGTCAGTGTCTGCTGGCGCGTGCGTGACTCATCATCACCAACTCGGCTTGCACCGTGTCTCAGATCTGAAAGCCATCCCCGCTTTTTCAATGCAACGACTCATCATCCTTGCTCAACGGGGGGCTAGCTACAACTAATACCTAGTTATGCCTCCGTCAGCCGCAATCACACTGGCCATCCTCGACGGCATGGAATTCACCAGATTATCGAGATGTCGTTCCATGGTCGGCCACAACTGCTGAACAATCGTATCCAGTGTTGCCGCCGTCCGATTGGCCTTTGAGACCTCTCGCTTGATGACTGACCACAGATTTTCGATAGGATTGAGGTCCGGGCTCTGCGCAGGCCAAGGCATAACCTCAATCCCATGTTCCTCAAAAAACTGTCGTGTCTCAACCGACGTGTGAATGGGAGCATTGTCCTGCATGAACAATGGATTAGGAATAAAGAGCTCAAGGTTCTGCCACATGGGCAAGAAGTGAGTAGTAAGATGTTGGACATAAGCAGTGGAATTGAGGCCAGTGCGATTTTGACCCTCACGCTGAACACGTTGCATCTGCGCCATTGGACCAACTGCGTTTCCAATAAATGCTCCCCAAAACAAGTTTTGCGGCCACTCCTTCGAGTCCCTGTAACACAATCAGGATGAAGACGTTCAGTTCGAAGACGCCAGCATCGCATTTTGGGCACCCAACCAATCTCAAATGATGTCTCATCCGTCCAAACCACGCGGGACCAGTCCTGTGCTGTCCAATGCTGTCGTTCAAGCGCAAATGCAAGCCGTGCAGCCCGGTGCTGTGCAGTCAGGAAAGGTTTGCGAACTTTGAAACGGGATGTCAGGTGCAGATATCGGTGAAGGTAACGACGCACGGTCTTCCAGTGTGCCTGAACACCTGTAAGGGTGGTGAAGTTGGAAGTAATTTCCTTCAGTGTTTTCTCTTGAGTCTCACTGGACGCAACAACAAGAAGGCGAAAGGCCTCCAACTCCTCATCTGAAGGTTGATACTTAGCTGGTCCCCCCGGCGGCTTCTTGGATTGATAGGAGGCAGGGTCATCAGCAATGTCGTTTGCAAACCTCCGTACGGTGTTCTTGAAGGTGCTCAAACAGACTCCCTGGTCTCTGGCTATCTCTCCTTTGTTTTTCCCTGCCCTATGGAGCGCAACTATGGCTGCCCTCTTCTGTGGAGTGAGAGGTTTGCCCATTTCCGTCGTTGTTGTTGTGAAGATTCCAACCTCGCCATTGCCATCGCCATTCTGGCCTGACCTGGCCTGGCCTGCCGCTGGCCAGGCTGGCCCGCTGCACGGCGCGTCTCTTGTGACACGGACACTGAATTCCATTAAGAGGTGGGTATAGCTTTATGTTCCCTGGCTGTACAGGCATAGAATTGGGCTGGCTGAGGCTTGGGCGCTGAGTGCGCCCAGCCCACTGTCCGGCGCCTTTTCGGCCGTCGACCGTCGGAAGTTTGTCGTCCATGATTTGATGATGCTGCGCTTTTCAGCTCCGTGCTGTCAAAATCGTGTTGAAAGCTGTCAATATTTCTCGAGCCCACACTGTCTTTCTTTGAGAAACGAGTATGCAGTGGACGATGCCGACCCGATATGTTTCAACATTCGTTTCGTAGTTTTTATGCGTTAAAGTAACAATTAGTTTTGCATCACTTTTGATACATGCATCAGCGCGACATCGCATCGGGAAAGGGGAAACGGAATCTCAAAAATCTTTGATCGTCGGGCATGCCACAAGTAAAACGAATCTGCCCAGTTTGCTGACTCGCCCGCTCTTCGAAAAGCTCAGCCTCTCCTATGGCGTCTTTTCCCTCGTTAAACTCCAGGCAATATGAGATTAGTAAATCGAACCTGGAATCAGGTCTAACAACGCAAGCAAAAACTGCCCAATCCCAACGTTCGATGTTGCGGAAGAATTCTGGCAAAACTACCCCTTGTCATCCTAAGGATATCATAAAGGTGCACTCTAACCGATTTGGCTTGTCGGTAAAGATACTCGTCACCGAATTTGCACTTGTTTTCAGATCCGCCCAGCACTTTTTTGATTACTGAAGTCGCGGGGTAACGTGGCATGCTGAAGGCGGTGGAAACTGAACGGCGGAGGATTGTGAGGAAGATCAAGAGGTGCTTCTGAAAGGGTGGGTACGGGCTTCTATATGAGGGTCGTGCGCTCCCAGGCAACTTAGGTAAGAGCCGGCGCGCCGACAAGTGGCGACAAAGCCTGCGACAAGTTACGCGGTTGTTGTCGGTTTGTTATCCATGGTGCAACAACCACAACTCACATGACCAGAGCTTAAAACCTTACAAAAGAGATCTCGAGTCAAACGGTAACCCTCAAAAGCGCACATAACATCACAATGTGACAAACAACGAAACCCGTTGGAGTGTGTAGAGTTCTCACAATGATCGAGCTGGCAGAGATAGATACGACGTGCTCCTCGACAGGTCCCTACCGCCACGTCAACGAGGGTCCAGCGACGACGCCGGAACGTGTTATCGCTATACCCGACAACGCCGACGGACGAGATCCTTTCTATCTTGCCTCCCGGGTCGTTTCGGACCAGGACCTAGACAGTCTCCTCCGCAACCGGAAGCGGGGGCGCAAGGACCATGTTGCTAATTTCTATCGCGAGCAAAACGACGAGATCCGGCGGTTCTTGGCGGAACCGGAGAAAGAGGGAACAGCAGCAGGAGACAAAGAAAATGCGTCAAAAGGACTGGCGGCTGCGATAGCAATCAAAGGATCTTTTGTGGCAAATATCCTCCTATCCATCCTGCAACTCTACGCCGCTATTTCGTCGGGATCTATGTCACTTTTTGCGACCATGGCAGATTCGATCTTCGATCCTTTCAGCAATCTGATCTTGAATCTGGCTCATAAAACGAGCGTCAAGTGGGACATTGAGAAGTTTCCTAGTGGAAAGGCGAGGATGGAGACCATCGGAAACATCGTTTACGCATGTTTGATGGCGACTGTTTCGGTGGTCTTGGTGGTAAGTTTTCCGGCGATTTACATTTGGAGCCAAAGCATTTATACACTGCTAACATTGAATTTAAAGGTTGAGTCTTTGCGCACGATACTAAGTCATAGCGGAGAAGATGTCCTCACTATCAACATTCCGTCCGTTATTTCAGTTGGAATCGCATTTGCAGTCAAGTTCGCGCTGTTCTTGTACTGTTTTTCGTTGCGAAACAGCGACTCGCAAATCCGGATGCTTTGGGAGGATCACCGTAACGACTTGTTCGTAAACGCTTTCGGTATTCTTACCAACGTCGGCGGCGGAAAGTTGAAATGGTGGATCGATCCCGCTGGGGCTATCGTGATAAGCATTGCGATTCTGGCTTCATGGAGCAAAACCGCATATGGTATGGTCCACAATTTCTCAGATATCGTCGACAATTGGTATTGCTAAGATTAATCTTCTATTCTCGTCCTCTCGCAGAGCAATTTCAACTGTTGGCCGGTGTTTCGGCTTCCAACTCTTACATCCGCTTCCTCATTTACAAGGCACTCACCTTTGACGAAAGGATACAGAAGATCGACACGTGTCGAGCGTATTACTCAGGGCCGAAGCTAATCGTGGAAGTCGACGTCGTTATGGAGCCTGCCACTCCATTGTGGGAAGCACACAATGTCAGCGAGGCGCTACAGGTGGCTTTGGAAAGATTGTCTCAAGTCGAAAGGGCCTATGTGCATGTGGACTTTGAGACGGACCATAAACCAGTGAGTACACCAATGTTCCCTTTCTGGTTGGTTGCTTCTCAACGTCCAAATGTCCCTCCCAGGAGCACCGGAGCCAATAAAATGCATATGGCGACCGGGCTTCCCCCAGTATTCTCCGGTTCCATCCGCCGGTCACAGCATTATTTCGTTTCAGAGGCGAGACGAGAAATGGAAGAGTCTTCGTATACTCCGTTTTGGCCTTGAAACATTGTCAGTGACATCCTCCCGGTAGGGTGATGGCGCGTCCCGTTCATCTGGCAGTATCTCTTAGCGTCAAATAGTTCATCCCCGAGTGCTTTCCCTCGGCGTGTTTTGCAAACCTTGGAGAACAGTTGGCTTCGGGCGAAAGTCACCTTTTCCGCTTTGTCTAGATCAATAGGTTTAAATCAATAGGTTTCAACTTCAACCATTGAATGATTCGCTTCCTTGTCCTCACATCGACGTAAAACTCAGCGCTCACATATGGACGTTTGCGCAGTCGCGTCGCCAGGCAGCTGCTCAACTACCATCCCCCATGTTCGAACCCCACGGGTTCTGTGAATATGGACATGGACAATTGTGGTACTGTATGTGCTGTGTATGCATTTAGCCAAACTCCGCCGCTGCGCAAACTTGATGATTGCGACGCGTGAGCACTGTCGCCACTGTCATCCTGTCAAAAGGCTGCCAAAAACACCCAATCACGGGATCCCTTCGACGTTTCGGCAGTACTGGCGAAGGGGATCGCGGGACTCCCGAAAAGTTTCTCCCCAGCATGGAAATCAAGTCAGCATGCGTGGTCAAGTGCTCCATGCTGAGGGCCGTAAGAAAACTGCGCACCATGGGGTTATATCAAAAATATTCACGAGTGTGCTTGGTGCATGCAGGCTTGAGATAGCAAGTTCGTTTCAAGAAGACGGCGTCAGCGGAGGGAAGGACCGCTCAAAAGAAGTGTCCTTATACATGACCCTAACCCTGGCCTACCCTGTGACATGGCCCTTTCTATGCAGGAAAGGCGGTGTGGATTGTGTCACAAATCGGGGTAAAGACCGCTGCGCCACATCCTGACAGCAACCGTCAGGAAAGTTCAGAGCATTCCGAGTCCACGAGCGCATAACAGGACAAAAGAAAGAAGCTGAGTACTTGCAGGTCAAGTGATGGCGATTCCAGAAGCGGGTTCAGAAGTCGTTGAGCGTGAGAGCCGGAATAAGGAATCCTCGAGAACACTGGTGTTTTAGCCTCTATGCGTGAAGCACCACCTAACTGTGCGAAACCTAACTTTGAGTACGAGTATCGCCGACCCAGCTGTGTTTGAGCCGCCAGTAATTCATGCAAACCTAGAAGACTTGGTGCAGGCTCGCGGAGCGGCGCAGTTCTGCCGGTAAACTCTTTGAACTGGCTGAAGGATGGTTACGAAGACGAGTCGGGAAGAATGCGAGATGAAGCGTCGGCCCAACTGCTGAGATATGTGCATCGCACACATCTGGCCCAGGAACTTGAACTTCATAGCCGTCAAAGTTCTTGACATCCTTGCTGCGTCACTTCATGACAGGGGCGTTCCTGATCCAGTTCTGCCTCCAAGATCTCCCAACACATTGAAATGAATGAACCCCACTGCTCCCACTGAGGAACAGAGCTCATATATTTTTTGGAAATCACAATACCGTGGTCCCGATGACATGAACGATGTGCGCCTCTTGAGGAGAGTTCATCTGGCTTAAGTCAATCAAGACGACGGTCGGCCAACCGCGAGCTCGAAAGGCATCACGCGTTCGGAAAGGGGACCCTGCATAAACTCGTTGCCCACCTCATTCATAAACAATTAAAAGCGGCGGGAGAACCGGCGGATAGGTGAACAGCGCCAGCTTGCTTGAAGCCCGCGAGAAATCGCATAGCTCCATATCTTAGAAGGCGCTGGATGGTGGCTAGATTCGCTGTCCAAAGAAGGTGCGGGCATCCCATGGGAAACTTCCCATGGGCGTCTCGGGGTTCTAGATATACAGTTTCCTTAGCGAGCTCGGTGACCATCTATCTCCAAACGCCGTGAATCCATGGACATGTCCCGCCGAACTGGGAAGGGCCCATGAATGCACTGCTTAAGATCCTGATGAAGGTTTTAGTATTGGATGCAGGTGCTTATAGTGGGGGACCATTTACTCGTGCGCAAATGTGATAGCAGACCACTGTGAAGATTCCAGGTGTTGATTCAAGTTTATAATATGTCATTCGGCAGATTCGCATGAGTCTTAGACGTATGGAAGTATGAATTTATTGCTCAACACAAGGTAGATGTGTATTCATGAAAAGAGCATGGCCATACAAAAACAGGATGGGGAGGGTGTAGGTGAGTAGCTCTCCAGGGAACGGGGTGAGGCGATCTGGAAGGAGCGGAGGAGTCCCGGCGCAAAGCGAACGCCGAAAGGCTTATCTTCACCAGCATGCATTGGTTTCTCGGGAAAGGTATTCGCGAGGCGTTGGCATTAGTTGAGGCCGTCAGAATCCCTAAGAATGTCTACGGATGGAGAACGAAGAAACTTAGTAACCCTGGCTCGATAATCACAGCTCCCGGGTATAACCTACCACCATAGCCTTCCACCTAAGGAACCTTGAGTCAACTTTAATCTGTTTGCATACATTCGCTGGTCCGATCCTCGCATCCGTGTTTGCGCCAAAGATGGCAGTGGCAGGAAGATGTATAGTAACACCAAAAACGGGAAAGAAAAGGAGAAAGAGAGTAGTCAGTATAATGTTTCCCGACGACTATGAGGATGAAAATAATGGAAAACACTATATGAACCTCTGTGAAGGCATCACAAAGCCGCACGTCCTGCGGGTTGGATAGCATCTGAGACAGGCTACCTCCAACCAGACAAGTAGCCCGCTGCGACAGGAGACTCTTGCCCAGGGTAGCCCCGCCGTACATGACAGGAAGGCGTACTCCCAGCACCTTGCGGAGCTTTGCAAGCAGGACGGCCAAGTTCATATAGTATTGTGAAGTTGGGCAGCAGGTTGGATAGCATCTGCGACAGGCTACCTCCAACCAGACAAGTAGCCCGCTGCGACAGGAGACTCTTGCCCAGGGTAGCCCCGCCGTCCATAACAGGAGGGCGTACTCCCAAAGACCTTCACTTCTTTTTGCAACTGCGTCTGATTCGCGCGCGGTTCTGGGACACTTACCCTTGAGGGTAGTTTGAAGCGTGGAGGGGCGTACCGTACATCCCGTTCCGGATCGGGAAGGACCTTGTTCGAGAACGGATCGTTTTGCTGGTTGCGAAATGAGTGGGATCGCATACTTTGGAGACCGGTGTGGATGAGGGTGTCGTGGGTTAGATCTACAGTGACACGATAGAAGGTTACGCGCCGTTTTGGATCTCAAGCATAAGCCCGTCCTCCAAAGTAGACAACGAGTTTCTAGCCAGCCGTCACTTACCATATGAACGAGAGACTGTCGTTTCGTGATTGCGTATGTTTGCGTGCAGATTTAGCGATCAATCCACCGCGATTGTACGGATCGTGAAGAAGAATAAGCAAGAGACGGGAACGCGTCGAGCCTTTATGTCCAGCGGTCTGGCTGCTGCGCCACTTCCGGACACGAGGAGTCGAGGACGCTGTGGAGGGAGCTTATTTGATAGAGCGTCGGCAACAGCAGCGGACAGTATTGTTGTGGGAGAGCCAAACCTATCTTCGAGTGGAACAGAATCATTACGACGACGGCCCGGACCTCAGGAGATCTGAAAATGTCGGCATCCATGTCATATTGACGAACCCAACTTCGCGCTCGTTCTTCGATGTCTACCCGGAGCTAGCCCGGCAATACCACTACGTTCTGGAATTGGGCAACATTCACGTACGGCCGCAGGATGTCGACGGATGGACCAACTTTTGCACGGTCATGCAACTGTTCCGCCACGTTGACAAGATCCGTGCACCGGATATGCAGCACTTTTTCGACTTTTGTTCCACCACGGTGGAGGAGTGCATGCCATGTTCGACGGCCTCCCGGTGCTATCTTCTGCTCCCCCCAAAAGGGAATTACGAAGGCCTTCAGGCCAAAAAAGAAAGGTGCATGATTTCGATACTTGGCGCTTGTTAGGCGATTCAGGGGACATGTTGGGGATGCTCGGGAATTGAGAACGGTGGCTGATAGCGGTCGGGGACTGTAGTGGAAACTTTTAAGGACTCGGGACATTCCTGGTTTAATTTCAGGACTATAGGCAGAGTGGGACAGGGACATACTGAAAGGGAGGCGGGGGGGGGGGGGGGACCTGTTGCGGGGACCTGATGTGTGGTGATTGTAATTGGTGTGGCGGTTTGAGAAAGTTTGAGAAGTTTGAATGTGGTTCTTTTGAAATATTTGTTAGGAGATTTTATTGCTTCTATTGCACCTGCAGCGGTACCCGACAGGGTTCCTGACTCCCTTCCTGCCACACTTGGCAGGTTACTTCTGCTTGGGCGTGTCAACTTTCATCGGGAACGCAACCCTTATGGTGCTCATATCGCAGTAGACGCCGGAGTCGAGTTCGATCTTTCGCCTAGCTGATCCAAGACCTGCCAAAGCCCACAAAGTACCATCGAATGAGGCGGTTTTCGCTGCAGAAAGACATCCCTTCCCGTTGCGACTTCACATCGACGGGAATGTCGGAAAGTGTCGAATGCCAATGTGAATCGTGGAACTTTCGAAAATGCGAAGATTCGCGCACGAACGCGTGGCTTTGCTTTCCGCCGGAAATGATGAGCGGCAAAGATCGGCGCCCAGTTCCGGCGCATTTCGTTTTCGGGTTTTCTGGCAGAGCAACTTGGCATGTCCACAGCCGCTGGACTCCTCCACGGTCGTCTACTATAGCTGTATCTCCCACTCCAGCCTGCTTCGCCCAATGCCAAGTTCCACAGGAATATGCGGAGGACCCCCAGCCCTGCCAATAATACCCCCTTCCCAGCCCATCTCCAGATGTTTTCTTTTTTATCCTCAGGCATTATTGGCGAGATAGCGATACAACCTCTCAGAGCTTGGAGGAGCGGCGTGAATGATACCTCGAATGTGTCCGTCCCAGCGCACACACCGGTGAAGGACCTGCAACGCGCCAAGCACCGAACTGAGAACGCCCACTGGCATTTCCGCTTCCGCTGCAGCGCTGCCGCCTGCGCAGGGCGTTTTCGCAGGAATGTTCTACATACACATGCATCTGTGACACAGCGTTGAGATCTTTTGTGCAATATGTATAAATAGAAGGGTTGTGCGTGCAGGCTTTTCCTCGTCTTACAGTATATTCTAGCCCGTCTCTAGTGCCCCCTCCGTTTCTTCTCTACGTTCTGTCTTTGATCATCTCAGCCCCATATCTGCGTCGCTCTCCAACCCCCGTCACACATCAATTGACCCCCATCAAAGAAGATCACAACCATGTCGAGTCTCAACATATCTGGATACGACATCAGCGTACCGCTCGCGGTGACATTTTCCATCGTCTATGCCGCTCTGTTTGGGTGGGCGATCAGGAACTTTGCCGTGCTAAAATTGAAGCCTATTGGATGGATGATTGCTTACTTTTTCTGTAAGTTCTGGAAACGCTGCTCCTGGATAATTCTCGAACCTCACATCTCACTTACGCATCTCTCCACGTCGCCAAAACAGTACGCGTAGCAGCCTTCATAACCCGCCTAATAGTCAACACCATGCCCTCCCTCAACCCCGACGGCACCCTCAACACCACCAAGAAGACCGTTTACATTGTCGACTCAATCCTCTACTCCGCCGGCTACTTCCTCCTCCAAAACACCACACTCGGCCTGCTCGACTCCCTCCTCCTCCGTCTGCAACACCACGGCAGCACCTTCGCCCTCCCCGAACGCGCCATGCGGTGGTTCCATATCGCCATCACAGCCGGCGCGGTGCTGAGTATTTGGGGTGGGTTGAAGTTGGCGAATGATCCATTGACGCATGAGGATATGGATACATCACGGACGTATCGGTTGATTGGGGTTGCCGTTATTGCGGTGGCGACCATATGCATGGGTGGTGCATCCATCCAAGCATCGACCGCCAATCTGCCCTACGATACCGCGCACCGCTCCGGCGGCCGATTCCTTGCCATCGTCTGCATCTGCCTGCTCGTTCGCGTCGGCACGTCGTACTGGTTCATCCAGAACCCCCAGAGGATGTTTGATGAGAAGGTGCTGTATGGGCTTGCGATTGCGATGGAGATGCCGGCGGCGGTGTTGTTGTCGATAACGCCGTGTTTGGCGCTGTTCATGAACAGGGCGGGGCCGCCGATGTCGGAGACGGTGGGGATGCAGCCGTATGAGCCGTATCATCCGGTAGTTAATCAGGCTGAGGGGGGTAAGGCGCAGAGCTGCGCATAGTCTGCGGGATGTGCATGATGCAGTGGTCGCTTCCCCTTCCAGCCGTAGATGGACTTTCGTGTGTGTGTGTTTAAGTAGCTGATTAGAACACATTAAGAATAATAGGATGAACGATATGCCATGAGTCCTCTGAGAGCTTTCCATTTGCGTCCTACGTTGAGCACTTTGCATGAGATGAGAGACGCTTGCCTTCGTCACGCTTTTCGCCCAAGCTCAGACAAGTCGAGGTTTCACTCCCGACGCAGCATCCCACTCGCCCGTGAAGTCACAACCCGAGGGCAGCCTAAGTCTTTTAAAGATTGGAAGAAGCGGACAGTGAGCTGGGCTGCTACGATGACTGTCTGCGGCCACCCGCCATGGTTTACTCTCGGGTTGTTTCACATCAACAGAACTCGAAAACCAGTTAACCCCCAACCTGGTCGGGTTCCATATGCATGTCCTGTCGGGGCGCCAATAGTTTTGTGCCCACGCTGTTCCCACCAGGTGTCCATCACTTTGCCATGGACTCAACTTGTAAAACGGAGATCACTTCTTCCCAGATTCGAACTGGCACATTGCTGTGGTAGATGCATCGAGAACCTCCTCTGTCCGATGTGCGGGTGAGTACTCCTCTCTCCGCGCATGGGATTCAAGAACAGATCCTCATCGCTGTTGCGATCGCTACACCTAAGACCGAATGACCGAAGCAAGTCAGTCTCTGCCACAAACACCCAGGTTAGGATATCTATGCCGTTTGCCACTGAGGCAAACTGCCCATCAACCCCTTGTTGACAGAAGCTTTGTAACGACCGCTCCAAAAGGATGCCAGAGAAATCATGGCTCGCTTATGTGTTCCGCGCCAGGGATGTGATAGACAGAGCTAGCGCGATGACTGCTACTGACTGCTGCAAAGGGTGGTCTCAGGAAAGCGGCTCGCTCATGATGTCTGTCCCAGTGATTTGATTAGACCAGAAAGGGCTACTCTCGGAACGTTATTTAGTGAAGGCGGTGAGGAGAGGCAATCCACGACGGGGCAATGAGAAGCAGGATCATACCATCTATGGAACACCCATCCAAACGAAGGAAATCGGACAGAGACAAAGGAAACGAAACAGATCAACCGACTGGCACGAGTGGCGAATCAGGTGCATTTCCCCAAGCGCACGCAATGGGCCACGAGGGACTGTTCTCGTTATCAGAGGGCACCCCGCATCAGTGGACAATGCGCTGCCTGGTCTTTCGCCAAGCCTGGGAGCATCAACTATCATATGTTTGAACGACGCAATGCTGCCCCAACGGATCGTTGGAGGAAGGGGCGAAGAAGTCGGAACATAACATCGAGCGATGGTCGACTGAGGAGGAAAGCACCCTCTAATTTGCCCAGTTTAAGGCGGCGATGGGTATGTGCCTCTATGTCTATCCTATACACGGTGTCGGTCTAAGAGTAAAGAACCTACCTGCCACCGGCCTCAACTGCCTTTGAACGCAAATGGGCGCAATAGCGACAATCTGAATGCTCCTCGTCGTGCCGTAGCCAGCACACTATGCGAAGGTGGTCCGCATAGCAGGCTCCGTGCTTACGGTAAGATATTGTCTGTCGCCGTTTCGATTGTCCTCGAGCTCTGTCTTCAGAGTGTCCGAGTCGCCCTCAAAACGTTTCTCGCGAGAGGGCGTACGAAAGCCGCTGCAGCGAACTTTTCTGAAGTGGGCAACCAGCCTCCGCAGGTCCAGAAGTGGGATGCGTCACGTGAGGAAGGGCGCATATTTATTTGGAGCAAAATGTTGACAACCAACCTATTCCTGGAAGACCCCCCCACCCGTCGTCCTTCTCTCAGACTTCCTTCCCTTTCCCTTTCTCGACGTTCTCACCCAAAACCCGTACGAAAAGCTTCCCAGTCCTCTTTTCCCCAGTACCTACGGCCCAGTGACACACTCCTTTACGACAGCGAGGCCCGCACATCCAATGGGAGTCAAGATAGGCTTTTACCTCCCCGAGGAGGCTCACAAACCAGGCGGCTTCACCATCTCCGAGTTTTTATGTGGCGCCCACCCCCCTCTGTGGACACTCAAACTGATCATCACGTCCCTCTACCCGACCCTCAGCACCACGCCCCACGAACTGTCACTAATAGTGCAGGGGCAGGCATGCATTTCACTCGCAAGCCACCTCCCTACCAGCATTCCCAGTTCATCACACACCGGGGAAACCAGAGTCCGCTTCATAGTTCACGTCCCGGGCAATCCTTTTCTGGCTCCAGCCCTTGGCGAGGCGGCGTGTCCAGATCCAACTGCCGACGATTTCAGTTTGACAACTACTTCTTCTAAAACTCCATCTGTCTCTACATCACAAAGTGGGTCCCCTAGTAGCAAGCGTCCGAAAGTCGATACCGCCCCTTCCCCTGCCGAGCTTTCTGCCAGGATCCAAGAGGCCTCGTTGGGAGGCATTCCTTCTCTCAGGCGCGAAACCGAGAGATATGCACAGGCCACCATGCGGGACCAGTGCCTGCTCAGAGACCAGTGTTGCGTGTTGACAGGCGACGTTTTTGTTAAGGCATCTGATTGCGCTCACGTCCTCCCGGTTCAGTATGCGAAGAAATGGTTTTACGAGAACCGAGACCGCATTGATCTGCACTTATCCGCCGGCGCATCTAATGCGGCGTATGACGTCAAGAATGGAATAATGCTAGCAAAGACGGTCCACAAAAAACTTGATCTCTGGGCGTGGTCCCCGGTCGCATACGGAAAGGAAGTCTTTGCATTCGTGTTCGACACATCAGCAGGCGTCCAGCACGGGATGCCCCTTCTCATACCTCGCATGATCGAACGCGGCGACAATCGATCGTATTTCCGCGACCAGTTTCCGGACGAAGAGGTTTTCAACGAAAGGTTCAGACAGGCCGTATTACGGAAGTGCCGAGGTTCCAGCGAACCTCACGAATTCCGTGATCAGTGGGAACAGGAGCCGATCTTTGTATCATGCGAATTTGCCGTGGATAGCGATAGTAGTGAGGATGAAGGGACTCAGGCCCCCCTTCACTTTGACAGCAACTGACACTATTCACGCGACACCCCAAGCTGGTTGTTGTGCGCGAGTCCCAAAACCGAGGTGGCTAATATCTCCCCCTTGGACACATCCTTGGCCGCAAGCTTAGTTGCAGGAATGGAGCTGTCGAAAAATGGCCAACGGCACTCACCACACCACTCGCAGTGCCTGAGTTGAGTAAAATGGGCTGCTTACTTGGTGACAAGATGTGCAGATTGCACTGGTACAGGACATGCACAGCGAGTGTATGCTAGGGGAGAAAGACTGAAAGAGGAGGGCGTTTTGAATAACGCGAGGCAGTCGGGCGACGTGTGATGTGGACTACCTTCCACACGGGTTATATAACTGATGTTTGTATACAATACCTACTTTGCTGTAAGGTATTGTAGACGGACTGGGTGTTCGCCGGCGCTGCTATTCGATATGCAGTAGAAGAGTTACCTCTTGTGAATAGGAACGCGCGATGAGCACTGTTAAAGTACCCAGTACGCCTGGCCATGATGTCGGTGCAGTCTCTGCGAAAATGGACCAAGACAAGTAGTTAGTTAGTGTGTGTTCCACCCGTGTGCAGGATTAGTCGGTGCACGTAAAATACCCACAGCATTATTTTCGTTAACCCCACACAGTGCCGAGGGGCATGGGTTGGACAACAGATAGACCTAGGTTTAGATGTTGTCGTGCGGTTATACTCGTCATGTATAGAGGTTAAGTTTAAACAGGCGTGAGTTAAGCATGTCGGAATCAACCGGAAACAGTGAAATGTCCGACTGTTCGACGTCAGCAAGTCAAACAAAAGGCCCGCTTGGCAGGGCCGTCAGAGAAAACGTACTCCTCGACGGATTTCATTCTGTTTCCGTCCGACTTCAAGGCGGAACATATTTGCCACAGCCATTACTACATCATAGAACACAATGCCCCACGGAGAACAGTGCATCTGCGAAGTATGCACCTGCGGGCGGCATAAGCTCTGCAAGGCGGTTCGTACCAGTGACTGCCACTTGGACGCTCATACTGGTATGTCCATATTTTCATCTAGCGTCGGCAGCGCACCCCCTGAATCATTATATTCAATTTGGGGATGATCAGAGTATGGAGATAATTACTTGAAGTTCCAATCTGGCCCACGCACGAGGGGAAAGGCTCACCCGCAGCAGCTGGATTGGAAGGCGGGGCCTTTCTCGAGTGCTACTGAAAGGTGAGGTTTGAAGCTCAGATTGCTTGTGATTTCTTGAACTTGGGTTGACATTTAATTCTCCAGTCGCGACAAATTCGTTCCCCATGCTGTTGAGGCCCATCACCCGGTATGGTTGAGCGATGTAGTGCATCATAGAACTTATACGATGCAGATATTGACTCCTGGAGCAGGTACCAAAGCCCGCCTATCAACGCAACGACGCCCGTTTCGAGGATAGCACGACGAGTAAAAGTGACTACCCCGCCTGGGCCGTCTCTCCGGCTCAGTCCAAGAAGCCTCCGGCCGTCTACGTCGAGAATCCAGGTAAGCCCCACAGTCCATCCATCCCTTCTTCCCCATCGACACTAATCAATTGAGAAATATCCACCCCAGTCAAATTCAGCGGCGAGACCACCAGCAACCGCGACTACAAGGCCTTCGACGTGCAGCCCCGCAACTTCCACAAGGCGCCGGAGTATATGAAGCCGACCACGAAATTTGAAGACGAGACGACCAATCATAACGATTATAAGGCGTGGAAGGTTAATCCTCGTGTGGATGCGCACCCACCTGCTAAGCATGTGGATACCCGGGAGGACAGGTATGTGTGGGATAGATGGATATGAGTTTAGTAGGACGTTGTTATTGATTTTCTTGCTCGCATGACAGGGATTTTCGATCGACTAATGCCGCTGCTTATACCGGTGGGCAGTTGCCTCGCGTCTTACCTGTAAGAAAGCTGCCTTTGCAAATGCATGGTATGGCTCAGAGAATTGTTTGCTGATCCGGGTTTTGCATGCATGCGCAGGCTCCTCGCCCGGGATATTCCGCCAACCCAGCGAAGTTCGAAGGCACCACGACCAATTACGACAGTTTCCGTCAATGGGCTCTTCCTCCAAAAGACCCGAGGCAAAAGGCTGCATATGTGCCCAACCCATCGCACTTTGAGGATTTGACGACTTGTAAGTGTCGAAAGAAATTATGACAAACATTGCATTTTTGATTATTGACCAACCCCCTTTTTTTTGGCCGTAGACAAAACGAACTACCAGCCCAAGTCCGTCGAAGTGTCCCACCGCCAAATCCCACGCTACGAAGCCCCGGACACCAAATTCGAAGGTCTGAGCACACACCACTCCGACTACGCCAACCCAGGCCGCCAAACACGAGAGCGCGACTTCAGACCCCGGGTTGGGTACAACGCCATCGGCGACGACCGTGACTGGCTCACCACCATGCGCTCGCAGTATACGCCCAAGCCGGTGGATCAGTGTCCCGCGGTGAGCTGGATCCCGCAGGAGAGGGAGAGGCACACTGATGGACATGTCTATTTGGCTCATCATGATAGCCCTTTGGCGGCTACTGCTGGGGAAGCTCATTGAGAGGGGGTGGTGGCGGTGGATGGGGGAGTGACGGGTAGTTGTACTTTCTGACTTAATGAAAATGGGTGCATAATGAACATTCGTTTCATTGCGTTTGGCCTGGCGGCCATGCTGTTGTGGCGAGCCGGAATTCCTTTTGTACGTGCCCTGAAAAAGTGGCTCAATTCACTTCTCCAATCATTAAGAATTTTTCCACTATGATTGCGGATCGTTCATTTTCGGTTGGCAGGCGGCAGCAGCTTAACGATCTCAAATCAAATTGCCAACCTGCTGGGAACTATCGGAGTTCGCCGCTTCGGAAATTCGACAGCGCGCTGCATGCTGCTGTCATTCCTTTGGTCCTGACAGATGGCCCGAGCGTGAGGCTCAGACTATATAATACTCTTCGATGTAAACGAGAAGAGCCAGTCTCTAATCATTGTATCAGACGGCGAGCTGGTTGACAGCCAGTCACTACATCATGGAATATCGACAAACTTTCGGCGAGACTCACACCAAGCCGATTCTCTGTCTTCAATACAATCCGAACAGGAGGGAGATTTATTCAGGCGGTGAAGGTAGGCCAGTCTTTAGTTGTGTTTCATTCTGCCGATTCGATCTGATGTCCCATTTCCTTCCTTCAAGATGCCTTGATTCGAGTATTCGATGAGACCGGAAAACCATTGCAGACACTGGCGGAACACGCGGGATGGATTACCGGGCTTTGCTATTGGTACGCCAGCATCTCCTTTAGTTCCATGCTACGGGCGAGAAGCTGATGTCGCGAGAATGGAATAGCAAGGAGTACAAGACCCTGTTCTCATGCGCGATAGACGGGCTTCTGATTGCATGGGGGGCGAACGGGCGACCGATTCAGAAGATTGAGGTGAGACGCATATGCTCGCATATTCACGCCCAATCCCTACTCACCCTCTTTGAATCCTGTCAGACCGGCACTCCAATCTACTCCCTCGCCTACAACTCCCGCCGTCAGCAAATCATGGTCGGTTGTAACAAAGAGGTCCGGGTATTCCATCTCGTCAGCCTTGATGAGAACCATGGGCCTGGGGGAGGCGCGGGTCCGTTGACCGACATAATCGAGCCGAAGGCAATTTCTTGTGCGGAGCATGTAGACATTGTGAGCTGCTTGGTTTCGTGTGAAGGACGGTTCTATTCTGCCGGGTATGGTGTGGATTTGTAGTCTCACGTTCCGGAGAAATGGTTAACATGTGGTTTGTATGGCCATAGATATGATCGGAAACTAGTGATCTACGATATTCCACATCATGGAAATCTGAAATTGCGAGTGTCCTACGTGCTTCAGAACGCGCACGACGCTGCCATCTCGTGCATGATATACGGAAAAGATCCGGACAACAGCTGGTAAGATCCTATTGGCCGGGTCTTTCGTTGCCGCCCATGAGGAATAATGCTAATGAACCGAAACTTCGTTCTTTCCACCTTCTAGGCTAATCACAGGATCGTTTGACTGTTCAGTCAAGCTTTGGTCGCTCGATGGCAACCTGTTACAGCGATTTGATGGTTTGAGGTTTGCATCACACTGATCAATAACCTAAGCACGACGAGTCGACTGATGACAATCAAAGCGATACAGTCACGTCGCTTTGCTACGTCAATCCCACCCAAACGCTTTGGATAACCGCCAGCTCTCATGCGCCAATCATCTACGATCCCAAGAGCGGCATCAATGTGAGTTAAGGGTCATCTCGCCGGAATGATACTCGTCTGTCGTTCGCGCTCTCATCCGCTATCCACTGAACAGCCTCGTCTCATCCCCCAATGATAGGTGTCGGACTTTGTACGAACAGGAGACGAAAACGCCCCACATCAAATGGGAGGCTTGACGTACAAGCACCTATTATTCGTTCCAGAGGTCAATGAGGTGCTGGCTGCAACGAGCCGAAAGAGCATCGTGGTCTGGAAGTTCAATCCGTCTTCAGCTTTGACCGTGTTACCGGGGCATACAGATGTTGTGGAGTGTTTGACCTTCAGTGAGTTCTGCGATTTTGCGGAGACCCAGCTTACATGCTGCTGACAGGGTCATACCAAAATTTGCAGCTTCCAAGGAACCACTCCTGATCTTCAGTGGCGGGGATGATGGCGTCATTAGAAAGTGGGAAAGGTTACAACTGAATACGTTCATGTACAGGTGAGAGCGAAGGGCATATGGGAGCCCATGAGAAAGCCGTCTTTTATTAGGGCTCAAAACTCAGCTTTCCTCAACATGCAGCCAGGAGACCTTGATTCTTCCCAGTGAAGATCAGAAAGAGGAGGAACCGATGCTCTACACTTTCGCCAGACGCCCAGAAGAGCGTCGCAAAAAGCAAGCCGCGATGCATAAACGAATCGCAGCAAAACTCCACATGTGGGAGCGCGGAGACTCGCAGACCGACGGCAGTTCCAAAGCAACTCTACTGTCACTCTCCAAGGCCGCACGCCGAACATTACGGAAAAAGGAATTCGAGACCAATTCTGGCGATAGGGCGCTGAAGGAGCATCGCCGACATATGGATGAGTTTGAGAGCGCTTCGGGGAGTCTGAAACGGAGAAGTGGGTCTGCCGGTGCCACGAATAATCCTGAGAAAGAACGAAGCAGTCATAAACCTGGGGTGATGTCCTTGTTGTATTATGAAGACTTAGATATGCTGATCTCGGGGTACGAGGATGCGAAGATCCGTAAGTTCACGAAAATACGTCTCGAGTTGCACTTTGTGGAAAACGTTCCTGATTTGAGTTTGCGATACAGATATCTGGGGCTACAACGAGGAGAATGTTCGTTTTGCTGCGGATGCCAATGATCCCAGCGCCGCCAACACGAATAGAAACAATGAAAAGGAGCTTGCGGATGGCGTAGAAAGCACCTTAATAGCAGAGGGGGCCGTATCCAACCGCGTGGCGGGAATGTCCCTAAAGTACACATTGGAAGACCACAAGGACGCCGTCTCAGGGCTTGCGTGCTTTCAGCGAGATGGAACGCACTGGTTGGTAAGTTAAACGACAGAGCTGCGCCATTCATCCCTGAAACATCTCTAGAACCTCTAGAACGCAATAGCTAAGTGCAGGCTTCGATCGCCGGATTTGCATCTGGGAATACAATCCCATCGTCGGCGTTTTCCAAAAGCGAGACGTCTTCCGCAATGCCCAACAAGGCTTCGGCAAAGAAGAGCTAGCCGCTGATGGAATCATACTGGACCTCGAATACGCGCCGGAGCGCAACGAGTTTGCCTACGCTTCGGCCGATAAGTTGGCGTACATCCGAAAGTTCTCGCAGAAAGGTTCAGAAATGCTGCTACAAGTCGTATTGCAAGGACATGAAGCTGAAGTCAATCAGGTATGCTAGCCTCGCCTGCTCGCAGCAAATGCTTTCTGTGTTTGCATAGGGGCCGAAGCTCATGAATCCGGTCCCACAAGGTCAAATGGTGCCGGAAGTATCAGCACTGGATTACAGCCTCCGAAGATCGCACGATTCGTATATGGCCGGCCGAAGGGATTCCTTGCACGCGAATCATAAACAACGATGCGCCCGTGACAGCCTTATGCGTAGATCTGATCAACGGAAGCATCGTCGCCGGGATGAGAGACAAAACCATTCGGGTGTTTGACCCGGAAAAGGGGGAGCTGGTGCAGAAGAACGTAGGACATACGGATGAAGTGAGGCGGGTAATTCACATCCCGGCGAGGAATCAGGCAAGCACATGGCTTTTGTTGTAAAATGTGCTAATTCAATCATCACTCATCCTCTTGCCCTTTTCAGTATGTATCTGCGTCATGGGATAACACAGTTCGCATGTGGAATGGTGAGAGTCGCCGCGGTTTCATATCCTATCATCTTGCGAGTCTGAAGCTCATGGAACTGCTTGCGATTTAGCCCACATGAAGAAAGGTCAACCACGATCGGTAGCCAAGCCAGCCGAGGCCACATTTGCTGGGATATTTGACGAGCCTGAAGAAGGGGTTGGTACCACCTTCATTCGTACGTGGCATACTCACTTTCTCAACAACCTTGCATTCTACGTAGCCTGTATCCTCGTATGCAGATACAAACCCTCTCGTTCGCCCTATTCTCCTCTCCCGGCCCGTATTCATGCCAGGTTTAACAGCAGATTCCACGGCAGGGTCAAATGATGACCCAGAGCGGCTACTGGTGAGTCTTCGGGTTCTCTCCTCGCAGGACTCCATCCATTTTCTAATGATTCCGATGTCCAGCTAGAGCAAGCACGCCTACAGGAGGATCTCCGTTCAACATTCAACATACTTGAAACAACATTGCAAAATCAGGTTAGTGCTGAATCGGGCAAATTGTACTTCAATGGTTTGGCTGTTTACATTTTGTTAGGACGCACAAAATCGGAAGAAGGTGCACACGAAGCCACCACTCTCAAACGTCCCAACGGCTACGAATCGAGCGCCGTCGGCGACTCTTGCCCAGTAGTGCCCATCTTCCTGTACATATCTATATATCTATTATAATAATCTATAGGTCTTCCGCCCTAATACAAGCATATCTCGGCAGATTCCGCTTTGTCGCGGATGTGGCGAAGAAGGGTAAAATTGTCCATTTTCAGCTCAGGTACGTCGAATATGCCTCGTTGTTTCTGGTCTTTGAACGTGGAGTCAGCGATCACATACTTCAGATCGTCCAGCTTGAGAGCGCCTGGATGAGAAATCGGCGACGAGTCAGTTGAGCTCGTCAGATTGAACAGCCCTCGCTTTTGACCTACCATCCTCAATCAGCTTCAACACTCGGTTTGGCGTACCGACTGCGATAGGGAATCTATCTTTCGAAAGTGCATCCACTTGGTCTTTCAACTTCAGATGTTTGGCAAACAGCTTCGCGACTTTGCATTCTCCCACTTTACGCATGAGCCGTGCAACGTTCACCGCCCTGATGGCAGAGGCAGAAAGCACTATTACTGCGGGAGATCCTACGGCGATCTTGGGGTCTTGTGTGAAAAGTTTTGCTGCTGATTTTGCAAATACTAGACGTTTGGAGAAACGGGTGAGCTCCATGCACGGGGGTGGCCCGGTGAGCTCCGACTGACAAAACGAACGTACAATAATCCCTGATGAACTCGGCAAAGTGCTCGTCTCCCGTTTTCTCGAACTTCCGACAGTCCTTTAGAGGAATGCCTTCTTCCTCCAACACCTTTCTTGGGTCCAAGCTCCAATCCTTCTTTTGCTTCTTTGGTCTGTCTTTATGGTCCTTCTTCTTCTTCTTCGGAGCAGTCTCTTCCGCTGCTGTTGTTGTGTCCTTCTCCTCCAGTGGTTCCTCTGAAGCCTTCCTTTTGCGGCTCACAGGTGTGGTGTCCTGCTCCCCGTCGTCCTCAAGGTCTGCCGGCGCGACTTCTTCCTCGTCGCTGTCGCCAGCAACAAAGTCATTCAGATACTCGTCGCCTTCAAGGGCGTCGGCCGAAGCTCCTGTGTGTTCTGTGCGGTTCGCCATAACTGCAGTGCTGTGTAGAAAAGGAATGGGTCCAGAGGGAAAAAGGAGAGCCTGGGAAATTGTGAGTTGGTTCCAACTCCCCGTAAACCAGTAGGACTGAGTAGGATACTGTACGGCACGTGTAAAACGGTGTCTTTCTCGCTTTTCAACCTCAGCATACCTGTAGTCGGATGTCATTATGCGCACCGTTACGAGCAAGGCTGACCTTGGTAAGAGCGCATTGTTTGAAGTGTCCTTGCGAGAAACGCACAACTGAAGTTCCTTTCCGTCGGCATTACGGTGTCATCTTGGCGGTCAGACAGGACCCGACTGCAGGTCGTGCTGTGTATTCTCGCGACGTTCCTCCTGGGTACCCCGATCTGGTGGAAGACAACGGAGGTCCACAGGGCGCCGCTTCCGGTGAAAAAAATAAAAGCTTGGGTGTTACCAGAGGTAGATATAGGAAGACGATGGCGGAGGTGCATACTTGTTGGAGACGACGGCCTCGGACTCGAGAGCACATATTCCCACGGCGTCAGCATTACACTACTCGCACCAACATAACGGAGGCTATGTGTCATCAAATAGGCTCTACGACTAGCTTTCAACATAAACATAGCTCTCAAGTTCCAAGAGCATCCATATGCATCCGACTCCAGCAAGAGGCGAAACGTGGAAGCCATCGCAAAGGACGTGACGGAGCAGCTAGACAAGTTATATAGCGTATTCCAGCCGAATGGGGCCCGCGATGTTGCCAACGAGGGGGCTCAAGTGGCAAACGAAACAGACGCGGACGCGGGTGGCGAAGGTCCGGCAGCCAAGCCAGAGGTTTCTATCACGTTTTCTGTGAAGCCACAAGTAGACGCATCGCCAGCTTCTGCCGGCGAGGGATATATCGTTATAGTCTCATGCGTGTCAGAGACGGAGTCGCAGGAGACGAGTCAGATCTCAATTGAGGCAGATCGAACGGCGCGTATTACCCTTGACCAATGCACCGATGATGGTATGGCGCTTTGCAGTTTCCGCTCAGATCGTCAACGAACTAATCAGCGAGATGTCTTCCGTTGTCAGCCTTGACTACGAGTACTCTAGTGGCCACGATAGGCGGCCTCTTTGCGGACGAGCAAATGACATATAAGCAAATGTCAAGTCCTACCAGCCGATCGTCCACTTTTCATGTAAGTGCTAAAGTGCTCCGAAGTCCTACCGCGCCGACGTTTACTCAGCAAGGGCACCATATGAAACTCACTAGGCCGAGTGGGATAATATGCGAACAATGAAATACGCCGCTCAGTATCAAGTGACATTTAGTCTGTTAGTCGCGAATCCATCCGACTTCTTAGTCAGTTGGGACATCCAGGATGCTGTAAATGGTTAGTTCCCCACGCGGCGTTGGTGGATGGCATACCAGTCCAGAACACAGTCTTACACATTCCTGGTTACAGCGTACATCGATCCGCTGTTCGATGCATTGTCCGACATATCAGACTTCGACGTTCATTCGCAAATTCAGAACTATGCGACATTGCCAGTCACACCAGAGATTGTGGAGAAAGATGGGCGGAAGCTACATATTCTGAAGCCCAGCGTTCTGCCTAGATTTATCAACTCCGCGGAATGGACTCTGGGTGGGCACATTCTTGCTGTAACATATGGCATGCCTATTCCGCTCATTCGTCTGCTCTGTAGCTTCCGTGGTGTCCACGGCACCTCCGTTGAATCATATCTTGTACATCCCGTCTCTCGAGCAGTCGCCTTTGCAGCTTGTGAAAGATAATGGTAAGAGGTGGCCTGTCCTTCAAATCTATGCCGCACTCCTAATCGATATCGTAGGCGAACCCCTTTCGACAAACGCCTTCCTCATGCCTCGTTGGGGAGGTGTTGTCATTCAGAACCCGGAGGTCCGCGGAAAGGGCTCGCGCATCCACCTGAATGCAACCTCGTTGCACCCATTCATGGAGGTAGCGGTCGCGCACCTTCGTGACTTGCTTGGCGTCAAGAAAGTGAGGATACCGAACGCCGACTCAGTTCTGGTAGGTTCACCGACATTATGCAACCTGAAGAGATTATGCCCTGACTTGCGCAAATTTCCAGCCTGAGATCTCGTCCATCGTGTACGCATCAGCGCCTTTGACGGGTTTGACTCAGTGGGAGCATGGCCGCTTGGTGCGATGGCGGACAGTGCAAAACATGGTGGATGCCATCGACACTTTGAACTCGCTCTCCAACCTGATCGAGCGGTTAGAGAGTATGGTGGTCCTCGACGACATTCAGTCGCAGGTAAAGTGGGGCTCTCTCATTGATGCCTCACTTGAGTATTGTAGACATTCTAAAGCTCGCTACCCGTTCGCAGGTCGTTCAAGCTCTCCAATCTCTACGTGAAGCGCATAAAACCCTCTCCCAATCTCATACACCATCCGAGTATACCCTGGCCTTGCAGCACTCCAAAAAAGCCACCGTCCTCGCCTCAAAGGCGTTCTTCGATCCCACCATGCTCGCGATGCTTTACTTTCCAGACGAGCACAAATACGCGGTATATATGCCACTATTTGTCCCAATTTCGGTGCCGGTTCTTGTCGCAGCTATGAAGGAGCTCAAGAGGGCTTTAAAACGTCGTAAGGCGAAGAGAGCGGGAAGAGCCGGGAAAGAGACGGGAGGGGGGAATTCGCCAGCGATTGGTTTGGATGGTCCGGATATGGATGCCGACGAGGAGGATGGGGCCGAAAAGGAGAACAAGGAGGAATAGATATTTTCGATGTCCGCCGATTACACAAGCCCGCTGATGATTTGATTCACTTGAGTTCTACTCATGACGGTGTAATTGACCTACGGCGCTCCTTATGGCGGTGGTTCGTAATCAAGCAATCAGTGCCGCCCAAGGGTCCTCTGTGAAGGACTTCTTGTAAAACCCCTCCTCCCCATCAGAATCGGTGATAGTGATTCCCTTCTCGCCTTTCCATCGTGGAGTTCTATTGTGATTAGCCCCGTATCCCCCGCCGTTGTTTTGTGAATGGGAGTTCCACTGATCCGTTCTGCGGCGCTATAATCATTGTGACCATACTCAGTCAACGGGTATGGACAGCTCACATGCGGGTACCGACATTACCTTGTTCGAGCCATCTTGCTGCCCTCTCCAGCCGCCACGGCCCCTCCCCCTTCCACTAGCTGCGTCCTTTTCTGGTTGCTGGTGCCACCCTTCGCCTCCAACGGTATCCTGCTGCTTGTAGTACCGATTTGCTTGCCCACCACGGTTGTTCCCTCCGCGCCATCCTCCGCGATTGTTCCCTCTGCCTCGCCCGTTCCAACCGCCGCGAAAATTGGTTTGCTGTCCCTGCCCTTCAGCGTTATCCCCACCGCTCTGCAGGGTGTTTGTTGAGGAAGGTGGTCCGTATTCGCTTTCCATCTTTCCGAAGTTTTTCGCTGATGTTGCAGAATGCCCTGGTGGAAGTGGAAGGCCAAACGCGGGGGGAAAGCCGAAGTTGAAGTTCCCAAATAGTGAGAAACCCAAACAACCCAAACCAACCGCAGACACCACCTATATACGATGACAAGCGACAGCAAAGTCTGTACGGCCTGTGGAAGCCCCTCCAAGTTGCGCTGCCCGACATGTATGAAGCTCAACATCGTCGACGGCTCTCACTTCTGCAGTCAGGACTGCTTCAAGGCGAGTTGGGGAACCCATAAAGCCATCCACCAAACGGCCGCAGCTGCCGTATCTAATGGGAGTAAGTCATCTAAACTCTAGCGCCCGAGGACTTGTGTGAATGCTTCTAACCTCTCTGATATTCCGTAGCGGTGAATGTCTTCAATCCATGGCCGTCTTTCCGCTACACCGGGAAAATGCGCCCTGTCTACCCGCTGTCGCCGACCCGCTCAGTTCCCGACAATATCCCGAAACCGGACTATGCAGCCGATGGGAAACCTTGGAGTGAGCTGGCGCTCAAAGGGAGCACGCAAATAGAAGTTCTGACCCCTGACGAGATCGAGAAGATGCGGGTTGCTTGCAGGGTGAGCCTTCTCAACCTCCTGGGACATGTTGGAGATCAGGCATGACGGAGATACTCTGCATTGGCTCTGACACCAATACACCCGCTGCAGATATCGAGGGAAGTTCTCAACGAGGGTAGAAAGGCAGTCAAGGTTGGAGCAACGACGGACGAAATCGACCGTGTTGTGCACGAGGCTTGCATTGGTAGGTGTGGAAGGTTACGTTAAGTCTTCCATCACCTTGCTTATGCCTTTGTTCCCAGAACGAGGAGCATATCCCTCTCCTCTCAACTACTATGGCTTCCCCAAATCGTGCTGCACATCCGTCAACGAAGTGATTTGCCACGGTATCCCGGACCGGTACGAAATTCAGGATGGAGATATCGTCAACTTGGATGTGTCCTGCATGTACGATGGGTTCCATGGCGATTTGAACGAGACCTACTGTGTCGGCAATGTGGATGACAGGGGACGACAGCTCGTTGCTAACACGAGAGCGTGTTTAGATAAGGCTATTGCTGCTGGTGAGTGGGGAGTCTCCATATCCGCATGGGCAAAGTTATCGCTGTCACCATTTCGTCTCACCCAATATTTTACGAACAACAGTGAAGCCTGGCGTGCTCTACCGTGACATGGGCAACATCATCCAAAAGGTTGCTCAGGCCGAAGGCTTCTCCGTCGTCCGTGCCTACTGCGGTCATGGAATCCACCGATACTTCCACACTACCCCGAACGTGCCACATTATGCCAAAAACAAGGCTGTGGGAGTCATGAAGCCTGGACATACGGTATGATTACCCGTGTTGACTTGTGCGCGTTGCCCACTCGGAAACTTCCGGCTTCTGACCCTCCTCTCGGTTTATTTATCAGTTCACGATCGAGCCCATGATCTCGGAAGGGACATGGCACGACGAGCAGTGGCCAGACAGTTGGACGGCCGTCACAAAGGACGGGAAGCGATCCGCACAATTCGAGGAGACGCTTCTCGTGACTGAGACGGGTTGCGAGCTCCTTACGGGTGACTTTACGAAATAGATCCTGTTCGAATCTGCCTCCACCCACTATTTGCATACATGAGTAGATCTATGACTATTTATGATTGAGAAGATGATCATCATCATCACCATCCCTTTCCTTTCCTGTCTCCGACGTGGTCACTCCTCACACCAAGCAACGCTTAATTCTGCCGGTCGCGAGTGCGAGGGAAACCAAACGCGCAAGGTCCCACGCAAAGCTTTGTTTCTTGTCACCGATGGTGACAAACGCGTGCGGGCCTTCACTTGCTCTTGCTTTTTACGCAAGAGCAACTTGCTTTCCACCTTTCGCGTACGTAGTAAGTCACTTACAATGCGTAAATCAGCGGCTCGCGAGCGCACCTACGACGTCTCATCCATCACCTCCCTTACCGTCGAGAAGCATAGTCCTCTGACGTACGAAACATGGGACCTCGGAAACCGGCCCACCGAAATACTCCACCTCCCGCATAGGGAAGGGAAAAAGATGCGAGCCGTTGTGCTCATGATACCAGGTTCGTGGAGAAGCATAGTCCTCTGACGTACGAAACATGGGACCTCGGAAACCGGCATCGTAGGATACCGTCGAGAAGCATAGTCCTCTGACGTACGAAACATGGGACCTCGGAAACCGGCTTCGTAGGATACCGTCGAGAAGCACAGTCCTCTGACGTACGAAACATGAACCTCGGAAACCGGCATCGTCTCGAAACTTTTTGTATTGGCGCTCGATGTATTTATGTTCGTCTTTTCACCAGGAAACCCTGGTCTCGTTGAGTACTATGAGGAGTTCCTCCGCCGTCTTCATCAAGCCTTGAAAGGGGAAATGACGTTCTTAGGAGCTTCCCACCTTGGGCACTCCGCCGCCGTCCGGACGATTGGGAAACTATATTCCGTGAAAGAGCAGGTGGAACACAAGCTGCAGCTTCTCGATGAGGTTGAGCGGCGGTACGGGCGCGATACAAAGGTGGTGCTGATCGGTCATTCATTTGGCGCTTGGGTCAATATCGAGGTACGAATAGCGTATGCACCTTGAAGATCCCACGCGAAAGAATGGAAACCTCAATCGGTGAAACACAGATACTCAAAGCACGCCCCGATGCGAATGTCGTGAAGGTATTCGAACTGTTTCCGGCGATCATGAAGATCAGGGCAAGTCCGCAAGGCCGGATATTCAGTGTAAGTGCTTGCAACAAACGATGCGCGGCAAGAGCTGTGCCACATCTTACCAGCTTGGACCTCAGTTATTCGACTGGCCCCTTATTCGTACAGTCCCGGCTCTCCTGGTCGGATCGATCCGCTTCGTGGCTCAACCTTTTCCCAAACTTCTCAATTCTCTGGTCTCCACATTCTCTCGAAACCACAAAACCCCTCGCGAGGTTAGCACAACAGTCGAACGGTTTTTGCATTACTCGACCGTTTCCAATGCAATGCATCTGGCGTCGGATGAGATGAGGACAATAGATGAACTGGATGTAGAGACGATACAGAAGCATGCGGAGAAGTTTGTGATGTACTATGGGGCCGGGGATCACTGGGTGCCGCAATCGCAGTATGAGGAGATGAAAAACAAGTTTCCAAATGGTAAGTGCTTTGGAGGATGAGAGATTACGTCGCGGAATTCCGGATGTTAACTCTCTCCCTCTGTCCCCCCTTGTTTAGTCACCGTTCATTTGTGTGAGGACAATATTCCGCACTCGTTTTGCCTCGGCTACTCGGACGTCATGGCGGAAAAAGTTGCGAAGTGGCTAAGGACGGCGTTGGGAGGATGATATTTCGATTTTGCAGGTATTCATAGATCTCTTTGTAGCGTTCTTACTCGTGTAACTTTTGTAGGGTTCCATATATACACGTGGTATAGCGGATTCGCAACGGGAGTAGCGGATTCGCATGACTTTTGTAACTATGCACAATAATTATACTAAAGGTCTTGAGAAAGGAGGTCGTCGCCGCATCTATGTTGCCTGGCGCGGCTCGCAGGCTAAGGACATGGCTTGCAAGTTGGCCATACTAGTTTCTAATGGCGGATTGGCCAAGTATTCTTGTATCTCGTCCTCAAGATCAAACCACTTGTAATCAATCCGCCCTAAAGATACTATGTCCGTGATGCATTTCTCAATCAGCTGCATCTTCTGAAAGTTGATCATCTGCGTGTCTTTGATGATAGTTTCGTTGCCGTCGTTTATGAAAGTTAAGTCCTTGATAAACAATGCTGTGAAATGCAAAATTTGCGTTAGTTTGACGCTGCCCGATGCTCCGATATCAAAAAGTCCGATAGTAACTCGCTACGTACGCAAGAACGGCACTAATGGTGGATCGGCGTCAATAAGCTTCGTCCGATACGATTTGAAATTCTTGGACACATCTGTTACTGACTGCAGATCGGCAAGAGCCTTTCTTCGAGCATCAGAAAGACCCTGAATATCAAGTCGTCAGTCCAGTTCAACGTGAATCGGGAAAACCGCAGTGTATTCACCTCCCAAGTCTTCTTTAGCCTTTGAACCGGTGACAGGTTCAAACCGAACATGATTGCAAACAAGCTGAAATAGTTCTGGGCGTCATAGCAACCCTAAAGGAAGGAGGTTTAGCTAGGCACTGGTGCAGGATTCCAAGGACATGCATCAGTGCGCGCATTAGTAAATGGAAGCGCACCTTTGCGACTTTTAGGAAGATGCTTAGCACCGCTGTCCTCGTCTTCAAGTTGGGTTTGTTAACGATCTCCGTTGCCACCCAAAAGGATTCCTTATCAAATCTTTCGATGAAGAATGTGAGATTCAAGGAGGCCTTTCCCCAGATTTGGGCCGTGTAGTCTATTGGATCGATCATCTATGAAAGATCCAAGCTTGATGAGTTTCGTATATTGCCGACAGCCTCAACCGATTACTGCCTACTGACCCTGAACAATGTGGAATTGTACAGGCACAATTGCTGTGCCAGTATTTCCGGATCGATATCTTCCTTGATGCGCGACTCCTCCAGACTTCGCGGCTCCTGCGCGGCAACCATCATCCTGGCGATCTGCTCGGACCGTACTGCGTGCTTGTTGGACTGCTTCTTCATTAGCTGCAGCATTTGCTCCGCCTCCGCTGGAAACCTCTGCCCTAGCTGATCTATAGCAGCTTCTAAACTTGTTCGCATCTCAAGCGGTTCAAAATCGTGCCAATGGGTACGGATCCAAGTTCTCAAAAATTCCACCGCTACAACATACTTGCTGGATCTAAGTTGGCAATTTAGATGTTTGCTCAGGGCGATGATGCTTCCCCTTCACAAGATCCTGTACTCACTGCAATGGCCCGTTATTCAACCACCGCTGTCCAGCTCCTTCGGAAGATGCAGCTTTGAGATGCTCAAACACCCATGCAGACAACTCGGTCGGGCTTGCAAATTTTCGATACGTTAGGAGGAAAACTCGCCAGAATGAATCGCTGGCTGTCCCTGAAAGCGCAGCCTCGAAAAGTGCATCCTTCGTCGCAGCAATATACTGTCCACTGAATAAGCTGATGAGCCAGACGCATCTCAAGACTGCCAAGCTCATTGCTCCTTACTTCCGTGTGATCCTGGCGAGGTTCCCGTCCTCTCCATGTTCTCTCAGATCTGTCCCGCTGTCTACACTTTCCTGGACAGATATTTTGGGAATCTTCGACCAGGAATGAGATTCTGCCTTTGCGTCCTCTTGGTACGGTAGTAGATATTTTGCCAGAATGCTTTTCAACATATCAGGGGTCGCCGGCTTTGGCAACACCTCGTTTATTCCCGCGGCCTTGTAAATGTCCGCGAGCGCAACCGCAACGGTATCGCTGATGGCCACGATGGGTATTAGCTTGTTATCACCCAGGATGCGGGCTGCGACCTGATCAGGGGGTTCATCCTGAGCGCCTGCTGCCAGCATATCGCCTGAAGCATTGACAGAAGCGGCACGCAACCGGCGCTTTGGCTTCAAAGTGAGGGATATAGGGGCGGATCCGCCAACGCTGGCGCGGCGTCGTGGAAGTGAATAGAAAGCTTTTATCTCCGGCAAGAGGCCCGATATATCCGGCTTCGTAGCTCCATCGGCTTCGTCCACCGCAGAGTTTGAGCCGGATTTCAGCCCCGATCTCGAGCCGCTTTCAGCTGATGGCAAAGTGCCAGAGATCGCGCGGTACAAATCGCCTGAGCTGGGGCGGTGTAAAGCCCCGCCCGAATCTCGCCTGCCAAAAGCTCCAGGAGGCCCATTGGATTCCGATTTTGGCGGCGGTTCCCTGATGAGTTTTGTGGCAAGGATGCCGTTGATTATGGGCATTTCTGTTGGGGAAGGGAAGGTGGAGATAGGGTTTGGGCGTCCAGTCAGCTCCTTCCGCCGGGAACGACACCATGACCGATGACGAGATGACAACCGCCCCTGAGCACCTACGGATATCTATCAAAATCATATCATATCTACATAGCCCTGCATCATTAGAAAGTCCATTACGTTCGAACCACCCGCTTCATAGAACTTCGAGACTTACCGCTTGTACGTAAGGCCTTTCATAAGGCTGAGTCCATCCGGATAGATGTCATCTGCACGCTCCCGGAGTTAGATGTCGGTTAAGCAAATGTCGGCGGATTCAAGAACACAGCGATCGCTCACCATCGTTGACTGTCACACCATGCACTCGGCGGAGACATTTCTGGCGGCATCGGCGGGGGAATAAACATCAACATTCACTAACATCACCGGTGAGACCCACAAATTGGTCGCTTACAGCCATGATTTTCGAGACGACCGCATTGTCATCCTGGAGGAAATATCCAATTTGAGATGAATATACGGTAAACCAGCCAATCCAAGGAACAAATCATCCTACCGCTATCGCCACGCGGAATGCAGAAAAATCATCTATCGTGCTTGATCTCGCCACTTTGGGCCTGCGGAGCGTCATTCTGAGTTGATTTCGTGTGCGCCAAAGCTATCCGGACTGGCTTGGAACAAATGTCGTAAATTTCAGGCTGTGGAAAACGATCGTGGCTACAACTCTGGAGTTCAATTCAGCTCCCGTTCTACGTATGTGCTGGGGGCGCGAGAGATTACTCAGTTTGAGCTATGGTGGAATTCACGAACGCTGGCTGGCTAGCTCGCGAGCTCACAAATACGATGCCCGACCTATCTTCATTTTAGGCAGTCAAGGAGCAGCATTCATCTAGAAACCATGTAGTACAGTAGTATAGAGAGAGAAGAAAGGTTCATAGTCGGCGGAGTCGAAACGCGTGCTGTCATACATTTGTCCGGTCGAGACACGGTCTCTCGCACACGTTATTTCAATTAAGGGACCGACCGAACAATCGGCAACGCAGCTTTGGAGCCTTCCATTTATTTTCCGTTTCCTTTCAGGTGCTTTGCTGAAATCTATGATAGTAACGCCCAGAAATACAGCAAGGTTTAAAATGACAGGTTTATTTCGATTTTTCACATAAATTTTGATGTAGATTCCCAGTGTAATAAAACACTTCCCGACACATCACCCAACCCCACCCGTAAGTCCTCTTTGTTTCTGAATGTCCTTGCTTCGCATTGTCTATAAGTTCGCCTCGCTTTTTCCAGAAGTCTTGCATGCCCGGACTACGTATCCTCAAGGCCAAAACATCAAACCCCATCTCAACGTAAGCCGATGGTCCTCGCAGCCTTGAACCAGGCCGACATCAGCCATCCAGCGTTTTCCTCTTCGGCGGTCTCCTCGTCTTTGTCTTCTTGTTCGTCAGTATGCATCAGCTGGCTCGAAGTCGAAGACGCATCGTCCTTATCGTCCCACAACTCGGTTTCAGGGTTTGCGATCTCTTTCATGCGCTTGGATCTCCCTCCGGTGGTCCCCTTCTTTTGCTGCTTAGTTCCAAAAGTGACCTTCTTCTTTCTGGCAGCGCTGACAGGCTCGGCCGGCGCGTAGGCTGCTTTCATTGTGGCTGGAGGCTTAACAGGGGTGGGTTGAATTTCGAGGAAGCGACGACGTTTGCGGTCTTTGGTTGCAGGGGCATCCGAGGCGGCGTCGAGATTCTCTACGACCCGAGTTTCGTTGTCGCTGGTCTGGTTTTCCTGCTCATCGGTGGATCGCTTGCGTTTAGTGGCCGTACTCGGGGCACGAGGTGGCAAACCAGGGTCGTTGTGTCCTGTCGCCGGTTGCTTGACGGCACGAGCAGGGGACGCGACGGACGGGAAGATCGGACGAGGGATGGTTGGCGAGCTAGATAGGTCCATGTCGTGAGCTTCGCGCAAGGGCGTGGACGCAAAGACAGGAGGAGCAGGAAGCGCGACTAGGTCGGGTCGTCTGGCCGGGCTACGCCCGGCGGCCGCCAACCGAGGAGATGAGCGAACCGGAGACGCGAGTAACGTAGGGATCGCTTTCAGAGGCGACTGGTCCAATCCAAATTTCTCAATCTCTTCCTGTTTTTCCTGGGGCGAGGCATGACGGATGCCTGATTTGCTAGGCGTTTTAGCGGCGGCGTCTTGCACTTGATGCTGATGCTCGGTGGACTCGGTAGGCGTAGACTCACGGTCGGACCTCTTGCTACGAGCGGATGATTTCTTGGTCGTCTGGGCAGCTTTAGAAGATTCCTCAATGGGCACGCCAACGTGTTCTTCCTCAGTCGCCGTCTCCGCAATGACAATATCCATCTGGGTGGCAGAAAGACTTGTTTCGACGGAGGTGCCGGGTTCGTCAGAAGTTTGGGTGACATTGATAGTGCGCTTCACGGTAGTAGAGCTGATAATGGCGGGCTCTATGGATGATTGTCGGCGAGCACTCTTGCGAGGGGAGGTCGGAGTACGTAGAGCAACAGCGGACGCCTGAGGCTCCGGAACGTGCTCCTCAGCGTCCGGATAGGCAACGCTTTCGTTTACAGGTTCGGTCTCATCAGCCGGTATGGTATTGGCCAACCGTTGACTCCTCCTGCGAGAATCAGCCGTTTCCAAAGCATTAAGACGATCCATGAATTTCATATGGCCGTCCTGCTCGTCTTCACCAGAGGTGCCACCAAACTCGAACAAGGCCTTCTTCGAACGGAGATCTGGCCAGACGCGAGGCGTAGCACACGAAGAAGGACCTGCATCGCCTTCCGCAGCAGGCGCAATCATAGCGTTGAGACCTCCATCCTTCGAAGTGACTTTCCGAGCAGCCACAGCAGCCCTACGAGAAGGGGTCATGGGAGCAGCCCTGGTGGTCATGACTGCCGGAAGATGTGGAGCGGTAGATTCGGAATGTTCAAAAACTTCAATCTTGTTCTTGACGCTCATTCTTTCGGGTGCAAAATCGCCGTCTTCGCCTATGGGCGTAGTCCCTTCAATCGCAGCGACTTGGTTTCGGACCTTGTAGCGGCGGAGGGGAAGAATACGGCGGTCAGTTCCTTCCTGCTGCTGATGATATCTGCGGTCCAAATTTTGTCGCAAGGACTGCACGGCTGTGATGGACAGAGGGGAGAACGTCAAGTTGAATATCACACCCATCATCGTGCCTGCGCGCCAGAACCGTACCTTCAGACACACGTCGGCTTTTTTTCTTCGTGCTCTGCGGGGGCTGCATGGCGACCTGCGCAGACTGGTCGTTGGAAGAAGAGATGGTGGCGCCTTGCACGGGGTCCTCCTCCGAAAGAACGAGTTGGACGTTCTTCCCTTTTCCCATCCTGATTCGACTCGCGAGATCTATCACTTTTCGGTGACACAGAGAAGTGTGATGCGTATTCCACAACGGAAGGCGACGGTTCCGTCGATCACTCGCCCTCTCGTTCGCTTCTATTCGTGCCGCTCTGAAGCGGATGCTGGTTCTCGCGGCGAACTGGGCAGATCCGTGATCAGACGAGACGGACGAAGGGTTCGCCAGCCAGCCAGCGCGTTGGTGTGCAAAACCCTTCGTTCGGCAGCGCTAAGACACTGTGAGTAACATCCGTCCCCGCCGTGTCCGACGCCTCAAGAGTCAACATACGGCGTGAATTTCGGACGCGATTCGGACGCGTCAAGGCAGAGTGCATTCCCTACTATAGGCTTACGGCTGCCGCAGAAGCACAGGGGACTATTTGAGCCGAGGATTGATGGCAATGAAGTAAATAGCTGAGATACGTATGGGCCTATGCATCCGACCTTCGAGGCTGAATATGTACATATACAGGCCATGATACCGGTTAAAGTGTGCAGAAATGCACCTTCAGAGGCTCCAAAGTACAAGAACGCATATATGCCCCAGCCCGTCAGAGGCGTGCAGGCCGTCCGCGATTCTCTCTCTTCATCAGAACGCTCTCTCCTTGCCCTTCTGGCTGCGAACCTGTCGAACCTCAGAGCTCTCGCTTTCGGTAGGTGGAGGGCGCGTAGGGCTCCATCCCACATGGAACTCCTCCACCTCCGCTGTCCCTCCACCAGTCCGTCCACCCGAGGAACTCCCAAGCTCGGGCGAGCGCAGAACGTTGAAGCGGATGTCCCGCATCTCAGCCGCCATGCGCGCCCATTCGTCTTGTTCTTGTACGGAATCCTCTTCCTCACCCGCTACAGTCCCCTGTCGTCCCTGGTCCTCCTGGCGACGCGCCTCGGCGTCGGCATCCGTAATATGCGTCCCAAGGACTTTCGCTAGATTCTCGTAATGCTTGCGAGTGTTGACCATCTGCGAATGGATAAATTTCTGCGTCTGCGCCTTGTCTCCCACCCCCGACCCGCTCTTCTGCGGTGCCTGGCGATTGCTTGTCCCCAAATGCGTTTTCAGTCCCCTTGCGGTACCCTTTCCGGCATCCCTCAATGCTCCTCCCCACCAATCTTCGACCATTTCGTTCATCGCATCCTCTCTATCTTCCAACTTTCGCTCCTCCGTCCCGATGCCAGCGGCCCGGACACTACCGCCGCTTCGCCACCGCCCTTTCCCTTTCTCCGCCTCCTCCTGCTTGATCCTCTCCAAGAGCCGACTCTGGTAGTTGACGATGAAGCTTGGGTACGCGTTATAGATAGGGTAGTCGCCTTTGGGTAGCGGTGCGAAGGGTTTGATATACGTCTTTGGGCGCAAAGAGGATGGGGTATGTGGACCCAGTTTATAGGCGGATGTCAGGATAGTGGATAGTGGCCACGTCGGCATTTGATGCGTAAAGAAGAACTTAGGAGAAAACAGAACATTAAGATCAGCTGGCGATCAATCGTAGGACAGAAGAAACGTGAACTCTGAAGTTCCTCACCTCGAAGTCCTCCTTCTTTGTGAGAGCGAGAAGTCCGATGCGATGCGCCTTCAAGTAGGCGATGAGAAAAAAGTACATAAATTCCGGTGGATTCGATACGAAATGGTCCCAGAGCGTAAGCCAGTCTGGCGTGGAAAGTATAGACGAAAAAAGCGAGCGCAAGATCGTCCATGCATACCCCTATGATCAATCAGACGGCGATGTCACTTTATTGAGTTGCGTTGTTCCCAAGTATCGTTAAGTTACGTGAGAGTGGATGAACTCACCTGACTCGTCACTTCGTGCCGGGTGAAATGATCCAGAAGAGCCCCATCGTGAAAACGAAGCAAATCCTCAATCATAACCAGGCACTCTATTGGCGGGTGTGGATAGTACTCCCACCACTTCTGGCACCAGTTTACTAGCATTGACAGAGAGGTATCAGCATCAAAGCCATGGAAAGCATGACAATACGCACATAACTCACACAAAACAGTCAATATCACCTCAAAGGCCATGAACAAGTCCCCCAGAAACGCCTTTACAAATGGGAACACCATAGCGGGCAGGTTCTCCATGCCCTGAAAGACCGGAGACCAGAACGCCAGAGCCGAGAGCACCCGCTCAACGCTCGTAGCTACTCTATCGCTCTTAATCGGAAACTGTTGTCTGAAATTCTTCGAAACGATATGTGGACCCTGGTTGAGGAGAGCCTCGTACGCAAGTCGATTTTCGGGAAGGCGGAGGAGGATGCGCCAGATGAGGGAGCGGTATTGCGGTGGGTAGGAGGTGTAGTGATGCAGACATTTGAGCAGACGGGGTCGAGTCAAGGTCAAGGGGCTCTCCTATAATGAAGCAGGAACTTTCGTTACAGACTGGTCTGATGGTTGGGACGCTCCGGGAGACAGGAGCAGCGAATTGGTACCTTGTGCTCCAACAGATCATGCAGGGCTTGCTTCTTTGGAATTTTTCCATCTTGTAAGACATGTGCGGGATTGGTCGGCTTCACATGAAACCGGAAGTCAAATGTTAGGTTATCCGCGCGCCGCTTCAATTGCGACAGCTATATGGACTCACTTGTTGAGCATGTTGCTGCAAAGACACGTCAACCGTAACCTGGTCGGCTTCCTCGGTCAGGATTTCATCAATACCGACAAGGTTGATGATATGCCTCGATTCGCGCAGTATGGCGGACAAAATCCGTCCATCGGGTGAAGGGGCGAACCCCTGGAACTGGTCGAGACGCTCGACGTCAGAACATTCCTCGCTTCGCTGCCATAAGACGGTATTCAAGAACTACCTTATTCCCTCCCGATAGCTGACCAACAAATTTAGCTTCCGCAACATCGACGAAGATTAACTCCCCAGAGTCGGACAACATTCCGACTATCTGAAAAGCAACGATGAGCCGTTGGCGGGGACAAACACTGAAAATGTGCCCCATACATTAGAAGCTCCCAGAAAGGCCATTTGCACCACACCGTCTTCGGCCAAAGTCGGGACCGTGATCTCATGCAGTAGCCTTCGTTCTACCAGATGCCACACATACACCTTCCCAGGAAACGGCGCGTACGCCATCAGCTCGCCGTTGCTCGAGACCGCCAATGATGACCTTTGTTGAGATTCCGCAGCGATGTCTTTCCCCAAAAGCGTGCCAAGATTGATATTCCATTGGACCAGAAATGTATCAGGGTCCCACAAGATGATCGTGGCGTCTGCGAAAGCGGTGATGATAGAGGATCCTGTCGCCGAAAAGCAGGCATGTCTGATACCGCTATTGGCTCCTACTAGAAGGCGTTTCCGTGTCCACGTTTCGGAGTCCCAGAGTATGGATTCGCTTTCGCTGCTTGATATGAGTAAGGGAAGGGTTGGGTGTGGTGAGAGTGACGTTGTTGGGGAGGTGTGATGGACGGGTAGCTTGCATATGAGCTGGCAAGTGTCTGCAGTCCGTAGTGAGTTTAAGACGGTAGATCCCTGTGCATTCGGTATGAATCCACTCACCGATGTTGTAGCACAGGATGGAGTTATCGGAGAGCCCGACAATCAACTCCCTCCTTCTCACTGGGTTGAAGACTAAGCACGATCCGGAAATCCCCGAGCGACCAATCAGCCAGAACCTGCAAGATGGGGTGTTCATGGAAAAATAATACTGGGAGGATGCGTATGGGGTACACATACTTGTTTCTCATGACATCAAATGCATAGATGCTCCCTCGTTGATCCAGAGCGGCCAGAACAAACTGTAGCGAGGGCCCGGCCGCCGACTGCGACTCTGACAGCGGCGCCATCTCTTTACTAAAGCACACGCATGTAAAGTATACGGCGCGGTGCCGGGCCGCAATAGAATGCGTCTTCGGTATGGCTTCATTATGTATACGGAGGAGAGTGCTGTTGTCAAAGGTGAAAACGACACGCCCTTAGCACCGAGAGCACATTCACGAGTGTGACCGGAGTTGCATACCCTCGCTTCCGGCTTCGGCCTAAAAGTTTCCTCCATTCGGCTGTCGTTAATAGTGGGCCCGACTTGACGTCGGAGACGAAGACTGCTCGGGGCCCTGCGCTATCAACGTTTCTTATGGTCGCGGCCATCTTGACGATGGGCAGCCGTTTCGGCTGTTGTCGTTGAGCAAGTTGTTATCAACAAGAGTAGCAGAGAGTACCAGTAGAGTCGCAGCTGAGGCATTCGCTCTGTCTAGTGGAGGTCCTCACGCCTGACCGCAAATAACCATGAGACTTTCTGTGGGGTAAACGCACAGATACCCCATTGACGGCAGACAACGCGTTCGCCTGGACGTTTCGTCCGAAATACGTTTGGCCACGTGACGCTGAGTTTATTGGTTTATTTGCGTCCCTGTTTATCGGAACTTCGCTATTGCGATTTTCGCTCGTTCTGGAGCTCCATGGAACGTATTCGAGTCCCCAACACATATCCTGGGCTCCAAAGGGAAGGAACTCCGGATCTAAAGTCTCGTCCTCACCCGTGTCGGTTATCGAAAACTGATCCTTGAACACCGTCATTTGCGTACGGTCGCTTTTGTGAAATAATTCAGCATGGGCAAAGCTGGAAAGCTGGCAAAGCGTCGAAGGCTTATGAACCAGGGTGGGGCCGCAGACGGTCCCCTGGCAAAGAAAGCATTCCGTCCGGCTGTTCCGCTCCCTAGTCCTCCGCCGGCCTTGTCCTCTGCTTCGGGATCCGACGTTGAGGGAGGAAAGGGTACAAAGCGTACCCTAGAGCCAGAGGAGGACAATGAAATCAGCGACGTTGAAGAGCTTGTCGGCGACCTCATTCCATCGCATGACTTGGCCCTCACAATCCAGACTCTTACGATGCTCGAGGAGAACCCGGCCGTGATTCGCGGCAAAGGCTTCAAGGCGCTTCGTGCTACGTTGCACCGACTGCAAACTACTATGGCGAGGACCGCTGGCGTAGGGGCCGGCAACACGCTGAGCGGACGGATCTCGGATGCGTTGACAGACGGACGATGGAACGATGCCCACCTTGCGCTGGCCGAAATGCGAGAACGTGGCCAGACTCCGAAATTAGGGGCTTTACAACGCTGGGTGCGTGACTGCGATGCAGTGTCGTCAGCTGATAAGAAAGTGGCCGGAGACAAGCAGAACGAGGATGTATTGAGAGTTCTCGATGCCATTTTGAGGACTGCGGATCCGGATGTGGTGCCTGCATTGGATTCCGATGACGAAGCGAGGGTGGTGCAGTATCAGCCACCTTGGACTGCCCCAAGTGGGCACGCCGGAGTCGAGTCACAGGGCGAGAAGAACGAACTCACAGATGAAGAGATCAGAGCTCGCTTCAGGGTAGTTGCACATGAGAAAGGTCCGGAGCGTCGTACACCAAACCGGCAAGACTTCATCATGTATACGTCCTTACCGGGGACGATTACGCCATCTCCGGCCTCTTCCACGCCTCTGGTGACTCGCATCGACGTCCCCAATGTTCCGGGGGCCTTCCTGTTGCAAGATGTCCTTACGGCTGCCCAATGCGCTCAGATCCTTCGCACAACTGAAGCAGTGGGTTACACGCCCGATGAACCCATCGCCGGCGCTGCATCGGAACAAACCTCGGTGTTGGCGCATAACCTTTTCTGGCTCGCCGACACTGAATTACTCGGCATGATATTCGACCGCGTCAAAGAGCACTTGCCACAAACGCTCCCCAGCATCTCACCAACATCGCCTCCGAAACTCGCGGGTATCAACTCCAGATGGCGCGTTTATCGATACGTCCCAGGCGCCGTCTATCGCCCACACATCGACGGTGCGTGGCCCGCGTCGGGTCTGGACCCTCAAACCGGTGAATATGTGTACGACATGTACAAGGACCGACGCTCCAAGCTGACCTTCCTTGTGTACCTGAACGACGGTTTCGACGGAGGACACACCACGTTTTTCATCCCATCGGCGGTACCGGGCAAGATGAACGCTTACCCCGTGCAGCCGAGGGCTGGTTGCGTGCTATGTTTCCCGCATGGAGAAGCTAAGGGGGCCCTGCTCCATGAAGGCAGCCCGGTGATTCAGGGCAAGAAGTACATCATCAGGGCAGATGTCCTTTACACGCTGCCCGATGGCGGGGGTGCTATGTCTATCTCAGATAGCTAGATATAGGTCGTACTTACCTCGTCATCCTCGCATTTGAATCCCGCAATCCATGTCATGCAGTGTGTTGTGTATACCCTCTTTTGTTTTGCAATCAAAGCCATTATCGTTCCAAACGCGGAGAGGTTACTACACAGTACGTAGGCTGAAATCCACGATATAGGCGATGGATGCTTGACCCATGACAATTTTTTTCTTCGCCTCCGATCCTAACCTCCTCTTCGCCTTCTATCCACCCCCTTTCTGACCAAATCATAGGAAGAAACGCCGCCGTTCTGGAATTCTGGCATGAACATTTCGAAGTATAATACGCTGCTTGAAATCCAGGTCCATGTTGCCATCTGGAGCTCTGTACCGAAGGACGACCACCACTGCCACCACTAAATTTATAAAGGGCCCGAGGATTGACGGCCATCACCAAACTGGCTCTTGCAATGAAAGTAATGAAGAAAAGCGACTTCGACTGTGTTCCAGTGCATCGAAGTAGAAGCGAAAATGTACTGGTCAATCAACCCGCATAATACAGCACAGTAGGGGTGGGTTTTCGCTATTCTACCGCAAACTGAGCCGAAAAAGAACATGGGAAAAGACCGGAAAAGGCCGGGCCAAGAAGAAGCAGAACTCAGCCGGTAGTAATTGGTCAATAATCCTGTGCGATGAAGAAAGAAAATGCTTCAGACCTTCTCATAGCGGCACCTGCCATTATATATGGAAGAGCAATGTGAGAGGCTTTCGGTGGACAGTTGCACCTTTGGGAGGGCTATCTGCATTGCTTACGAAGCTCAGCGACCCTTCCTATGCTCGGAAAGAACTCAGCAAGCGGTGGTTCGGAACCCATGTGTCCTCGGTCTTCAATATTTGGTCCCGACATCTCCGTGTCTAACGATGGCCCTTCTCATATTTGACCACCGACGACCTCATTCATCAGGCCTCTCCGAAGGGCGTCGACGAATCGGCGTTTCGTGATGGCCAAACAGTTGAAACAAACGACGAGAACCCGGTCTGCAGCACCCGAGTTTTGTGACGTTGTTTTTAATTCCCATGAAGGTCATTATGGCAAAGCCGCCAGCACGTCGCAGGTCGGCGTGCGCCGGTATCTATCTATGAAGTGGATCTATGTACAGAAGAAAGGAGGGAGAGTCTTCATTTACGCCGTTTTTCCTGTTCATCTCGGGATTTTACAACCTCTGTCGTAAGGCCGTCCGTGTCCTGGATATCCGCATTTGAATAATGATCGTATGCGATGTCCCCTGCTATCCCAGCGAAAACAATGGTGCCCAACGCAGCGTTACTTTTGAACTTCCTCCATGCATCCGCATGGTCATTGGGCTTCAATGTGCTCAGCTGCCATGAAAAATGGGCCGCAGCGCCGCCCACAGATACGATATAGAATGGTAATCCTTGCGAGTTCATAAAACCCGCCAGCGTCAGGTTCCCAACAGCAGAAACTGCAAAGAAGGATAACCAAGGCTTCAGTTTGTCACCAAAGCGCAGAGCTGTGGATTTGATGCCTGCTTTTACGTCATCGGCTTTGTCCTAGGGGGGAATGATCAGGTCAAGCCGTAAGCGGAGAAGCAAGGTCAGAGTCCGCATGTTTTACCTGTAGCGCATAGATCGTGTCGTAGACAAGCGTCCAGCTGATACCTGCTACATATAAAGGCAAGCACACGGACCAATTGCATACACCTAGCACCGCGGACCAGCCGAGCAGTGTTCCGTAGTTGAAGGCCAATCCTAACGAAGTTCCGTAAGTGTCAGTCTCCTCAAGCCAGGGTATACATTGACACAGAGCAAATACCCAAGACCGCTTGCGGCCAGTATGTTATACGCTTCATCAACGGATATGTTATCACTGGGATCAAGGATGCAGTTCCTAGTAGAATACTGGAGGACGGGAGACAATGTCAGTGCTTTGCTCTAGGTACCGGAAAGCCATGCATGCACATACCTATACCAATTGAGCTGCGTCAATACTGCAAGCCCAACACTCAGTTGACCTCCTAGAAACACGAGTGCATTGACAGGTGTGATTGTCCCCGCTGCTAATGGCCGCGCTCTTGTCCGCCAAACCTATCAGAGGCGCGTCAGTAAGAAGAAACCACTGGTGCATATCTGATGCTGCCGATTTACACAGCAACTTGCAAATGTCTCACCTTCTTGTCGAGGTCCCTATCCCACATGTCGTTGATTGTGCACCCAGCCCCTCGCATGACTAGCGCACCAGCCCCAAACAACGCCAGATATCCCGCCACAGTTGAGGCCGGAATAGCCCCGTGAGCAGCATAAGCCGCCATCCCTATTGACCAACTACATGGCAGGTAGAGTAGGTACGTTCCTGCGGGCTTGTCTAAACGGACAAGATGGAAGTACGGCTGAAGACGCGGTGGAAGATTGTCAATCCAGGAAGGGGGCAGGGTTGGAATGCCTTGTTCGGACTCTAAGCTCGGGGTAGGAACTGCCGGTGATACGAAGCCAGGAGCCGTCTGCAGCGTCCTTTTCCTCGGTAGCTGCACATGCGGTCTTTGTTGGGGTATCCGTGGTCGAGCAAAGGCATGTGTTCCCGCACGGTATAGTCGGCTCCGCAAAGTGGCCGGTGGCGTGGGCCCACGTTGCCGCAGGCACAAGTTGACGTTGAGGTTGCTAATCGCTGATAGTGACCGCATGCTGCCGTCGTTCGTCTGCTCGTTTGGACGGAACGTTTGACTTTTGACCTCGACGCCGGCTCGTTGCAGTTGTCGTTCCCCGTGGCGAAAAGCTGGCGAAACGCTGGGCGGCTCGGAACGTGGCAGGAACACGATCCGCTGTCACGAACGGCACGCATAATATTGTCTCGAGAGTGACCGTTCTCGGCTGTTCGCAGACTTTTGCAACGCAAACGCTACGTATCTTCTGCAGGACGGTCACTCCCTCTTTCAACCTCGGTTGCACTAGCACGCTGTCGCTCGCTCAATTGCCTACTGCGAACAGCGCCGAACACGCTCTATACCGCACTCACTCCTGGTAAACGTCGAACCCGGATGTTTGTTCGCTTGCAGGACTTCTTACCCTAGCTGACTTCTATTCACAGAAACCTTTCGCTGGCCAGGTGTGCGCAACTTGCTTCCCCTCCTCAACTAGTAGTTATCCTCACGCGATGGGGTCCGTGAAGTCGTTAAGGGATCTCCAAAAAGGTGCGTCACAGGAGCTGACAGCGCGGACAGATCACACCATCTTGGGAATTTCGGGATGCGCACGAGGCTATCGAATACTCATATGCGATGTCGCAAACGTATAGAGGCGTTACTGGTGCTTCTAAACCTCAACAACCGGGATGTCTTGGAGGACGAGTCCTTGACTGACGGCGTTTCGGGTCCGGCCGCGAATACGGTTCCTGTACCGCCTCTCGCGATTACAGATCCAGTGTGGAAGGTGCTGATATACGACAAATTCGGCCAAGACTTGATTTCACCGCTGCTGAAGGTCAATGATCTGAGAGAGCAGGGGATCACGGTCCATATGTGAGTTTGGGTGCATGAAAGGTAGCCCTTCCGGCCCGTCTCAAGTCTCACAAAAGTGTGCACGAACGCAGGCCGTTGTACTCCGAGCGCCTCCCGATTTCCGATGTCCCTGCAATCTACTTTGTCCAGCCGACACCTGAGAACTTGAAGAGGATGGGAGAGGTATGGATCCGCTTGCGCTATGAGCAAATGACACGCGCCTCGTGGCTGACCTTCGCACGACAGGACTTTGCAAAGCGCTTGTACGAGTCATACTATATCAACTTCTCTTCAGCGGTGCCACGGCCACTTTTGGAAGACCTAGCAGCTACTAGTATTGCGACGGGCAGCAGTGCGGACATAGCACAGGTCAGACCGCAGTCACAGCTCTGGACTCTTTGAAGTTTTCGACCTAACGGCGGCTTTCATGGACCCAGGTGTTCGATCAATACCTAGACTACGTGTGTCCGGACCACAACCTCTTCTCGTTGAATATGGAGGATTCATATCGGGTCCTAAACGACCCGACAACGGCCGAATCTACGATTGAGAAGATGGTGGATAAGATTGTTGGGTCTCTCTTCTCTGTTCTGGTGACACTTGGTACGACGGGGTCTTGCCGGACTGACGAATGTTACAAATGCATGGAATAACACTATTGTTCCTCGTGCACGCAGGCGTTGTGCCAATCATTCGAAGTCAGCGCGGAGCCGCGGAGGTGATCGCGACGAAGTTGGAAACCAAGTTGCGCGACCATCTGTTGAACAGCAGGGCGAACTTGTTCATGGATAGTGCGGTGTCAAATCGAAGTCTTACGCGACCGGGTGGGTGGCTCCTTGGCACCTGAAATGTCATCAGACGGTCATCATACGGCGGACTGACGGTTATCTTTTCCCTAGTCTTGATCATCCTCGATCGGAACTTGGATCTGACAACGATGCTGAATCACACCTGGACATATCAGACGCTAGTCCATGACATATTCGACATGAAGCTTAACCGCGTGGCAATTCTGGTATGGCTGCACCCACTGGTGCGGAGGTTTTCCAAAGATTTGCTCACGATCATTTGAACCAGGACGAGGAGAAGAAGCGAAAGGTGTACGACATCGATGTGAATGATTTCTTCTGGAAGAAGAACGCGCCAAACCCATTTCCACAAGTGGCTGGTACGTCGTTCACACAACGAGTGTCGCTCTTGGAGGGCATTATCTGATTCCGGCTTGTAGAGGATGTCGACGTGGAAATAAATCGGTACAAGTCCGACGTGGACGCGGTCACCCGGTCTTGTGGTGTGAGCTCGTTAGAGGAAGTGGATCCAAAGTAAGTCAGCGTCCCCAGAATGATCGCCTTTAAGTGATGCACATAGCTCACCTTGTGGGCCGTCCATCTCAGTGACTTCAACGCCGGAGCGAAAGGCCTGACCTCAGCAGTGAAGCAACTGCCGGAACTGACCGAGAGGAAAAGATTGCTCGATATGCACATGAACATCGCAACAAGTCTGCTGAGAACGATACAAGAACGGCATTTAGATCAGTTCTTCGCCATGGAAGAGAATATAATGAAACAGGTTAGTAGCATCACAATATGTACAGCTGCACGCCCGCGCTCGATGTATTCATGACTTGCGTTCCAGACGAAAGCCCAGGTTCTGGAAGTCCTGAGGAATCCAAAGATGGATCCAACAGACAAATTACGGTTATTCAGTATCTACTATCTGATGGTGGAGAACATTTCGAAGGACGATCTTGCGGAATACGAGAAGGCATTGGTAGAGGCGGGCGCAAACGTGAGCTCACTGGGCTACCTCAAACAGTACGTTACGAGTGATCGACCGCTGCGTTGCCGAGCTCAGACTTACTGGAGACTATCTAAGGTTCCGAGCCTTCACCCGGATGACAGCGGTGGCCAATGTCCAAGCTGTTCCACAAACTGCCGCGAATGACCTTCTGGGGAGGTTCTCTTCAATCAGTTCCAAGGTACGGGTTCTCATACGGGTTCTCATACACTCCATGTACCCGCTCTTCAAATTGCTTACCCCTCCCTCGCCAAATAGTTCACAGACCATTTAAAAGACGCCGGCGTCTCCGGCCATTTTGAGAACCTCGTATCCGGGGTGAAGAATCTGCTCCCCGTGCGGAAAGACTGCCCCGCAACGCGCATGGTCGACCTGCTGATGGAGAACAGAGACGCGCAAGAAATCGATGACTATCTTTATCTGGACCCGAAATTACCACGTGGTTCTGCAACGATTGGAAAAGCACAGAGGGGCCGCACGCCATTCACTGAGGCGATCGTGTTTGTGGTGGGAGGCGGGAACTATCTGGAGGCGCAGAACTTGGCCGAGTATACTCAGGTATGGGAGGAGGTGATTCGCGCCGTCGGCGCGGGAATCTGTGTTCCCTGCTAAGCACACGCTTATACGATGATTGTTACATTCTTCTCCTAATCACAGCGTACGCAGATCCCTCGCAAACGCATAACCTACGGCACAACAGAATTCATCACACCCAATGCCTTCATGACGCAACTGGAAGCGCTCGGAGCCGGAAGTCGGCCCACTGCAACGGCGTGATAGTGCGAAATGACAATCATTATCTATTCTCCATCTTGTATATATACTACCTCATCTTGGTACACTGCTATCCTGAATGCGATAATTGCCCACACAGGACTATACTGAAGAAGGCTACTAGTATCGCATGTCTATGTGCTCTGCGCATCTTTGCCGAGTCTGGATTTGGCAAGCTCGCGAGGAGCGGAAACGGTCCGTTACGTCTCGGATATTACGTCTCGGATATTTGAACGCTCCATTGGCCACCCTCCTCCAGTCTCAGGTTCCGGACCCGGCTCAATCCTTGCACCATCCGGTGACACGTAGCGACGATCGTCACCCCATTCTCTCTCAGTGCTCTATACAAGGCCGTCTCAACGTCCGGGGGCACGTTACTTGTGCCTTCGTCCACGAAAGCAAATGTCGGGCGATGGAACAACAGGCGGGCAAAGGTAAGACGTTGTCGCTCTCCTGGCGAGAGGAACGTAGACCAGTCGCGACGGGTCAGGTGATCCGGGTAAAGGTCGAGCAGGTGGGACAGACCAACGGTGTCTAGTAAGCCAGCGATTCCGGCATCGAGACTGCTCTGGCCATGGCTGTCCGGGTCATTGAACGAGGAAGGGTCGGGGTAGGCGATTTGTTCAGCGAGCGTCCCAGACGCCAGCAGATAAGGGCTCTGGGGCAGAAACATGATATCGCGATCGGCAACCATATGGTGGTAGGTGACCAAACCCGTCTCGACAGGCCAGAGGCCTGCCAATGCCCTTAGAAGCGAGGATTTTCCCACGCCTGTAGGACCGGTAATAAGGGTAGGGTCCTCCCCTACAGTGATGGTGATAGATAAGTCGGCGATAAGATGGCGATCAATTTCTTTTTCTTCACCATTTCCGCTGTCCGACGGTGCGAAGACAGACACGTCGTGTATGCTGATGGTTCGTTTCGCCGGCTCATCGTGCACGCCATAAGGTGCCGCGGGCACAGGCGAGGGCTTTGGGACGCACGACATATCGTCGGAATATGTCTCGTTCAGCTTTCTCATCAACTGTCCAATACGTGCCGCGTAACTCGCGATATCAGCGTATTTCTCCGAGAGTCGAAGCACCCCATTGAAACGATAGCTGAGGTACAGAGAAAAGAACAAATTCAACGAAATGAGGGCGCTCAGCTCCGCGGCTGGTAGGTCATCATAGTAGCCTTCGAAAATCCGCACGGCGAGAACGCTGTAGCAAATGATGCTGCCTCCATAGTCAGAAAAGGATGTCCCCATTTTGAGAATCGCCTCCTTGGTCACGATCAACGATTGAATCTCCAGAAGCCGATTCAATGCCCGCTGCAGAAATCCCTCTTCTAGTGCTTCGCCACGCAGGAACGCAACGGCTTCCGCGTTTTGCCGTAATCGAACATGCAGGAATCGGAAGTCACCTTCTGCACGTTCCTTCTGGAACACCAGGCCCACGATTGGCTTGAGCAAGTGACCACATATACCAAATGTTATAGCGTAGTATATGTAGATGAAGGCGGGTCCGTGCCAACCAGAAATGCGGGCTGTGTGATAGGTATAGTAAACCAAGAGTAGCGGCTCAATCACGAGTTCTTCCAGTAGCTCCCGTATCTATAGGGGAGATGCCTTCAGCAAATGAAGTTTGCAAACTTCTTAATGACCATCATCCTACCGTTTCAGAGAACTTATCAATATCCTGAGAAATACGCTGATCTGGATTATCGAGAATCCGTCCCTGAGAAACGCCAAAGAAAGCTTCCCGGGTGACATATTGCTTCTGAAGCTTTTCTGTCAACTTTTTCCTCGTTCTCACACAAAATGTCCCGCTCACGAAGTGGAGAGCAGCCTTGGTCACCGATATAGAGATGAAGAGACCAAGCAGAATTGCTACTAGCAGCCAAAAGCCCGAGACATCTCTATGGTTGAGGACGATGTAGAACTGTGGTAAACGGATTCCGATTTGGTATGCAATGGCCTGATTCGCAAAGCTAATCCCGATCAAGGCCACGTACAACCAGCGAATATTCTCTGGGGATCGTGAGAACACCGTCCTTAACACAAGTAGGACGGACGATAGGGTGCCTGCCGGCGACGTCTTGGTGATAAATTCATCTGGCCGACCTGGGGTATCTTCTTCGTTCGAAAGGGGGCTGTATGGAAGAGGGTTGCTGGTGCGTCGGGCGGGCATACTGATGCTTCCGGGCCCTACTTCAGCTTCAGCGTACGTAGTAGCAATCCAGGTAGCAATCCGGACGTGGGATGAATTGATCAGAGGCTTCCAATTTCAAACTCTCGCGCTCTTGCCAGCGCCACGGAGAAGACCGAGAGAACGCAGGATAGAACGCCAGCGTGTCCCCACAACTTCCACTTCACACCCTGCTTCTCATTGGGCATCTTGCACGTCCCCAAAGTCAAGGCTCAAGCCCCGCTTCTCCCATCTGGCCTCGGAGACGGTGCTTTCAATAGAACCAGTCAACCCACCACTCCAAAGTAGGAAGAATAAAAGCCGCCCCACCCTCATTCAAAGCCACCCCTGCAACCGGTAGCCTCTTTCAGCCGTCTCCGTCAATTAACTCTGCGCTCCAAAAAGCCACACAATGTCGGCCCCATGAGCGACTTCTTCAACCACCGAGCAACAGGACCGTCCCAGGACTACGTGTGAGTGTTGTCCATCCACTTCTCACATCCACTCTCCCCACTGCAGAAGTACTAACCCAGGTTGTGAGGCCTGTTGGATAGCGCACCAAAATGGCCCAGTCTGAGCGGCTTCGTCATTGGCGGCAACTCCGATACGTCGACTGATAATGTGCTTTGGTATAAGGATGGTGAGTTGTGTGCTGCATCGCACAACATTCATCCTCCCCTCTGCCCGTACTTCCCACGTCATCACCGCAAGATGGACTTCCATACCCCATTCCGCCCTATATATCTCCTCTAACCCCGCACCACCATCCAGAAATTATAATCTACACAATCCTCTGGACAGTGATCCTCTTCTCCTTCATGTATGGCCTTGCGGGCCTCTGGGCCTACATCGTCTTCCTGCGAAGCAAGTTCGGGATGGTATTACTCTTGGGCTTTGCAGGCATCGGGTTGTTTGCAGGGGCGAGCAGTGGGGCTGTTGTTGGTGAGTCTACAGTGAAGTGAGATATTGGGAATGTGGGATTTGTGGGGCTTATACAAACTCTCTTAGGGGTGTTGTTGGCGAGCGTTTATAACGCGGGCCTGTTTGCAATGGCAACATGGATTCCGTTGGCGTGGGCTTTGGTGCAGATTATTGTGGTGCTGATTTCGTCGGATGCGGATATTACGTTGAATAATCTGTAGAGATGCATGGGTTCGCTTGAGAGGAGGGAGGAAGAGGGGAGACAGAAGAGGGCAGACAGAGGAGGGCTACTTCACACAACACATTTTTGGGGATTTTATCCATTATGTACATATTCTGCAACCAGCACAAACACTATGGCATCTGTCCTTACACATTGCCTTGCCTTCCTACTCCCGTTTCCTATGAGCAAAGCCCACAAATTGCCGCCATCTCCAACACAATATCCCCAATATCTCCCATCCCATACCCGCCAAACCAAACCCCCTTCCCCATGCCCACTGTCTTCCTCCACCACTCCCTGTACACGATAATAATCGTGTCCGCCGGCGCCGCAACGCGCTTATCCACCGCAGGTAACAGAGTCGGGCGAAACGATGATCTGACGGAGGTTGGTGGGGACTTCGCAGATGGGACCTCTCGGCTGTAAGTATCCGCAGCGAAACGCGTTCGTTCGAGATCACATAAGAGGCAAAGGCGTGTAATGCATGGTTTTCTGTCAGCATTAAAACGCGAGAACATGATGATGATCTGCGGTAATAATATCCGTGGGCGTCGCTCGCTTACGCTTCGACACGCGCTGTCAAAACTGGTCAACTTCCTTGGCGCGTAGACTCAAAGCTCGAGGAATATAGGGGTGCGCGAAAACTACCAGCTGCGATGATCCCTGGATTCTGGCACCAAGAAAACAGGGGTATCGGCGAAAACTATCAAGTGCCGCGTGTACCCTTGATTCTCAAGGTCACCAGGCTTGCGAGAATAAAGGGTAACCGTCGAGAGATGTCAGCTGGGTTGTTCCCCTGGACTTCTACGTTCACATGGCATCGGGAAAAGGAGCATCGGTGAAAACCATCAGCTGGGCAAAATTCCCCTGGATTTTGATATCACCGGGCCTCAAAACTCCGTCAGCTGTTGTTTCCCCTTCTTTCTTCACGGGGAGCCCGCTTCTATATATCAAAGCTCCATCCCGGCGCTCGTCCACAACGTTGGGCTTCCCAACGCGTGGCAAGTCGCCGTGGGTTGCTGGGAGGGTGGGTCAGACTTGTGAAAGAAACACGTTTAACTCGACGATGACCACGTTCTTGTGACTCCAGTTCACGCAGGTGGTCTCAAGATGCAAGGTGTAAGTGCGCACTGATACTCCCCTGCATGTGTCGAAAGTGGAAGTGCGCTTAACCCCATTTCAGTGGACTGCGCATGCATATCGCGGTCCCGAGAGATACGTGCAAACAACCACTGGCGACGGTTTGACAGGAAAGCCGCTTGGCCTGCCTGTTAGGAGCGCATGGGCAATCGTATGGAAGGTAAGTGCGCTCTTCGTCGCGTCACATCTTTCTCCACTTGTATATGTAGGGAAGAGCAACCGCCAAGCACGACCTCAAACACCTCATCCATAGCATAAACGAATGTCCCTATTTGTCTCTTCTGATTCTCACGGACAACTTGCCTAACGAAATCTGTTTCCAAGTTTTCGGCCCAGTCAAGGGTTGTCCCGTCGTTCGCATCGTTTGGCCTGTAGATCAGGCATCCATTTGGATGATGCAGTGGAAAGGTGTCAGGTTGAGGTCGCTGAATATCCGAAGTGGCAGCAAAGGGCTTGCCGGTGTCTATTATGAATGGCAGATCTGGGTGAGATTTGCGAGATGGCCAGGATTGCATTGCGCTGGAAGAATGGAACTCAGTAGTCATTTTGGCGAGGTGATCGGGTCGGCCTCAACGTTTGCCTACCATTTTTCCAGGAACCTCATGGGCGGAATCCAGCAGAGGTCCGTCCAAGTCACTGACTATGAGCTTGACGTTCTCCTTGTTGATAGTTGCGAGGTCCATGTTAGTCGTTTGGTGTGTGGTTCCCAGTAACTTTCCAGACCTCAAATGCAAACTCCACAAGTCGGGGATCGACGCGGTGTCACCGAGCCCAGCCAAACGTCACGGCTTCCCGCCAGCGTGTGGTCTTTTGCCTCGCAGAGAGCGAATGTATTGTCAAGACAAGATACAAAATGCCCACTTTCGCGCATAAGGGGATCGACGAATAGGCCAGGAACGATGTTATATTCTGCCTAGATGCGGGTATATGTCTACCAGTGGAAGGTGCAACTGGACTAAAACGACGCCAATACACTCATAGATGCGGAGCAGTGTCATAACCATCTAGCTGATGTAAGGCATCATTCCGACACCTATCCTGTCGGTGTTCTCCATTGAGTGCGTCCCTGATTGGTGGTCGTGCGCGTGGGCAAGCGGAAACTGGGGTATCGAGGGTTGTTGCGGATCCAAAATTGCTGAATGATTATGATAGGGAGACGACAATTGCAAGGAATGCTGGTGTCCCTGCGTCGAGACAGCAAAGCCATCTACAGCAGGTGCTGCGACTGACATACGCCGATCATCTAATGACAAGGCACGAGAAAGCACCGAAGCGAGGTAGCAGTCTGAGCCCATGCGCATCCCGCTTTTGCTTCCTCCGTTGTTCTCTTCGGTGCTCAGATCTGGACTGTTGGAGAAGGAAGCTAAGAAAACGACATGATAACGGTAGGCTGAAGCAGTCTAGCACCGTACCTATTCCCAAGTTCCATCGAAGCGATATATTCATTATCCACTTCCGTCAGCCTACTAGTTTGAGATGTGGTTGTCCCGCAGCTGCTAGGATCAGCTTCATCGTCTGCGTGGTGCCCTTGATCCGTGCTGTCGCACTGCCGCGTATGCATACCAACTCCCAGTTGCCGTAGGTACAATCGTTCCGGAAGTGTGAGCTTTTCTGAATCAATGGAGAAGAAGGGGGCTTCGGGGGATGTCGAATGCGAAATAGCAGTTGGTGGGAATTTGATAAGAGCCAAGTGGGATGGATCCATCGGATTGGGCAGCGATGGCATCCTGACGTGTCTTGACGATGGCCGGGTATGAATATTGACGCCATAAGGGTTATGCCTTTGCTTGCTGCGACGCACTTGGAAGATGGGAACCGACGTATGACGACTCATGCTGCGACGGTCGACAACAGTAGTGGCCAAGAAAGGAGAGTAGGCGTTGTAGGATGTCCAAGAAGGATGTTGTTGGTAAGGGCTTGGTGAATACGGTCGTATCAGAGCCCTCTCCGAGTCAACGCTCCGCGACCTAGCCCTGAGAGGTTTTTTCGTTCCGGCGCTACTGCTCCCGGCCTCACTTGACCTGCCCGGCGTATCTTTCAGGAACACCAGCTCGTAAGCAGTGTTCCGCCGTATCCCTGGCTTCCTCATATTCGGGATTGTTCGTGGGGAGAAAGGAATCGTCACCAATCGCGGAAGGTCATTCACCAGAGGTTGGGTTGCGGGAAGTTGCTGTGCGGTGGTGTTATGCACCTCGAGTGGCGGCGAGTGTTGGCCGAACGAGGAGTATTCTATAGGAGCGCTCGGTCCGGCGATGCTCAGCGAAGGAGTTTCCTTGCCGTGGCCAATGTTCATGTTCAGTTCCAACCGTTTGCACAGGAAGGGAATTTCAGCGTCCACCTCCGACGTCGACATATGAAAGGACGAGGATGGCGCTTCTCTGGAGGCTACCGTGAGGCGTTTGCACTGCTCAACGAGGAGTGGCATTTGAGCGTCCACCTCCGACATCGACATTTGAGTGGACGAGGATGGCGCTTCTCTGGAGGCTAACCTCCGGATGCCCGAGTCGGACGTCAGTGCATCGTCGTGCTCGTCTGACATCTTGCACAAACGAAGGGAAGAAATTGACGCAAGTCAACAAAACTCGGTGCGGGCTTGACTTGGCCGTAAGCCCAAAGTGCCGTCCGTCACTAGAAGGAAGAAACGAAGCACGGCAGTATATATATATGAGGTGCGACGCACGGGAGAGTGAGTATAAGGTGTGGATGTGAGCGTGGGAAAAAGTAAGAAATGTTTGGAAAAGGGTGCGGTCCCAATACTGTAATGTAGGCCAGAATGTAGGCCCCGCTCGCAAACTTGACGTAAAACCCAGCGTAAAACCTTGCATAAAAACGGAGCGCGTTGACTTGGACGTGGCAAGGGCTTATTACTCCGGACAACCAACCACAGCGTATATACCACACTCTTCAGTCTTTCGGAAGGTCATATAATATTCAAAAAGGCAAGGACATGGCTGCAACGTCAAGCGACACAGGTCTCGTAGAGTCCATAGGCGCTCTTTCTCTAGGACAGGAACCGCGCTCTCTGCGTCAAGAATTCAGGCGGGGAACAAAGCTATATCGCATGCTCGAGGACTCTCCCCTCTCGGCCTCGGACGAGGCTTTCCAGGTGCGCTCATAGGTTCATGACTTTTCAAACCGATCCAAGTGTTGAAGAGAAGGCATTTGATGGTTTTTAGGCGTCTCTCAAAGAAACCCAGGCATCTTTGACGCGGTGTGCAGCACTAGTCCAAAGACTGGGTGTGTTCAGCAACAACGAGATTTTAGAGGATGTCAACACGAAAGACTTAAGGTGTGTACTCGGTTAGTTCGACTTGTATCGGCCCTCGAACGCCACGCTTGACCTCATATCAAATCTAATCTAGATACGTACTTGTGGACGCATACCTCGCGGATGTCATCGTCAAGAACGTTGGAGGGGATCGGGAAAACACGCTCAAAGCCGCGAGTCAGCGATTGGAGCTCTTTTTGGGGCAATGCGAGCAATTGGAAATCCTCTCCAAAGAGGATAAGGACTATCTCGAAAACGACATTCAACTAGATAAGGCAAAAAAGGCGTTCAACCCCGCCAAGCAACGTGAACAAAAGATTTTAAGATATAAGCGAGAGAAAAAAGCTAAGGCAACTTTGGAGGTGAGACATTGCGCATTCCACATCCCCATTTTTATCCTTCATCCATGACTGATGTCTTCATATTAAGGAGTTGGAGTCTCAACTGGCATTACAATCAAAATCAGCCGGGAAAAGAGGAAACGAAATAGACGACGAAGACGCGGATGACGACTCGTATGATGATGATCTAATGAGGGCCATCATACTAGCAACCATCGACATCTACATACAGAAGTCCTTGGAAGCATTGCGAATGATCGGAGAGGAACTCGAGCTTCTTCGCAATAAGGCCCCATCGACACGGTCATTGTCCATGATGGATAACTCTAACAGGGTAGAGGCAAAAGGTCAAGGACAAAGTCTGCGCTATGCTGGCGGGGCGGGCCCGCTGTTGGGAGGAAAGGGTGAAGTTCTCCGACCCTTTGTGATTACCTCACAACGTGAGGCCGTGCGGAGTAAAGTGTTTGGATACGGACATAACCTGCCAACCATGTCGGTGGAAGAGTACCTGGACAAGGAGATGGAGCGTGGCAACATCATAAGCGGTGGAGGGTGAGTGCCAAACAATTGGCCGACGCATCTGATTCAGAAAGTTGACCCTCTGGTGTCCCGTCAGGAAAATGCCCGAAGCCAAAATCACTGATGACAATGATGAAGCGGCCGTCGATGCCGAGACTTACAAAGCCCGTGAGTGGGACGAGTTCAAAGATGTAAACCCGACGGGATGGGGCAATCGCCACAACAAGGGATAGACCACGCTTATGGAGGGGGCTCGTCGGACGTCTCGTTCGACGCACTCCGACGATTGATTAGAAGCGGCGTAGTTGCATGCCCGACTTCGAATTAGGTTTCTTAGATAGCCTAAGGCAGACCTATGCGCGTTCTCCAAGTCATTCCACTCGGCTTTCCTCTGCGCCGCATACATCGAATGAAGCCATCGCCTACATCGATGGAGTCAAGGTCGTCTAAATTCAGTGTTTAGATAAAGCGAAAGGATACAAAATGTAGAATGATTTGTCTAGAATCTGGATAGCCAAGCTCGGCAACAGAGCCGAAGTGATCTGGGGGAAAAGGGACAGAACTCCTCATCGCCACAAGGCTGTGATCTTCTTCCCCTGTGCCTTGAAACCCCGACCAGAAACGTTAGATTGAGACGTCGGAAACCCAAACATCGCATTGTCAGGGTCGAATAACTCACCATCCTCTTGACAACGCTAATCCCCGCCAAACACGCCGTAATGGTCATTAACAAGGCCGAGTAGTTGAAATCCTCACTAATGACGTCGAATGTTTTGCTCGGATTCCTCCGCACACAGAAAATATCCAGTCCCCATGCGATCGCCAGTGACGTGGATTCCATCTTTGTTGCTGCCGCCAGCACGTTGCTGATTCCAGGGACATGGAGATCGTAGTTGGCAACGTCGCGGGAGAAGAAGTCGAGGACGGGGCGGTAGGGGTATAGCATCTCTTCCTTTTCGTCGGCGGTGGGCGCACCCACGGGCCGGCGAGGATCCAACCATCGTTTATTGACGCCGTAGAGATGACCTTCATCTAGTCCAACTAGATACAGCAAAGGAGCAGGATCTGTCAATGGTGACCCTACATGCTTGCGTCGGGGATGCCGTGGACTTACAGAGTAGTTCCTTCGTGGTAATCCCGGCTTTGGTGATCGTCGATCCAATGGCGTTGATCCTCCTCGCGAAGGCATAGGATTGAGAGATGACATGCGGCCGCTTTGCCTGGAATGACGAGAAGACATCGCTATATGCCAAACAGAGGTTGTAAGCAGCTGATCTGTCCCTCGTGTCAATACTTCTTCACTCAGATCAACTCACCTCTCGATCCTCTGATCCGGTTTAGCGCTTTCAAAGAGTTCGAATACGACAATCTCGTACGTCTTGACATTCGGTACCCCAATGTCCTCCTGCTTCTGCTGCGTTCCGGCCTTCTTCTTTCGTCTGCGAATCTTAGGCTTGGTCTCCTGCGCTTGCTCATCCATAGCCTCCGCCTCGGAAGGAGCTTCCCTTGTAGCAGCCTCCGGCCCGTGATTCCAGTATGTAAGAACCGCCCAGTTGTCAACCTGCGCAACGTGAATCGAAGGCACATCGGTTGAGACATGACCCGCGCCATCGTGTTCCGACCGATAGTGCGTGGTGCCAGTTACAACGTCCAAAAGGTAGAAATACGTGGCGGACGAGAATGATGGGTCTGAAGCATTCGTTCCTGTTTGCTTGAGAGTGGCCAGAGCGAGCAAGTTCGGGTTGAGGTACTTGTACAGCACGGATCGGTCGCCCAGAACTCGTCCAACCGAGGCAATGTTTTCCACTTTTGGCGGATTGCCGATTGCCGCAATCTTCTCGCCGGGGGGAAACTGAATCTTCCACGCTGGGGCCAGGGAGTATTCCCCAGATTTGGAGATTTCTGCAACATAGCCGTCAATGGTTGCCGCACCAACACCGTCAGTGAGGTATACACGGAACTCAGGCAAGAAACGCTCAAAAGCCTCTTGTGCAGGCTTTGTTGAAGGTGAGACGCGGATCTTCTTGTCCGCTCCGATGAGAGCAATGATGTGCGTTCGCTCCTCAGCTTCTTCCGCGGGGAGTTTGATGACTTTTTGCGAGACCGGGAAGCGTTCCAATGCGGATGCCGGATCTACCGCTTCGCCAGTCAACGCGTTGAAACGGTAGATGACGGTGTCACCCTGCAATTTTGAGAAGTAAGGTCAGGTCCCACTCCGTTATGGTCCTGATTAGCGCCACCAATCTGCACCTTTCCAGACTCGGCGATGGCCGCCAAAACCGGCGGGTACTTCACAACAGCACCCCGTACTGTCTCCAGTTGGCGGAACTTCAACTCAGGCAAAAACTTCTGCCACACAGTATTTCCGCTCTCAGTGTTCACTGCGAGAAGCTTGCCCTTCTCCGTGGCAAAGATGACCAGTTTGCGAACTCCCAACATGTCCGCAAACAGCTCGTCCGATTTGCCCGCTGTACGATTTGTCAGATTCCAGATTTTCTCATCGAGACCCTTGAGGCCCTCAGCCAGCTGCGCGGGATAGTCCTGAAAAAGCACTCCTTTGAGATCGACACGTGATGGGGCGGAATGCCTGCATATAGCTCCTACCTGCAGTTTGACGAGATGGGTGCGTAAACGACGGAAGTACCGCTGTACTGGCGATATGCTCGCTGTCTCTTCCGGCTGTTCATCTAATATGGCCAGTCTCGTCAAAATACTGCCTCAACAAGTCCTTGATCATTCTGATCCCTACCAAGCTCATCATGTTCTTGCGAAAGCAGGCTCTTCTCGGGCAAATCGACATATTCAGCCACGGCGCTGGCGGTCAACGATTCATCTTTGGACCATACTACTCGTCCATCCTTCAGAACATGAGTGGACCCATCTTCGGAAACGGCAAAGATGGAAAAGGCAGGCGTTCCATCCTTCTTCACGAATACATCCAGGAAAGCCTAGCGAACGAGCGGCGTTAGTAGCCAGCTACGAGAATGATGCGCCTCATCGAGCATTCACTAGTGCTCAGATATCTGTAGTAAGCCCAACATTCCACCGAGGGACGTCAAAGAGTCCCTTCAAGGTTGTAGGAATCCAATCGTCGTCATCTCTGCACCACTGGCCTTAGATGGACCTGTATGTGCTCACCTTCTTGATGTGTCCATGAGCCTTGGCGTCGAATGGAATCTGGAATGTGCCGATGGGCTTGAGGGCCGAAACATCCACGAGATCGACGTTGACCTACAACAATCCATGTCAATTTACCGCTCGCACGTGGATCTCGTTTTGTTCCGAAGCGCACCTGTTGACCCGTCTCCGCTACAGAAGCGATGTAGCTTACGCCAACCGCTTGGGAACTCGCGACGAGAGTCTTTTGCCCCTTCTACATTTGGCTATAAGTAAAGTGTTGAACGTGAAGGAATGGTTATTCAGAACGAACCTGAGTCTGGAAGCTGTGAAGGCGTGTTTTCGGATTGCGAACGATGTGCAATCCCTCATCATTCGTAAGTGCAATCTCTGGGTGAGTGATATCAGAGTGCAGGACGGCTGTGACTTTCGAAGTTGGCAGCTGGAAGACCTATAATCGATTGTGTTACGCCTGACGTCCGAGGATCCTCCGTGATCTCTCTCTGAATTGACGCATTACCTTTCCGAGATCCTCAACCTCAGCAGGCTGGCCCAGTAGGTGTCTGTAAGCCGTCTCCGCGCTATTCCAAAGCAAGTAGGCCAGCTCCCCATCGCCAACAAGGTGGATGTCCTCAAGGCGGCTAATGAGCCCGTGGGGTGGCTGGTATTCATCCTCAATCTGACCGCTGTTCTTATCCACCTTCAGGACGGAAACTACGAACCCTCCTGCATTTGCCTTTCCACCGACAATGTACAAGGCGTTTTTTTGATCGAGTGCCTTCGTATATGTTGCTCCACTTTTCGAAATAGCTCGCCACACCACTTCGCCATCTTGACTAATTCGCGACGCGGTGTTGCCTCCGGTCACGGTGACAATGTCGTCTCCCTGGAAGATCGCGTCTGCCGGTGCAGCGAGGTCCTTCACCTCCGACACGAGCTCCCACTCCATGCTTCCTGTCTCGGAATCCCATAATCTCGTGTTCAGAGTCCCTCTCCCCGAAATGGATATAAGTCCTATAGATCGAACCATGTTAGACCTTGAGTGACCAGTCCCATCCGCCCACAACGTCCCTCCCTACCTTGCGTTCCGGAGCGCAGCGCTTTGAGCTCGTCAGAAGGATCCAACACTTGTCTCCACACTATAACGTCAAACACCCCGGCCTTTAGTTCGCTGACCTTTGGTGATGGAAGTGACTGGGTGATCTACCATTTGACCCGTCCCGTGGGTTGACCGAGGCAATAACGTTCTTCTCAGTGCCTACAATTAGCTGCGGCTTCCCATGTGGGCGGTTATATGAAACGAATCGTGGTGTACCAACTAATGGTCTATGCCTTCAACGTGCGGAAAGCCAGTGAGAAAAAGCGATGCCGCGTACCAGCCTTGTTCAAAGATGCCTCACCAGTCTCCTTGGCCAACTTGGTCCGCATGAATTCCCGCGAAAGCGCCTGACAGACAGACGGACAGGAGAATTAGAAAAGCAAGCAGGGCGCGAGGCGCCCGCTGTGCCAGTGGCGACGTCAAGTTATGGCCCATCTTGCGCGGCCTGTCCCTCTGACGATGTTGAATGTGCTGAAAAGGGTCGGTGATCTGATGTCCCACGGCTAAGGCTTGCGGGGACAGCGGTCCGCAACTAGGCGCGTCTGCTTCAACGTGGCGCAGTCCATTTGACAAGTTCATGGAAGTTCATTCTTGTTCTCGATGGCTCATCCCCATCTTCGTCGCCATCCCCAGCAACTTGGCCGTCCATCCAGATTGCTGTGTACTAACGAGTGGAGTGCGCATGCAGACGTATATATATAGTACAACTTCATGATACAGGCGGTGAGCTCTAGTTTCCAGTCAAAACTAACCGTAACACGCAAGGCGTGCTACCGTCGGGAATTTAAGCTTGTGTTTGTTCGTGTTCCAATGGAAAGCGGCGCAAGATGGACCTATTTTGCGAACAGGAGCTGTGGCGCCGGGGCCCGGCGAAGCGTTCTGAAGGACAAATAGGAGGGCAGCATACTATCACTTTCGACCTCGCAAATCTCGCTTCCACGACAATAACATATCTCGCGTTCACGATACCGTCGACGTGCTTTACTCGTAGAATAATATCGGACTAGAGCTAAGAAAGGAAGCCATGCGTTTCCCTACAATAATCCTCACGGGCCTATTTCTCGCGACCGGGACCGGTTCTGTGCACGCCATTTCGATCGTGGACGCTTTGAAAGCGAGCTCGGGAACCAGCATCGCTCAGGCTGCCATCGCTGCCAACCCGCAGTGGGCCGCCGCCGGGCAAAAGACTCTGATTGTTCCTACGGATGCAGCAATCAATTCCGCTAGAACTGCTGGATACTTGACACAAAATGAAACGGGCATAGTGTTCCTAACTACCGCGACAAACCATAAAGATGTCGCCAACTATAAGATTTTGAAAGCCCCTCAGACAGCGTTGCTCTTCGGTATTTGGCTTCATTTCTAAGATTTGATAGTTGTCTCCATCTGCTGAAACATTCTTCGCATGATGCGCTATCTAGACAATTACGTGCCTCAGGGACCCCCCGAGGTTCATGTCCGGTCATCCACCCAACAGGGCTTGATCACCGCGAACGTCGATTGTGATGACGGTTTCTTCTACGTGTCCAACATCCCTTTTGAAACTGCGGTGGTCCCATCCCGCGCCATCGTCCTCAACCCAGGCGCTACTTCGTTTTTGGCTCTATTCACGAAATACAACCTTGTCCAGACCCTCGACTCCCTGACGGGCGTGACAATCTTTGTTCCCACGAACGCAGCCATCGCTGCCGCTCAGACTCGCTTGGCTGCATTGACCCCGAATCAGGTCGCATATGTGCTCGCTTCGCACATTGTCCGGCCTACAAAGTTCAGCACGGAGATGGAGACAGGGAGCCTTGCTGCGCTCAGCGGAGTGAGCTTGCCGTACGTCGTCTCTGGCGAGAGTGCCACCGTCGGCGGCGTTGCCATTGGCGCGCTGGTCGACGTCCCGACATCCGCGGGTTCAATCCTGACCGTGAATGCGGTCATCATTCCGGCAACCCTGCCTCCCGCTGACTCGAATGCGAATGCCGCAGTTACCACCTTCGGCACAGTCGCTGTTGTAGGAGCTACCTCGGCCACTACCGCCACGTCTACCAGTGCCAGTGCCAGTGCCAGTACTAGTTCCAGTACCAGTGCATCGACCACTGCGACCGCGGCTACCACCACTGCTACCGCCACAACCACGGCTACCACGTCAAGCTCGACCCCTGCTGTCTCGTCGACGTCGTCCACAGCTCGAACCACTGACGACGCGAAATCCGGTGCGGGCCAGATTGCCGGCTCGTTGGCTGGTCTGCTGGCCGCTGGTGCCGTTGGGTTGGCTGGGGTTTTGTGATGGTTTTCATAGCAGTTGATCGATTGATCCTTTGAGAGGGCGCTACGTAGCAGTTTAGTTAAATAAAATCACATCTTCAAACAGTTATACACGTACAGGTTCGGTTGTGAGAACTACCTCGGTCGGAGGAGACTGGACGCTGTGGCCGTTCGGAGAAGGGCGATACCACTGCATGCGCCCATTGTGCTCATTTGCAAGTCGGGTAAGGTTCATGGATACAAACTCAACGTAAGCTGCCCCCTCTCGGATAATGGAGCTCTCTTTATTGAACTATGTAACGGACTATACTACGGTCGCAATTACATCTCGTCATCCGAAGCGAACAGGTCCTCTTCTGGGAAGTCCCCAACTGTGACACGCTCAGGTCGGACCAACACGCCGTGTTTGTTGGGGCATGAAAAGTACTTTACACCTTGCACGCTGAAATTTATAGAGGCAACGTCAGCACACTGCCCCTGTCTTCGAATGAAGCAGCGGTGACAGCCTACCTTCCGTCGTGCTTCCCTAACGGCTCATCATACTCCACGCCAACCCAGAACCCTGGTTTGAACTCCACATTGCCCACAAATCTGACAGTGCCTCTTTTGCGCATCGACTGACCAACAACTTCAGTGTTGGCTTCCGGTGCAACCTCGCATCTGTCTCCAGGTTTCATTGCCGGTGGTGTTTCCGGGCGTTCAGGTTCCGTCGGAGAGTCGGGTTGTTCGGCGAACTTGCCGCGTTTGTTCCGTTTGAGGAATGCGCGCACTGAGTCTAATATTATGGTGGTGGGAAGTAGTCGTCAGAGAGCCTAATTTTGAAACTTCACAAGTGATCAATGAAGGACACATACCAGTTCGTTTGTCATACTCAGCATCCGTAATCTCGAATTTCTCCACCTGCGACACATCACTGAATTCATTCCGCCGGCGCCGTGGGTTCAGATCTGTCACCTACACCGCATCAGTGGATCAGCACCTCCAATCTCATCTGTGGAAACCTAACCAGAGATCGCATTTCCGACCTGCAGCCGCATGAAGTCCTCCACCGGGTAGTATCCCAGCATCTTTTCGTCATCATCCATAGATCCAACCAATTGATCTGTTGACGTATACAAGCTTATTTTCATGGTCGCTGCGGGCACACCCGTTATCGGTTCTAGTCTTTCCTGTGATGCTTCCAAGTCAGTTTTCCTCAGACTAGAAAATGAGCGGTGCATTCCCATCTTAACTTACCTTTAGGCGCTCAATGGTAATACTTTTATCAAATCGTCTCTCGGAGGCAGCGCCTTCACTCGCCACGAAGACCGTCACGATCGGATTTGAGGTTGGTTGGGATAGCATTTTCGGATAAGGAAAAGGTGGCGTAGGAGGAGGGTTACGAAGAAAGCTGCTTCCGTGGAGCCTGGTAGTTCCTATGCAGTGCGTGCTCTATAGACCGATATTCGGCTTTCCTGTAGGTTTCTGGAGGATATCGAGGCTCGAGATGGGGGACTTTTTGAATGCGAAGGGCAGGCGACTGGGCAGGCGAAGCGTCCATAATTCACGCGCGGCTTTGCGATTTTGCGAATATTAACTTCTCTGCACGGGCAACGCATGTCCGATGTTGGAATAAAGCCAGGACAGCCTGGATCTGGAAAGCACGACACCCCGTTTACTTCATCGCAAGTAGGAAGTAGCGGACATGGACTTCGCGGAGCAACTAGCGTTCGGTCGAGAGCAGGCAGCGAAGCGATTTAAAGCTAGTCAAGGCCAGGACGTAAGCGCCGCGGCCTGTCGCGACTACCCTCTGTCCACCGTCGCCCCGGCCAGCGCTCCCTGAACGCTCACCGTTCACACCTACAACACCTACACAACTAAAGAGAGAGCACTCTGGAGACGAGGTCACTGTTCGACACCAGACCCCTCCAATGCCTCCCACTCGCCAAGCCGCTTCTTCCGACGACGGAGTAGCTGTCCTGTATCACCACCTCCCGACACCTCCCGCTCGTCAAAAAGCGAAGGTAGATAAAGGGAAGCGAAATATTTGGGCAATTGATCAACAATGCGTGGATTTGACGAACGACGAAGATTGGTGTCCACAGTCAGAAGCACCGCCTCTCGGAATGAGCAGCGGCTTGAAGCGAGAAAGATGGGAGGTTGACATCGGGACGACACTGAAGCAGGAGAACCGTAACACTGAGCTGGGTGGCGGAGTCAAGCAGGATGCATGGGCGTCCGGGTCGCGGTATGGACTCAAGCAAGAAGGGTGGAAGGTTGAGGACGGTATCATTCCGAAAGGGGAGGATTGGTCCAGATTGCTGGACGCTGAGTTGAACCAGGAAGGATGGAAAATTGAGGAAGGCATTGCAGCCAACTCCAAGCAGGAGGGTGGACCAGCAAGCGAATCGAAGCTCGGGCAAATAACTCTGATCAACCACAGGCCTGAAGCTGTCATACCGAACCCGGCTCCGCAGCAAGTCCTCGCATCGGTGGATGTCGAAGGTTCACTGTACGCTGAACCGCCCTTACTTAACGAACAAAGGCTACTCGATTATCAGGAGCCGCATGTAGACCACATGCTTGGCGTCTTCGCTCGAGGCAATCGAGGTATAGACGCGTCGGAAACCGGAACGGGGAAGACATACTGCACGATTGAAATGGCACAGCGGCTCAAACTGAGGCCCTTCATTATATGCCCCAAGTCCGTCATTCTGAGCTGGATAGACGTCGCCAAAAAGTTCGAAGTTGAACTGCTTGGAATAGCCGGATACGAGCAATTGCGGGGTTGTCGATACTTCACAGGTGGCACATTGGACTCGGCGGATTCCCCTTACATCAGGAAACAGCACATTCAGCGGGAAGAGCCGGAAGCACCACAAGATTCAAACGAGCCATACAGAGCGCCGTACCACGTGTTCGAATTCGGCATGCCATCCGACGCAATGTTCGTATTTGACGAGGTGAAAATAGCACCCACCACTGGTTGGATTGACGTATGCCTCGCTATGCGACCATCCGCTAATGCATCCTCCCGGTCCAGGCGCATCGCTGTAAGAATCACGGAACCAGTACCTCGAGATTACTACAAGCAGCTATGCACCTCCCGAATAAAATTCTTCTATTGAGCGCCACGATATGCGACAAAGTCGATTGCTTCAAAGTGTTTGGGCTATTTTTCGGATTTTACGACAATTTACGTGGTAGATATTCTTGAGGAATACTCTCAATTATGGGGCGAAATTTTCACCCAACTCTCTTGCCGCGAAGGCTATACCCACTGGATGCGCCGACAACTCCGAATGCGCAATTCGGAGCACGATTTCAAGGGAAGAAGAGGAGCGCAAAGTGGACGTATTCCATCGCGCCCTCACGCCTCGGTTCGGCCATCGAATTCGTATCGCGGATCTCGGAGACCGTTTCGCCAAAAATGAGACCTCCTGCAAGTGTTACTGGTTGGAGCGGTCTTGAGAAGTGCAGCAACTGTATGAGGAAATCAAGGCCATATTCGAGGAGCTGAGAGACAAAGAGTTGCGAGCGTCCGCTTTGGCCAGACTGATCCGCGCACGACAAAAGATTGAAATTCTAAGAATCCCGATCTTTGTGGAGAGCGCCGAAATGTACAGTCAGGAGGGCTTCTCCGTTGTCATCTTCACCAATTACACGGAAACCCTCACGCAACTGCAGGGGAAACTGGAGTGCGAATACGTTGTTCACGGCCCGCAGACCATGGAGGAACGCGCAGCGGCCGTTGATGCATTTCAGCAGAACCGCACAAATCTTATCAGCTGCAACATCCAAGCTGGAGGCGTTGGCCTATCGTTACACGACGTGCATGGTGGTCACCCTCGAGTCGCCCTATTCAATCCCACCTGGAGTGGGCAGGATATGGTGCAGGGGCTTGGCAGGATTCGCCGAACAGGCGGCAAGTCTCCAACGCGCCAGTTCATTTTATTCGTGGGCGGGACGTATGAAGAGAGAATCAGCCAGCTTGTGCAACAAAAGATGGCCATCTTGAGGGGGTGAATGATGGAAATTACAATATCGAAGATTTGCCGCAAGAGGATATACGGGTGTTGGGAGAGGCGTGTAACATGGAGAGCATGCTTAGGCAGGTTTTTTTTAGCACGCAGTATAGAGAAGGCAAGCCGTGGGCTGTGCATAGGTATGCCCAGCACTTGGCGTATCATTCGATCTTCTGTTGCAACTTCCAATCCTTAATTTTGTAATTTTCTGTCGTCGGGAATATGTCATTGATATATATATGTCATATGGTTGCGTCTCTATATGTCTCTGCCCCTTCCATGAACTCTTGGCCCATCATTGGAGAGTCCGTCGATGTGGCGCCGCCCCTCGCTCTCCGATGGCAATGGTGTCCGCGCGATACGAGGACGGGTGGAGAACGCTTGCTCGATTTCTTGCTCCCTACGAAAAGTCAATGCGCATTTGGTCGGCGTCGAAGGCAAACCATGCGAAAGATTATGCTGACGAAAAACTTACTCCTCAGCAGATATCGGCCCCCTGTCCTTGTCTTTCTCCCGGACCCCGCCTTTCCCGCCTTTCCCGCCCCCTGGAACCGGTGGCAACGCCGGGCCACCAGCCCGTTTGCCCTTCAAGCCTTGAAGATGTTGTTGTCCAATGTTTGCTCCACCGGTACTGGAGTGACGCTGGAACTGCGGCGTTGCAGGCCGCGTGAGGGACGCGATTGTGCTCGCAGCGTTACTGGCGTTGGATTGAAGGCTAAAATCTCGGCGTCGCGGGGGCATCGGTGGGTGGCGGGATGACGAGGGTGATGGGGGACGGGTCGGCTTCTGAAGAGTGTATTTCTGCAGGACTAGCGCTGGGTTCACTGGGGCGTCGTCTGTGGAATGCAACGGAGAGGGGAGGAAATCGACTTCTACGCCTTCGTTCTCTTCCTCTTCCTCCTCTTCATCCTCGTCCTCCTCTTGTCCATCTTCGGAGATAGCGTCCGAGTCGGCCGACTGATTTGCAGAGTCTGTTTGGTCCTCTAGATGTACATGATAAATCTCCATTAGCAATCGAGACTTTTGAAAAGAGCATTCCTTCATTCCTGTAACAAAGAGCATACCGATGGCAAGCTGACCCAGCACAAAATCAATTTGTCCCACAAGCTGATCGTCTTCGGACTCTCGCATATATCTGAGCATGTCTTCCATGCCCATCGCGCGTGCGGCATCTCGCAGCGTAGGCTCGGTGAACAAGCTATATAGTGTGCCATTCACATATGTTTTCACCTGCGATGCGCGGAGGAATCTCTGTTTTAATGCGGTACAGGACAACGGGCGAGAGATAGACCTCTCACCTGCAGGCTCTCCACCTCCATCACCGCAGTCAACACTTTCAGGACTCTCTCCTCTCTCCCCATGCAGCACTCTCCCTTCCCTTTCTTCCTCAAACACAGGTTCATCATCAACGCAGCCGCGTACTCTACGGTTGGCTCCCCAAGCGCCTCCAAATCATCTGCATCCAGCAGCTCGATCAAGTAAGATACTGTTTTCGAGTCGTTCATTTGCGATTGTGCTCCCCGCCGCAACGAGAGTTTTTGCAATGATTGAAGGGTCTGCTGAAACAGATGTGATGTCGCTGGTTCCGACTTGAGGGTACGGAGAAGAGTTGGGATCAGTGTGCGGCTATGAAGAAGATACTCCCGCCCGCTTGATGCGGTTGTGAGTCTGTTGATGAGGATGACGGTCTGAAGAAGTGTAGACGATGGTGATCTTTCAAGCAGGTTGTCCAAGAGTGGCTAATGAAAAAATTCGTCTGAGAAATAATGCGTCACAGAACGGCATAAGATGCGCTCCAACCTTTCCAGCTCTGATACCAAGCACATCTGAACCAAGATAAGTGTCGAACACTTTCCGGCGTTCTGCCAGTGTCGGGGGTTGGGCGGCCAGCTGTGGAAGGGAGAGACCATCTATCAGGAAGAGCTAAAGCGCCAAAAACCACCCGGTGCTGTGGACTCACCATCGTTAGTGCCTTCAACACATCGGTAGCAACGTCAGGATTCTTTTGAAGATCGGTGGTGATCGCCTCGTAATTCAAGTACCGCTCCAATGAAGCCACAGGACCGTTCGATTGCGCTGGAAGCAATGATGGCGATGACGCCGCTCCCCCTAATTTCGAATGCATATGATCCGCCGCGCGAGCGGCATGGTTGTTTTGCACACTGCTGGACCGCTGTATATGTGATTGATGAGGCGGTAATGAGCGCGAGAACTGAAGGGTGGATGTTTAGCAGCAGCTGGATGTGACTATGAATCTTTCGGGCATACCTGATCTACCGAACCACCTTTGCGCTGATTGCTTTGCTTGAATGTTGCGAGACGTTGGCAGACGCCTGCCAAGTACGCCGGGGTAATCTTACCAATCAAGTTGCTCGTATCGTGAGTATCCCCGCTCCATCGTTGATCCGAAGGCTGGAGACGCTTTACCTTTTGTCCGTGAATGCAGGCCGTCAAGGTCTGTACCAGTTCCGATGCAATCGTAATAAGGTTGTGATAATCGCTCTAATAGGGGAGGGTGCGTCGGCGAAGCGCCATACCGAGGTTGAATATCAGAGCTTACTCACCTGAAGATCCCGATGTTTGCCAGCCCGCTCCGTGTCTTGTGATTCGAGGTCAGAAAACTTCTTTTTTAGATCTTCCAATTCTTTGGCATCACGCTGGGTTTATTCAGATGTCAGAGCAATGCTTGCAAGAGCTTTGTCAAAGCGACGTACGTATAGCCGAGCAATGGGTCAACGCACCTCAGCATTCAGGAGCGTAAGCAACCTAGGCTTGACAACAGCCTTAAGGGAGTTCCGTAGGAATGATCTCAGTCGTCGCTCAAGGTCCGCGGCCCAGTCCTTTTCGAAGAGCTCCTTGAACGATGGGTGCTCTCGCGGATCCGGAATGTAAGGGAGGGCATAGTACGAAAGAAACTGGGGCGTTTTGGAAAGCTCTGATCCTCTCGTTTCCAAAAACTTTTTGAACGGCTCCATTGTTTGGGACAGCCCCTGGAGCTGTGATGACCGGCATCAGCTCAGAAGTCCTTTGGCGTCCCTCCAACTTGTTCATACCCGTGTTTGCGCATCTCCTTCCGTCTGAAACAGCGGCCACACAGCAAAGTAAATGTTCACCAGGAACTCCAGCTTTCCATACACGGGATCTGATAGGCGCCAAGAACTCGGGAAGCAGTCATCCCAAAGCTTGAAAAACGGGGATCGTTCTCCTTTATGGAAGGCATCGAGAAATGTTGCCTGGGAACGAGGTGATTGAGCGATTGAAAGAGTAGGCAAAACGGCATGATGGGCCGATTTCTGACCTCCTTCTGGATCACCGCTGTAATTATAGCATCGTCATCGCCTCCATCAGCAGGCGCTTTCCTTCGGCCTTTCTCACCGATCTCGGCGTCAAATGCTTCCAAGGAAGTTTGATATTCGGCGTAGCTCAAGTACTATTCGAAAGGAATACTGCCATGAGTGCACTTGTGGGCCATTCAGAGCTGAGTTTCATGTCATACCTCTCGGACAGCAACATTGAGCTCGATTTCTTGATCGACGTTCATCCCGGGATGGCAACGCCTTCGTTTGGTCGAAAAATGAGCAGCCACACCGACAAACATGGAGTTCATGAAAAACAAGGCAAGGCTTTTCGACGCGTTATGCACGCGTGAGTCATGCGCCAGGTAATTTGAGTTTTTCGACCCCCGACCAAAACATTTGCGGACCATTGATTGAATTTGAAGCGACTCGGGAGCCGGCGAGTATACGGTCGTGAATGCATGAAAGTATCATATCATGCAACAAGCCGCCGTCCTGACGTATTTCACCGATTCGCTCCACCATGCACCGGAGGGCCACTGCGGTGACTGCAGCAGCTCCAAGCCGGCCTTGGCGCCTACAGGGCTGCCAGCATCAATCGTAACAAAATTTGAACCCCCGACTGGCAATGATCCGTGATCGCCCAGTGAACAACATTCCTTCCACAAATTCGAACCTCGTGGATGGTTTTGCCTACCACATGACGGTGGTGATCGCTAGTTTGGAACCTCGTGAGGTAATTTGTGTCCGTTGTTGGCGGGTTGTTGGCCCTGTGCGCCCGAGAGTCTACAACTCAAAAGACGCGATCCAACCCACAGTTTACTACCGCCCAAAGGATTTCTGGCAGGAAAGTTGCTCCTGGTTGGACCCTTGGAGGGCGGCGATGTTCATCCGGGTCTCCCATCCCGGAAGGAAAGCCTCCTGTGGACCTGTGGACTCCTGTGGACTCCTGTGGACTCCTGTGGACGCACGTTGAAAAGTGAGCTACATATCTATCTCGATTCTCCAAGCTGTCTGCATGACGCATTGCGACAGGGATGGAGGGAGAAATTTGAAAGTTTAGAGGCTACTAGTAGTGATCAAGCCACAACGGCTTTCCGAATTGCCTCCGGAGAGGATGATCGAAATTCATGGTCTACTGTCCATGTCATCGACGCCGCAGCCATTCAGACTCCGATTATTCAGAGTTGGGCCTGTTGAGAGCTAGAAGTGGGGAAGAGCGCAAGTGTGGAGTAGGGACGTGCGGTGGATCGTGGATATTTGGGAGAGTCTGAGGCCCTGAGAGGGAACGGTAGAAGTAGTCCTACTGACGCCGCATTACTCGTCAAAAAACGATGACAAAGAAGAGCCTGGGGCGATGAAAATCTTGCAAACCATCGCCCATTGCGCAGAGTGTTTGCGGCGTGCGCTACCGCTCGTTGCGTGGCCATCCCACCTTCCTCTTCCCCGGGCTCGCCTATAAAAGCTGGGGGTTCGACGGTCAAGCCCTCGGTTCTGCATCCCATTCGAGCCCTCACATCACACCCCCACGCATCGCACATCCCGCGCACTCGCCAACCACCATGCTCCTCAAAGCCACTACCACCCTCCTCTCCCTCTCGGCCTTCCTCTCCTCCGCCGTGAACGCTGCTGGCATCGTTCGACGCGCGGAAAACCGGGATGTTTCCGAGTGGCTCGCCGCAGAGGTCCCAATCGCAGTGGGCCGTATGCTCGCGCACGTGAATGACGATGGTGCCGTCGTAGCCGGCGCGGTGGCACCGTTCACGCCCGATGCTTACCAAGAGTACTGGGTCCGTGATGGTGGTATGTATCGTGTTCTTCGCTCTTGTCATGCTCACAGCTGCTGATGGCCTTCGTTTCTCTATTTGCAATCACAGGCTTCACCCTTTTGGCGGTCATTGAAGACTACAAATCCGGAGGAGAAGACGCCAAGCGAGCGCAGACAGTGGTAGACAAAATGAATCGCCACTTCGAATGGACGAAAGCCGTCCAAGAAACTGCTCGGGTCACACCAGACAACAAGCACAATCCCGTCAACCCGGAACGGATGCCGGCATCCCTCCGTCTCGGATACACAAAATTCAGCTTGTCCACCAAACAGCCCGTCACCGACTGGGCGAACCCCCAATACGATGGCCCTGCCCTGCGAGCACTGTGCTTCATCCGTTGGGCGAACATCACGAAAGATTACGCAAAATACTACAACTCGGACTCCAATGCTAAGAGCGTCATCAAGTCCGACCTGGAGGTCGTAGCTAATGCTCTGGACCAGGTCAATGGTATCGAGCCGTGGGAAGAGATTGTGGGCGTGCACTTCTTCGACCTTGCCATCTCCTACCGTGCATTGGTCGAAGGAGCCGACTTTGCTGCTGCACGTGGCGACGGCGGTGCCGCAGACTTTTACCGATCGCAGGCCGCCAAGGCGTTGAACAAGTTGAATGCGTTCTGGGACGGGAAGAAGTTCAAGTCAACTCTTAACGGCTCTGGAGGCGGTGCCAACGAAGGGGCGGTGCTTAAACAAAAGGTCAAGAATTTTATGGACATATCAACGGTTTACTCTTTCGTAAGTTCTCCTCAATGTACTCCTCAAGCTTTATGTTCAGACCTTCACAAGTGTTTCCCGTTAGAACCACGCTCTCTTGCCCACCTTCCCTCACACCAACCCGCAAGCCCAAGCTACCTTTTCCCAGCACCTCCGCGCGTTTACTACGCCAGAATTTATCCCTCAAGAGCAACCAAAAATCCCTTCCGTCTGGTGGGCCGGCATCAACTCGGAGCTGGACTTCAACGGGCGCCCTATCAACCCGGCCGTCGGACGATACCCCGAGGACATCTATGATGGCAAACTCTACCATGTACGTCTCTATTGATCTCCACTTAGAGACCTCGAAAACTCGTTCGTGTCAACTCTAACTCTATCTGTTTTGATTTACCTTCTAGTACCAGGACACAAATGGGGCTGGGTTCTGGTTCCTCGCGACGAACGCCATGGCTGAATTCCTCTACAGGGCGGCGGACGCACATTACACGTCCGGAGTGATCGAGATTACCGACGTTAACCGGGAATTCTGGAACCTGATCAAGGTTCCCGGCGTAACCGGCAACAGGCGCATCACCTTGGCAGCTGAACCGGGGCTATTCAACGACGCCGTGGCGCGCCTCGTCGACCACGGTGACCGTTTCCTTCGCCGCACCCAGAAGCACACCGACAAGGACGGCTATCTATCCGAGCAGCTTAGGGCCGACAACGGGTTCCAGCAGGGCCCCGCAGACCTCTCGTGGTCGTACGCTTCGGTGGTTACTGCCGGCGTTGCTCGTCGGGCCGCGCTGGCGCACATCGGGAACGTAGCTACTCCGGTCGACACGTGTGCCGTGGTAGCGGACAACAAAAAGGTGGACTGCCACCCTGACCCGAATGTCACGGTTGGGTCCTGCCTGTTGAAGGGCTGCTGCTGGCAGAAGAGCACCATCCAGGGAGTCCCCTGGTGTTTCAACCCCAGCCCGTTGGTGGTTGACCCTCCGGCGCCCTCGACAGTCGTCCCCTCCCCGACCTCGACAGTCATCCCTCCCCCGACCTCGACAGTCATCCCCACATCGACCCCGACCCCCAGCCCGAAGTCGTGCAACTTGCAGGACGCCGCCAAGAAGGATTGTGGATATGCGGGTATCAACGAAAGCCAATGTGTCGCCAAGGGTTGTTGCTGGAAGCCCAGCACCCCTAACTCCAAGACGCCCTGGTGCTTCGTTGCGGCTTGAGCGTCAAGTCCCGCGTCATTTCTGAAACCTTGTCGACCATATGTAGACTCATCTCTAGATCCCTCGTTCTTAAACTTCCTTGCGCATTGCCTGGACGTCGTTTACTGTACATTCTGTAGCGTCTCCCTCTGTTTCATGTGTCATACCTTAGTGCAGTACATTCATCCTTTTGTGTTGTTGTTGTCATCCGACTTCACCATTACTTACGAACAGTCCAAGCGCTCTTCCATCTACATGTGATTCTGTCACTCTCCAATCGACCTGGAACTGCCTGTCAGTGGCTTATGTGGCTTTGACGGAGAATCCTGCGCCTCTTCTGACTCATCCGCTTTTTGCGCAGCGGATCCCCAATTGCTGATGCGGTACCGTGCAAGGGTCCGAGTGTCGCGCAGTTCCCACATGCGAGCCGGATTGATGAGAGTCCTGACTGTGATGAATCGCTGATGACAATCTGGCAGCAACGGTCAATTTTTTGGGAACCCGTCCGGAGCCCATTTTTTGGGATGACATCGATCTCCTCAAGTCCTCACGGCTCAGCAGCCAGTTTTTAACATTTCGTCCGCCAACTGCACCTCCCGTTCCTGCAACGCAATTTCATTAGCTGTACCGTATTCCGCATAAGCCCTTCACTTCTCAAGCGACGCAACAATGACCACAGCAGCAGCATCCTCCACCGCGACTTCCACGGCAAGCAGCTCGCCTGCAAAGAACCCCCCAACTGCAAGGCAGTCCGTACCCAAAATCCTCAAACCTTTCGATAATGCCGAAGTCAAAGTTCTGCTACTTGAAGGTGTCAACCCGACCGGAATAAAGCTGCTGGAGAAGGCTGGTTACCAGGTACGTCTTGCGCCCAATCTCGCTTGAACATCCCGAAGGAAGGCGAGTCAGAGGAGCGAGGTAGGGCGGAGGGTTGCTCCGAAGGCCCGGGAACGGCGAGAAAGGCCTTGCGACGGCAAGCGCTCAAGGCGTTGGCGCATGCGCATGAATGCTCCCGCATATGCAAAGTAGCCTCTGTTGCAAGAATGCCGTTACGCCCATTGCATTTCGGTTGTGCTCCGAACTTACGCAAACTGTGTCACAGGTCGAATGCCACTCCAAAGCCCTCCCACTGGAAATCTTGAAGGAGAAGATTAAGGATGTCCACGCGATCGGTATTAGGTGTGTTATGTGTTTTGACGTACTTGAGTGTTGCTCCCTGCTCTAGGATCTAATCTTTCACCGTTCACAAGGTCAAAGACGCAGCTTACTGCTGAAGTACTGGCGGAAGCCAAAAAGTTGCTCGTTGTCGGTTGCTTCTGCATTGGAACGAATCAGGTCGACCTGGAATACGCCGCCTCGCAAGGCATCGCAGTCTTCAACTCTCCCTTCAGCAACAGCCGCAGTGTAGCAGAGTTGATGATCTGCGAGATCATTGCTCTTTCCAGGCAGTTGGGAGACCGGACTACGGAGATGCATCAAGGCATGTGGAACAAGACTGCGAAGGGATGCAATGAGATCCGTGGCAAAACTCTTGGCATTGTTGGTTACGGGCACATCGGATCGCAGTTGTCCGTCATCGCAGACGGACTTGGCATGTTTGTCAGCTTCTACGACATTCAACAAATCATGCCCTTGGGAATGGCGAAACCCGTCGACACGCTGGACGAGCTGCTCACCACCGCTGACTACATCTCCCTGCACGTTCCCGAAACCGAGGAAACGAGGAATATGATTGGCGCCCGGGAGCTCAAGCTCATGAAGAAGGGCTCCTACCTATTGCAAGCGTCACGAGGAACCGTCGTTGACATTCCTGCCCTTGCGGAAGCACTCCGCAGCGGCCACCTTGGTGGTGCCGCCATTGATGTTTTCCCCGTCGAGCCCTTTGCCAACGGACCCAACTTCGAGAGCGAACTTAGGGGATGCCCGAACACAATTATCACTCCTCATATCGGTGGATCCACTGAGGAAGCTCAGAGCTCGATTGGAACGGAGGTTGGAAGCGCCATGGTGAGGTATATCAACAACGGTACCACTCAGGGCGCTGTCAACTTCCCGGAGTGCGATTTGCGTGCTCCTGCCGCGGAAAGCAAGACTGTACGCCTACTCAACACTCACCACAATGTTCCTGGTGTGCTCAAGGTAGGTTTTGCGCTTACCCTCCCGTTTCAACCACTTCCTACCACCTTACTTACCATTCTCCTCCAATCTTCATAACAGGCAATCAACAAAATCTTGTCGGACATCAACATCGAGAAGCAAATCGTCGACTCTCGAGGCGCCATTGCATACTTGATGGCCGACATCAGTGTTGAAGATGTTGCCTCCTACCAAACCATATACGACAGGGTACAAGCTCTGCCTCAGAACATCCGCACGAGGCTCTTATATTGAGCTGTAGCTGAACCTGAGAAAAATGCCTGACCTCTCCCACCCCGACTGGTAAATCAAAATACTGTGGCAGGAACCCGCTTTGCGGTTATGATGGAGCACATTCTGTCCTATGCGTATTGTACATGGATTTATTTTCTTATACATTCATCTGGCATTGCCACCGCTACTATGTCTGAAGTTGGCTTTCACCAAGAAGGTGAGGTTTGGGTCATTGCCCGGCGTGTGCGAGACGCGCTTGGAAAATTCCCGGACATCGCTGTGAGTTTTGACAAAGTCAGATCCAGCTTTTTTTGTGCAAACATCCTCACTCAGGAAATCACAAACACTATGGCCTCTACAATACAACCAGCAGCAGCGTCAAGCTCAGAAGGCGCCAGCCCAGCGGGTGCTACTGATGGCGGCAAAGTGCCAACGGTGGTGATAACCATCGGCATGGCCGGCAGCGGGAAGACCACGTTCATGCAGGTACTTTCAATTTGGAGGTCTCATTCGCAAGTCAGCAACACGGAACTCATGTCTCTTCATTCGCAAACAGAGGCTGAACTCGCATATCCACACCCTCAAAAGACCTGGATACGTCCTAAATTTGGATCCGGCCGTTACGCAGCTGCCGTTTGCGGCGAATATCGATATCCGGGATACGGTGAACTATAAGGAGGTTATGAAGCAGTAAGTAGGGTGACCATGTCCAAGGCGGGTTGGAGAGGGAGGAGTGCAGTATGATGGGGATTTGGGGATGTTTGATAGGGTATGCAGCAAGTGAGAAGCGTTGGCTAAAGTTCGGCATGCTCAGATATAACCTTGGACCGAACGGTGGTATTCTCACAGCGTTGAACCTCTTTACGACCCGGTTCGACCAGGTCCTTGGACTCCTCGAAAAGCGGGCATCAACATTAGAGTAAGTGCTTTGCACCTTTGTGAACGGCATGCAGTGTCAAAGGGATCTCAAGCTCTGTCTTTCTCCCAGCTACGTATTACTAGATACACCCGGCCAAATCGAAATCTTCACCTGGTCCGCCTCCGGAACCATCATCACCGACACCCTCGCCGCCACGTACCCCACCGTCATCGCCTACGTAATCGACACCCCCCGCTCCACCTCCCCCGCCACCTTCATGTCCAACATGCTCTACGCCTGCTCGATCCTGTACAAGACCAAACTCCCCTTTGTGCTCGTGTTCAACAAAACCGATGTGGTCGCTCACGATTTCGCGGTGCAGTGGTTGACGGATTTCGAGGTGTTCCAGGCGGCGCTGCAGGATGATACCTCGTATATGGGCGGGCTGGTTAGCTCGATGTGTCTGGTGTTAGAGGAGTTTTATAAGGGGATTAGGGTTGCGGGGGTGTCGGCTATGACGGGCGCGGGGATGGATGATTTTATGGCGGCGGTCGAGGAGGCGAAGCAGGAGTATGAGACGTAAGTGTCTGAACTTCCGTCAGTGAGGTTGTTTCTGGAAAACTGTTGAAACTGACGAGTGACCCTGAATCTAGTGAATACAAGCCCGAACTGGACCGTCTCCTGCAACAACGGCAGGCACGAGAGGAGGAGAAGAGGCAAAAGAGCCTGGAGAAGTTGCTGAGCGATATGAAGCTGGAAAAGGGGAAAGAGGTGGATCTGGAGGCCATGAATCAATGTACGTTTCTGCCTCTGAGACGCGTGGATAATAGTTTATCGCAGTGGCGTCTCTCCAACTGACTGTGCATGCTATTTGATTTCTCATGAAAACAGATGTGGAGCCTGAGAAGGATGAGGACAGCGACGACCAATAGGGACCCCAGGGCATACACAGAGCCTGCACACAGAAAACCACGAGTCATCCCCAAAGTCCTGGTGGACTTCCTTGCTTACGCGAAACAAACACATATGAAGCTTGCGCTCCCATCCAAGCAGTCCCCCAGCATTGCGCACCTATTCATCTTCAACCGAAACGCCGCCTCTGGAATCCTGCCACACCCGTGCACATGGTGGACTGCACGTGAGGCAGACTGACAGGCGTAAACGAGCCGAGCTCTAATAGTCTAGGACGTAGCCACACTGATGTGTAGCTAGCATCCCAGTTTGCGCTTGATGTGAATTGAAGCGCCGTACGTCGCTTATAATATCTCATATATAATCGGCCTCTCCATGCGATCTGAGCCATGGCTTTCATGGGGGATGTTCCGTCCCCATTTTTCTCACCGAAGTCAGGCGTCGGCCAATCGCTCACCTTCCACAAACTGGGGTCTTCAACTTTAGGCCACGTATATTTTTAAAAGTCTTCAAGCAATACACCCAAGAGATCGGGCGGCATCAAGAGAGGATAGTTGATCTGCGTTTGCAGGGTTTGTATGAGAGCCCGACGGAAGAGGAGGTATTTCGGGTCGGCGGCTGCGAATTCTGTAATAACGAAGGACGCCCAAAATCATTATGAGTAGCCGTCCCTTTGAGTTTGAGTAAGGCAACGAATGGTGTCCAATGAACCTACCCTCCTCATCGAACCGTAAGTCCTGTGGGAATAAGCCACTGCTACTCCTCGGAAAACATTTCACCGCGACAGCGTCGACTGAATGCAGGGCCGCACTGCCCAATGTCGTAGCGACGAGTGACACCATGCGCGGCCTGAACGGGCTCGGAGCATCGGTTGCCGGTGTTGCGGCAATAGACGCGGAGCTCGGGCCCGGATCGTGGAGGAGTGTTCTAACTGAGGCCGTGGCAGAGGCAGGTGTTTGTGGTGGCTGGAGGGTAGATGTGGAGTAGTTTGCTTCGGACGGGCTGCGTAGGTTGTGGAGATTGCTGCGCTGCAGGGGCGTAACCGGGGATGTGGCGGATGCCATGGAGCGCCGGATGGAGCCGGATCGCGAGCGGGTGTCGACCATGGGGGGGCCTGATGAGGGAGATTGTGGCGGCGGGGAGACTATGGAAGGAACATGGGTTAGTCTCTGATGTCTTTGCGAGTTCTCTAATACCGACAGGAGAGTGACAATACATACTCGGGCTCGTCATTCCGGCAGACAGCTGCTTGACGATCGTCTGTGAGATGAGAGTCTGCGCTCTAGCTCGACCCTGCGGGTAGAACTGAGGCGTTTCGGCCGGCGGTCCACCTTGTCCAGTAAACGTGGGCAACAGATGTGGCGCCTTTTGCGGCTCAGCAAAGAAGATCTTTCCAGCTTCCGCCGGGCTCTGCACTACTTCGTCTTGCCCAAACTGATGCTTTCGCGCAAACGCGGATGCTGGGTTCGTATGCGCGTGCGATGCAGCTCCCGGTATTGACAATTTAGGTGGACCAGTACTTAGACGCGGTGGAAGTGAAGATGCGGAGCTTTGACGTGATACCCCGGTGCGCAATGCGTGCATTGCGCTGTCCGCTTCCGCATTGCCTGTGGAATCTCTTTGTTGACCATCCACGGGGTTGTTCATGGCCATCGACGCCCGGGTAGATGGTGCGACGGATGACGGCGCGGTCTGCATGGGTGCGAAAGGCGATATAGGGCCAGTACCTGGCGGTCGAGACATGGACGCGCGCGCGGAGGACCCTCCGGACGCATTGACAAATGGAGAGGCAGGCAAACCTGACGTGGATCGGGGCATTCCCGGGGACCCAGAGGAGGTCATGGAGGTTGCTCGCATCAGTCCCATCCTCAGGGCTTGCATCGCGGCATCTGCGCCTTGTTGATCAAGCGCCCTTGTCGGTGTCTGCGGAACCAATCCACGACCACCGGGCCCGCCAGATTCTGGAACGTCTCCACCGATAGATGATTGGCTTGGGGATTGCGACATGCCCCGAAAGCCTGGGCCAGCAGTGGATTCGCTTCGTGCAAGGCCGGTCGCACGGGTTTGCAGGGCCATCTCAAACTCACTTCGACGCCTTTCCAGCTCTGCCGCCTCCTCTGGATTCATGGGCTGAATCCGTAGATACTCGGGGATCGTGGTAGTCGGGCTAGGCGCAGCGTACACCCCACTATATGGGTCGCTGCTCACGCTACCGCGATGCGTCGGCCCAGGAGCCCTCGACTGTGACTGCGAGCTGATACTCGCGCGTGCACTTGCAAAGGGAGACTTCGGTAACCCTGCGGCTGGTTTCGCCCCCGCCGCTGCCGCCGCTCCAAACGGCGATTGGGGTCGGTTGCCAGACATAGCGTGGCGAATTTCTTGCGAAGTTACGTCCTCCAACTATTAGAACTTCCGTTTCCGAACTCAAACTCCGTGGTCCATGTGCCGAGTCCCACACCTCTCGTCCAGTGCTGCGTCCAGTGTACAGTACTTCTCTTCCCAGTGGGAATCCTTCACTGGGAAAAGTCGTTCAAGATGTCGGCAATCACGTCGCGTGTGTTGCCTGTGCTTCCCAAACTCTTTCCAATATGCCTTTCGTAGCGAATATCGAACAAAAACGAACTCCCTCCATGTTGAGCGTCCATAAACCACGTCCATAAACGTTGCAGCCAAGTCTAGTAGATAAGGTCAAGTCTAAAAAAAGGGAACTCAACGCAAAACGGCAACGGCAAAAATATCATTGAAGGTCACCTACAATCACGTGACTGTGCCTTTATAATCCTTTCCGCCAAAGTGGATTGGTTTCTTTCCGCCCAAGCTGCCCAACACTTGGAAAGATCGCCGACATCCCATCGACCTCGCTATCCGCTTGCCACGACACATCACCATTCTACAGTCTACTTGTCACCATGACCGATACCGAAGTTCTTCCCACTAGCTCCTCGCCTATCCCAACTGACGACGAAACCCACGATCACCCACCAAGCTCAGACACCGGCTTCACCTCGTCCGAAAACCCTTTTCTCTCCCACAGCCCAGAACCCACCGACGACGACGACGAGTCTATGCTCACCGTCTTTGATAACCCCTCCAGCTTCAATGTGAAGCATCCGTTGCAAAATCGTTGGACTTTGTGGTTCGATAACCCACAAAAACGTACGGGAATGCACAACTGGGAGAAGAGCTTGAAGAACCTGATCACATTCGACACCGTCGAGGATTTCTGGGGGTATGACTTGCAAGGCTGCGCAAGACCTAATCTGCGCTTTCCATGTCACTCACGAACTCTCGTTTCCTAGGGTGTACAACAACATTGTGAACTCGTCGCAGCTGGCTCACGGCGCAAACTACCACCTGTTCAAAGAAGGTGTGCGGCCAATGTGGGAAGACCCAATGAACGAAAACGGTGGCAAATGGGTTGTGCCGCTTCCCAAAGGCAAGAGGGATAATCTGGATGACTACTGGCTCCACACGGTACGGGGGATATGCAGCATCTTCAGACTTCCGAAATACTGGAGCTGGATCTCATTCATTCTATCGCAACACAGATGCTCGCTTGCGTAGGCGAGAACTTCCCAGACTCTGACGAGATTTGCGGGGCCGTCGTTTCTATCCGTAAACAACAAGATCGCCTTGCTTTATGGACAAGAAATGCGCTGAAGGAGGATGAGACAAAGGCAGCTGGTACCATTTGGAAGACAGTGCTGCAGTTGCCCGACTCGGAAACAATCGGATACCAGGCTCACTCTGATGCGCTGAAGAAGAACTCCAGGTACGTCAGCTGTGACTTTGGGGTACACTCATAACCTCGGCTGATATCGCTCTCCTTATAGCTTCAGCAACTCGGACATGTATATTGTGTAATCACATTCTTCGCGATAACAAGCTATCTGTTCCCCGGGGAGTTGTGGCTGCGCAGATCGCGTTCCGGCAACATTCGCGCCGTCACTAGGCACCACAGCACAGTTGTTCCTGTTCCATATTTATTCATACCTGCGTGACGTTATGGGCGGAAACTTCTGAAGGGCTCGCAGGCCCCCGTGCGCGACCGTAGCCTCAACACGGTCGATTGGCACCCTTTTACTTGGCGTATGGTGGATCACAAAAGCGCGATCTATCTACATAAAGCCCCATTTCTTGGTCAGAAGCGCTGCTTCGCGTAAAGCTACGCCGTGCATAACATTTACTTCTGTATCGTAGCCCAATGCATATTGATTCTATTTGCAGTGTTATATGTATATGCACGCTTAGTCTCGATGATTGAAGGAATGTCATTTCTCAGTGGAACGGAGGCCTCTCTTGATCAACAGGACCTATACTTGTCGGGTACGTTCACCAGGGGCCTCTTCGCTCTTTCAAACGAGCCACGGACATAGCAGTCATCCGAAGATACATAGCACTATGCACCGTAAACGCGGAAGAACTTGCTCATCCCCTCATATACTCCAAAAGTAACACAAGTTCCCGGTAATACGCGAATGATGTTGATCCCCATGCCTTTGTAGAAACCGGCAAATGATTCGTTCCTAGGAGACAGGAAATCGGGCTTTGGTCAGATCCTAGAACATGGTCAGATGCCAGCTGAATGGACGCTTACCGGTATATAGTCTTGATGGTTCCAATGACTCCATTGTAAACAACGTCACTGTAGCCCACTTGCACTTGCAGACGCGAACGCAGGACTTGATATGGGTATGTGCAGACGGTAGCGAAGACCTTCGACGAAGCCGCCATGGTGATGTACTCTAACGTATTCTGAGGACCACACAGGAAGGTGGAGGTATGAGCTCCCTTGAAATGAGAGACATTAAAAGCCCAATCTTCAGCACTTACAAGCTTGTTGACATCCTTCTTCCCATGCATCGCATCCATCCGCCACTTCTTCATCTCTTCATACGCCATGAATTGCAGCGCACCATGGGATACGCCAAAGAACGCCGGAACCATCCCTTTGTAAAGCCCCCGGAGGCCTTCCTCGCGCCATGTGCGGCAAAGCCCGTTGGCGAGGCTCCTGTATGCGCCTGGATCGGATGCTCGTGTCGCGCACATTCGAGTTTTAATAACCCAGAAGGGGTTGGAACATATCGCTGTCAGTGCACCTGTGTGAAAGAGCGAAAAATTGGGTGAGCAACATTCCAGGTGGTGACGTGAAGCGTTGCGATGATGATCAAACCTGCCTCTGCGGACGCCAATAGATGCTGTGTTGGGCCCAATGTATGTGTCGGGCTATCCCGCATCCAATCCTTGATCAAAGAGTACCTATGCCGAGTTATCAAAAGACAGCTGTAAGTCCCAATCCACCAGAGTTATCTTGCACTCAACGCAACCTACCACCAGAAGTACATGCCCCAGGACACCGTTGCTCCGGCAAAGTTGGGTGATACCCCTCTGTACAGCCCTCGTAGCTTCCCTTCCTCCCGCCATATCTTCTTGATTGCCTCAACGCTGGATAGACGAGTTCTGGACGTGTTCACTGCGATGAGCGGAAGATCATGTCAGCACTCTGCACAGGAACTCTCCCAACCCGAAATGCGATATCACCTTCCACTAACTACATACACTGAAACCTTGTTTTGACGAGATCCAAAGGGTGCAAGAGCACAGTGGATACAGCTCCCGCTGTAAACCCCGCAAGAGCTTGGTCTGTGGCCGCGCTGCCTGTGAAGGTCTTTTCCGGCTTGTTTGCAACCGAGAGTAGCGGCGGTAAAGTGACTGGAGAAGCCGCCGCGGGCCGTCTGTTCGGACGGGGTTGTTGTTCTGTGAGGGTCATCGTCAAAGTGAGGTCCTCTTCTGGCAATTTTGAAAAGCGTCAGCGAAGCGTCGGGTTGGAAAGTTCGTCGAGAAAACTCTTCCCGACTGCTCGGTCTCCGGATCACTTCTGCTTCACATTCGATCTTCACCATAACGGGAGTCAGACCATCCCCGCAAGTTGACCAATGTTAAAAGCAAACAGCTCGTCGTTGGTCGCCAGCTCAAAAATGGGAGGAGGTGAGGAAGCATTCATTTCCGTTACAGGATGGCATGTCTTTGACCCCCATTTGTCTCACAGACGCGGAAAAGCACGTTAGGGAGCGGATTGAAGAGTTGACGGCTGGTGAGTGCGGCCGCAGGGCTTGGGCGAGCAACAGGGTGGGATATCGAACGTTGTCTAAACGGGTTCTACGTGAAAGAAAGAGCTTCAACAATGCACGATATCCCCGCAACCCCTTCTACTCTCCCGAGCGGAGGCGTACAGGGAGATGGAGCAATACGATGAAGCCCTCAAGGACATAAAGGTGGCGCTTACAATCGATCGACAATATCGACCTGCGGTGGATGCGATGCGCGAGCTGCTGGAAACGATAACGAAGAACAAGAAACTTGCTACAGATGCGTCACCTACGGCACTTTTGCGAACTGCAACGACACTGGAAGGCGAAGATGCAGATTGGCGAGGGGCATTGGACGCAGCAGAGAAGCTGGTTGTGTTGTCGGCGGATGCTGATGGATCTGAACGACTTCTGAAAGAAGGCGGCGTGGACCTTCTTCTTCCCGCGCTGTTCGCAATTCGCACCAAGCCAAATGACCATCGGAGTAAATTGGTTGCAGCTTATCTGAAAATCATTGCCAACATCAGCCACACAGGAGAAGGCGGGTTTGTTCGCATCCTGTCTTTTATCTCGAAGGACACGGCGGAGGCATTCTTAGGCGAGCCAGGGGTTGACGCCCCGAATGACACTCTGGCCATCGACATTGCTTCGACTCTGATCTTGAAAGTCGGTGCAACTTTGGAAAGCGAACCACCGAACATAAGGCCTAATGCGCATATCCTATTGGATGCCATCGTCCGCCATCTGGATCCCCGATGGCCGGTTGATCATCGTGCTGCCACATTCGGAGCTCTGATAAAGGCGGTGTCCAACGAAGAGTTTGCGCTAGCTGTTATCAATAATACGGCGAAGGGTAACACTTCACTCTTCTCGTTGGTCTCAGACCCGGACGAACGGATCCGAAACCTTGTGCCCGTAGCACTTGCTCGCATCCTTGAGCTTATAGCAGAGACGAATCAGAAAGCTGTGCAGGAAGCGTGTCGCCAAGAGATCGTCAAACGCGTGGACTCGGACTCCGCTCAAACCAAGGCACTGGGCCTTCAGGCGCTCAACGCACTTTTCCAGGCGAGCTTCGTGTACGGAAGCAGTATATTATGTCACCCAGGTTTCCTGGACTCTTTCATGGACACCATCGATTTCGAACCTGCCGAGACGCAGTTGGCTCTCCTTGAGACCTTGTCGGCAGCATGTGCTGATAAAGAAAGCCGCACTCTCATCGTGGGACGCTGCAGCGGATACTTGCAGAAAATGACGCGTACCAAGGACGCGCGACTCAGCGCGACGGCTAACGTGGTTGCTAGCAAGTTGGCTACAGCTTCCCGAGGCGCTCAAGCTGGCCAAGTCGTCGAAATGGATTCGATACCGAGTGCAGACTCATTCATCGCAACGCTGGAAGATACGACATCGCCACGGGACCAGGATACTCGTGCAGTAGAGGGTCTTGCGTATCTCACAATCGAGCCACGTGTCAAAGAGCATGTGGTCACAACAAAAGGATCATCTCTGAAAGGCATTCTCACTCGGACACAAAGTCAAGACTTCCGTGCTCTCCATTATGGTCTCGCCACCATGATTGCAAACCTAACGGCATTTCGTCAGAAAGCAACGGAGGAGGAAGAGCAAGTGCGCAAACTACGTCGGATGGCAAAAGACGCGTCGCTTGCCAAGCCAGGTCCAGATGAAGCACTAAACGATGAGGATCGTGTCAGACGGCGTTGTGAGATACTGGTCCTTCAGTGCGCTATGGTGCCCTGGCTCATCTCGGTTGCAAGGAAGAGCAACAGCACAGGATTGCGCAAGGTTACCGCTCAGATCTTTTGCAATTTGGCAACAAATAGGAAATTGCATAATGTTCTTGTGCAGCAGGGCGCTGTACGGATCTTGCTGGAGTTTACTCGTCCCATCCAGTCATCTGCGCAGTCAGCTGGGTCGTCCAAAACGTCACCCTCCACGTCTTTGCCGACGCCTCCAGCCGATGGAACCGCATTCTTAGCGTCACACGCACTGGCAAAGATTGCCATCACCGTCAATCCCCATCTCGCATTCAAAGGACAAGTCGCACTTGAGCTCGTCCGTCCGATCGCCGGCCTTCTTTGCACATCGCGTGCAGCTCAAGACAATACGAACATCCCCTTACTGGCCCAGTTTGAGGCATTAATGGCGATCACCAACCTCGCCAGTATGGACGATACTACGCACGTGCGAGATCGAATTGTTGCAGCTGGTGCAGTGAAAGCATTTGAAAGCCTGATTTTCGATGATAACGTCATGGTCCGCCGCGCCGCCGTCGAAGCCATCTGTAATATGATGTTCCATCCTGCGGTTTACGAGGCGTATGCAGACGCGTTTTTGGCGGCGAAGGTTCCCACCCTCTCCAACAAGCTGAAACTGCTGGTCGCCCTCTCCGACTCTGAAGACTTCGCTACTCGACGAGCTGCCTCGGGAGCGGTTGCAATCTTGAGCTCCAGCCCCAACGCATGCCATCAGTTAATGGCATTGGTCGACGAGAATGAGCCCGACGGAAAAAAGGAGGACACAAAGGCTGGTACAAGGATACCTCGCGGACTGGAAACAGTGGTCAGACTCTTGGAGCCTTCACCATCGGGTATCGTGTCTTCTCCGAACACCTCAGTTAGCGAGGATGACGAGCTCCACCTGCGAGGTTTAGAAATTGTCAAGAACCTAGCAAACATTGACAAAGCAAGTCAAAACCAGGCGTCGGATTATGGGAAGCAGCTGGCCGCAGCTGGGGTAATACGGCTTCTTAAACGGCTTATATCGTCGCAGAATGAAGCAGTGGCTCAAGCTGCTGGCGATGCCTTGCAAGCCTTGGCCCGCCGAGGAATAGATGTTCTTCATTGACAATAAATAACGCTACATCTTGCAGTGTTGTAGGTCCATACTACATGCAGCCGTCTGTTTTGTGGTAATTAGTGCGTGCGTGCTGCTGCGTATTATTTGGATTATCGGATTAATATTCGATCTCCATCGCGCGTAACATCTGCGCGCGGCTGTCATCAAGCTTCTGCTCCGAGACTTCAACCAGTTTTCACTCCTCAGCGGGGTTTTCGTCTGCAGAATCCCACCGCACCTGCACAGTCTACCGCACAGTTTCCCACCAGACACAGAGTGGCATGGGCTTATAGAATGCTAGATCCACCCGGCGGAAGAAAAAAGAACTGGACAACTCGCTTCTATCTCTTCACATTCTTCATTTATTTCTTTCTCCGAAAACAACGTTTGCGCCAACTCTACGTCGTCCTCGTCATATTGAGCATTGTGCTAGGCTTGCATTACGTATTTCAGCACTCATACCTGCATCACACTCAGCCGGTTGTCGACCCTGGAACGGTTCCTGTGACCAACGACCCCGAAAATCCTCCAGGCTCGCATCCACTGAACGCACAGCCCCTTGGACAATTTCGGAGTCTTCTTACAGCTCATTCGAAACCGACGCTTCTATCCTACCGGGACTCGCTGAATTAGGGAACCTTTTGCGGACCGGGTAACTCTGCAAGGTAGTGATTGCGTTGAATGCAAGATGATCTTCCAACTTTTCTTTCTGACGCGAACCATCATAGCATGACCATTGCGCAAGCTGAGCACTTAGAGTGGAAGGAGGGTATGTAGAGCCTGGGACAGCCTCTTGTTGTCTTCTCCCTGGTTTCATTCCGCTGTTGCTGGAGATTCTCTAATTATTATCAAAACGTAGAATATGATAATCTGCTTGCAAATCTCAGCGAATCGGCCGACACGAATACTGCCCCGTGGGAGCTTCTACGGGAAATAATAAAGTACAAAGTGTCAGATAATGTTAGGCCGGACCTAGGGACCCCTCCACCTCCAGCCACAGCTCAGAACCCGCCGGATACTGTACCGGACTATGTGGAACGGATAGGAAGAGCTCTGGATGGTTTTGAAAGAACACCGTTCACAATTCAGAGGCTATGCGAGCTGGTAACGAGACCGTCGGAGGGGTATGGTACTGTCTGGAAGTACCTAAGGGCTTTGGTAAGCGTCGATGGAGTGGTGAGGGTGGGAAAACCATCTCGCCGTCGCCATAGATGAGGGAAGGTGAAGGGCAACAGTTCCCTGTTCTCAGTTCAGTTTTCTCAACAGGAGAAAGTTTGCACGTTGGGAGGCTCTGTCCCATATACCCCGAATGGCAACACAAATGGCAAGTCCTTGCATGTTCAAATGGAGTGATGTCATGCTTTGTGAGTACCCAGGCTCATGAACATCTTCATTGCAGGCATTGCCCCCATGGACATTTCGACCTCGACGGTAACGCTTGCTGTTTCGGAACCTGCGGTTTCTGCGGAACCGGCATCCCAAGGTATGTCCCAAAAGATGTTCCAACTGAAGGCACTGAAGTGAATCGGACAGAACTGATCTCGTTTTGTTTGCTGTCAAGAAGTAGAAGCAGAGCCTGTCACAAACGGCGTTACAAATGGAATTGGGAACGAGGGTCCGATTTCTGCATCGTCAGCAATACCGATGGATATCGTGGATTGATGCATCGAGTTGTAAAGATTGGCTTTCTTCGGGTTTCGCTTCCGGCTAGAGTATCGGGGGGCATGCGGTCTCGTTTATCCAAGGGGGCGGATCGCATGGAAGTCTTTCGGAGGAACGGTGGAAATTTCTCCAGGCTGAACGTACGAGGACTCATCGTTATGTTGATAGGGTCCGATCGCCCGATGGAAGGAGATGCTATAGCTCGCTAGGATTGCACTCATTTGCTTTCCGGTGGAGGTCCACCATAAGCCGTAGCATTAGACGGTTTATGTGGTTGATCAGAGGCGTAGGGTAGCTTTAGGCTACAGATTCAAAGGGTTGCAACATGTGTACTTCTATCCATCAAAGCCCGTTTTTCAAGCCGGCTTCAGCATCTGCGACTCTCCGGAACAACTCATGTCAGACTGAGGAGATATGAGGTAGTCATTCATAAACAAATACACATGTGTGGAACAAGACACAGTCGCTTCCCATAACGAACTGTTACTGCTTGGATGCAAAAACAGAGCGTTCAGGTGTTGAGGGTTTCTGTACGAATCCCAAGTCAATGAAGCTGAAGTCCTAGGTCGCCAGCGCGAGACCAACACGGGGCTTCCAAGCCCCGGCGGGATTGTAGTCGTAGATTTGATAGTACTGTTGAGAGCACATTGCGCCATTAGTCAGATTGTGCGCGCACGGAAGAGACAAATCATGAAGTAACATGAGGGATTCGAGCGGCATACCTTGCGGAGGAAGACTTCGCCGAGCAGCCATTGGTCCAGAACGTCTTGCTACGAGTCAAGCGGGAGAGGTCAGGGGTTTCTTTTCGGAATAACGAAAACGAAGGGATCATCCGAGGACAGCTTGACTCACGTTTTTTCGAGACTGGAACGGGGAGTAGCATAGGTCGGCATTGTTCGGCCACACCCTTGTAACGAGCTCACTTCCTAGATCGCAGGGAAGGAGGAGAAGAGTTGTTTTCTCAGAAACCGCATCGCACATGAGGTCTTATTGTAGCGGCGCACCACCCACCTGAGAGGGTAAAGGGGAATCCATTGAGGTTGAAAGTGAATGTGACACCGCTGTTTGCCACTGTTCCGCAGTTACACGCCCAGAGACCTTTAGCAACCACGTAGGTCGACGGAATCTGTGCGTTCAGCTGGACAGCTACGGCGTAATCCGTGAGGACCAAGGTGGCGCCTGGAACAGAATCGAGCTTCTCAGTCATGCCGACCATCACAGTTCCCAACCCTGGTTCGTTATGTCGCGCTTACCGGTGTCCACCAACCCTCTAATGTTCCTGCCGGGCGGGCGTACATTCACGTTATTGGGCCCCGAAATGCCCAGCCAGCTTACATGCCACCAAGTGGATGCATCGGGCACGCTCAACCATGTGATAGGTCCAGTGTAACGAGCAGGATTGCCCAGGTTGCTGCCCAATGTGAGCTCGCCTCCGACCATTGTGTCGGGTGTGGCGCTCCATGACGAGTAGCGATCCAGCCAGATCCCGAATGCGGGTTGCGGGATCTTCTGCGACCAGTAGAGGTTCTCGACAAGAGAAGACTTGCCAACCAACCAGTCGTCAACCACCGAGTTGGCCCAGGACAGAGGGGAGAAGCCTGTTTCAAGGGTATCAACGTTAGGCATAGCCCAGCAGCAGCAGGGAGGCGCGACGTCAGACTCACTCATCCCCATCAATCCGTCGATACTTCCGGGCTGGACATTGCTCGCAGTGTTTGCCTGAATGAAGACCTGGTACTTTGCGCTCAAGTTTCCGATACGAACGTCATCCTGCTCAGAACGTCAGTCCAGTCCTCGCGTAGCTCACTGTAGTCCGTAGATGTGCTTACCACAACAACTGTGCCTGAAACAGATCCTGTTCCGTACTGAGGGATTCACCATGTCAAACATGGAATGACTACTTCCTTTCTAGAAGAATGCAAACGTACCCAAGTGCTCACGGCAAGACCCTGTTGTGCTGCTGTTTTAGATGCTGTGGGGTTGTACCTCCGCTTGCTCCCACATTGTGTGGTACACTGGAGCCCAGGAACCCACAGATCCGCCGAGCCTTCGGAGAGGAAAACATAAAGATTTGTGGGAAGCAAATGACAGCAGTCCCGCGGTCATACCTGTATCAATGACTACGGAGAAAGGCTGAGGAGGGTTTCCGAGGAACAACGTAACATAGTACTGAGAACAAATCGTTGTGTGAGCTCGACCATTGTGACTCCGAGCTTTTGCATTCTGGTGTTTACCATGGTATCATAGTTATTTCGCACTGTCGCAGCTGCTACGGTCCCAGCTCGCCTTTTCAACCCGCCATGCTTTCCACCGCCCATCGCGCGACGGCGCAAAGGAGGCTCGTCATCGTCTTCCTCTCCAACGAAGTATTTGAGCTTCTCGTCTTCGTCGCCATCACCGATGTAGTCGGGGTCGGCACCAGGGGCGTATACACCCCTGGCAAAAAGGTTGTCTTTGCCGTCCGCGAGCAACTTCTCGACCTCCTCATGTTCTGTGTTGACAAAGTGGACAGAACTCAGAGCGTCGTCCAGTTGGGCTTCAGTCACATTTGGACGGACCACAACCAGCCCTTCTTCACTGCGTGTCAGCAGGCTGCGTCGAGTGGCATGTCTGCCTTCGGCATGGCGGATCATGGGAATTCTACATCATCAATAGTTCAGTTCTGGCGGATCGTTTCATTGAGGGCAGATCCGTTTTGCCCAGGCCTGAACTATCGGACTCGCTTACATGGCGGGACCGGGCTCGGACGCTGGATCCAGTGCGGCGGCATCTTGCGAAGCAGCGTAGATGCCGGCGAAGATGAGTACAGTAGTGAGCAGTTTCATGATGTCGAGTTAACTGAATCTCAACAGAATTCAAAATGCGCGATGGAATGCGCGCTGAGCGGACAGACTTTCGGTCGAGTCAGCTCCGTTTATATAGGCAACCCGGTCTGCGGTTCTACGCAGTCATTGCCGGATTACGGCACGGATCAGGGCGAGAACAAGAAGAAGTATATCGGCCGTCTGCTTTTCAGCTTCCCTATCTCCGGGATGATCTCTCTGTGCTCGCCTAACATCTTCGTCTTCCCTCGTTTACATCATAGGCTTATATTGTGTTCGGACATTCGTTTTCTATGCCGAATGCCCACCTCTGGATCCATATTTTGCTGTCTTTGATGTCATTTTCGGGCGGGCTTCTGTCACCGCCTGCTCACGCAACGCGTTTCTGTCAAAATCGCTTTCAAGGTCGGGATTGGGAACTGAGCGAATGGGGCTTGATTTCGCGTCCAAATGATTAGCGGCATCAATCATTTTCGTCGATGCGGATCCTGAATTGATTTGGAGCCTTGCTTTGGCCGCAGCCGATGATGCCCTCATCCATCTTACTGTAGTTCCGTCGCATGCTCAAAAAAGCCCTGCTCCATTTTGTGTGCATTTTCTCAAAACGAGGAACGTGGCATCTTTGAAACCCAGGCAGAGACGCTACTCGGCGCTACGTTCGACTCGGCCTATGTACTGGCAGTAAGGCAACGTACTTGGATCTAGTCGCTCCACACACCAGCAGTGCCGCCCGTGGACTTTCTGATCTCCGCTCCAACCAGTTAAGCTTTGGAGAGTTTTCCCACCATGACCACTCCACCGGCGCAACGACCAGAGCCTCAAATACTGCAATCCCGTCGGCCACGCCCCTCTGCAGCAACGATATGTGCAAAGTGCGGAGTGCTCGTTGAATTTTCCCTCCCAACTACCACCACCGAGTCTAGCACAGACTCTCCAGCAGCCTCGCCCTCCGCCCGAACTTCTTCTCTACCTGACTCGGCTCCTTCCAGCCCATCATCCACCGGATATCCGTATGATCACTACCGCATTCAGTGCTTTTCATGTTTGGAGGTTTCGAACGTACCAATAGACAAAGTTACCAAGAGGTACGCAATTCCCACTGCGAGCGGTTACAAGATACCACAAGACGAGCAGCCCTCGGCCCAGCCCAAGCGAAAGCAGCAGGAGCAAAATGCGAAGCAACCAAAGCAGGAGCAAAGGCAAAAACAGCCTGCGAGGCCGGGGTCGAGCTTTGCTGGACGGAGAGGAACAGGTATATATGGGGGTGGGAACTGGAAAGCACCACAGGGACGTCGTCACTAACGCTTTTTCTCGGCTGTTCAGATGAGAACCCAATTGACCTTGAGTACTATGAGTTGCTCGAAGTGGCCGGCACTGCCAGCGCTGCACAAATCAAGAAGGCGTACTATGTCAAGGCGATGAAATGCCATCCCGACAAGAACCCCGACGATCCCCACGCAGAGGAAAAGTTCAAAGCCATTTCTCAAGCATACCAAGGTATGTGCTTGGGGCTTGTATGATAATAAACTTTCCTTACGGTTGGCATTTACTCAGTTTCTTCCTTTACCCAGTCCTTTCGGATCCACAACGACGCTCGCACTACAATCAATTTGGTCAGTCCACTAACGGCACGGAAACGCCTTTTGTGGATCCGGAGGAGTTCTTCAAGCAGCAGTTTGGCGGTGACAAATTCGTCGACATCATTGGCGAGATTTCGATCGCTAAGGATTTCGCGGAGGCCATGTCTGGCATCTCTGCAGAGAACGGAATCGAAGGGTCACGCGGGAGTAAAGACCTGACCATGGAGGAGCGGATGGACATTCGCTCCAAGCGCGTGAATGGCTTGGTAGAGAAGCTTAATCACAAGCTCTCTTTGTATGTGGACGCCCTGCCGTCCAATGCCCACGGTGCGGATGCTGAGATACCGCAGGCCGATCTTGATAGAATGTCGATGGAAGCCATGGAGGCCTTCCGTGCTGTGATGACGCTAGAGGCCGAGGCGCTGAAAACAGAGTCCTACGGAGTTGAGCTCCTTCATTCCGTCGGATACACCTATCAGCTGAAATCCTCTTACTGGCTCGGAAAGCTGGATGCAGAGGAGGGCCCGATCCTGAAGCGAGCGTGGGGCTTCGGGAACCGGTTTTCGGGTCTCATGCGAGAGAAGGCTCATATTATCGGAGAAACGGTCGGCACCTTCCGCACGGCAATGGATCTTCAGTCGAGCTTCAGTAGACTCCAAGAGCTAGAGAAGAAGAAGGAAGAGAAGAAACCCGACGACGCAGAAAATACCGTCGATGCATCGACCAACGGTTCCGGCCCGCAACCCGCCCCAACAACACCACCCAAAACCGAAGAAGAGATTGCATCCGAAGAGCAGGAGCTCCGAGCCAAACTTGAGCACGAAGCCGCAACAAAAGGTCTCGAAGCCCTATGGAGGGGCAGCAAACTCGAAGTCGAGGGCGTCCTCCGCGATGTCTGCGATAAAGTGCTCGGCGACGACTGTGGTGCGTCCAAGGATGTGAGGCGTCGCCGTGGTGAGGCCTTGGCGGCAATGGCTGAGGTCTATCAGAACGTCAAGGCGGATCCTGCTTCACAGGCGGCTAAACCATGACCTCGCAAGTGAGAATCGCGGCAAACCGAGCTCGTCCCTTTTCTCTTTCCCCTCATCAATTTTGTGCATCTTCATTTATCTTCTCAATCTAGTTTATCAATCCCTTTGTCGACGTACTTATCCTCGCCTTCCCTTGCGTAGTTGCCAGCGTCCCATTTTTTTCATCTACCCCATTTCTCCTTATGTAGAGTAATGTTAATTCGCATAAATACGTTCTTGCTTCCCCCATATCACCGCTGTCTTGATCAAAGAGAAGCTGCAGCTATTGATCTATCGTCGGCAACAGGCACATGACTTTCATCAGTCACACAGTGTCTATGTTTCTGTTGAACGAAAGGGAATGATGATGGGAGATAAACAGCACGGTATATGAAGGGAGTCTCTACGACGAGCGGTGCATTCTCTTCTGCAAATCCTACATATATATCTATTCGTCCAGCTGCTCTTCTACAACACGCTTGGTCTCTGCGTAGACCTTGTCGATGGGCTGTTTGCACGAGATCTGAGGTCGAGGGAAGGGTGAGTATTCAACCTGCATATGTGTGGATATTCCGTTTCGGTTCTTACCGTGCGCACTTTCCCGCGGTCCTCGTAGTACTTGATGACAGGGAAACTGGTCTCCTCGAACACTTTGAAGCGCTTCTTGATCGAATCGAGATTGTCGTCTACCCGACCGCTGGTCTCCCCTGTGAGACGAAACAGAGACGTTCCATTCATGATGAGTTTGCGAATGGTTATGCCCGTTGTATGCGCCTGGAACATGGGTTAGATGCTTCATGACTTTACCTCGTTTCAGCAGACGCTTCAACATCTCCTCTTCGGGGCACTCAAAGTACAATGTGAACTTGCTGGGGACAACCTATCACCGGTTGATGCACAGTTTAGCCACCTATGGTTTGAAACGAAGCCATCCCGAACCCCCAATGCCATATCCCGCGTCCCACATACCGCTTCCTCAAACTTGAGAGCCTGGTCCATCTTCCTCGGGAACCCATCAACCAAGAACCGGGAGGCGCCGCTCTCCTTCATGGCCTTGTGCAGCAATGCGATGGTGATCTCCATGGGCACAATTTGACCTTCCTTGATGTAGGTGTTGATCAGCTCGCCGTATTCCGAGTCTGGGCGGTTTCGCTCGGCGCGGAGGAGGTCACCGGCTGTTTGTTATGTGAAGGTTAGGCGTTGGGCATTGCTACTCCTCAATGATCGATCGATTTCGACATACCTGACAGGTGAACGAAGCTGTAATCGCGGACCAGGTTGGCACATTGAGTACCCTTTCCAGCGCCCGGTCCTAGTGGATCAAGACAGTCAGCCTCATGCCCTATCCTGCCACATCACTTTATGGATCATTGAATCTAACCTCCGAGCACAAAGACGACGGTAGGATCATTGTCCAGGGGTTCGAGGTGAAGGTCCCCAATAGGGGCGGACGCTTTTGCCGCAACGGCTTGGCCGGCGATCTTCGCGGTCTTTCCTGCTGCAGAAAGCTTCTCCTTGGCAGCATCTTGGACCCCTTGCGCCTTGGCGGACGCATCCTTCTTGAGCTCTGACGCCTTCTCCGCAAGCTTGTCCTTGGCCGACTCTGCCTCTTTGGCCGCCGCCGCACTGGCTTCGGCTACCTTGGCCTTGCCTTCCTCAACTTTGCTTTTGGCGTCGTCTTTCACGGCCTTTACCTTGTCTTTTGCATCCTCCTTAAGACCCTGAGCTTTCTCCTTGCCAGCCTCAACAGCTTCCGATGCCTGCGCTTTTGCGCTCGAAGCCTTTGCCTTCAGCTGCTCCCCAGTTTCCTTGGCCTTCTGCTTCCCAGCCTCGATGGCATCGGATGCCTGAGACTTCTTCTCGTCGACTTTGTGCTTCAGCTGACCAGCCTTCTCCGCCGCGGCCCTCTTTCCGTCTTCCACCAAGTCCTCGGCCTCCTCCTTCTTTGCTGACACCTTGTTCTTCAAATCTTGGCCAACAACTTTAGCCTTACCCTTCGCCTCCTCTACGGCGTCGGATGCAGACTGCTTCTTGGCCTCCAATTTGCCCTTCACATGGTCGACTGCCCCTTCGACTTTCGCCTTGACACCTTCAGCCTTGGCCTTGAGCTTCTCCGCTTCCCCTGCCGCCCTTCCCTTCTGACCTTCGAGAACACCAGCAATCCTTTCCGCTTCTCCCTCCGCTTTCGCCTTGACGGATTCGGCAGTCGACTTGACCTTGCCTTTGATGCTTTCCGATGCATCCTTTACTTTGCTCGCGGCCGAACCCACCGCGGCAGAGGCTTCTGCCTTCTTTTCCGCGACTTTGCTAGTAATCTCATCGGCCGTTTTGCTCACTACGGTAACGGGGGTGTGAGTATGTGCCCAAGGGCAGTCACTGCAGAGGCTCGAGAAGAAGCGACACTCGGTGGCTCACTGACAATACATACCAGAACTAGCATGGTCTTCTCTCGATTTGAACTCGGCAGCCCAGAGGTACCCGGAACCCACTACAGTAGCAGCAAACACTAGCTTCACTGGAAGCGACATGCCCACGTGCTTGTGGCCTGCTGGGTGAGGGGTTGGCGGGTTGGAAGAGGCATAGCGGGACTGCTGTTGTTGGAAAAGTCGTGGTCGGGAGAGATTACCGCGCAGAGCTGCTGATGGGCTTTGTTGGGCTGTGAATCCCCGGGCAATGCCGCGAGGGCTGGCGGCGGCGGAGCGACAAGCGGCTACGGCGTGACCCAGATATGGCATACTGACTATAGACTAGTGACGAATGAGACCTTGCGGGCGAGTGATTGTCGCTTAGCGAACGAATGGGAAAACAGCCTTGGAACCCGCCCTCGCCCCCTTCCGCGTTTGCATGTGCTTCTTCTCTCGTTGATGCCGTCAATTTAACCGATTCCTACCGTCAGTCCGCATCCTGCCGCATTCCACACAGCAGAGGCTTCGGACTGCCGACTCAGTGCCGAGGACATATGGAATGCGTCGACGCCGATGGTTTCGCAGTGCCTGCATCTAAAACGAGCCCTGGGTAAACTCAGAGAAGTTAACAAAGAAGCTGTCGCCTGCCCCTACATAATACGCAAGAGCAAATGGGATTTCTATTTGAGACATGTAGTGCAGTCTCTTCCCTCAGCCTTCAGGATGGGTGCTAATGACTATGGGAAGTATATATGACGAGTATAACCGCATGACAACATCTGAACCTATGGAGATTTATCTGTTGAAGTGTGGGAAGGGGTATCGAGGCACGGCGCACGGCGGCCATCAAGCAAAGCGTGCCTCGGGTTCCTCGGGGGGGAAAGTTCCAACGTCCAAGACGCAAACCAATCAGGCGATGGGCCGCGTATCACACAGGCCGCACGCGTTCTTATCCCGCCTTCAAGTCTTCAACAGTCAAAAGGAAAGGCTGGGCAACTCCCCTCCACTGAAACCATAAAGCACAAGCAGACACATACAGCATATGGCCCAGTCGCAACCGGACATCGTCGGCTCCGGCTTGACTGACCACACCGAGGGTCAAACTCCGGCTGCAGACGTTTTGGCGCAGGTATGTGGGGTCTTTTGTTTGGCGGAGCGGTCCATGTTGTCACCAGCATCACCGTACCAGTGAGCCTCCCAAAGAGGCCGCCGAGACTCGACACGACGATGTCGCATGGGCTTCGGCAACACGTCGTTGTACCTTCGGGAAAGCATCACTCATAACTTACCCCCAATACCTAGTTAGACGAAACAGTGCCGAGTGTGGTTCAGCAACCCAGTGGAGTTCAAAACATGCCAGCAATGTCGGAGAGTCCCACGCCACCAGACATTGACCGTTCGAGCCCGGAGAGTAAGCATTTAGAAGAGCGGCGAGGTCCCGCACGTCCCTACACTCCTCCGAACGATCCGAACTCTCCTCGCCGCGATTCTAGGGGCCGCGCCGATTTCTCGCCGTCCCTCCACATTCCGCGTCGGAATACGCATGTCATAGTGAGGCCACCCATTGTTGAAAGCTATCGAGGACGAGACTCATCTCCAGTGAGAACTGAATATGGAGGCGATGAGGATGATACGGTATCAGTCCGGTCCGCTCTCGCCACGCGGACTCTCAAAGCAGCTCGCCCGTCTCAACGCGTCATAACGAAGTCGCAGAAGATTTCCAGTATACAGAATGTCTTTAGCGAAAGCCAGAAGATCGCGTATGTGGGGTTATGCTACCTGAGTGTGGTGCATCATCCGAAGGCAGATGTCAAGGGGTTGAAGAAGGCAAACGACAGTTACTCTACATGGGCAGACCACTTCATGGAGAAGCTTTATGTGTTTTTGGACATCAAATCTGAAGGTACGGGCGTTGATGTTTCACTTTCTTTGGAACGGCAAATGCTGATTGTTTGTATGTTCATTAGAGCGATCAATGATCAAGAGCTTGGCAGAACATGGGTTGGTGCCGTCAGATCTCTCCAAGTCCCTGATTGACGACGCAAAGAAAGCTGCAGCTATGATCAGTGAACGCCAGGAGAAACGGCAACGAGCAGAAGAAGAGGCGATGGAAAAAGGCCTTCCCTTCGACTTTGATGACTCCCAAGAGAATGGAGTCGACGACGCTGAGCTGACAGATATCCGCTTCACGATCCTGACGCATTTATTCATTCTCTGCATCATGGACGGGCAGTACGATTCCCGCAGTCGCACGGTTCTGAGATCGGTGGCCCAATATTTGGAGATACCCTGGGCGGACGTTGTCCGATTGGAAGGAGCGATCGCGGATCAGTTGAGAATCTACGAGGATAGCGAAGAAGTCAAAGGAGACGTTGAAATCGTAGGGAAGAGGAATCGGGCCGATACAAAGAATCGATGGCTGTTTACCGGGATAGCTACTCTCGCTGGAGGAGCCGTTATTGGTCTGACAGCAGGTCTGGCTGCTCCTTTGATTGCTGGTGGGATTGGCGTGGCACTAGGAACGTTCGGTGTGACCGGGGCGACTGCAGCGCTGTCCACAACTGGAGCACTGGCCCTGATCACCACGGGGGGTGTCCTCACTGGCGGAGGTACGTTTGGAAACTTTCCCGCGTCGGTTGTGTCGTGCAGCAAAATGACTGAATCAGTGCAATCCAGGAATGGGAGGGGTGAAAATGATGAAACGAACAAAAGGCATCACACAGTTTGAGTTTCTTTACATCGAGGACGGTTTGCGGATGATTGAAGAGAACAAGGAGAAGCGTAGAACGGAGCGGCGGAAACGCCGACGTCGAGAAGCTCGAGAAGCTTTACATCAGAAGCTTGACCAGCAGAAAGCCGATAAGGAGCAAGCCCAAGATGCGGCGAAAGGCGAAGCTCCCGGAGAACCAAACAAAGGGGACGACGCGAAAGAAGTGTACATTTCGGAGGCATCTCGGGAAACAGAAGAAGAGCCCTTGCCGCGGTATGAGGCGATGACGCAGGAAAAGTTCGATCGTATCGGCAATTGGGTGAATACGACTTCGGATCAGCGGATGGACTCGGACTCTACCGAAACTGTCGAGACACCAAGTCGAAGTCTCCCTCCACCAATACCACGGAGGCCGACCGCTGCAGAGTTGGAGGGCGTGGCAACCGCCCGATTGAGCGTTTCCGGTCCGTCCAATCCGGCTCGAAGGTCGAGGAAAGCTTCGGCTGTTGATACATCAGCCCCAACCTCGGCGGCGGATGAGGGGAGGCATATCGCCCCAGAATGGGGCATGGAGGAAGGCTTTACGTGGCCTGACACGGAGCCAAATCCGAACGATGATCTCCATGGAGACTCCGAGCCCGCTGATCTCAGCAAGGCGGACAGCACACTTCTGTGGGACTCTCGCAACCAACTAGTGGAAAGCGACTATGCCACCTCCACGGCGCATTCACGGAAACAGAGCTTCGATGCAGGGAGTTTGGGTGATGTGGGTACCATCGACGAGGAAATGGCGGCGGTTATGTTCGATGACCTGCAATCGACCATTGCAGGCGATGAGGTGGACGAAGATGGACTGCGGTTCAAGGAACCTGAAGGACCCCCGAAAGCGAAACAGACCAATGTCCTCATCACCGTCGCCGGGTGGATCACATACGGTCCTGATGACCATACCCTTCCGTTCTCCACTATGGAGCGAGATATCGCTGGCGACCAGTACGCCTTGGCTTGGGAGACAGACACGCTTCAAGAGCTGGGAAGCGCTTTAAAGCTTCTGGTCGGCGAGGTTGCCAGTTTCCTTGTGCAGCAGGGCTTGTCTGCGACCGTCTTGTCAACGCTCATGCTGGGACTTGCTGGCCCACTGTGGGTCATGAAGCTTAGTTATCTGGTAGACAACCCGTGGGGCATAGGCTTGAGCAAAGCCAACAAGGCTGGCAAGGTATGTATCTGCCGTGGCAAGTCGTTTCGATAAGAGTCGGTCTGTACTCACCCCCCAATCATAATCTGCAGATCTTGGCCGACACATTGATACAAGGTGTGCAGGACAATAGACCGGTCACGTTGATCGGATACTCTCTCGGCGCCAGAGTCATTTTCCACTGCCTGCTCGAACTCGCCAGCCGTGGTGCGTACGGTATCGTGGAAGAAGTGTACCTTCTCGGATGTCCCGTAATGGCACAAAAGAAGGAATGGGAACAAATATCTTCCGTCGTCTCCGGTCGCCTTGTGAACGGATACTCTACGAACGACATGGTTCTCGGAGTTTTGTATAGAGCCAGCGTTGCTGTTTGGAACAACGTAGCAGGCCTACGTCCTGTTGAAGGCGTGGCGGCGGTGGAGAACATCTCACTTGATGATGTGATCCAAGGGCATCTGGATTACCGTCTTTGTATGCCGAAAGTACTAGAGAAGCTCGGATTCCCGATAACGAAAGATTATTTCGATGACGAGGATGAGGAAGAAGAGAGAGAACGGTTAGAGCTCGAGGAAGAGCAAAAGCGGGAAAAGGAGGAGCGCCTGCGGGCCAAGGAGGAACGATTGAAGAAGAAGCAGGAAGAGTACGAAGAGAAAGTACGGAAAAAGAAGGAAGAGCAGGAACGGAAGCAGCGGGAAAGGGAAGAGCGGGACCGACTCAAACAGGAGCAGCGTGCTGCGGAGTTGGCAAGTGCTGGTAGCCAACCGCGACGGAGTTGGTTCTCGCGGAGGAGCATTCCTCCTCCTACTCCGAAGACACCTACGGAAGCGACGGATGATATCGATGAGCAGTGGACACCGAAAGAGATTCAAAGCACACTGCCGCCTCTGGTGATTACTGCTGACGAGGACCAGATGTTCGTTCCCAAGGAGATCCAAAGCACGCTCCCGCCATTGGTTATCCGCACGATCCACTTCCCCGAGGACGTGTCCGGAGCCAGTACTCCTCAAACAACGGGGGTCGATGAGCTGGCAGAGGCCCGATCGGATCTTCAAGCCGCCCAAGCGGAAGTGGACGCCGCCAAAAAGGAAGTACATCAAGCCCGACGAGCCGTGGCTGCTGCAACCCTTCTTTCCAAAACAGCGGCACAGCAACACCCGGCCGAGATTCCCAAGATCGCAACCGACCTGGACGACGAATACCTGAAGAAAGTTTTGCTTGCGGCAGGACCCTCGAGCGCAGGTGCTGGGGACTTATTGGACTCGCATCGGGCCGAGTCTCCCGTTCTCGAAGATCCGGAATCGGCTACGCCTACAGGCGTACCACCCGTGTTGGAAGATCAGGCAGCGTGGAGGATAGGGACGCCCGATCGGGAACTATCGATCGCGTTACCTTTCACGGCTGCATCGCCTGGCGGAGCTGTTTCGAACACATCAGATGTTACGTCGTCGAATTCGGCGTTTGTGGATGCTGAGGAGAACCCTTGGTCTGGCTGATCTGCCAACGGAAAGAGCGCGGATGGTCGAATGCAATGCCCTTGGCCTCGTGTCAAGCAGCCCATCAGTGCCGCGCAGTGGTGTGTTGGAGGAACCCAAGAACCACAAATCTGGAATCTCCGCGGTCGCATCCTCTCGCAATCCCAGCACACATTCGAAGATACCTAACCTTAGACAGAAGCTGTATTTCTCCCCTCACAACCCTTTACCTCCCCTGCGTACCTGACTCCACTGATAGCTAGTTCTAGGCTGTTATCGTGTTACATAGAGAATCGTTACATGTATTGTGTCTTATTGTTTCTCCGTAGACAGCGCACATCGACTCGTCAGCCCGAGGAGGAAATGAGCGAGGTCGCGCTGTCAGAACCCGGCAATATTGGAAGTCCGCCCACCCATGCAATTGCCAAAGCTCAGTCTCGGATTCCTCGACACCATGTGGGCTTTGTACGTTGTCCCATTCATGCTGTCGAAGACTTTTCGAACTACGTGGGCTTCTTTACCACTTTTCAATATCGCCCATACTTAGGTTACAGAAAACATGTGAAATGTCGGGCTACGGAAGCTACGCTAAAGAGTTGTCTATAATCTATTGTTCACCGCTGCTTGTCTCGATTAGTAAAGACCATAAGCAAGAAAGCAATCACGCGGGAAGCGGCGCCGAGGATGAAAATCATGGCACAATCGAACCCGAACCGCTCTAATGTGAAACCTTGCACGGCCGCGGAGGCTTCGATTTCGTATATGCCCTTGAAGGGGGCGGTGTACTCGTGATACAGCGCTTCGGCCCCCCATCGATTGTAGGATATATCCTGTTATTTCGAGTGACAGACGACTGATCAGGTGGTCTTTCTCAGCTTTGCATTATGTGTCTGACTTGCAACTCACCCAGATGAAGACTATATGCCAGCTCCGAGCTTCCTTCAACGAAGGCCCAAAGCCGCAGAAGATAGCCGCGAAGAGGCATGTCACGACCGCCATTAGGTTTGCATTCTTCCGATCGACGATCATACTTACGATCGCCGCCAGGCCGTAGACGCCATAGAACTCGAGGAAGATGATGGCGTACTGTCGTCCGAATGGCGACTGAGGCTTTGCGAGGAGAACAAAGAGTGATGTGAAGTGGAGCGCGGCAAAGACGAACCGGTACACTGCTGCGATGGTTTTGCCGATGTAGTAGGAGCCGATGTTGTGCCCTGACGCCGCTTCCCGCCAGTAGACCGGCCTCTCTTCTGCAAATACTTTGACTCCCGCGGGTGCGCCCTGTCCGTATAGAAAAACGTGATTTGATCAGTCACCGGTCTTGACACTTTGATGCCCACCGAGATCACATGAGACATACAGCTAACGACACAATGATCCCAATGAGAAGCCCAGCGAGAGGAACAAACCACATCAAGGGCGCGGGTGATATATAGGAGTAGGGGCTAACATATACTCCTTCGTACATCTGCTTTCCCCCGGTTGCGAGTCCTGTTGCCAAATTTTCGTTGTTTAGCACAATCGTGAAACATCCAAGATAGAGAGCAACTTCCAGCGGAAAGCGTCCTACCCATCAACGCGCCACAAAACGTGCCACTTCCAATCTCCAATGCTAGTGAACTCAGCGTTCTGTACTGCTGCAACAGACTTCGATTGTGACAATGCCACAACTGGCTGTACCACGTCCCACCGCGGCCTTTAACCAATTCAGGAATCGCATTATGGAACTCCTCGTCGAGGGAGCTGCTCTCCACAACCTGCGGAGCGGCACTCGACGGAGATGTATGCTGTTCCCAAGCATGTACCAAGTCCGCCGGCGTCAGGATCCGTTCCTTGTTGATGCCGCTACCAGCAAGGATGTCCATGAGCAGGTCGGCCGGATTGCATCGTTTATCGAACTCGAATCCCATTGCTTCGAAATAAGGCTGTGCTTCAGAACTCGGGCCCATGTACGCGGTCTTTCCGCCGGGAACAAGCAATATGATGTCGTCGAACGCTCGGAAGATCTCGTAACGAGGTTGATGTATAACCGAAACGATGGTGAGACCTAGACCTGCTACGTCTTTGAGGTTTTGGCATACTGACAGTGCTGATGTCGAGTCCAGGCCACTGGTCGGCTCATCCAGGAATAGCGTGATGGGGACACCTGCGAGCTCGATGCCTATGTTGACCCTCTTCCGTTGCCCCCCACTGATTCCCCGCGTTGTCTCGTCTCCTATCGGCGAGTGCGCAACATGCGATAAGTTCAAGGCCGCTATCACGGCGTCCGTGTAGTCTTCGACTTCTTTGGCCGTCCATGAAGCAGGCAGCTTGACACGCGCGGCATGATGGATGTTCTCCTTCACGGTCAGTTCCCGGTGCATGATATCCTCCTGTTGAGACCGTATCGGTAAGATTGGAGACGGATGGTAACCGTATGATGCGTTCATACCTGCGGCACATAACCTATGATTTTCTTGAACTTGTGCATCTCACTTTCTTTGTTGTTGATGTACAATGTTCCGTTCGTTCGAGGCACTTTGCCCATCAGCACCTGGAGGTGATGTCAATAAGGGAGAAACGAAGTCGGTAACCAGAATGCACAAACTGGAGAACTGAAACGTACGTTCATGAAGGTTGTCTTGCCTGCCCCACTCGGTCCCATGATGGCGGTCAGTCGCCCAGCTTTGATCTCCCCATTCACGCCCTCCAGGATAGACTTTCCGCTCTTCAGTTTCAGTCCCAAGCTATGAAACCTGAAATCCATTTGCAAGGGTCTCCGGCCAAGCGCACGCTGAAACGCTTGGACCAGATGGCTACTGCGTGGAGCTCCCCCAGGACCGGTGGTCAAGGGTTTCGTGACGCCTACTTCAACGTCCTTCCCCGACTCCATCAGCATCCCAAAGTTCTGAGAACCCCAGCGTTTAGTATTCTTTGTGTCGATAACCACTTCTCGTGACGCCTGTGGAGTTGACCCCGGCTTGGATGATAAGGCTTTACTCTGTAAGCGATGCACTTGGTATAAGGTTGTACTTGTGCCGGCGAGGCTTTGTGAGTGTCTTACCGAAGAAGATGGGGTCACTATCGCATCCATCCGTGATCTACGCTCCTTCCGGCTTTGAGCCCAAACAAAAGCGAAAAACAGCGCATCCAGCACAAGACAGATGACCAGGCCTCCGAAGTAAGCGGGTGTCTGGGTTCCCTCTGGGCATCCTGAGAGTGGCTGACACTTGATAGGCTTCACAGTCCCTGTGGGACTAACAGAATGCAATGAGTGCAGTATATCAGTACAAGTACCCATCCGGAATGATGTCCTATAGACAGGAACACTTACCAATAGTAGCCTTGTGGACATATAAGCAGGGTGTTTTGGTCCGGACAATACGAACCGCCTGGGCAGCCCAGCGGCTCATAATCTCCTTGAGGCTGAATGAGGAGTCATTCGCAGAACCAGGTTAGTCAATAGACTGCTTCGTCGGTTTCTTCCGAGGTGATTGATGAAATAACAGCCTACCTCGCAGGCCCAGCCCAGGAGGCGGTCTCCAACGCAGCTTGGGGACGGTGTGCAATACTGCGGGGGGCGATTATCGACCGTTGAGTTTGGGCAAAAGAAGCCCGGAGAGCATACGGAGTCCGCCTGAAGATCGATACACGGCATCGCAGAATTGATGAAACCGCCGTTATCGAAGAGCAAGTTGGCCAAAAAAGGAGGTCAGGAACGAGACCTGGCTTCAACAGCTTTTGTAGTCTCAACGTCACAGCGCTCCGAGAGACAGGAACTTGATCCAAACCAGGCACAATCAACGCCACTCTCGGACAGAGTTTTGGAGGTTCTTTCGTAAACGAGATGTTTATTCAGAGCGATTCGACGGCGAAAAAAGAGAAGCTTATGTGGAATAAAGCCTTGCAACGCGAACAAACCAGGAATAGAAGGCAGGGAGGAGCCTTGTTGCTAGAGAGTATCCCATCATGACAGCATCGATGAACGAGCAGAGCTGCGTTCACCTTGAGCAAGAAAACCTACCCCCCTTACTCCGCGGTCCGCGGCCGTCATCTTGGCCATTTTCCAGGCATTTCCAGCCGAGATTGCGCGTTCTTTGTTCGGAAGGAGCCGGGGGCAGGAAGAACAAGTAGTCCACGGCGTCTTTGCTACATGGTCGTCGGTAAAGGGACTGACCTCAAAAAAGGTGAGGGATGGTTGTCCTGCAAGCTGCTCCAGCAGCGCCGCGGAGGGCAGAACTCAGAAAGCAAAAGTCCACGCGATAGAACCACGGACTGCGCACAGTTAGCGAACCCGCGGTTCCGGGTTCAGAAATCTATGCTTACACACATGGAGCGATAAACATTCTGCCCAGGACCCACTCGCCATTCGCGTGAACCACTGAAACTAATCTCCTACAGTCGTTAATTTCCCATTCATTCCTTTGCTGCTGTTTGACTCATTTTTCTATATCTTCATCGTCGCTAGGAGCGGCTTTTGATGAAGAAGATGAGAGAGATGGAGGTCGCGGATCTATAGACGCCGCGGTGTTTTAAATGCGGCAGCAGTCAGGGCGACACGGAGGTCGCAAAGTGTTGAAACTGTCCAAGTTCCTTCTGCGAAACGTGCCGAGCGGCGGGCTCCCTGGCATCACACATGTGTCTGTGGTAGTATGGCGGTGACCGTCATAGCAGCACTCAAAGGCGTCTGGAAAGACTTTGATCACCCTCTCTCGTTCTCTCTTGCTTAATTTCTTCACATTTGTCTGTACGCGATATTCATTCTCCTCCGTTGGCATCTGATGTTCCTCCCCAGACGTTGACTGACTTGTTGGATGTTCACACCAATTGGATGCGCATTTCTATGTCCAGTTCAGAGACGGTTGCTTTGATCGAGGGCGATGCTTGCTTCTCGACCATCCAAGCACCTGTCTTTCGACAACACTCAAAAACGATTCTACCAAGAGCCGAACCTGGACCATTGGGCCATAGAACCCAAAATGTCTGCATGTCTTGTTGTATGCATCTGGTCGTTCAGAACCATGTCCTAGAAACGGAAAGTGTAAGGAAAAGGCGACTTCTGTGCTGTTTGTTCTGGACGCGTTCACTCCATGCGTTGAGCTACATTTCACCCCGGGGCGCCTGCCGGACACGCCTGCGTCCGAACCTGAAATGCGTAAAGTCTCGCTTGCGGTCAGCGTTTCTGTCTATATACTGTACAATATGGTACATATCTGGCGCTAGGGGCGAAAAGCAACATTCTCTATCAGAGGGGCTCAAGCTTTCTTATTCAGGGTGCCATAGTTGTGGATCCGACAGCCAGTCCCCTGACGACTACGAGCTTAAACGCTAACGTCCGAACCATCTCCGACGATCTCTGGCATCGCGTGTCTGAGGAGACGGCCCATTCCCACAATACCCGGGGTCCTGAACGCTGTCAAGTACATCACGTCCATCGAGGACGGAGAAGAGGACCGATGAAGGCGCAACGGGTCCTCGTCACCACAACCAACAGGCCAAGCGATCCTACCACACGCGCACCCACCCGCAACCAACAAGCACTCAAAGTGGTGGTTCGTGTCCGCCCCCCGAAAAACGCAAATTGCGAGCTCGCCGCAACAGTCGAAGAAAACAGCAAAGCCGGGAAGGCACGGATCGTCATACCAAAGCCGTTCCACGACAATGGAACAAAAGCCTATAGCTTTGACAAAGTCTACGGGCCGAAAGCGGGACAAGCCGACGTATTTGTCGAAGTGGAGAACTTGCTGAAGGATGTCTTTGATGGAAAGAATGCGACGGTGTTCGCATATGGGCAGACTGGGAGCGGGAAGACGCATACTATGAACGCCTACTCGATGACAGGGAGCATGAATAACCCAACGATCACGATTGTGCGGGAGGACGCGGGGATAACATACCGGGCGGTGGACTGGATATTCGATCATATCCAGCGGCATGAACTGAATGCGAGGGTGTGTGCGTCGTTTTTGGAGATATACAATGATGAGGTGTACGACCTGTTGCCGCGGTCGGCGGCGACTGGCGAATTGCGCAAGCTGAGGCTGATGACCGCAGGGCGAAAAGTTACGGTGCAAGGACTGTCTGAAGAAGTCGTTGCCGATTCCGCCGCCTTCGAGAAGCTGTTCGTGGTAGCATTACTGCATCGCACAACAGCGGGAACGAAACTCAATGTGTTATCTTCACGGTCGCATTTCATGGTGCAACTGACAATTCGGATAGCTGGCGAGCACAAAGATCTTACTTCGAAATTGGCGCTGATTGACTTAGCTGGCTCTGAGGACAATCGCTACACGGGGAATGAGGGGGAGCGCTTCGAAGAGAGCAGACACATTAATGCGTCGTTATTTGCAATACGAAATGTGGTTTCGGCGTTGAAGGATAGCAAAGCGCAAATCCCATATCGAAACTCGAAAATCACGCAGTTACTGTGCGATTCCCTCGGCGGGACGGCGAGCTCTCTGGCGGTAGTTTGCTGTGCGCCAGAGCTGGATAATTTGCACCCGACGCACAACTCACTTGAGTTTGCAAAGGACTGCTGCTTCATAAAGAACTGCGTGGAAGTCAACGAGGTGCGGCGGAAACCGCGAATCAGCGACAACACCGAGAAGGAGATGCGGGTCCCAGAAGCTATTACAACCTCTGAACGGCGTCCATCAAGAGACAACAAGGAGAATGAGAGTAGCGAGCAGAAAGTGTCTCTGAAGGACGTTGAGAAGCTGTTCAGACCGATGATGGAGGTACTTGAGTCGCTCAGATTCGTCACAACCGCGGAAACTGCGAAACTGAACGAAGACCTGTTTTCTCAGACGCTGATAGCAGAACGCGAAATCCAGCTTCGACGTACCCTCAACACGGAAAAGGAGGAACAGCAGGTGGTCGTTGACAACATTTTGCGCGTCATGAACACCGCGGGGTTGAAAGAGCTGAAGGCGTTGAAGATGATTGGAACGCAACGTGCGAATAAAATCATACAAGCGAGAGAAACGAAGCCATTCGAAACCGTATGTTTGCGTCGATTGCATATGCGAAGCGGGACTCGCTTTTCATTCCTTTCCATCTTGGCAGCCGCATGATCTCATGCGAATAGGATTGTCTCAGGAGCTCTTGAACACCATATTACAGGTGCGTTCCACACCTTACTGGGGTTTCATACGGGCTGCCGACAGCTGACTGGTCCCTCCCTATGCCTCTGTCGCTAGATTAATTTCCAGATGCCGATGAACATCTTATGATGTCGCCAAACGGCGGACATAGGACATGGACGGATTTTCATGGATTTTGAACCATCGTACACTGTATATTTTCTGTACATTCACGTAGACACTATCGGGCTGAAAAACAATGCATCTGCTGCCCAAAAGAAATGATCCGGCAGAAAATACTGTCAATTCATCGGAAACAGTAAATCTGCGGATGCCCTCTGTGCGACCAACTCCCTACTTCCGTGATTGTCTCCGAGCCCGAGCCAACACTAGAAGAGCATTAATTCAAGAACGGGAACCGAGGCACTATGCTTCATCAACAGTGACGGTACAACTGTATTTTCGAATAATATCGTTCGCTATGATCTAGGCGGCCGCCTTCACGCCAGGAGCATTGGGATCCTTCCTCAGCGACATGAGAAGCTGCTTCATACGGGCCGTGTCCCGAACCTTCACAGTCTCTTTATTTTTATTGGCATCCTTCGACTTATCGGCCTTTGCGTCAGCGCCGGTTGTCGTAAGACGGCCTTTGTTAAGATCGACGACCTTTCCCTTAGTAGTGCTGCTGCCTGACGCGGTTTGGGTTACTTGCTCAATTTGTTTCACGACACGGTCCTAGAAATGCGAGGTGTATATCAGCGGACTCATTCCTTGAAAGTAGGCACGTTTTCGCATGATTTCGTACCCAGACGGTGCCACTTGTAGTGTCGTCCCGGTCAGCAATAGCCTTCGTCTCCTGATCCTTATTTCTTGCAACACTCTTTGCTTTCTTCTCGTTATATTCAGCATAGAACCTCTCTAAAGACTCCTTGGCGTTCCTAAGCAGCTCCTGCTGTTTCGACTGAGATTTGGCATCGCGGTCGGCGATGAGAGCCTGGAAAGAAGCTCGCCATTCGCGAATAACTTCGGGCTCAACTTCGGGTTCGGCTGGGAAGGCGTTTGAGGTGGCGCTGGTGGCATCGAAGCTGTTCTGAGACGAAGCACCCGTGTGTTCGAAGGGTAGGGGCATGGCCGCTGCAGCGTTCAATTCGGACGAGAAGCCGGGCTAGCGAAGAATACAGCCGTTAGTCAATTTGGTAGCCCATAAAGGAAATCCGCAAATTCGCGTTTCCCACCCCAGGAGAGGCCCGCTTCCGATAGTGGTAGCAGGAGAGAGTGCTGGTGCACACTCTTCCGTCTCACTTTCCACATTCCCACTACTCGCTTTACGTGCTGACGCGGACACTGGCCGTTCTGTTCTCATGCTCTCACCTGGGAATCGAACGCGTCTGTTGCAAAGCCCTCCACGATGGGACCCGGTGTGGCACTGGCGAAGTCGGGAACACCGGATGACTGCACCGGTCCGTCAAAGTGGTTTCCGAAGAGGGCAGCATCATCACCTAGCAGTGCCTTCTCCCGCGCCAAGAAATCAGCAGTAGGGTCACTGAAGTCGCCAAAGTCGCCGACAGGAGGCGCACCCCCCGATGGAGTGCCCGAAAAGTCGCCGAATTCCGACATGCTGGCGAGGTTAGAGTTGGAAGGGTTTGAGGGAGTCTTCGCTGCTAGTCACTGATTCGCTTGACAACTTTATCTAGGACCTTTGCCTGTTGTTTCGCCGATGGTGGCTCGTTTGCTGGGTGATGCTGGAGATGTTCGTTCGCCCAAGGTCGGCCGCTCGCGCCGCTCTCGCCTCAAGCCAGCTATGCGCTAATACCCTTTGACGTGGGTGGCGCAGGTCGAGTGTGACTCACCCCGGTTGAAATGCAAAGCGCGACTCTTGAATTTGAAGCGAAGCGCGTTCCTGCTACTTCAAGAAAATCATCGATGTGACGAATCCTGATCTGCTTGATTAGGATTTGCTCGCTTTGGAGTTCGGGCCCCTAATCATTCTGATTAGGAGAAGTGGACCCCAGATCTCGGACGTTCTTCCCAACAGATGGCGAGCGATAATCCCGCCGGTCGTCTCACAAATAGAAAGCGTTGCATTTCGTCGGTGCGAAATTTCGAGAGCCATCCTGCACAGAAGCATCGACAGCTGCAATAACACATACATACCATGTTGCTACACCGCGCTGCCCTCAGGTCTGCTGCAGGCCTTCGTCCCCGGGTGTTCCCCGGACTGCGGGGAATGGCTACCGCTGGTCACCAGGTGAGTCTTTGAATCCCTTGTGAACGGTCATGCAGAAGGGAATCGTACAGGGAACGATGGCTCCAGCAGAAGAAATTCGGAAACGAACACGCCGAGCAGGATGGCAAACACTACTTGCGGAAGTAGCGGTGCAGAATGTTTGACTCAGAGACCCTTTCTAACCGATTGACGTTATCAGATGACCGTGCGTGAGGCCTTGAACCAGGCTATGGAAGAGGAGATGAGGAAGGACAAGTCGGTCATTCTTCTCGGTGAGGAGGTCGCTCAGTACAACGGTGCATACAAGGTAGACTTTCTGAAAGCTGTCTCAGTGTGTGTGTGAAAAGGACAAGTTGCTCACTCTAGTTCGAACAGGTGTCGAAAGGTCTGCTCGACAAGTTTGGACCCGACCGTGTGATCGATACCCCAATTACCGAGATGGGTTTCGCTGGAATTGCTGTGGGAGCTGCAATGGCAGGATTGAAGCCCATTTGTGAATTCATGACCTTCAACTTCGCGATGCAGGTGGGAGATTGGGGAATCTTTCGATAAGCGGGGATAGCGTTCCCATGGCTGATACTTTTTGCGGTAGGCCATCGACCACATTGTCAACTCTGCAGCAAAGACTCGCTACATGTCAGGCGGTATCGTCGGCGTTCCAATTGTGTTCAGAGGACCGAACGGAGCAGCTGCCGGTGTTGCTGCGCAGCACTCTCAGGACTACGCGGCTTGGTACGGACAAATACCTGGATTGAAGGTTGTCAGCCCATGGAATGCCGAGGACGCCAAGGGTCTGATGAAGGCCGCGATCCGTGACCCCGACCCGGTTGTTGTTCTGGAAAACGAGATCATGTACGGCGTCACGTTCGACGTTTCCGATGAGGTGGTGAAGGATGACTTTGTCCTTCCTATCGGAAAGGCGAAGGTTGAGAAGGAGGGATCGGATATCACAGTCGTTGCCCACTCCAGGGCTGTTGGTCAAAGCTTGGAGGTCGCCGAGGAGCTGGCAAAGCAAGGCATCAAAGTGGAGGTAGGCCTCGGTTTGTGCCCCTAGTCGCATTTACCTGGGGTATTTCTGATCCCGGGTCCTCCCATTCAGGTCATCAATCTTCGTTCCATTCGTCCCCTGGACATCGACACGATCATCAAGTCCGTCAAGAAGACCAACCGCCTAGTGACCGTCGAAGGCGGTTTCCCCCAATACAGTGTCGGATCCGAGATTTGCGCGCAGATCATGGAATGTGAGTGATGGGAGCTGATGTTGATGTTGATTGTACCGGAGACTCATCGACTTCGTCCACAGCCGAAGCATTCGATCACCTCGATGCGCCTATCAGCCGTGTGACCGGTGCCGACATCCCAACACCTTACGCCAAGAACCTAGAAGACCTCAGCTTCCCACGGGTCGAGGTCATCAAGAACACCATCTTGAAGACGCTCAACCGCAAATAGATACCATCTGCATCTGCATCGCACCACCACTTCCGTTGCGCCCCATCCTCCGATGCTCGTTGCGTGAGAAAAGCTCCGATAGAGTTTTTTCATTGAACATTATTTCCCCGGGGTTTTCCTCAATTTGCACGCACGCATGTATATGTAGTTCCTCTCCTCTTCCTCTGTCACATCACTGGTTGCCGAACATGGTTTACTCTCGTAGCCCCGAATACAGGTGTATTCTCATGTCCGTCACCCAGCTCGTGTAGGACCCACTTTCGAGCTGTGGACATTTTGATAATGCTGAGGTAAGCCAGTTTCGGGTAACTGCTCTTTTTGGACACCCACCGTACAGCTGTACACACTCTGTATATAATGACGGAACCCTCCCTCATGAGCCAAGTCTTCAGCACCATTCCTACAACGTCTCTCAGCTCCCTCCCCTTTGATTGGAAAAACAATGATCGACAGATATCAAATGTACCGTGCATCGTCCATCGGCGTGGCGCTGACTGAGACGTTGGATCACCTCGTCAGCACACACCCGGGTGCAGTTTAGTGGGTTTTGCGCGTCGAACGTAATACGGGAGGAAAAAACTGGTCTCTTTTGTCCTTGTCCCCGGGGGCCGGAGAGTAACGAGGATAAGGAGCCGTACCCAGACTGCGGGTGGAGTTACGACGGTGGGGATCCGTACGGAATCCCCTTGAAACCTATGCTGTGGTCCTAGAGCTGGTTCCCACCTGTCATAACCTGAAGTCTTAACCTGGCTACAAGTTTGACAGATTAATCTCCGAAGCACTGCGCCATCTCCTACCCTAACAGCGTGATGCTGCCCATATGAAGCCCCTCCTAGATCCTCTCCTTCCAACGCAATAGGGCCGAATGAGACCAGATCGGAAGCGAGCGAGTGAGGTTGTAAGTTTGCGGAGGGGGGTTCGTGAGGCTTTTTTCCTCGAGCTGGATCATTTCTGTTATGCAGGATCGCTTGCCATGCGATCTGAGATGAGAATATTCTGCTATTTCGCATACCTGTCCCTTTCGCCATCCATCTCGAACGTTAGCGAGATTTGGATGGCGATATTATATAGCCATTTCTTTTGTACCTGTCGTAAATGTAACATAAAATGTCAAATACGTAACATTGTCAAATCTTCAACTTTGGAGGAGGAATAGAAGGTTGCATGGCATGGAAGCGGCACTCGTTCACCTGGAGGCTGGTGGTCTATCCGCCACTCTCTGACCTTGATCAACACCACGTTCCACTTTTGTGGTATTCTCTCTATGCAGATGTTATTGATAATGTACATATATACAAACTGGGGACAAACCCTCAGAGATTGGACTCCCCAATCTTAACCCACGGAGAAATGGAAGCAACGCGCCAGCCCTCTATATACCTCAGATTCCAAAAGCATGCTTCGCTATACTGTAAAGCCTCCGCGGAATGCCGAGTACGATAGAAAACGAAAAAAATGTGGAGAGGAAACGCCTTGATGGGAGGTATTTGCTATCTTAGATGAAGTTAGCGACAGAGATGAAAAGACCCAAGACGCATGTGACGACAGCGAAACGGGTGTCCAGCTTTGGCGCTGCGGAACTACTGCCGGACGACCCTTGTGCGGAGGTTGCCGGTGGGGTTGTGAGGTCCGGAGGAGTGTTCAGCTTGCGGTTAGCGACGGCGAACCCAATGGTATGGTCGCCGGAGTTGAAGACGGTGTAGAACTTTCGCAGGATCACATTTCCCAGGATAGCCTATGAGAAGGGTGGGGACGCTTATGAGAAAAAGGAATAATGTAACACTGCTCATCTAGGTCTGATAATTACCTGAGGGACGAGAAGCTGTTTGCCGCTCGAGACGGTTGAGCTGGATGAAATGTCCTGCCCTGCAAATCCGGAGACACATAAGATCTGTCCTGGGTTGTCTCCCGGTTGCATGAAAAAGTATTCATTCGGGGAAACGGTCAGATTATGGCTGCCGAACATGAGAGTGACATCGGGGAATCCGGCAGGAATCTTGTTGTCAGAACAGTCCTTGACGTAGAGATATGCTAGAAGCAATGCCACAATTGTCAGTTCGAGTAAATATATGGCATATTCGTTTGCGTTCGCAAAAACCTACGTTCGTTTTGTGTGGCCAACTGGAGTCCCAAGGCCTTGTTCAGCGAATTTGCGACCTTCACTGGGAAAACAGCCAAACTTGTGCCCGTGTCGAAAACCACTCCAAAGTTACTCGACATTCCCAACTTGCCACCGCCGCCGACGTTGATTGAAGACAAGATGGATTGCCAGAAGAGATATACGGGCTCCCCGGCAGCGCTGTTGCCAGATGCCGCTACTGGTACGTATTGCATCGGGCCAGCGACACGGGAGCTGTCGATTCCGCCCAACGACAAGCCGCCGCCAGCGTTTGTCTCGTCGATGAAGTATCCGAATGCTGGTGAGGTGACTTTCTTGTCGGACACCAGGCGCTCCCAGAATGTAGGGATCTGATTTGCGGTGGGCAGGGAGAACGACATTCCCATGATGCCGTCCATATCCGAGGGATTTTGACCTTGTGGGGATGTGATGGACGTTGCAACCTCGAATGTAAGGTTTGCGACGGAGAGGCCGTTAATCGCTGCCGTGTCTTGTACCAGAGTACCGCTGACAGCAGTGCCATCAACGTACTCGATCTTTTCCGCAGCCTGATTGAGAGAGCGGAACGTGGTGCTCTTCGAGGTATCGAATATACCCCCGGCGGTGTTGAGGGTTCCGGCTGTCGTTCGCGCCTGGACCCACAGTGCTTGCGAACCGGTATCAAAGAGGATCGAAAAGTTTTGAGCAGGAGTTCCAAGACTAAGACCTCCGTGATACTGTATTCCAATTGGGTCAGGTTGCGTTATATAGGTTGAACCAGATGTTCTCCACCAACTTACCGCAAAGAGAGTGCCGCCAGCGTCCCCTGTGCCGTTCAAAGAATTGACCACTATTTGCCTTTTTCCAAATCGACCAATTGGAGCTTTCGCCATGTGTTGCGCGATCTTTGCCTTGTGAATCTTATACCGAGGGTTTACGAGCGGGACGCTGCAAGAAACGAATGGCATGGGCGATTAGAATGATCAGAGTTGAGGCCTTCGCCCCCATGGAGACACGGCGGAGAACGTACCTGCACGAGCCCGTGGACCAATCACACGCAGCTTCCGCAGAAGCGGCAAGCAAGCACGCACTGGCGCATACAAGTGACAGCGCTTTCATTGCGCCTGGGGTATGTGGTGTTGTTTTGGTGGAAGGTGGAGGGTTGCCGTGGGAACCCCGAAATATAGGTAGTTTTTCTCTTATGGGCCTGAACTAGGGAAAACAACCGGTCGCTATGAAGGGCGACAACCGCTCAACGAGAACGGTGTGGGATGCACGGTGGGATGGGTGCCCTTGCGTGTGGAACAATCTGCTTCTTTTCTGGCCTCCTGGCTTCTTCTGCTGAAGCCGGTCTCTAGATCTATATATACAGAGTGTATGTATATACCGCACAGTAGCGCCCACCTTGTCCCCGCCGCCCACCTTGCCTCGCCTGCGAGGCCTGCGAATGAAAACATCATCAATTGCCCGCAGCGGCGATCTTGGCACGCGAAATCCCTTATTATTATGTTAAGTGTGCTGAGCCTCATTTACAGAGGAGTTATAGGCACTCGTTGTGCAAGGGGAGTGCAGTTAATAATTATAAATGTTTCGAATCCATGACGTTTGAGCCAAGCCCATTCCCCACATCATCATGATTCATGCCAGTCGACGCTATTTCGACAGCAAGATATGCCTTTTTCATCCGACATCGACACCGTTACCTTCCAACGACGTATTGCCGTCACACATCGACAGTTGCAATCGTACAGTGCATATGCACGGCGTGCATGCAGTTCGCGGCGTGTGCAAACGGGATCTGGATGCTTGTTCGCCTATTGCTCCTCGCACACGAAGTTCTGCATGTGCACATGCAAGTGTCTTAGAGCTGAGGTCAGAACAAGCAGAACGTACTGTACAGTACTTACGGTAGCAGGTGTGGTCCGGCCACACCAGGTCTATCTCCCAGTCCGGATGCACAGAATCTGCTTCCAATATCTTCTCACGGACAGTAAATCTCTCGCCTTCAGACCCCTGGGGTTAGCTATAAGATGGGTATCTGCGCTTGAAGCCAGAGTCGATTCCCTGACGCGCTTCCAAACCGCCAACGTCACGAGCGTGAGTCATATACCCCCCCGTTACCAGCCAGATTGCGTTGCTGGATCTGGATCTGGCTTGCTCGTTGAGGAGTCCATTGGCATTCAGGCATACCAATCCGCCAAACCCATCTTACTACTAGAGCCTCCAAACTCACGAAAGCTGCAGGACCGCTGCGGCATCAACCTCGCGATCGTCGTCGAGTCTCCTTGCGCAGGCTAATTCTGTGGACTTGAGGGGCATCCATCGCTCACTGTCGGATAGACGTCGAAAAGGATACCGCTCAACTAGGGCTTCCTTCGCAACAGCTCGACCAAGCTTTGCATCATGGTCCAGACGAAGGTCACGACGTTCAAAGCACTATCGCTAGTCTTCCTTCTCGCCAAACTACCTTGGGCTGTAGCAAAGCCATCTGATGCGGCGTTAAGAGTTGCCACCTGGCCCAAGCCACCACCAGGACCCGAGTGCTTGAACTTTGGGTCGAAACGCAAGAACTGCACCTGCGAGCCTCAGATCGGTTTCCCGCTCGACAAAGTTCTGGGGACTTTGGACGATGATTACAGCTGTAACTGCCCTGTTGGATTCGGTGGAAGAACTTGTGGCGAACCATGTAAGCCTGCTGTCGGGAAATATGGATGGGATGTTCGGGGAAACGGGCTCACATGTCTCTGCATTCAGTATGCGACTCGCTGGCAAGCGGGCCCAATCGGTCACCTCGCCCCAGCGATAAGGCTTCCTGCGATTGCACGGACGGCTGGACAGGAATCAATTGCAACAGTAAGGAAAAACGCGATGGATTCGAACCGGAACAGCGTCTCACCACTGGTCTCTTGGTTGATCAGTTTGCATGCGGGATGATGCATGTACGACCTTGAACCCTCCCAGAGATCCCGAATTTCCAGTTCCTGGTACCCCTGAGCAAGACTTACCAGTATGTTACTCTGGGATCAGACCTGCCACCGGCACCAACTATCTTCAATGCGAAGTTCGAAGTAAGCCTCCGTGAGCGCCTGCGTGCTATGAGGTGGAACGTGTGGCTGACCTATCGCTCCATAGACAAGCGCATCTTGGACATGCTGAACGGACCAAAGCCGGAAATTACGTATTCATGCAGTGGACCGGAGAGCACATGCAATTTCCAATTCTGGGTGGACGAAAAGGAAAGCTTCTACTGTGATATGTCCGAGTGCAACTCGAAGCAAGGTGTGTGTCATATCATGACAAGCTTGGACTCCGTATGGAAGGTGATCTCACATCCTTGTCTACGCAGTATATGTGGATGATAAGCTTCACACTACCATCGAGTGCGGCAAGATGCATTGCTCATGCTATCCGAATCGATTGCTTTGCGGCGACACGGATGGCCATGGATTTGATCTCACCGAATGGTTCCAATCGACGGACGAAGGTCCGGTGGGCCCAGGGGCGCTAGTATGTGAAGAAGGGAGTGCACGCCCAGGAGAATTGCCAGAAAGAAACTGCCACTTCACTGGTGAGTGCTCAACAGTCGATAACCACCCGGAAGCAATCAAGTGGCTGAAAGCGAGACTTTCTGTGCAGAAAATCACATGAACGACCTCATTAGTACGGTCTTCGGCGATCCCAATATCCAGCTCGCCTGCCCGCTTGCTGGCGAATGTATGTATGCGTCCCAGCTTCCACCGGATCCAGCACGAAAGGAGTCGCGCTCTAGCACTCTCCTCATTGTACTCATGTCCGTGGCCGGAGGGCTGCTGACAGTGTTTGTGTTTGGGTTGATCTGGTGGGTGCGCCTGCAGAAGGACGCTGATATCGGGGGCGCATACGACGCGATCCTTGATCAGGAAGAATCGGATCAAGGAAGCGGGGGTCGAAGAGCCACCTTGATGGAGCACCATGTGCCCACCGACCTCATGTTCCGAGATATCACGTATACCATCGACAGAGCTCAAATGTCATCCTCTCGGAGATGGGGCAGAAGACGGACTACCGGTTTGCAGCTTCCATCCGAGTCACAAGTTACGGTGCTGGACAAAGTACAGGGAATTGTCAAAGCTGGGGAGGTCATGGCTGTCATGGGAGCGTCTGGCGCGGGGAAATCTACGTTCCTGGACATTCTGGCTAAACGAAACAAGAGCGGATATGTTTCTGGCGAGATGCTCGTGAATGGAAAGTTCATGAGCGACGATGAATATCGTGCCATTGTTGGGTATGTCCGATGGCGGTCGCATTTGTGTCGAGACCCAGGCTCACATCGCGGTATGCTTTCAGATACGTGGACCAGGAGGACACGCTCATGCCGACCCAGACCGTCTTTGAAGCGGTTCTGTTCTCTGCATTACTACGCCTTCCCCGGCATCTATCGTACGACGCGAAGAAAGCACGGGTCATGGAAACTCTCATGGAGCTCGATATCCTACACATTGCCAACAGACGCATTGGAACAACAGGCGAAAGGGGCATCAGTGGCGGTGAAAAGCGTCGCGTATCAATCGCTTGCGAGCTAGTCACCGGTCCACGTGTCCTGTTCCTGGATGAGCCCACCAGCGGACTCGATTCGTTCAATGCGTACAATGTCATTGAGTGCTTGGTCAATCTAGCGCGGACCTACCACCGGACAGTTATTTTGACGATACACCAGCCGCGGTCGAACATCTTTGCGTTGTTTGACAAGTTGGTCCTTCTTGCGAAAGGACGCGTTGTATATTCTGGACCTGCCCAAGACGGGTGTAGGGAATGGTTTGATGATCTCGGGTTCAGGTGTCCGCTGGGTTTCAATATTGCGGACTATCTAGGTGAGCTTACTTCTACTCGACTTACTCTGTCTTTCTGCGGCACAAACCACTCACAGTTTTTTCTTTGTTTTACAGTCGACCTTACTATGCATATCGCTAATGAGCCAGATCCTTCCTCTTCAACGCCAGGGGAACCGGAAGACGAGATCGTTGTGCCGGTCAACGGATCTTCTCCAAGCACGACAAGGCCGTCTCTGGGAAGAAGGCAGAGCACAGTACGGTTACGACAAGAGGCTCAGCTGTTTACACCACAGAATCCACAAGTTAAAATTGAACAGGCATCGCCAACAGCTTCCTCGCCAGGAACGTTTGGCGAAAAGATGAACGGTTCCGCACATCACAAGAACAAAGGCGAAACCAACTCCGCAAGCCGATCGGATGAGCACGACGAAGAGTCTGACCCTGACGTCTCGCGAGTCTCCTCTCACCATAACGAAGAGTTGAAACCACTCCTCCCGATCCCTGACGACGGCGGCAACAGCACCAACGGGTACCTCGGTTTCCCATCTCGCGCGGCTATCGCATCGAAACGTGCATCGATGACCCCAGAACACATCCCGCAGCAATTGCGTGCCCTCGTGGAGGGTTATCGCGCATCTCCCATCGCCAAGTCAACGTCGGATGCCATCGATGAAGCCATCACGCATGCCCGCGGCGATCCTGCCAACACTTCGGGGCTCGCACCTGGTTTCTCGGAGGCTAGTTTAGCCGACCATATGACTCGTTTCTTCAATGCCAGTCACGGCAGCCGCGGAAAACGACACAACGGCGCGTCGGCAGCCACTCAATTCCTCATCCTGTCTCAGCGTACGCTAAAGAACCTCTATCGGAATCCTTATTTGCTCCTTACGCATTATGCCTTGTCAGTGGTCGTCGCCATCAATCTGGGACTGCTCTATTGGAAGATGGATACGACCATGTCCGGTTTCCAGAATCGCATGGGAGTGTTATTCTTCATATGCGCCGTTTTTGGGTTTGGGTGTTTGAGTTCGATGATGGTGTTTGCTAGTGAGAGGGTGCTGTTCGTCCGAGAGCGGGCCGGAGGATATTATGGTCCGGCTCCATATTTTGCCGCCAAGGTAAAAACTACTCTCCCGTTCTTATTTGAGAGAAAGCGACTGACTGATCAAATGAAAACTTTTAATCGTATGGCAGGTTCTTTTCGACATTGTCCCTCTGCGTGTCATCCCCCCAATCCTTCTCTCCCTCATCTCCTACTATATGATGGGCCTGCGCTCCGAAACCCTCGCATACTTCCTGCGCTTCGTCCTCGTCCTGGTCCTCTTCAACGCCACCGCCGCAGCGATGTGTCTCGCCATCTCGGTCGTCGTCGCCGACTCTGCCGTCGCCCTCCTTCTCGCTAACGTCCTCATGCTCTATGAGATGCTGTTTGGAGGCATGCTGCTCAACCGCGATGGACTGGGCTGGTTTGGCAAACTGGGGATTGATCTCAGCTTCTTCCATTCGGCGTGGGAGGCGTTGATGGTTAATGAGGTCAATGGGCTGACGCTTGTGGAGAAGAGTAAAGGGTTGAATATTCGGGTGAGTGGTGGGCGAATGGTTGAGATTGCGTTCGCTTTGCATAATGGCCTTTTCTCATTCGTGTCACATTTCTTCTATATTCAAGGCCCCTGGCGCCTTTGTCCTCAGGATGTTTGGCCTCGATCCGGACGCCTACTGGACGGACGTCATCCGCCTGATCATCATGCTGTCAGCGCTGCTCATCGCTGCACTCGCATGGCTGTCACTGGCAGTCAAGGAGAGGCGTTGAGATGTCCTGTTTTTGTCTTTCTGACGTTCTTAGGTTTTGGTTAATCGCCCCCAAGCTCTTCTGTCCCAGCCTCTCCGTTTCTTAGGATGCCGTATGAGTACTCTGTTCACCGTAGCCACTGATACCTTGTTTGGGAACAATTGTCCTTTGGAATATAATCCTTCATCTAACAATAGAGACCCGGTTGGAAGTGGGAAGATTGGTGCAAGCATGCATGCGTGTGATAAGAGGCGCTCTGTAGCCTGGCCAACAACGTACAGTACATTTGTGCTACGGCTTCAGACATGCTGGATGACACAACACGGTACGCATATCGTTCGAGGCTTTGCGCGAGGAACTTGGAAGTACCACATGATCATGCTCGAGTTTATCTTAATCTTATTGATACGCACTTATCGTTCGCCAATTCTATAGACTACCTAAATTTCCAGTTTTTACAAAACTTCGTTCTCGATGACGGCGGCGACTCCCATTCCAATTCCGACACTGCGCAAAGAAGAAAGAAGAGAACGGTAAGGGACCGGCGCAACAATATAGATCCGGATACAAGTAATACATACCACATGGACACGATGCCGAATTTCTTATGTTGACGACGAAGCTCAGGCAGCAATGTCGCAATTTGACGGGCACCAGTGGCACCCATGGGGTGTCCAAACGCTATTGCTCCACCCTTAGGGTTGATCTTCTCGGCGGGAATCTTAAGCTTCTCGGCGCAGTACACGGCTTGCGACGCAAAGGCCTCGTTGATTTCGAAAATGTCAATGTCCTCGATTTTGAGACCGGTTTGACGCAAGACTTCGGGGATGGCCTTTTCCGGTCCTATAAAAGAGATGATCTGTTAGCAAGAGGGGCAAGACTAGGTGCATCGAACATCACGTCACTCACCAATTCCCATGATGCGAGGTGGCACACCGACGACGGAGTATCCGACCCAGCGGGCGAGAACCTTTAATCCGAGCTTCTCAGCAACGCTGCGACGCATGAGGAGGACAGCGGCGGCACCGTCGGTGATCTGAGATGCGTTTCCGGCGGTAGTGGTTCCCTCCTTTCCGAACGCGGGCCTCAGCTTTGCGAGGTTCTCGGCGTTGGTGGCGCGGATGCCGTCGTCCTTGGTGACGACGGTTCCATCGTGAAGCTTTACGGGCACGATCTCCTCGTCGAAGAGACCTTCCTTCTGTGCCTTCGAGGCCAAGGTGTGCGACCTCAGCGCGAACTTGTCCTGTGCCTCGCGGGTAATCTTGAACTCCTTTGCAACGTTCTCGGAGGTGATACCCATGGGAATCAAGACATCAGCGGAGGGTCCGTACGCGAGGATTTCCTCGTCGAGGTCAGTGGGCATGGCTCCAGGGCCGTAGTACATCGTCATAGACTCGACACCAGCTCCGACACCGACATCGATGTAACCGGCCTTGATGGCACCAGCAATGTTTCCACATGTCGCGAGACCGCTGGAGCATTGCCTGTTAACAGCGGAGAGAGCAACAGATTCTGGGTATCCAGCGTGGAGCGCAGCCATACGCGACGTGGTCACACCGGCCCCTGGCATCAAGACGTTTCCAACTGGATGAAGTCGCGAGAATGACAAATATTAGCCTCATGGTCATGACGGCCATTGAAAGAGAGGCCATTGCTCAAATTTCAATGGAAACAAACCTTGAATGTCCTGGACGATGCTGGGGTCGACACCGGTCTTCTCGATGACGGACTTCAGAGCGACAGAGAGGAGGTATTCGGGATGGGTCTCTTTGAAAGCACCCTTTCCACCTTTGCAAAGGGGTGTGCGCTGGGCAGCAACGATGACAACATCGTCGGGGCTCTTAGGTGCCTTGCCTAGGAAAATGGAGGGTCGTGGGAAAATCGTTGAGTAAGGAGGACCGTGATCAAACCTCGCCAATCTCAGTACAGGACAAACTTACCAGCACCAGTGACGGTGAGGTGGCCGGCGATGTTCTGAATACGGTCGGAAGCGGCAGACATGGTTATGATATTTATTGCTGTTGTGAGTATGAAGGATGGGAGATGGTATGGATGGATTTTGAGGAGGGCCTGCTCAAGCACAGGCTAGTTATGTATTCGCGCTCAGCGTTCCCTGTGACTAATGGGCGGTGGGGTAGGCAGCCAGCCAAGTTCCTAAATAAAGTATCGCCTCGCGTTCCCATTTTCCTAAACTGGTCCTAATTTGGAACCGGAGGGTCCGTCCCAAACATGATTAGCCTCGGACCCATTCATTCTGCTGAAGACTCCGTGGGCGGAGACTCCAGGTGTCTTGTGACTGCCGAGCAAAACCATGCAAAGCCGTTCACATGTTCGTCTGGCATGTGAAAGTCCGAATCGCCGCGCTTGATCTCCGTTGTGCCTTCCGACTTTTATTCCGACGCACGTGACCCGTTGTTCAACTCAATCATTGAAGGCAGCGTGTCCGAAGCACTTCGTAATCACCGCAGATGTTGAACTTTCGGACACTTCAGCTGTGCGAAACATCCCCCTCTCTGGACTCTCTCGTCGGGGTTGTTGCAAGGGGACCCATCTTCGCCTTTCTTCGACTGGTCAGGACACCCCACGATCTCAAAACAGGCGCCCTCTGGCATCGAGTCGGTCGCTCAAAGCGATAACCGCGCGTGTTGGAGCCAACCTGCTGGCTAGAACGCCGGTGAAAAATGGCGGCGGCTGCAGCAGCGGAGCCCGATGTCCTCGAAACTATCAAATTGTGGCGGGCAAACTTGCAATCAGCAACTGTGGACCCAGCGGAAATCAGTGGACAGGTGGACCTGCTGATAGGTCTCTTGAGCGAACGCACCGCTGAACTGTCCTCCCTCCAAGATCACCTTGCGTGTCCCGTATGCACCGATTACTTTGTGCTACCTTTCACGCTCGACTGCGGTCATGTCTTTTGCTATGAGTGTCTAGATCAATGGTTTGCCCATCTCGATGTTGACGGCTCTGAGCCTAAATGTCCGACATGTCGAGAGAGAATTGTCTCACGCCCGAGAAAAGACCGAGTGCTTGCTCGTTTAGTCGAAGAGTGTGTGGAGAAAAAGACCGACGCGGATAGCTTAAGGGTTGGTTCGTCTTGCCTTGCAAACGATAAAAGAGGGAGAAAATGCCGACCGTCCGTCGCATAGATATGCCTAAGGATAGAAACATCGTCAGCGACGCTTGAGAAGCTGTCTCATCCTTTTCCGAACTTTCTGTGGCCTGTCTTTCACCGCTCCTCGGAAGGGAATCTGTAAGTATTCACTATGCTTGAAATTGGATTAAACTTGCTACGGCGGCCAGAACAGACCCACTTTGACATCATTGCAGTCTCTGTCGTCATTGCAGGACGCAACTAAACAACGGGTCATGCGAACGGTGTGGGCAGGATTACTGGGCTGAAACGAGCGACCTCGCGGATTTTCCCGGCGATTCGCACGAGTCGGATTCCCCATCCGAGTGGTCGCAGCACGACTCGGAGTCTGACGCTACATTCTCCCCGCCACCGTCAGAATCTGAGTTTGAGAACTCTTTCGATGGCGACTCGACGCAACATGACACTCAGGAAGCTGTGAATTCATTTTGGGACCTATCGATCAGAAACCATGGTCGTCCAAGCACAGAGAACCCATTTGACTTTCAGGGGCTCTTGGCCTCTGTAAGGAGGGACGTCGACAGCATCACTCATAATCAGCAAAGAGCCGAAAGGATGATACGCGAACGTGCAGGTCAATGGAGCAGTTCCCACAACCGTCCTTCCTTCGGCCGAAGTCTGAGCGCTGACAACGACGACGAAATAGGTGGGAACTCTGGAAGTCAAGTCACCTTAGAGCTTGAAAGTGACGGGGAGGTGCTTGATGATATCGCGCGGCCTTCTGGGGCCACAACGTTTCTCGATGACCTAGAAGATCTCAGTTTCGAAGACTCCAGTCCGACAAGTCCACCGGCCTCACCTGAACCTGAGAAAACCGCTGATGACAATGGAACGCGGCCAGTGGACTATATTGTTAGCCAAAGCACAGAACCCTCCCCGCCGTTGAGCCCACATCCACAATGGAGCCGTGAGGACGATTCTGAAAGCGCCGAGGAGGACGACGAGGATAGTGGGCTGGACGATAAAGGAGCTCGGAAACCTACGATATGGGAGGAGGAAGATGATGTCGACGGCGACGAGGACGGCGAAGAGGAGAAGGAACAACAGCATTCCGATAGAGGCAATCGCGACATCAATGGCCACACGAGTGCACCCTTTTACCAGGGCCGTACTCGCCGCGCCAATAGTACACGTCCTTTCCACCCGATCGGACGCCCACTCACGTCCCCGCTCTCCGCCTTCCATACAAACTTTGCTGCAATCTGGGCGCTTCATTCACAGATCGACCACGAGTTGGGGTTGGAGGACGCCGAACAATCTCATCTCGAGCTTCATCGCAGTGCACTTCGAGCCCACGATCGTCACATCTCCGAGCACACTGATGATGATGATTCTGGCGAGGAAGAAGATGATGGGGAGGAGGGAGAGCAAGGGAACGTGACGGAGTCCGATAGTGAGGAGTCCGCGTTTTCGGATTGGGCAACGGAATCGGAGCCGCACGCCGGTGGGATGGACACGCATACCGCTGGCTTGGAACGGCAGGCGGGGCCGTTGGGGGGAGCGGGTGGGCGAGGTGGCGGTAGTGGTGGCAATAGGCGCGGGAGGATTAGCCTTCCACACGAGTTCTCAGACGCAGGCGATGAATCGCTTTGATTCGCGGGATGCAGGAAGAGGAATGCCACTTGGAGCCGGAGACTGATTGTAGAATATACCATGCATGCACATACACACGCACAGAAACGTGTACATAACCCTCAGTATTGGATGATCCTACATGACCCATTTCATCTGCTTCGATTTTCATCAAATATGTAAATGCCAGTGTCATCGAAATCGCGCCTCTGATGGCGCCTATGACGTTCAAGATTAACACCCCTTTCTCTCCCAAATGGACAGATCTTTTGCTTCGTGGAAATTGACAAGGTAACACTCACGGTCGAGGTCAACGGAGACATTTTCGAAATATATTATTCCCGCAACAGCATGTCGCCGCACTGAGCATATCGCCCAAGGACCCAGCTTGACCCTCCCTCGCTCAATCTTCCCTCCCTTCCAGGATTGCTCGTAGGTCCACTCTCTCGTTCACCCACGACCAATATCCTGCACCAAAGGCCAACCTCCTCACCCAACTCACGCCTCCTTGCGCGCCTGAAGCTCACCCAAAACGCCCGCGAGCCCCTTACAAAACCGTTTCTCCGCACACATCTTCGCCACCAGCGACCCCTCAATGGCGGCAAACGCCGGTCCATTTGCCGGGGACCTCGCCAGGTTCCGTAGGACTAGCATCGCGGTCAACGGGATGCCTCTAAGATCATCTTCTGGCCCGGATGCTGATAATGGCGCTACGTACGATCCAGGGAAGCTAGGTCTCCTCTCTTGAGCGACGAGCTTTGCGTGGGTGTGAGATTCCGAAGTAGTTTTGGAGGGGGAGCCGTTCGGGGTGTCCCCGAAATGCGTCGTAATATGTCGTAGGATTTTGTTGGGGGCCCATCGTTGGCCCTTGCCGCTGGAGCATCCCTTCCATCGGCATCCATCATGCGCTTGGTCGCTGCCGTGGGCTAGATGATCATGTTGGAGGTGGGCAAACAACTCCGCTTTGGTGGCGAAACACTGGCGACATCCCTCATTTGCATTCGAGTGGGCGGTTCTGTTCCACCAACATGGCCAGGGGGCAGTTGTCGCGTCAAGCTGGGGTTGGGGAGGCGCAGTATCCATTGGAGCCGATGACTGATCGTTCGCGGGATAGAGATGCTGCAGGTCGCCAGGTAGGTGGTATGGGAGGGGTACTGGCGCAGGAAGGGCATATGCGGGGTACGCACTTCCAATCGGAGGCTGGCTATATCCCGGGACGCCAGGGATTGACGATATTGGAGTACCCACAGGGGGAGCGTACTCAACACCGGTCATAGGAACTGCGGCGTTACTATCGGGCATGGGTGCCTGATACTTTGGCACTCCATTAACAAGCGGAGGAGCGCCATTGACCACGGATGTCGGTGTGAGTGCCTTGGCAGCAGAAGAGAATGACCTCGGCCGCGTTCCGGGAGGCACAACCGGAGTTGTGTGACTCGGCGGCGGCCCTGTTGGTCGCTTCCCAAATCCCTGCCACGCCAGAAACTTGACCAGCAGTTTCAGAGCGTTATACTCCGCTCCCTCCACAATCGAGACACACGCTTCCTCTCCCAAATTCGAAAACTCATAGAACCAATCGAGCACCGCGGTGACAAGCTCCTCATCTGGCACAAGCAGCAGCTGCAGGAATCGTGTGATGATCGGTTTCATATCACTCGCGACAAGGATCTTTGCATTGATCTCGTTCGCGCAAAAAGCGGTAAGCGTCCGCGCGGCGGAAATGATCAGGGATTTGTCGTCCTGCAAAGCTGTTTGTCGGAGAACAGCCAAAAAATAATCGTTCGGCCCTTGAAGGAGTATAAATGGTGACAGTTGCTCCAACACCTCGAACGATTGATGCTTGATGTCAAGGTACATGGTCGCGAAAGGAAGCGCCAAGCCTTTTGATATATACGTAAGAAGCGTGAAATCTTTGCTGAAATAGAGCGCATTGTCGGGATAGAACGCCAGGTTTCGTATGATATGGAGCACCTGCAGGCATCGTTCCAGCTTAATGGCAAGTGTCGAACTGTGTAGTAGGCTCTTCCCAGTAATCGTGGGTATTTCGCCCCCGGATTTCGTTTGTGTCTCGATGTGACCGCCCTGCTTTCGGATCTCCATTTCACCAAGTATGGGACTCGCGTGCTCAAGAATCTCTTCTAGCACGCCTGGCAACACTCCCAGGTAAAAGTTCTTTACGTAGGAAAGTCTGACAAGTTTTGTAAATGCCCAATCGACTTCATTCGGCAGCTGAGACGCCAAAGCGAGTTTCAATCGATTTTGCCATGCCCCATATAGGTATTTTTCTGAGTGAAGAGGTTGAAGTCAACATCTCATCAACGACACAACACTCGGGAAACAAAGCGTACCATCTATGCCGTCATCGTCTGGATTCTGAGGCGCTGAGGCGGGAGCTGCTCGATACCGCCTCGGTGGAGCTGGTTCTATAGGGGTGGGCGGGGCTGGCGGTCGAGGGTGCTGTGATCGATGGTGTGTGTGGGATTGCGATGGTGTTTGTGACGATGACCCTGGGGTTTGTATCTGCAATTGGTGCGAAGAGTGCCGTGGAGACGCACCCTGATTAGCCTCTGCCATCAACCGCAGTCGCTTGTGGAGAGGTTCGTCGGGTGCAAACTGTATGCGTTGCGGAGGGACATTTGAGTTGGGTATGGTCATTGGCGGCGGTGGAGACGCAGAATTAACATTCATGGCGCTGGGATTTGGTGCGCCTTTGCGTTTTGGGCGTATCTCTGGCGAGTTTGGGATCGAGGCCGCATCTTCACCCGTGCCAGTGGATAGCTGGTCGAACGGCCGCTTTTGTGTAAGCAATGCCTGTGTCGGCTTCCCATGCACGTAGACCTGTTCGTACGCCCACAGATACTTTTGATACAGTTGCTTCACGACGTACGCGCTGTTCGTGCAGGTCGCTGGCAGGTTGAACGGGTCTGTTACGCGCTTCCACCCACGCGCAGCTGTAACTTGATCGAAACCTCCCGCTTCGAGTACCCATTGATATATGCGGTACATGTCCAGCCGTTTCCCGCCCAGTACAGGTTCTCGGTGCATGGTCACTCTAGCAAAACAAAAGCGAACCGGGTCAGGGAAAGAAACTGACGCGTTGATCGTCATCTCTTGAGCAACTGTAAGAGAAACCCACCCGAACTGCTTGTTGAACTCGTCCAATTGTCTCATGAAAGCTTCGTACTCTGGGGTCCGCTCTATGACGTCCTCATAGTCACTTTTGGACCGCGAGGGGCGACCCGCTTGCCGACTGGGGGAAGCTGCCCCAGAGTTGGGAGTGGAAGCAGACATTGCTGGCTCCAAGCTGGATATACGCAACGCACGTTCGTTGACCCGTTTTGTTGCCAGTACTTCTCCCTCAAACCGGAAAAAGTCCCCAGATCTCAAACAGCTGCTGCTTGAGAGCTTGACCCTGTCTGCGTCAGTACAGTATATACCTCCACGGGACAAAATCTCTAAGCTAGAATTAAACCTGGGAATCATAGGGCGTTAGCCATTCGCGACTTGCAGTTCACCAACACGGGCGAAAGACCAAAGTCATAGTAAAACTTTTAACTGGTACAACAGTCACATGACTTTTCGACAGTGCCCATGGACAGCACCATTCCACTTTCGTCCGACAACAAAACCCATGACACCGTTGAAAGTAAATAAGCTGAAGGTAGCGGCCAGTAGATATTCTGCGCTTTCTCAGCTTCCTTCTCGGCTGCAAGAAAGCGAAGCGTACAAGACTCGAGCGAACGGGCTGTCAGTCACCAAGCCGAGCTGACGAGCTTCGTTGTTGGAGACTAATTGCTTTCCGAACAAGAAACTGCTTGCAAGGACGAATCGCATGGCCCCGTCAGCACCGTGTCCCCACGTTACTAGTGCATTGAAAACATGAGAGACTGGGGCAAACTGGATGGAAGTAGTAGTGGACTGGGTCCTGACGAATCAGGGCGTCCCCAATGCCATGGACTCTCTGCGCGAGAAAGGTTGGCGATCGACTGCCGACTTTATTGGCATGCTACGTGGAATGAAGGGCCACCGCATGTAAAATATTTCGGATTCGGGTGATTGATGAGCTCGCCTGTAACGCGTTCATGTCCGCAGTTCAGAGACGCCGAGGGGAACTTCGCAAGAGTTGGATTTGCGTGATTCAAACCCGCACAGTCGTAATGAATCAGTAGACAACAGGGAGACGTCAACTTACTCTTTTTCCAATCTCTTGTAAACCACATTTAGTAAGTTCAGAGCTTCTCGGAGCTCTGTGCCATGTAAGGCTTTCTCCCTTCCTCGTAATACTGTAGCTGGATTTGTTCATCTATTCGTGGATTGGTGCGAAAAATGTGTCGGTGTTTTTGCTGGAACCAGGTCGCTTTGCCCTGTTTGCTGGCGTACAGTATGGCCTATCCTAACCTTTCATCTTTACGAGCAGTCTATGCAGTCTTCTATACAGCACATCCCGCCCGTGCCTGCTCCTCTGCCATACATATACTCAACCTATTCGCATGTTGTTTTCCGAGAAGTAAGGGAACGGCAGGGGACGCGTCGATCATGACAAAGTAATGACCTCACGCGCACCCCACAGCTCTCCATCCCGCCTCACGACGAGATCACGAGTGGCTTGACTTCCCGGGTATATATACAGTACGTACGTATAAAAAGAGAGCTAACCAACCTCCGTACCCGTTCTGCAACGAAACTTGGTTGAAAGCGTATCTGATTCGCATTACCGCAACATTGTAGACCCTTGATCTAGCCTTAAGAATCTTCATCACCATGGACAAATCAACGCTCAAGGCGAACAGGCCCAGCTTCCCCCTCGGCGCTACCACCCGCATCGGCCTGGGCAAAGCACTCCTCATCGGACTCGGCGCCGGCGTAGTCGGCGGCCTTGCGATGACATTCAACCAAAAGCTCGAACAAACCTTCATCACCAACCGCCCCAATTCGTACGTGCCGGGATACACCCTGCTGCGTCTCCTTCACCGTCCCGTTCCGGCGTCCATGTCGGAGCTTGTGGCTTGGAACCACGCTATGCACTGGGGCGAGGGATTGGTCGCTGGCGCGATTCGCGGTCTCATGGCTTACAACGGGATCGCTGGCCCTTTCGCCTCTTTCATCTTCACGGGTGTGAGGTTGTTGATTGATCAGTCGTTGGAAAACCTGACCGGTGTTGGGGCCGCGCCTTGGACGTGGCCGTGGCAGGAACAAGTGCTGGATATCGTGCATAAAGCGGTGTATGCTTTTGCGACGGGCTATGTGGTGGATCGGTTCGTCGTTGGGTATCGATACAATTGATTGATGTGGTGGACAAGTTCCGCATCTTGAGGGAGGAGACCAACATGGAACCGACGAGGTTCTCGACGGATAGGATTAGCATCTGATTGGATTGGAGGTTGATGCGTGTATTATAGATCGCGAAATGAAAGATGTACCCTAACGCAAGAGCTTCGCATGATCCCCTAACCCAAAGAAGCTCATCATTGAATGAAGCCATTGATGGCGCCGAAAAAAGAGAGAGCGAAGACGGCACGCCCCTTTTGACTGAGTCCGTGCGCTTCCTGATGATTATGAAGAGGCTGCTGCAGTAGCTGCAGCAGGAGCTCCACAGTAAAGAGGCGTGGAGCGGCTCACATGCAAGTGAGCGGACTTATTCCGCGTTGTGACTTGTCGAGCTTGACCAACGCGTCTCCGTCTCTCCATCTGAGGTCACACCATTCTCAACAAACTCTCAACACAGTTGCCGGCGCAAGCTCTATTCGCTGCTGGAACACAAATGTCAGCGAAGAGGGCGAGGTCACCCTCCCCATCGAGTGGGTCTGACTCTGCCACGGACAGTGATTCGGCTAACGATCGCCCTCCAAAGCGGCATGGCAAATCGCGACCGCGGGCATATCGCAAACAGCAGCGAAAGGAATTGAAGAGACCGGAATGGGACGAGGCCTGGCGTGAACTTCGCTGTGATCGCCGGCGGAATGCCTGTCGGAGAGCGCTGGGGCAGTTACGCAACGCGGCCTCTCGCCAGAGCGACGGTGAAGGAGAGGCGCTACCCGAGCCGACAGGCGACAAAAGCTCGATTCGTGTTACTAAAGGGGGCTCCTGGACTGAAGCGGTCGCATATGTGCCGACAATGTATACCATCACCACCCCTGAAAACCCGGTGAGACGTTCTACGATTTTTTCGCCAACGAAGCAGAGCAGCAGATGGAAGGCAGATCTGGCGGACTGGAGTTTCAACCAAGACTTGCATAGGCAGATGGCTCGCGCGTTCGTCGAAAAAACCTTATCCATGCAATCACCATCGCTTGTGCGTGGCTTGTACTATAAGATGGAAGACGAACACCCCCACCACAGGCGGGAAGAGAAAGAATTGCTCCAGTTGCTGAAGGACTGCGGAAAGACGGAGGAGGACGTCCTGAATTTGGTGGAAAATCATCTGGCGGTCTTGTACGGGGCAAAATCACCAATGTGCGGGGAATTTTTTGAGCTTTGTCGGATGTGTGGAAACATGGGATGCGCTCGACATCTCGCGTCCATGCGGCGATCAAGTGAAGTCCCTAAACGAAAAGGGCTTTCGGAACCCTGCGGCGAAGATTGTGTCTATTCTGCGGTCTCTGCCCAGCGAGAGGTTCCTATGCGAGATTGGGCGCGGCATGAGCTGGAAACCCTGTGTGTGGCGCTCAGGACGTTTGGATTCGCACCGTGTAGGGTGGCATCCGCTTTCGACGAAAGGGACTGTGTTGAGGTGGACACCATACTGAGAAGTCTGGAGGAGAATGATCCGTCGTTGGATGTCAGGATTGAGGCGAACTTTCTGTCAAGCCTACGAGCTGAAGTTCTAGACATTCGTCGCCTAGCCACGACGGTCACAATCATGCCTATCCCGCCTTCGAGACCGTATTACCCGAAAATGATTCGCCAATCGAAGCCACCCTGTGACTGCGAGGACCATGAGCACAGTGAGCTGGCCAGCGTGTGCAAGCAGAGCATGTGCCGTTGCGCCAACAGCGGGAACTACTGCGATCGACTGTGCGCTTGTTCCAAACACTGCCCCATACGGTATGACGGCTGCGACTGCGACGACGAAGATGCCTGCGACATCACCTCGCTTCCGATAGATTTCATAAAAGGCGAGGGGCCCCGGTTCAGAACGAGCGACAGTCAATGTCGATGTGTCAGAGAATCTCGCGAATGCGACCCGGACGTTTGTGGCCGGTGCGGCGCCGATGAGCATCCACATGATGTTGGAAACAAATGGAATTGCGGAAACCAGTCAATGCTCAGACGCCTCGCTCAACAAATGGTAATTCGCGACTCTCCCCTTCACGGCCGAGGAGCGTTTCTGACAGCGGCCGTGAAAAAGGGTACTTATCTTGGCGAGTACACCGGAGATTTGATCGGACCCGAAGAGGCGGACAGACGGGACGACGCCATGGGCGCCGACACCGTTTACTTGTTCGATATGGACAACACGGCCAACGGAAGCCATCTTATGATTGACGCGAGAACGAAAGGCAACAAAACACGGTACATCAACGAGGATTCGAATGGGACTGCGAATTGTTTCTTTCACGTCAAGGTTGCCCTTGGCGAATACCGTTGCGGCGTATATGCCGCCCGAGATATCGCCGCTAATGAGGAGCTCTTAGTTTCCTATGGGGCGAAATTCAGCGCAAGGTATGGAAAATAACGCACCAATGGCAAATCCGTAGTGGATAGGCATTGTAGATGGAGATTTAGGCGGCCAACTGCCTTCTTGTAAATAGTCGGAATAAAGCCCGAAAGATCGTGTATATCATCAACCGTAATATTTACATACTCGCCAAAAACCTATCTTAGTGGGATTATCTACATATACTGCCTGCGCAAGCATTCCCGTTTGATTTACATCGAGACTTGGTCATCAACGAAGTAAAGCCGTACGATCAACTATGTGGCGCTTCCTTCCCATCCTTCCTCGTCCCTTTGTTACTGGCACGATCGGCGAATCGTCGTCCTCCAGTATGTCGCCCCACGTTTTCTTTTGCAAGGAAGTAACATACGCCTTTGCTTCGTCGTCCAACTCCACTGGTAGGGTTAAGATGCTGGTGGGTGCCACCTCCATCGGCGTGTTGTCCTCCCCCGGACCTGCAGGACTGGAGATGTCGGGAGTACCGTCTGCTTCTTCTTCAAGTTCGGAAAGGTTCATGCCTTCGCCAAACAGACAGTACCGCACGTCTCTCATCCCGACCTGTTCGCCACCGCCGCCCGTCCGGTTCTCCAGACCCACCATTCTTACGTTGACTTCCACGTCTTCCTCCTCAAACACCGGCGACTTTCCACCTCCATTGTCTCGCTGCAACTGCTCTGCTACCAATCGCCTCCTCGCCGCTCTTCCGACTGCATGCACCCGTTCCTCAACAGTGCCTCTCACAATGTACCTCCAAACGGTTGTTTCCCGGGTCTGCCCAATCCGATGCACTCGCCCGATCGCCTGCTCCTCGAGCCCGATGTTCACAACAGGCTCAACGAGGAACACGTGGTTTGCGCTAACGAGGGTCAACCCGCTGCTCTGGCTCCGCGCATTGAGCATGAACACCTCCACGTCGTTATCGTCCCTGAACCGCTTCAGCGCGTCGCGTTTGTTTTTCGAACGGGACTTTTCCAGTTTGACAAATTCGATGCCGTTCCGGGTCAGTCCTTCGCTGAGAATATCAAGGACATGCTCCCATTGGGAGAAGACGAGTGACTTGGCGGTCGGGTCGATCAGGCGGAGGTATCTAAGGTGCCGGATCAGCGTGTCGAGCTTGGTGCCGTAGGAGCCTTTGAGCGGGATGTTTGCCAGGTGGCCGAGGAGGATGTAGTTAGCGGAAGATTGCTCGGTTGCGCTAGACCCTCCGACATCGCCATTGGTGGTGCCGCTGTTCGATCCGGTGCTACTGGAGCTGGCGCTTTGCGATGCGGGATTGCTCAGTGTGCCACGTAGTGACACTGGGGTGCACTGGGTGACCTGCACCGGCTGATTACATAGTGGGCATTTTCTGTATCTCTTGATCCACGCCGCTGAGCATTCTGATGTACGACTCAATATTAGCAAACAATCTCTGGAAGCATTGCGAGCACGATGCACATTACCTGCACAATATATATGCCCACAAGGCGTCACGACACCTTCCGTGAACGCCGTCTTGCACACCAAACACTCCCATGTTTTTTCTACCGCATTCGCACGTTCCCGCTCCTCCTTCATCAGGTTCTGCAAGTAGCGTTTTCGAGAAAGCTGGTTGACGAGGAGTTGCTGCACCTCTGCCTCATGCGGGTCCAGTTTCTTCAAATCTTCATCGATTTCCTTCATAGGCGGCTCCTCAAGCGGGACAACGCCGTCGGAGATTCTCTGCAGGTGGCGAAAATATCCTACGCGCAGGTTGAAAAGTTTTGAAAAAGCATGCACTTCTCTGTTTGGGAAATTAGAGTCGTCGCAAGTACGATGGAACTCGAAATATGGTGCAAACCGACCTTTCCAACAACGTCAGGTTCGCGATCTCCTTCTCCACAGCTTTCGGTAACCCTTGCAAAGCGTTGCTAAGCATCCGCTTCTCAATGGCCGGCAAGTCCCTCTGCTCCAGCTTCTTGAGCTCCGCAACCAAGTCTTTCGCAGGCAGTGCGCCAAACGGCAGAACAAACTGCTTCTTCGTCTGCTCCAGCTGCAAACGCAACTCCTTGTCTTTCTCGTTCTCCGTGACCGCTGTACTGCGCTCTTCAGAGACTCTAAACCCCGTGAGAAGCTGACGCCGGTCTGCTAGGGCCAATTGATACGCCGCCTGATACACGTCTGCCCGAGACTGCGTGTCTACTCCTTTTTGGTACTCCTCCACACTCGGCGGCTCCTTATTCCCCGAAGCGATCAACGATTCAACGCTGGTCTCGTTCAATGGCGCAAGCAGAGCATCTACGATCACTTTCCTCCAACTCATAATCTCATCCCACTGACCCTCCAGCTTGCCCGAGAGGTCGTCCAGCCCGGAAAGCGCGTTTCCAATAACGAATCCCGCGTGCGGTAGGTTGGTGTCCGCCAGCCGGGTTCGACGTGAAGCAGCCATTTTCTCATCAAGGCCACGAGTATACGCCCTAAACCGCTCGATCATCTTGGTAACATCTTCAATAACAGGCCGCAGGATGCGGAGCCGTACTTCCTCCGCCTCGATGTAACCCTTGTTCTCGGATGCTTCGTCGCCGATAGAGTGGAAGAGACAAGCAAGGAAGTAGGTGACGCGGTGTTCGAGCTCCTGCCATGTACGGAGGTGACCTGTTGCTGACTGGAGGTCTTCGCGTAAGTCGCTTTGCGTGTCCATGTCGCCTTTGCGGGACATCTCATCATTCTCATCGATCTCGAAGGCGTCATCTTGGTTGTCTGACGCACTTGAAAGCTGCGATTGCTTCTTTTCGGTCTCAGCTATGTGCTCCTCTAGATCTTTGATGACCCTCCGTACTTGCTGCAGAGTCGTTTCATAAATTCCGACCACTGTAGCTGCATTGGCCCATTCATCTGCCTTGCTTTTAAACTCCAGTAGCTGAGCTTTGTTGATGCGCGCCTGCACAATCTGACGCTCGTACAATAGTATTTGATTATTTGTCTGCTTGTGCATAACATCCAGCACCTCATCGATGGAGCGCAATGTGCCACCCAGTACGCTGCGGTTCCGTGTCCCGACCTGCGGATGGCAGCACGTCTGACGCAACTGTAGAAGCCAGCCTCGAAGCTTGCCCGCAAGCTCCTCCTTCTCTTGACTCGTCCTCGCTTCTTGGACAGCGTCCATCATCTCATCGAATTGCTGGTTGTACCATGTCCGCTCGACTCTGCTGAAATCAAGGTGGAGCGTGTTCTCGTGTTGTGGTGGGAGAGTCAATTCGGACCTGAGATCTCGCTTCAGATTGCGATGCATGAACCGTCTGAGGACGTCAATGAGTCGAAGACGATGCACCGGGTTCGTCAGACGATTCCAAATGTGCTTATAGCTTGTAAAAGGTTCGATCCCGAGAAAGGAGATCAACCCTCGGAGATCGTTCCATCCATTCTTTCCGATAGGTGTTCCCGTCACAGCCCACGGATGCACTCTCGGCAGCATGCGAGCCATCTTCGCCGCCTTGTTCACGGATGATTCGACCATCTGGGCTTCGTCGAGTACCACCCTGAACCAGTGCAATCCCATCAAGGGCGATTTTCGCCGCGGATGTGCCCGTGCGTGACGCCGTGGTCTTTCATTATCCGGCATTGCGGCGTTCAGGTCTTTCCGAAGGGTATCATACGTAGTCAAGACGATATCGTACGAGGAAAGATCCGTCGGTGACACGGACTCATTCCCGTCGTACACAGTAACCCCAAGAGACGGCGCATGGCGCCCCAACTCGGAAACCCATTGCTCGAGAATCGCACTTGGGGTGATGACCAGCGTGCTTGCACTCGGTATGATTTCCTTATTGCTTTGCGGTGCCGTGCCCGGTTTTTCGTACCGGTGAAGCAACAGCAGTGCAATCAACATGACCGTTTTGCCAAGACCCATCTCGTCGGCCAGTATCCCACCGAGAACTTCACGCTCGTTATCCTGACCCGCAGGTCGCTGCACAGATATGGAGCCGGTCATTCGATGAACATACAGGAAAATGCCGGGCGCCGTTTCAATTTTATCATATAGAATTGGGATGTCATCATCTTCGCGATTCAAAGGGCGAGGAACGATTTGACCCTGCGCATTGACTGTGACGCCCTCCCGCCAAAGCATCCAGCCCACAGCTCTCTTTTGGAACGGAAGCATGGTCGCAATCAGATCTTCCGGCTGCAGCACCGGAGCGGTGTCCGGGATTGGATAGACAGCGGGCACAAGACGGGGTGGCTGTGCCCCTGACAGGGCGACATCGGTTATCGTCCGCGTTTCCGGCGGATACAGATGGAAAAGCATATCGTCCATTTGCCTCGCAAGGTTATACGTTCGCGAATCAATGGCATCCGCGTGTGCCGCCTTCAAAGAAAGAGGTGGTAGCATTATATTGATCCGCAGCTGGAGCCCAATGGTTGGGTTTCCCCCGATCGTTCCGCGCAAAATCACTCCATACTTTTTCCAGGCATAGTAGATGGAGTGCCAGAGCGATTCGCATCGTCGATTACATGGGTCTCTACAATCAAAAGTACTTTCTTTGAGATCAGAATCATATTTCGTTGTCTCCCATCCCATGGGTTCGAAGTAGGCCACTCTCAGCGGTCCGTATTCCACTGAAATCAATAAGAGCTCACTAGCTCCCTCGAAACGGACATCCAATGCATAAGAATCCATCGACACCTGCCAGTCGTATGTCGAAGCAAGAGCATCGTTGTTTTTGATTTCCAGATCGACGACAACTTCACCAAGAAATATCAAATTTCCGCGCTGAAAAGTGACAGGCCCGGTAAGTGGGACGGCCTCCGAGTCGTATATGACTTCCATAGTCCACTTCTCTCGTGGGGGCCGACCGTAATATGACGCAGAGACATACTGTTGAGAATCCAAACTTGGAGATACGAGCTGACGATCTCGAGAAGCGCAAGCAGTTCCGTCGGTGTTACACGGCCGTTTCGACGGTCTGTCAGAGCCATGAGCATCCTCCCTGGGCCGTTTGTAAGCCCCATCCTTTGCGAAGAACAACGCGAGTGCGTCGATGAAGAGGATGCCTGCTTCCGTCATAGCGGTGGCGCTTCGGAAAACGACAGCTGTCTAGATCTAGAACTAGGTGCCGGCCAGAGCGTGCAGGCTGTGTCCCAGGATCTGCGAAGCTAGTGGTTCTAAATGGAGGCGACGTTTCGGGACGTTCTTGAAACTTGAGAATTTGGGGAAGCCATCGAAGTGTGAACTCTGTGAGATGATGACGTAAGCAAAACACGGTCCCCCCAGTGAGTCACTCCATTCCTTTCTGTCCAGAACAACTGGCCAGCTTCAATGAATTGAATTCAGGATGAGAACGTATGTGAGGCTCCTTGCTTCAAGTCAAAGTCAGACCCAAGGGAATGCATACCCCCTTACGGCCACTGTCTATTATGCTTCCCATGCCCGCAAAACGACCAGGTAAGATCATTATGGGCATCGTCTGCCGTCTGCCCAGTGCCGTCTGCCGGCTGGAAAGCTGAAGAAAGGTTAGGGTGGATCTGAGATCTGGATTCGTTGGCTCTTGCGATCGTGGCTCGCGCAAAAATGAAGCTGACACGCCCAGGGGCAAGGGGGCACAATTCCCAAGTGGAACTTCCAGCTGGAGAGCATTCTGACTGTTTGTGACCTTCATGAATTCAATTCGGGAAGCAGACGTTCCATGAACCGACACCGCGGGTCACTGCCCGCCACACGCGCCCCGCTCGGCGCCCAATTGTTTAAGTTGAGGCCCCTTACGTCCCAGCTGTGCCAGTGCCCGTGCGGTGCGCGTATCTCCGTGTCCGTGTGGGGGAGGGGCGCCTCAGATCATTCGGGGGATCGAATGGTCACGGAATGGATCTGTTTCGAGTTGCACAAGCCGCGTGGCCCCGCGTAATCGCGTCCGGCCGATAACGCGGGGGCACACCACCGCCGCAACGCTGTCCTGCAAGTCCCAAGTCAAGCTATCAAGGTTTATAAAAGCGCCGCCCCGTCCTGACGGCCCCCCCTCCACGATGCTCTCTGCATATCTTCCCAACAACCGCCCTCGTTCTTTCTTCGCCTGCTGTCCGCTGGTCGGCTCAGGTTCTCTTCTCGGCCGCATATTTTGGTGCTGAAAAAACCCCCCCAGACCGCGCTTGCCCCACGTAACACGCTCTCGCAATGGCGTTCGGAAAAGGTAAAAACGACTCCGTTGCGACAATGGAAGAGGTCCACGGCCACCCCGACTACGCGGGTGAGCCTGTCAATACCGGACACGAGCTCCACCGCGCGCTGAAGAACCGTCACATTGCTATGATCTCCATGTAAGTCACTGATGACCCTCTAATCGACAAGAAATCTAGGAGTCTTGAGCTGACAGAGTGGCCCTTTTCCTTATAGTGGTGGTGTCATTGGAACCGGTCTGTTTTTAGGGACTGGTACCGCCCTCCACAATGGTGGACCGGCTGGTCTCCTGCTAGGCTACGCGATTATGGGGACCATTTGCTTCGCTGTGATGACCTGTATCGGAGAGATGGTTGCCTTCCTCCCCGTCGCCGGAGGTCACATCACCCTTGCCCGCCGTTTCGTCGACCCCGCGTTCTCGTTTGCCTTGGGCTGGAACTACTGGTACAACTGGGTCATTACGCTCCCCACTGAATTGACCGCCGCCGCCCTGATCATCAACTTTTGGGGTTGGGACGTCAACTCTGGTGTATGGATCACGATCTGTTTGCTCCTTGTCGTGGCCATCAACCTGCTGGGTACAAGAGCCTATGGCGAAGCCGAGTTTTGGTTTGCAAGCATCAAAGTGCTCACCATCGTCTGTAAGTATACATTTCTTTGCCTCATTATCAGGTGTTTCCTTCCTAACGCTCCAACTCCGCAGGCCTCATCATCGTTGGGATCGTCATTGCCGCTGGAGGCGGTCCGAACGGCAATGCTTCAGGCTTCACTTACTGGAATGACCCAGGCGCATTCAACGACAACTTCAATGGCATCACTGGCAGTCTCGGAAAATTCCTCGGCTTCTGGGCCGTTCTGATTCAGGCCGCCTTCTCCTACATCGGAACCGAGATTGTCGCCATCGCCGCCGGAGAGGCCGAGAACCCTCGCCGCAACATTCCCAAGGCCATCAAACGTGTGTCCTTCCGTATCGTCACCTTTTACATCCTCGGAACCTTCGTTATCGGCTTGACCGTCGCGTACAATGACCCCACTCTGATTGCGGCGAAAGACGGAACCGCCAACGGCAGTCCTTTCGTCATTGCCATCAAGAACGCAGGCATCGGCGTTCTTCCCTCCATCATCAACTTCTGTGTCTTGACGTCTGCTTGGAGTGCTGCCTCCTCCGACCTGTACACCTCTTCCCGCGCCCTGTACGGTTTGGCTGTCAGCGGACAGGCCCCCAAGATCTTCACGCGCACAAGCAAGAACGGTCTTCCTTACTATGCCGCCGCCGTTTCCATCCTTTTCACCTCTCTGGCTTACCTGTCGCTCTCTAAGGGAGCTGGCAAGGTGTTCGGCTGGTTGCAAGATCTCACTGCCATCTGCGGTCTCATCACGTGGACTTGCATCTGCATCATTTACCTCCGTTTCCACGCCGGAATGAAGGCTCAGAACATTGACCGCAACCGCCTCCCTTACAAAAGCCCCTTCGGCGTGTGGGGTGCCTACTACGCCCTTGTCTGGATTATCATCGTCATGCTCACCAATGCATGGCAAGTCTTCCGCCCGGGCCATTTCGACCTGGAGATCTTCATCACATCCTACCTGCCTCTACCCCTTTTCTTCGTACTCTTCGCTGGAGCCAAGATCTTCAACAGGACAAAGTTCATCGCTGCCCAAGACATGGACTTTGTCACTGGAGTCCGGGACTTTGAGGAGAGTCACGACACCACCAAGAAGCCCCGGACGCGTGGCCAGAGGGTCTGGAACTGGCTTATGTAGGAGGTCGTTCTACTTCCCCACCCCTCACATGTAAAGAACATTTTCCCCACCTCCCCATCACCACTGTAAACCGATGTAAATTTCACCTGCTACATTCCCCTACCCCCCTTATCACATCTCTTCGTAATATTACTGTGGTTTAGGAAACCACTCGTAATGAGACAATCGTCGCTTCGCTCTATGCGTCCGGCTCTCGGTTCAACTCGGGGTGTTTAGGCGTTTGGCTAGTGCCGCCTTGATGCGTGCTTGATTGATCCTGTGATGTTCCAATCTAGGCGCCCAGATTTATCTTGTGTCATGGTCGCAATCGCACACAGTCCTATCTGTTGTACGTTTTGCGCGTGCGTCTGCTATCAAGGCTATCATGGCAGTTTAGGGGCTTGCCAAGGCGGCCTAGGAGGCCAGGAACCCTTTCGGGCCCAGCCAGATATCGAGATCACCTCGAAAGAGGCGCCTCGGGAGCGACGGGGCAAGCAACTTGAAGCAAGGCGAGCGCGCGCGTGGTGCTTATGCAAGGGAAGAGACGCGTTCTCTCATAAGCAGACACCCACGCGTGAGCCTGCTCTTCTCGTTTTCATCGAGTCTGTCACTACCTCCCGATTCCTCATCGCTCTTGTCCTCCTTCCAATTTCTGTGCTCGGTCCCTTGGACGCAGTTCTTTCGGTGAGTGCCTTTTGGATCATCCATATGTCATCCAACGTGTTTAACCTTCTATTGAAGGTACCGGAGTCTGTCTTGCCCTCTTCGGCGAATGGCGTCACCCCCATCCTCATCAAGATGGAAAGGATGGACAGGTTGCTCCCACCCCCCCTGGACTTGCAGACGACGCTTCACCGGCCGGCCGGCCAACTTTGAATCAGATATATCTCGCTCAGCAGGCATGCTATGTTATGTCGGCGAGACGGGGTCGCACGTCGCGCGTTCAAAAGGTAAGTGCCTGGGAAACCGCCCAGTTGAGTCCAAACGCTTCAGGTTTTCGTCAACCGCGGACATGTAGTAGACGGGGCCCTTCAACAAAAGGTAGGCTAGCGCGCGACAGGTCACTAGCGTTTAACAACAGGTTATGGAGGATGCTGGGTGGAGCTGTGTCGGCCAATGCATCCGGCATTGTACGTGTCGCTCGTACAGCATACCTACGTCTGCGGGCCCCGGATTGTCTTGCGCGTCCTCTGCGTCCTCGCCCCGGATCCAGAACCAATGCTTCCTGTGCGCCGCCGCCGCCGCCGCCGCCGCCGCCTCGACAATACCCGCCGCCCGTGTACCGAAATATCATGGGGGAGATAGGAGGATCACAGAGGTGAGCAGACTTCATTTTCATTATTGCGATTGACGACATGAAGTCCCGGGCATATTCTAGCTATGTCTATCTAACTACTGAAGGGCCACTGGGAGCGATCCATAAGCCCAGACGAGAGAGGGGCCAAGGCGTTGAGGAACACCGGGAACTTCAGTGTACTCCCAACAGTATGCAACCCGGTGTTTTCTCCCGTTACTAAACGCTCCCCTCAGAATGAGGTGTCCGCTGGTCCGACGATGAGCTGCCCGTATGTCTAATCCACCAGTACTGAGCGGGATTACTGGTATCCTCTCCCTGAGCGACAGAGTTGTAGCATAAGGAATCTGACGCGCCATTGAATATGACTGATGTTCATACTCCGCCGAATGCTTGTAGGATAGCCCCCATCAGTTTCATTTTCACGGTGGACCCGCCAGCGGCGCCTCGCAAACCCCAGCGGTCGGCAGTCCGATGCCACTAGTTTTAGCGAAATCGGGTTCGAGTGGGTTCTTAACCCCTCAGGAACGATCAGCGACAAGCTCCCTTGAACGACCATAATCGATCTTGGAGCGGTCGATTCCCGCCCGAATACCTTCAAGAGTGCGTGGCTTTACGGCGACCGAGACAGGCACAGCAGCCGCGACCTCCGTGTGAACGCTGATGGGTCGCCCGCCGCTCGAGGAGGTGTGTTCACAGTGAGTCGGACGTCTGACCGGTCCCGACAAGCCATGAGCTCAGCATCACCACACCGGTGCGGGATGGCTTTGTCCAGCTTTGCCCAGCTTGCTTGCACGGGTTCGGGCGTTCCTGCCATACGTCCATATGTCTTTTGAAACAGCATGCCTCAATCCAGCTGAATCAAGTCGTCTTTCGTGAACGGTTGCACATCCTGCACGCAAATGTCGTACATCTCTTTAACCACCTGAAAGGCCTTCCCGACGTCCCCAACCTCCCTGTTATACATGACCGCCAACGCCGCTCTCCTTCTCACACAACTTTCAAATGCCCCTTTGCGGAACGGTATCGCCAAATACCGCTTCCTCGCCCATTCCCTGTCCCATTCACAGTCTCCACTCAAGCTCGCCGCTCTTATCTCCGCACATGCGTGCTGTTTGGGATCCTCAAAATCGATGTTGCGCGTGCAGTAGTCATAGGCGTGGATCAGTTCATGTGCCAGAGCGTCGTTGAAGCGACGTGGCGGAATGCGACGGTCGGCGCAGAGCGCGATACCTATGGCGGGGCCAAAACCTCCAGCGACTTGCGGGGTGCAGCGGACGCAGCGAATATGTCGTGACGGAGTAAGAGGACAGGAATTCTTAGTTAAAGCGTTGAAGAGCTTTTGAATGCGGGGTTGGGTAAGGGCATGGGCGAGAAGGCGGTTGCAATGGGCGAGGTCTTCGGCGTCTGCTTCGGTGAGGTCGTATATTTGAGAGTCGAGAGTGGGATGATTGCTGCTTCCGGGATTGGGCTCGCTGACGCTGAACGCTGCAAAGTCTGAAGGTGAGGGTCCAAGCAAAGACCGAAAGAGACGAGTGGTTCGCCGGTGTACTTTCGACGACGGTTCTGACTGGGACGCCTCCATGTCGAGAGGCAGCCGGTGTGCGCTATCCGTCCCGGCTGTCGATGTGTCCATTCCAGCTAGATCCGGTGGTCGAATCGGAGCAATGGGAAAAGGAGAAGGCCCAGTGGGACTAGGAGAAGCTGAGGTCACGACTGGGCTGACCACGTCCACTGCAAACATCCAACGCCTCCGTTCAGCCCCAATTACAATTTCCACCGTCCAGACCCATCGCCTTAGACAAAGGCTGCGACTACGCGCACTTCGGCAGACATGAGTGCGGACGTTCTGCATAGCATCTTCGCAAACGCTGCGGCTCACTATGCCAAAGCTGAATTTAAGGTTGCTAACACTTTGGCTTCCTGTGTCCTCTCAACTGCTCTTTGCTCATCTTTGGCATGAACCCAACGGCACCTTCAACTTTGATAGGAGGCATACAATACATATGTTCGAGCAGCGAACGCGGCACTAGTCGCTTTGGCGAATGGCATCATTTGGGAGGGCCATGGTACAGTGGGTCTATTGCGCGTTTGGCAGCTTTTGGCGACCGATGATCTCAGTAGGTCTATTCCCCACGCAGACATAATAGAAAAGCCCGCTGGCGTAGGAGATCTGCTGCAGATAGCTCATCAGAGCTTGGCGAGAGCAGAGGAACTCATCAGAGCTCGCAGTATTCTCAGCGGCGAGAGCCAACCATCGAGTTCAAACATGATGATAACGGCAACCCCGGACGCCAGGCTAGCCTCGCAAACGAACGCACCGTTCCCAGAACCTGTCCCATCGATCCCCATCTCGCCTGTCACCCAGCAGCAAGTCAAGCATGCTTTCCAGCTTCAATTAGCGGAAAGGCGCTACGCCGAGTCGACTAGACAGGAGCATGCCGATTTGGGCTCACTGCGGCGCCTACTAGAAGATGTGCGAATTCAAAAGGGCAAAGTCGAGGATCTGCAGGCTCTGTGTCAAAAAGTGGCGACGGTGCCACTGCAGCATTGGCCGGCAGAGGAGGTGGCGAAAGAGATAGCGACGATCAATGCAGAGCTGTTTGCGAAGGTCGATGTGAGGAACGAGGTGGCAAGGGAAGCGTCCCTGCTGGGCCCTAACGCAACGTTGTGTGTCGATTTCAACACATACCTCGAACGCATCATGATACACGCTATTGTTGGCGCTAAAGCGGCCCCTTCGCCGGAGATTGCGACAGATGCTAGAGCGGTAGCGATTGCGCAGGTCATTTCAATCGCGCATAGCTTGTTTTATCGATATCGCGATGTCAACGGTTTTATCGCGGCACTGAATGCACTGGGCTCACCAGAGGTGCGGCGATTGCAGAAAGCGTGGGACCACGTTCCACCAAAAGCAACAGAGGCCTTGAAGGAACTTCAAGATGCTGTTGGGACTGGCTCAGGTCGCGATCATCTCGAGCTGATTGCGCAGATTCTGGAATATCACTACCTTGGGGGAGGGATCTTGGTCGCTGTACCATACTTGCCGCCGTTCATTAGGGACGTCGAAGACCTCCACAGCGCCTACTCGGCCGGCGTTCAGGGAGACAGGGGTTCAGCCATGCTATCTGAGATTGGGGCTCGCGCCCTAGAAGACGTTTTATCCACACTCACATTGTGCCAAGGAGTTGGAAAGCCTGATCCGAGTCTCGGAAAAGCCAGCAGGGCAGCGGCTGGGGCTCGCAGCTCTGGACGGACGGCTCACTCCTCTACTACTGTGCCGGGTGATTTGACGCAATTGGGCCCCCGGCAGTTCCCTGTGAGCCACTGGCTTCTCACGCGCGTGTTTTGGAGTAGGGAGGAGCTGTGGTATCAAAGCGGAGAGAGTGAGAAACTGTTGGCCGGGGAATCGTTTCCCCCGCAGTATCAAAAGATGCTGGAGGAGCACGCCGCCGCGGCTGCGAGGGCCGCCAGGTGTGAGCGGACCTTGATGGAGAACCGTGCAGCACAAGTGCAGAATCGAGAAACCCCGCCACCAGCGGCGACCACTCCACTTGCAGCCGACCCCGTCCTAGCTCAACTAGTGTCTCCGTCGCTCCCTGTCGCATTCGAGGCCGTCGCGGCGCCGGATACACTCGCAGCTCCTTCGATATCCGGACCTACAATGGATGACGGAATCGAGGATGACGAAGATCTGCTGGCCATTCTCGAAGCCCTGCCCGTCATACCGGGCAGTTTGGATGATGATCTCTCGGCATCTGTTTCGGACGAGAAGAGTGCTAGTCTCCGTGAGTGATTTGTCTGCCTCCTTCAAATGCATACATGGGGACTGAATCACCTTTCCCACCAGAACCTTCAGACCAAGATCAATCCGACATTGCATCCAACCTCCCAAGCGACTCAGCCCACCCTCACGAACAAGCTGCATCCTCGGCAACCCCACCGCAGCAGCCCACCACCACCGACACGGATGCACCCCCGGAACGGGGCTACGACTATATGGATCGCTACCTGGGCTCTCTAACAGAGCCGTTCCCAGGCAGCAACATGGAGGAACCGGCGCCGCCTGGGCCACCGGAAGCACATCAGGAAAGCGGAGAGCAGCAGAATGTGAACCAGAATGTGGAACCCGTTGCACTACTTGAAACCGCCGAGCCAAGTCACGAGGTGGGCCCGGATGATGGCGGCGGCGGTGAGGTGAGCGAGGCCACCGTTGCGTCGATTGCTGCCGAGGTGGGGAGTGATGTGCGAGAATCGCTCTCCGGCGGTACGGAAGCGGGAAGTATATCAGACGCGTTGGGCCTCAGGGCCACAGCGGGAGACGATATACCGTCAGTGAGCGATGGCGAAGAGTCGGGCAAAGCTGGAAAGCTACTGACTGAAAGCGAAGTCTCGGGTGCTGGAGCAGAGGCCGAAGGGGGGGCATCGCAAGAGACAGGAGACCCGGAGTTGGATGAGCTTCAACGGCGTTTCCTTTCCCTACGATGATGATGGCTATATTTACTTTCTGTAGCAGATGTTAGCTTTTTGTAAATTGTACAGAGATGCCCCTCGGCGCAACAAGAAGAATCTGCTCTTTCCATAAAACCTCAATTGTTCTCATTCTAGTTACATGCGCTTACAATATCCACAAAGAGTCTGGCAACTATGATAGTTAACCTACAGCTCATCATGACCATCGTCCACCTCCTCAATCTTCTCTCCTTCCTCACTCGTCTCAATGTCGTCTTCCTTCCCGGCGTCTTTCTCCTTCGCATCCTCAACGGCGGGCGCGGGGGCAACCTCAACATTAGCAACCTTGTCCAGATCTACGCCCAACTTCTGCCTCACTACATTCTCAACCTTCTTGGCGAATTCTGTCGCGTTACGGACGGCGAAACCCGAGGCGATAGCGGTGGACTCGAACAGAACGTAGATGGAGTCGTCCAAGTCCGCGGACTTGCCTGCTTTCACTTTCGCAAGCATTTGGATGATCAGGGGGTGGTCCTGTGAACGCAAGGGATTCATCAGTCCGCCGCCCAGTGCAAGCCATCAAGCACAGGGAAGTTAATGATAAGAGCTAACTACATACCGGGTTGATCTCAAACACCTTCTTCATGTTCAAATACATAGCAGTCCGGAAATCCTCCTTGTTGCCCAGCGCCTGGGCCTGCAAGATCCTTTCCATGGTCCCAGAGACGCCATACTCGCTCGACAGAACCGCACATGGGGACGTCGTAAGCTGATGGGAGATCTTGACCGTGTCCACCCATTTGCTGAGACGCTCCTTGAGGTAATCTTTTAGGGGCTGGAACTCCTCTTCCTGCTCCTTGATCTTGTCGGCGGACTTTTCGTCCTCGTCGCCATACTTGAGTCCCGCCTTTCCGACATGCTGGAGCTTCTTGTACTTGTAATCTACCAAGGCGTTGGAGAGATACTCATCGATAGGGTCCAGGAAGTACTATGAGCCATTCGAAATCAGTTTGCGTCCATTTTGCTCCGATTGCCAGGAGACCCAGAGAGGAAACTCACCAGAACCTCGTATCCACGAGCGATAAGCCTCTCAACAAAAGGAGAGCCCATGAACTCCTCAAGGTTTTGGCCCGTGATGAAGTAAATCTGGGGTTGGCCCTTCCTCATGCGAGAATAGTAGTCTTCGAGACTCGTGTAGTTCCCATCGTGAGAGGAGCGGAACCTCAGGAGGGGAACAAGCTTCTTCTTGACGGAAGCGTCTTCGATGATGCCAAGCTTGATCGCATTCCCGTAGTTAGTGAAGAACTCCAGATACTTTTCAGTATCCTTGGATGCCAGGCTCTTCATCATGTCGATGGCTTTGGCGATCACCTTCTTCTTGATGACTTTCAGGATAGCATGTTGTTGCAGGGTTTCGCGGGAAACGTTCAATGGGATTTCATCCGAGTCGACGAGACCTTTCAAAAAGCTGAGCCATCTTGGAAGGAAACCGGGAAGCTCATCGGTGATGAAAACACGACGGACGAAGAGCTTCAGGTTGTGTGTCCAGTCGTCACCGCTCTGCAGGAACGCAGGGGATGGTCGCTTGGGGATGAAGATGATAGATTGGAACTCGACCTCGCCTTCCGCTCGGAAATGGTTGTGTGCCAAAGGCGCCTCAGTGTCCTTTGCAAAAGCTTTGTAGAAGTCGTTGTATTCTTCTTCTTGAATGGTGCTGGGCCGACGGGTCCAGATAGGCTTCTGGTTGTTGATAAGCTCCCATTCAGCAATGTGTTTCGACACTTCCTTGAATTTGGGCTTGGAGTCGTCTTTCTTCTCGGTAACATCTTCGACAGTGTCGTCCATGTCATCCGCCGCTTCCTCCTCTTCAATGGGGACTTGTTCGGTCTCCGTACGTTCCGACCACAGGTATATGGGGAAGTTGATGAATTCGCTGTAGTGTTTGACCAATTCGCGAAGCTTCTTCTCAGAGATATATTCCAAGGCTTCGTCCTTCAGATGCAGGACAATCTGGGTTCCACGTCCCAAGGTGTTCCCACGAGGGTCTTCAATAATACGGAAATCTAGTGGAAGATTGATTAGTTCATTGACATCCATCCATTCCAGTTTGAAATTCAGGCAACTAACCCGACTCCGAGGTCGATTCCCAGATGTACTGCTTGTCCGCATTGTTCTTGGAGATAACCGTAACGCGGTCGGCAACCACTATAATCCGAAGGACCTCAGTTGGTGACGATGAAGCCGAATACAAACAACGCACGTGGATACCCACAGAAGGCAGAGTAGAAACCAACACCGAACTGGCCAATCAAGTTGCTGCCATTCTTCTGATGTTCCATGGTGGAAATGAAGTCGGCCGTACCGGACTATTGGTTCGATAAGGTGTTCAGCGGTCGTGTTACGATTTGAGTGCTCGAGTAACATAGGTCGTACCTTGGCAATAGTTCCTAGGTTGGTCTTCAAATCAGCTTTCGTCATCCCGACACCAGTGTCAGTCAATGTCAAAGTTTTGCCTTCCTTGTCAGCGACGATTGTAATCTTAAGATCCGTGTTCTCCCCCAAGGCGGTCTTGTCCTGCAAGCTTTTGAACCGGATCTTGTCAAGAGCGTCGGACGCGTTCTATTCATGCACCATGAATGATCATGGGTTAATATCGGAGCCAATATGTACACCGCATGCAAACGAAGCTAGCTTACCGAGATCAACTCCCTCAAAAAGATTTCTGCACATTGCAATCAGAATGGACAACGGAGCGTAAGACGACTTGAAACCCTCGACGACTGACAGCCGTAAGAACAGATCCACATACCCTTAGTCTTGTACAAGCTGTTGATGATAAGCTTCATCATGCGGTTGACCTCCGCCTCAAACTGGTACTTCTCGCCCCCTTTGTCAAGTTTGGCTTGGTCTTCAGGGGTGAGGTACGAGCCAGGAGGGGCTTTCGGTAGCACTTCCTGCCCAAGTGGAATGCCGCCCACATCGACTTCGGGTCCGGCGGCTGCTAGCGTGGCAAAAGTCGCTAACAGAACGCCGACGGAGATCCCGACGAGCAGCAGAAAGCGATCTAACTTCATGGTTGACGGTGGATAGGCAGGCCTGGAAAATGACCTCGGTGAGCTCATAGATCACCGATGTGCGCGAAGTGGCTGGGACGTCGTTATTACGTGTGAAAGAGTGCGTAAAGTAGAGAGACCTCGGACCCTTCGGCTTTCCAAAACGGCTGGCACGGGCGCTAGACAGCGATGCTACGGCCTTAAGTAGTTGGACGTGAAAGGTGATGAGAGCGCTCCAATGGAAAGGCACAGAAACTCAAGTCAATCAAAAGCTCTCACAGTGCTTCCCCTGTCCTTCGCGGACGCGTCTTGTTATTGACAGGATGCGCCGGCGTCGTCCCCCTTCCCCGCCACTGTCATTTCTCGAGAGCTCTCCGCAGATCCCCAAAAACGCTCTAAAAAAGCTTTCGAAAGTTCAATTTGATGCCGGAGAACCCGTGGACTCCATGACTTCGCCTCCATTGTCACTCCTAGCAAGCATTCTTGATGGTCCAAATGCCACCGAACTCCGACGGCTCTTGAGCGAGGTGCTCATCACCGATATCGAAGATCTAGAGGCCGAAAGCGCAACTTTGTATGAGATTTCGCGGGAATACAGAACAGAGAATGAGCAAGTAAGTACATGAGGATAAGGATGTCTCGATTGTTGAACTGACGAAGGATTTTTGAAAGTATCTTTCTGAAAGGTTGCGCGCACCCGTGCTACGGTCTTCCGACTTCCATCAATCGGCGTTGATAGACGAACTTTTGGCCATACTGAAAGAATTAAGGATTGTAAGGCTGAGAATAATATGTAGCGATAGCAACATTAAGATGCTAACCACATGATCTGCAGAATTCCATACGAGATGTGGACGACATGCGCCATTTATTTGAGCACCCTGATGACCTGGTCAGAGGTACGAGAGCTCTGCTTCTCGCATTGCTTTTGTTAGTTCGTACTCCCAATAACCCATTCCATACACCCAACAGTGAAACAAATCCTTTGCAATCAACCGGCCATTCTCAACATCGCCCGCCGGCGTAGTTCTCCTCGTCAATCAGCAGCCCTGTCAAAGGACCTCCGTTCGCTACACCTCCTTTCCTCGTCAGCGTTGCAGTCAGAGGACGGTCGTGGGCTCCTCAGGTGAGCCGTGACTTTGATCAATCCTACCCTGAATATATGAAGCGAGCTTTCAAAGCTGGTAGGAAAATGCAGAAAGCTCTCCTGGAGGAGAAGGGGGCTTTGCAAGAATACGTGGAGGCCTTGAGAGAGAATTTGGATGCACAGCGGGACGTCAGGGTTGAGTATGTTTGTGGCATAAGTGTGGCATCGGGTAGCAGAGTAATGTGTTGACCTGAACAATCTCACTCAGAGCGGAAAGGATGCATGCAACAGCGCCAGTTTCTGTCGGTGATTTGCAGGGAATCCTTGGACGAATAAAGGTATGATCGGATTTGGAAGACAACATATTCCGCCACGTATACTCATGGACCATCAGATTGAGTTAAAAGAGCAATCACAGCGTGCCGCGGCAGATGCCATAGGTCGCAATGCAGCTAAGGGAACAAAGCGTAATATTCTGGAACTCAAACTTTTATCCTCCGACCGGGTCTGACATCCATCCCTTCTTACACAGCTTTACGAGTAAATGGCGCACCACTGGCGGCAATCGAAAGACGTAGAAACGGAACTAAGTCCGCGGACGAGCTACAAAGCATGTTTGCGGAATTCAATCTTCTCGACGCCTCCTCACCCTCCATCGTCCGGCCGTCCACCACCACATTCTCGAGCCCCGTCCCGCCTCCCATCATCAAATCCTCGCGCCCCCGTTCCCAATCCCGCCTCGTGAGATTACCGCTTCCGGCTCAGCGAGATACTATCCCTTCCCCGCGGCCTCCTTCGGTGCCTGGTCACACCGACGGTCCAGCGCGACCGCGCAATGTTCGCCTGCGGCGGGTAATGCGGCGCGATGAGCAGGCAAATGATGATCCGGGAAGTCTGGGACAGGACCCCGGCCATCTTCTCGCAAGAGACGCTCTGCCCCTTTTGCTGCTCTAAAAGGGTCGGGCAGTAGACAAAGGCATGCAAGGGTGTTCATGGCATTTTGTGAACGCCGCAGATTGTACCCAGTTGTATATACATTGTCCATTCATATCATCGAGAATCCATCTCGCTTTCATCTGAAAGGAGGCATAGTTGAGGATCCATCATTCCTAGCGTCTAGGGCAGTCTCCGCGAAATAGCGATGGAGCGTCGGGATGTGGGCAGATTCAGCCAGAACGCGTGGGTATGAAAACGCGTCGTGAGGAGTTCCAACCTGCGTTTTCGTTCCGCCTTTGCAGGAATCTATATAGTCTTCGACCCTTGAGGAGTTCCCTAGTGTATATATATAGGTATATATTTAGCTACCGGCTGGTGACAGACCCATCCCAGCTGCGTTCCGTTTCGGCTTCACCATATTTGCTGCCTGAGTCTTTCACGATGCAAATTCCCCCACCTTTCGTGTGCTATCAGGTTTGTTCAGTTGTCCTCGCAAATGTTGGCCACACTCTGTAACTGCTGAAAACCTGCTCCTACGCTGTAGTGTCACTGCCAGCATCTCAATTCTTCGTCGAAGCTTGCTGAAGGAGCCCAGGAATACGACCCATCAGGGGTGGCAACATCGGATCCTCCTCACTCGGCAGAGTATCTCGAGTTATTTCCCATAAGCCGTCTCTACTTTTGCGACCAATGCCATCACTCCATGTGCCCAAAGTGCATTGTGGAGGAGATCGTCAGCTACTACTGTCCAAACTGTCTGTTCGAAGTGCCGACGGCGTCGGTAAAGGGGGAGAAGAACCGGTGGGTTTCGCGTCAAGTGATAAGGTCTCGAAGGCTGGAGTCGAAGCCGCGATAATTGATTATGTCTTCTCTCGAAAGATGTGGGCGAAACTGCTTTGAATGTCCAGTATGCCAGAACACTTTGAGTGTGGTGTCCACCGTTGAGCAGCCGGCTATGGCAACAAGCCAGAGTACGGCATCCGCTGGAAGTGCCCCAACTCCGAGCGGGAATACCCATTATCTCACATGTGGAGCATGCCGATGGGACTCACTGGAGATTGGATTGCAGTTCGAGCGGCCAACGGGCCTCGCAAGTGAGTAAGGTTAATTTGCCGCTCGGAAAGCACGCTCTATTCTTATCAGGATGCGGTACCATGACTCCCAGCACAGCTACTACCGATGGAAGAGGCTCGACAAGATGTCAAAGAGTTTTCGAATCTTCGTCAATATTTTGAAAAGATGATGAAGGAGAACGAAGCCAACTCGGCGTCCAATCTGAGTCTCATACGAGGCTTGTCAACAACTGGGCTGACCTTATCGCCCTCGTTGCTGGCTGCCATCCCTGGGTTGTCTGCTCTCGCGAACCTGTCGCGCAAATCGAGCTCAAAGATGGTCATTCCGAGGCAGCAGAACGAGCAGAAGTTTGTGTCGGTCGCAAAAGCTCGTGAAGAAATAGAGAAGGAGAGAGTAGATATCATCCGAAATGGGTCAGCTAATGGTAAGGCAGGCGTTATGGACCATGTCACAGTGCAGTTCCTTCATTTGATGCAATGATCAACTGTTCCCAAGTCACATCACTACGGCAAAGACTTGACCAGTCAAATGACGCTGCGTTGACGAGAGAGTGAGTGTTTTGATTGAGAATGTGCCTTCAGAGAGGCAAGGGGAATGACTGTGTTCAGCTCGTACTATCCGCAGCGCATTCAGCTTCGCACGAAACGTTCCAAACGCTGTCGTGGATGTGAGCAGCTAGTAGTCAAAGCAGATCATAAAGCACAGAGCACGCGGTTTCAGTTTAAGCTCATGGGAATGTGAGTGCGTGCGTCTTTTCTTTCAATCCTGCGCTTCAGTAGATGACTCGCTCATTCTGCTGCACCAGTAACTTCTTCCCCAACATAAAGATATCGCAGCCCTTTCCCGACTCCTTTGCTTGGGGCACACCAGCACGTATCATTCTCAAGTTCACTAATCCTCTAGATGTCGGAATGTCGATCGCCCTGGCCACGAGTAGCAGCTCACTACGCAGTCTGAGACTTAACGACTTGCCAGACGTGGATGATAGCCGGTCACATCAAAACTGCGAAGTCACACTCCTAGCTCCGACCTTCCAGATTGACCCGGTGCAGGAGATATGGGATGTGGGAGAGGAGACGTCTGGGCTTGTTGCTGGACAGGGTCAAATTGGAATTCATTCCAGAAAGAAGAATACCGCTAGCGTAATCGTCCAAGTCACGCCGAAAAAGCCTTTGAATATGGTGGATGGGGAGACACAGACATTGCAGGTACTGTCATGAAGGCTCTTGATGCTGGCTTATGCGCGTGAAGTAGCTTATGAGCAGCTCTTGTTCAGTTCGCTTTATTGGTGCATGTCAAGCCTCAGACGCCCGAGCCTGTCGCAGATGCGGCAACGGTACCGACAGAAGGCGTGAAGCCTAAGGTTACTCTACGGGAGCCAATTGCTTTCTGGGTGATGGTTGGGCTTGGCACCCTGGGTCCTTCCGAGACGGGCGCTACTTTCACGCCGTACCTGGTCCCAGATTTAAGTTAAACTCTGTATGAGACTATTGCATTGGGCATGCACACGATACCGGTCTGCCACACACTCCCATTATAGTCATAGGCGTATCTGACATACATCAATGGTTCGGCAGACTATATAGCCCGGTAGTGATAGGCCGTGCTCTGAAGGAAATGACATCCCCTACCGGTCCACTCCCCAAATGGGTATATCACTCCTCCGTTTGACCGATACCTCGTCGTATCTCCCCTGTACAATCGATCGTAAAAATATGCGCCTCCGTAGTGATTTGGAGTGTTTCCTTGATCCGCACGCTCTCCGTTTCTATTGATAACGTCTTAGGACTCGGCCGTACTTTGATCTCGGCCTTCATTCCCGGGGCAACCTGTCGGAAGATATGCTATCTCATTGATCTGATCCGGATGGGGAACTTATGAAACGCTGTTGGTACATACCGGTCCTTTCTTATAGGTCAGCACCAAACAGGTGTCAGCGACCTGCTTAACCTTGAATCGCGCAGAGTTATTGCCAACATTGAGTAACGTCAGGGTCATCTCCGGAATGGGGCTTGCGTCTGCCGTAAATGGGCCAAAGTGTATGCGGGTGGGATGGATCTCAAAGATCCCGAGATTAATGAGCGCTACAAATTGGATGAAGGATAATCAGAATCAAAATAGCTTTAATACAGCCCTTGGGAAAACGGAAGGCGGTATAGAGGGAAGCGATGCTGTATCTCAACTAGACTCACCTTCCTTGTCCTTGGCTCTGAGCACCGCGGTCGATGCGGTGCGCACCTGCCTTCCTGCCTCTAACTCAGCCTCCAAGTATTTCGAATTTGAAACGGCAGGCCCTTTGCTACTCTTCAGGACAGACGGCAACCCGACTTTACCCTTCCGTGGACGGCCAAGGACGTCCCTTCGAAGTGGGGATCCTGGCTGGGGCTTTGATTGACGTGCCTCGAAAATCTCCGTTTGGTGTGGCTAGAATTGCAAAATGATGGCATCAGAATAAGAGATTGCCGAACGATGATCCTGTCCTCGGTGGCCATTACCTCGGATTTCACCTCGGCTTTGCGCTTCGTCTCTTTACTTGATGAAGGTCGGGGCTCTGAGGCCGTCGGCTCTTTGTTCTTCAGGCCTTCCGCCTCAGGCAAAACTTGTTCGGCAGGAACATTGGCCGCCTCTGCTGCAGAACCCTGGATAGCATGGAAATTTTAATCGGCTTATGCGTTTGCAGGCAATAAAGTAAGCGAGCTGCTCACCTTGATTTCCTCATACTCAGGGCTTCTAAAGTAATTTGGCAGCTCTTCGTCCTGGATGATCCTATGCAGCGTCCTCCCTTTCGTTTTCACCTTTGTCTTGCCGACTGCTTGGGTGTTTGCATCGTCGGCTGAGGCAGATGGTATGATGTCTTTCTCCTCGAGCGCATATTTACGCTTGATTAGTTCCTCTGTTTCTTTGCGGTCGAGGCCCAGGACACCTGTCCGATTCGTTGAGGACGTTCTGGCGGACGTGTTGTTGTAAATGGAGGATCGCGGATCAGGCTTCTCGGATGCGGATGCGGAAGTAGATGACTCTTCAAGATGAGCGAGAAGACTTGGATCGAGAGCCTCGTTGGGGTGAGCGTGACGAGTAATCTTGAGAGTTTTCAAGTTAGGACATCATGTGACGCAGAACGGCATATCGGAGCTCCCACCTGTCGATGCCTAATGACTTTGTGTACGAAGTTACGTGAACGTGTTTGCGGTTCCGCCGCCGCATCTCCGTCGATAATGAATGACACTGCCCGTGACGAAGGCCGCCCGACCAGGCCTTCCTCCGTGATCCTCACGTGTGGCTTCTGGGCCTGTTCCTGGAAGAACGCAGCAACGTCTGAATCACGTAGGAATTGCGATCCTTCGCCCGATGTTCGCAACACGAACAGTCGGGGGGCATTGCTAATCTTGTCGGCAGACTCCCGTAGAACTATTTTCTTGTTTGTGATGTACTTTGAATGCTCGCCCTCTCTCGCTTCCGATTTGGTAATCGAAACGGGTTTTGTGGCATCGACATGGAAAACATTCCCCGCTTTGTCTGTGCTGGCTATGGAACCTTCAGCCCAGTTCATATCGTATGTTGTCCCGACGCGGCTGAGGTTACTTTCTGCAGAGGAGAGGGTAGCTGTTCCATCGGTAGATATCGTAACAATATCTTCTCCTTTCTGTAATCGAAACGTGATCTTTTCGCCGCCTTGGTCTTCAATTCGCTCGATTACGGCCCCATTGGTCAAGTCGATGACGCTTCTGCGGGCAAAAATGTCCAGCGTAATGACAGCAAATCCGTCCGCCTTGACATTGATCTTCTTTGCCTGTACCACCCCTTGTTGACCCGCAACTGATCCGGTCACGGTGATGGCCGTCCCTAAGGCATGTTTGATGACTAGCTCTTCGTCACTTTTAACAATTGTGACCATGTCCTGCCTCGTAATGATACTGCGTCCAGTCACCATATCCTTTTCTTCGCACACCTTGATGCTCGTATGGGTGTGCTGTGGTTGATTGTCGTCAGAGGGTTTTGTAATCACACGGGATCCATCGTTTCGGGTACTTGTCCAATCGCCCGCCAAGCCTTGTATGGATACGCTGCCGTCCGGGAATAAAATTCGGGTCTCCCCATTTTGGAGATATTTGATTACCGTTCCCTATTAAGCGCATAAACTATTAGTTGCCATGGAATCGGTCTTTTCGATTGCGAGATCACATACGCACGTCAGGTCGGATGTGTCGCCCAAACTCCCCAAACGATCCTTTCGAAAATGACCGCTTTCGAGCAGCGTTTAGTTTCTGTGTAATCCCCCCTTGTGCATCCCACGCTACAGTTTGTCCGTCGGGCGTAGAGACATGCACCGTTGCGGATGAGCCAGGCCCTTCCGAAATGAACGACATGACAGATCCGTCATTGAAGGATGCGATGAGCTCGGTTTTGCCATTGCTTTTCCCTCGTCGCCAGGACAGCATCCCGCTATCCCAGTGAATGCTGAGGCAGGTGTCTAACGATAACATACGCTCGGTTACCGAGCATGACCTTCATTCTTCATGTGCCATTTCAGAACCCACGTACCAGTTGTTCCTTCCCTCGCCCTCAATCGCTCGTGCTTGATATACCCCTCCGCGGTGGGATAAACATAGTGATTGCTCTCTTCAAACTCCAGCACGCGATCGCCCACTGAATACACATATGGGGAGCTGGTAGCAGTTTCATGCTGCAGTAGCTTGGGTTGACTTTGGTGCAATTGGGCAAAGAGTCCAAAGCCAACCTTTGTTCTCGCCTACAAAGCATGTGAGTTTATATTGAGTATAGCAGAGTACGTGGAACAAGATTCAGCGATGCGAACCTGGAACGTGCTATGGCGATTAGCTTCCAAAGCACCGGCGGCCCCTGGACCCGTTAACGCTATTAGAACTCCGTTTTCTCGGTCACTGTAACGGATTCGCGTCACCGGATATGTCACTCTGGTAGTCTCTAAAACCTTCACTTCCATCAGTTATGTTCCGCAGTCGAGAGAGGCCCCCAATATGCTTACCTGCGCAAATGCATCTTCATCAAGGCTCTCAATACAGGTCCAATCTCGTAGGCTAGTGATTGAGGATGCCTTAGATTCCGAAAGCAAAGTTTCGAATTCCTTCTGCCGCAGAAGGCGATTTGCTTCTTCCGTGTCCTGGATCGTCGCCCCTTTTACTGACTGGATTCTAGATGCCCAAACGAGCTGGTCGCGGACAGCAGCTCCAGGATTCATCACCCCCGTCTCGTTTAACCGACGAATTGCGGACATCAGTCGCCCAGCCGTGAAGTTTTTACGGAGGTCGGCTAGGGCAGCGCTGATGTGAAATTCCTCGTTCGGCGCAGGCCGCATTAGACTGGTGATTGCGGCATGCGAGTCTGCCCATGAACATCTATCCGGTCAAAGGTATGATCAGCAACGAGTCATAGAGGAGAATGAGGAAGGTAATGCCTACACTGGTCGGGCAGTGCTCTGATCGTCCACCATCACGTCCTTCCCTTCTCCTTCCTCCCGCGTCGGTATCAGATTAGAGGAAGCCGTCTCGAAGTATCTCTTCAAAGCCTGAATCTCTTCCGCCTTCGCTGGTAACACCACACCCGGGCTGCCCCCTTCTTCGCCCTTGCTAGGTGCCATTCTTGCCACTTGCTCCAACATCAGGGCAAGGAGCACGTCACTGTTGATCATTGGCTCGCTGGGAACGGAGGTCATGAGATAGTCAAAGTAGCGTAAGCTGCTGTACAACTTGGTCTCCTCTAGTTCGGGTATGGATATGATGCGGTCGTTGGAATAAAAAGACTCGTAGATGTTTCGCACTTCGAGGAGTTTGTAGATCTCTTTGGCCGCCACATCGAAAACATCGGTGTCCTCGGGGAGATTTGAAGTGGCTATGGAGCGAAATGGTACGTTTTTCCATAGGGATGATTCGGGGGCAGCCCTCGCTACGGGCCATGCCGATCCACGCCGCGATCCGACGCCGGAATCCGGGCTTCCCCCATCTCCCGGCCGTTGTCCCTCGCTCCCATTGGAGTCGTCCAAAGTGAGGAAGAGATTCAACTGCACCCCATTCTCATCCATCAAACATGTGTAAAATCCAGGCGTTGGGAAGTCCCGGAGTAGATAATACGCATCTGGACCATTCTCCGGCTCGTCTCCGATGGCAGTCGGCTTGGTATCGGTCTTCACCACACCTCGATCCCGAAGTTTGTTCTTCCTCAGAGACGTTTCTGGCGCGGCACGAGCAGATTCTGGTCGTGATGGCGCCTCTTGCTGCTTGTTGGAAGCGCCTACAAAGGTTTCGCATATCATCAGATGGCGCCCTGTCATGGCCATGGTTCTTACAAGCATCATACCTTTGGTGACTTTCTTGTTGGACGATTTGGCGCGGTCTTTCTCGCTCGCCTTCTCCTTTTCTTTTTCCTTCTCTTTCTCTTTGTCGTCCTTCTTTGCCGGCTTGCCTTTGGCTGCATCCGCTGGCTCCGGTACTGGGGCTGAAGTCTCCGCTGTCTCCTGATCAAATATATTGGTTCAGCACTGCGCTCTATGATTTGGATACATCCGGATGTATCCGGCAAAACTCTACCTTCGCAACTTTGGCAGCATTCCTTTGCTCTATCCCTTCCAACTTCAGAGCGAGCAGCTTCATCTTGACTAGACGAGCCAGTAACGCGTCAGGAATCTCAGCTTGTGCCCCGCCACTGTCCAGAATTGCTTTGACTTCCTTGCATGTGTCGTAATTTTTGGCATTCTCCCCTGCCTGAAATGTTGGATTGTGAGCTTGGCAGTTCTGTTTTGGGCATTCAGCTAGCAGATCAACCCTTCCTACCCACGCAAGCGCCGCGGCCTTTGACAGTACGGAAAACCGTTGCCGGGTTCCATTAGCAACCAGATCGTAGAAGCTATTCCATTTCTTGGCATTCTGGCCGTCTTCATCTAGATCCAATGCAAAGATGTAGGCTTGCCAGGTGTCCTGTATCATTTTCGCATCAAGGTCATTTGATGGTCCTGATCACAGCAGTGTGCCTGAGTAGAAATACTCACATCGCAGAGTGGGGAATTGGGAAGCGGAGTCGTTACGGTTGCCGAGGCTACTTTGTCATTCCTCCCCATTTTGCAGACTCTCGTTTAGCCCACGAGTCTTGACGATTCTTGGTTATATATCGGTCAAAACGCCGATGGACCCCCAGTACCCAAATGTCACAATTGGCAAAACGATCCCCGCCCGATACGCGTCACGCGTTTTCAAGTGTTCTCGTCAGGAAAGGCGGACGGGACAGACGGTCTCGATTTCAAGGCTGTGAGGGTGCCATCTTCCCGAACATAGGGCTCCGACAAGGCAACGGCTAGTGCCTGCCAAAGACTCTGACGACATGTCCTGCAACGCGCCGAGTCAAGCCGCTCCGTACGACCCGTCCTGCAGCGCCCCGACGCAACTCCCACCGGTCGATCCCACAAGCATTGGGTCGCCGCCAGAAGAATGGTGGGGTCGTCTGGCGCGCCTAGACGGTTTGGAAGGTGCGTTGAGATAAGTCTCCAGCTACCTGATGTTGGTTGGGTATACTCCGCGAAGTTCTCAACTCGTTTCTCTTCTAAGAGGATCCTCTCCTGTTGCTTGAAACGAAGAGTGTATATAGTTTCGGAAGTGGGCGTAAAGGCGAAAGTTGCGACTTTCTCCTAGACGGCATAGCTGTGTCCTCGCAGGTAGAGAGAGGCAGGGAAAGAAAGCCTTAGATCACCTCATGGGTTGAGAACTTATCATTGCATGCAGCATTTTTGCATATCACGCACAAGGGAAGCCGACGGCACATATACGATTCTCATCAATGATCTATCGCTGAACGGAACATTCCTCAACGGGGAAAGTCTGGGCAAATCAAAGAGTCGGGCACTTTTTCACGGAGATATAATAACCTGCGGAGAGCATGAATTCATCTTTCAGCACCGGAGCAAAGTAGAGGGCTCCCTAGCCGCGAATGCGAAATTTCAGAACCTTTATCGACTTGGACAGGAGCTTGGAAGGGGCAACTTCTCAGTAGTTCGCCTGGGCGTGGACAAGATGAATGGACAAGAGTTCGCAGTAAAGATAATCGACAAGAGGCGATTCGCGGGAAATGCGAAAGTACTCGAGGCGCTAATACAAGAGGTGCTGATCATGAAAAGCCTGGAACATCCGAACGTGGTGCAATTGCAAGAGGCATTCGAAATTGATTCAACCTCGTTCATCGTGATGGAACTACTAGAAGGTGGTGACCTCCTGCAGTACATTGGAGCGCAGAAGCATCTGGTCGAGCCTGATGCCCGACGGCTTTTTAAACAGATGATTGCTGCGGTCGAATATCTCCATCAACTTGAAATCATTCATCGAGACTTGAAGCCGGAAAACTTCCTGCTGACGAAAGATCACAAGACGCTCAAACTGTCGGATTTCGGCCTTGCCAGAGCGGCCGGAATCGAAAACTTCACCACGGTCTGTGGGACGCCGGCGTACATTGCCCCGGAGATTCTCAAGGGCACTGGACGGTACGACGGTCGTGTTGACATTTACAGTCTCGGAGCGATCCTGTACTTCATGCTGTCGGGGGAAATCCCACCAGACGGTGCCAGCCAACAAAGTCCTTCAACGATGTCGCAGTTCTCCGAAACGGCAGCTGCACTCATCAAGGAGGCCATGCACCCGGACCCTGTGCGCCGCATCACTCTCCGAAGTATGGCAACCCACCCTTGGATCGAAGATAGACCAATGCCGCTGGTAGCGTCTACAATGCCAGATACATTTCGTCGGCCCATCGATATTACGGCGTGGGCCACTCTCCGGACTGAATCGGGCACTGAACATAAATTATTCAAAAACACCTACACAATTGGGCGCGGCAAAGATGTTGACCTGCGCGTGGTCAACGATCTGCGAGTGTCAAGCTTGCATTGCAAAATCTGCAAACGGGAGGATGGGGAGGCAATTCTGGAAGACCATAGCGTCAACGGTGTCAGGGTGAATGGCATGCGTATTGGAAAGGGCGGGTCTGCCAAGCTGGTAGATGGAGATTTGTTGCTCTTGGTACCGGAGATAATCAATGGGCCTGCCATTGTATACACGTTCGCACAACCCTCTGGATCAGGGGCAAGAAAAAGACCGGCAGAGGACAACTCTGAAAGTCCAAACAAAAGGCTAGCTGCAGACCTACCAACGTATACCTTCACCGACCGCCGAGTCAGCGCCTCTCCGAGATACACGCCCCTCTCAGAAATCGGCTATCTGACGTCTCTCTCCGCCCCTTCAGAATTCCCACCCGACGTCGCCCTCAGTTCCGCCCCACTGCGGATAGGGCGACGACCAGATAATGATGTTCTCCTAAGTAACATCGGGATCAGTTCTGTGCATTGTATCATCACCCCGAGCGCTGCGAATGACGATGGAAGGAATAAGGTGTGGCTGGAAGATCTAAGCCGGAACGGAATGTTCCTCAACGGACGGAAACTCGGCAAGGGTGTGAAAGTCGAACTTGTAGACGGTGACGAAGTGGAACTCGTTCGAATCAAGGATGGTGCGTCTCCTATTCTCGCAGTCTGCCCGTGACGAGAGGCGTTGCCGTTTCGTTCAGCCGCAGATTCCTAACATTGATCGTTGCACAACGTGACAGATCCACTCTATGGGTTCCGCTTCCATAATCCATCACGAAGGCATTGAGGATCTTCAGCTCTCGGTCCGAGCGGAAAGAATAGATCACCTCACGAGAGAAAGGCGTAGAGATAGCGTAATGTAGCGTGCCTTCTTTTGATTCGGTATCGGGCGATGCTTTCGCCGAAACTTCGTGAAATCGCATCTGAGGCCCATGCATTTGAAGCCCATGCATGCCAGCCCCGTCTCCCGTCACTCTGAGCCAGCTCTTTCGCAGTCCAAATTCCCGCGCTAAGTCCACATCAACGTGTGAACAAGGCGTCTGAACGAAGAAGTTCACATTGGCAAAATAATTTACAAGGAATCCGGACGGCGACGCCGGGGGGGTGATAGTGTGAAGATGTACAAAAAGGATGGTCTGCTCGGAGCAGCAACGAGGAGTCGACAGGAGATCTACAGCTGCTTATTTCGCCGTGCTTTCGCGAGCCAGTTGTTCATTTCTAATGTCGATGCTGAAGAAGTCTCGGTCTTTTTCTGTGCGATGTATTCCGTGTCAGCCATGGCGTTTCACGAGAAAGCCAAGCATTCGGCTCCCGTACCTGTGTAGCCATGCAAGTCATCAGAGCGGCTGCTGTTTCCGCACACGCTGGTGCATCGACGGCTAAGGCTCTCCTACATAAACCAACGAAAGTACGTCAACGTCCATCACTTCCCGGCGGCGTTGCCTCCAGGACTGAACGTACCAGCAATTGAACAGCGTGGCCACCTCCACCGCACAAGGCGTTGCCTTCTGCACCTTTGGCGGCCGTAAGAGCACGGGCTTCTTTAGTCTATCAAGCGTCCGCATGGCTGTTGGTGTTGCAGCGATCTCCACCCGCAACTCACAGCGCGGCACTTCCCCCAACACGCCGAAATCCATCCGTGGCTGGCAGTGGCGCAGGGTGGCGCTGCATTGACAGTGCCGTCAACTCGTAGCTTGATATTTCTGACCTTTTCTCGCATCGTCCTGCCAGACGAAGAAATACGCAGATGACTGCGCAAGCAGCGCCGTATATCCAGTCTCCTTTTCCAGGACCACTAACATGCTATACAGCGTAGATATCGGGCGTTCATCCACTCAGGGCCTGAGCGCAAGATACGGCGTAGGTCGTCCGATGATGCCCGCCTTGCAGTCGACCCCATGTTGGGCACATATCGCAATAAATGCATCGTTCTATTTTCTCTCACGGCTGACAGGATTGAGGAGGGGAGGAGGCACTTGAAGTATGTGATTTGCTGCACTGCCTCTTTGGACCCTGGGGTCGTGTTTTATCCGCCGTCTCCGCCGTGCTGCGGATAGAAGTTCCGCTCACGTCACGAGCAGACCGGCTCCAGGCGCTACAGTACATAAAAACTAACCGAGTCCCATGCCCCTCTTGCAAAACAACTCCATCGAGCTCAACACCGCATAAGCTTCGTATCACTCTTCCTCCAACCAGACCCGCCCGACGTTGCCGTAGCTATGACTATCACACGGTCCGCGAGCAAAAAGGCCATCACGGCACCAGCGAGACCAGTCTTAACGAAACGAGAGGATTCCGGGTTGGGCTTGGTTGTGCGAAAGCGGAAAGCCCGGGACGTGAAGAAGGTTGCGGACGAGGTAGAGGTGAAGGAAGAGAGGCCGGCGAAGAAAGTCAGGACATCGAGAGTCAAAAAGGAGAACGGGGATTCCGACGCGGAAGTGAAACTCGAAAAAGCAGTGAAGAAGACTCGCAAAATAGTGTCAAAGACAGATCCAGACGCTGCCTTAGACCCCGCCGCCGCCAAAAAGCGAGCCACAGCCTCCGTCACCCGCAAAGAACGCCAAATCGCCTCCCTCGGGCTCGACCCCTTCCCCACCTTTCCACACCCGAGCGCTGAGGTAGCGCAAGCCGTCAACGCGGCGCTGGTGAAGCTGCACGGCCGTCCCCGCCGACCAGTGAAGGCGCCGCCGTCGGCAGAGGTGACGGACAGTTCTGCGGCGTGTGGTCAGGTGCAGTCGGTTGTGGAGGCGCTTGTGAGGACGATTTTGAGCCAGAACACGACGAATGCGAATAGTTCGAAGGCTTGGAGAGCGTTGGCTAATAGGTTCCGGCCGAGGCGGAAGAAGGAGTCGAATGAAGAGGATGTGAAGAATGATGAGGCCAAGATACCCGTGGCAAGCGTAGACCCCGACGAAGCCGATCGCTGGGACCAGATCCTCTTCGCTCCAGTTGAAGATGTCGCAGACGCGATCCGATGCGGCGGTTTGGCCAACAACAAAGCCAAGTCAATCCACAACATGTTGCGTGACGTTAAGGACAAGTACGGCGTCGTGTCGCTTGATCATCTGCATGGGAAGAGCGATGAGGATGCTATGAGGGAGCTGGTGGGGTTTAGTGGCGTGGGGCCCAAGACTGCGTATGTATCTGAGCAAGAGGGTGGATCGCATAATGAATCAGTGTGTCTCACGAACGTATGTGTGATCTAGGAGCTGCGTCCTCCTCTTCTGCCTCCGCCGCGAATCCTTCGCGGTCGATACCCATGTCTACCGCATCTCGCGGGCTCTAAACTGGGTGCCGCAAAAGGCAAATAGGGAGCAGGCACAGGCCCATCTTGATGTTCGAATACCTGAGGATATCAAGTAAGTGTTGGGTGTCCACTTCCTTTGCTGTTGCGTTACACGCCCTGATCAATCCTCCCATAAAACCCAGACACTCGCTCCACTGCCTCCTCGTAACCCACGGCAAATCCTGCAAGGACTGCGCCGCCAACGGCCGCTTATCCAAGCCCGATAGCGGGCCGTGCCCCTTAATCCCGTTCCTACGCGGCGCGCGGAAGGGCGCTCAGGGTGAGGGTGGGGATGTACCACCTGAGCCGAGCGATGAGACGGGTGCGGAGGGGATGGAGGAGAGTAGGGCTGATGAGGAGGTTGTGGGTGCTGATGGAGAGGTCAAGGAAGAGGAGGATGTGAAGGGCGTGGTGGATGCGGAAACTGAGGACGAACATCTGAAGGAGGAGCATGGATACCATGGGTTATAGACTTCAGTTAGTTGCTTTCATGAGCTTCAACTGCACATGCAGGCAGATCGGGAAAGCAAACCCCCAATCCCCGGACAATATTCATGGGTAAGGTCAATGAAATAAATACAGTTCTGCCCTACTTACAATGGTGGGACTATGTAATTAGATGGCAGGGGAGGAAATGAAAACAAGAAAAGAGCGCTTGTGCGTCCAGCGACAGCTCATGTGAGTCGTGCTCAACAATCATACATCCGCTCGCAAAGGGATAACCTCTGCCATACCGCTATCGAACGGGATACGTCTACTCTACGCCAATGGGTACAGGGAGCTCGCTTACTGCTGCTTGACGACGGATTTCACGCCGGCGGCGTCGTTGTCCAATACCCGGTGGATCATGGGGATGAGTTGCTGGGCGACGGTGAAGGAGAAGACGAGCTTGGGGCCGACTACGAGAATCTTGGGTGTCAATCCCTATAACGCGCAAGAGGTGATTAGTGAGAAAAAATCCCGCACAGTACTGGGCACTGTCCTTTTCGGCCCTTACCTTGAAGAAAGAGCCGAGTCCTTCCTTTGCGGCCATGTTCTTCAAGATGGTCCATCCTCCCTGTGCCTGTTCGCTCGACCGGGCCTGAATACGGGTCTTGATGACATCAAGCTGCATGGGACGAAGTCAGTATTTAGACTGTCATCCCAAATCCCGGGTGTACAGGCAGACCGACAGAACTTACGGGTGCAGAGATGGTGATACTGGCAACGGCGCCAGCAATGGAAGCAACAAAGTTCTGGAAGAACGTTGCCTTGGAGTAGTCCTCCAGCTTGAAGATGTGCTCCTTGGTTATCGCCGCTCCACCAAACAACGCGAACGATCCTGGCGCGTTCCTCGCCGCCGTCCATGTGGCACCCCTGTACAGTCCCCAACCCTCCTTTTTCACAATCTGGAAGACGTTCAATCCCGCGTAGTTTTGTGCGTTTGTCTGCATCTTGATCTTCAGAGCGTCCAATGGAAGCAGTACAATCTCTCCGATTCCGACCAACGATCCTGCTGTGGCGTGCATGATGGTTTTGGAGTGCTTGTCTCCAAATACGGACTGGAAGCTGGACTTGTAGTTCTTGTTCAGGTAGTCGTTGACGAAAGGTTGTCCACCGAACTTGTACACACGCTGCATGACTTTGTAACCCGCGGCGAATCCAAGCCCTGGGAACAAGGAGAGGTACTTTGAGAATGTTCCCTTCTTTGCTGCATCCTGATAGATTGGAAAACGTGTAAGCTTCCAGGGATGTTCTTCGTCATGATTCCCGCGCCGTCCCGAAAACCTACCTTGAAGATCACTTCGTTCAAGATAGCTGAGGATTCGGCGAATGGCAAGCCGGAGACCTAAGACAAAGCGGACAGAGGGACGCAGTTTCAGTGTTGGCGACCGACCGTCACCTCGCAACCTTACCCCTGCGTCCTTTCCCTCACCTTCCGCTGGTTGTTCATGAGCCTCTTTGCGACGGTGTCGACAGGGTGGAAACCCAGAAGCTCAAGGATACCGGCCGTGCCGGACCCAACGACACGGGCGGTGGCGGACTCGTTTCCTTTTCCGGACGAAGGAGGGGGCGACATTGCTGTGGTGGTGGAGGGGTGTCTGTTGCGTGGGGGTATAATGGGATTTATGGCAAGGGCAATGAGGGAGGACCACCACCTTTCGCCGAAGACCGGAAATCCCCGCACGAGAAAGAGAGATTTCCGAGGGCAAAAGGGGCGACGATCCGATGGATGGTGATCTTCTTATGATACGCGCTCAGTCCATTGACGCATGCTCTGACTCATGCTGGTGGCCTCTTCCCTTCACGCACGTGACAGACGCTGACATGCGCGTGTTAATTATGGCGTTCTTTCTGCGCTGCAATCAATCACTCCCCTTCCTTCTCAAGAAACCATTTGGCAAAAAAAGTCGCTCTCCGCTCGCTCTATCCCGGGCTGGTCATTACCCTCGTCTCCCTCCCTCCCTCCACACAAGTGACCACTCTATCCCCTTCCACCGTCTCCAACAGCCACAAGCACAGATATGACCGCCGACAAGAAGACCCCCGTGCTGATCGGTCTGAGCTTCGGTACGCTCAACTCTACCCTCGCTATCGTCGGAAAGGACGGCAGGGGTGAAACTATTGCAAACGAAGACGGTGACAGAAGTATCCCCTCTTACTATGCCTTCACGGGTCACGGAGAGGAGCTAGCGGGTTCCCAGGCAAAGGTCCAGGCAATGTCCAACCCGTCGGGAACGATAACTCAATTCAGGAACCTTTTGGGGAAAAAGTATGTGTCTCAGAGGAATTCCACAGAAACTATTCAAGCAATCGCTCACCACTCTTGCACTTCACAGGTTCGATGATGAAGTTACAAAGCACCAAATCGACGCTTTGTTCATGAATATTATCGCCTCGTCAAAGGACGCTACGCTCCCCGCCTACGAAACCGAATCCTGGCCTGAAGACGCCGAGGAGGCCAAAAAGGAGGAGCACACACCACAGGAGGTTGCGGCAAAGTACCTTCGCAAAGTCCGCGAAACAGCCGAGAACTTCCTGGGTCACTCTGTAGACGGCTGTGTCATCTCCACACCTGTCTACTTTGCCGACGCGGAGAGGGAGGCTTTGTTGAAGGCCGTGCAGGAGGCCGGATTCGGATCGGCGTACACTGTGCATGAGCCCGTCGCGGCTGCGTTGGCCTACGACAAGGTCGCAGAGTTGAATGCCGCCAGCAACGGGGAGAAGCTGACGGTGAAGAAAGACAAGCTCGTGGTGGTTCTGGATTTGGGAGGTCACCAGTTTAACGCTACCGTTCTGTCCTCTAACAACGGCCTGTACACCATCATCGCCTCCGAAGATGATGAGCACCTGGGTGGAGAGGAGTTTGACGAGATCCTGATGAAGTTCGTAGCTAGCGACTTCAAGCGCAAGACGAAGATGGACATTGGCAACAACCGTCGTGCCCGCGCAAAGCTGCAAAAGGCCTGCGAGCAGACCAAACGAGCCCTGACGAGGCAGGACAACGCCCCTTGCTCAGTGGAGAGTCTGTTCGAGGGCCAGGACTACCACGGCACCGTCAATCGCATGCGATTCGAATCCCTCGCCGACTCGTTGATCTCCCGCTGCATGAGCCTCATGAGACAAGTCCTGACCGAGGCTGAAGTCAAGGTCGAGGACATTGACGAGGTCCTCCTGGTCGGAGGAGCCAGCAACATGCCGCTCTTCCACCGCGCCACGAAGAACGTGTTCCCCTCCACCACCATCCGCACCGATGTGGAGCCACAGGAAGCCACCGCCGTCGGATGCGCCGTTCAGGCCGGTATCATCGTCTCCACCCCCGCCAACCTCGACTACGCCGCCGCCTCGCAAAACACTGACGTCGTCAACGCTCAACATCTCTCCCACCCCATCGGGCTGGTCCTCGGTGACGGCAAGTTCCTCCCTGTGCTCCCCAAGCGCGCACCCATCCCATCGAGGCGTACCGTCTCATTCGGCGTTGCTGAGGGCCAGAAGGAGGTCTACCTGCAAGTGTCAGAGCAGAAGTCGGAAAAGGAGTCGATTCTCCTCGCTGAACTTGTCTTGTCTGACCTGCCCGCTGACCTGAAGACGTCCGGCGCCACGATCGACGTTGTGTTCACAATAGAGAAGGACGGTGTCCTCACCGTCTCGGCGAAGGAAAAAACGAGCGGGAACGTCGTCAAGGCGAAGATTTCACGGAAGTAGGAAGACGCCGACGTAGGAAGAGAGTAACGTAACATGTGGAAAAAGGCCCCCGAGTTTGCAACACCCACCCATAAACTATCTTAGCATCTTTGTTTACACTGCCTTGGCGGTTTAGAATCCATTTTCGGTATAATTTACATCGTTGTCCCGCAGCTTCGACTCCTTGCGTTCCACTTCCGAAGTACACTCGCAATCACTCTCGCAACTTATTGGATATGAAAGACATGGTTTTGTTTTGGTTATATGTGAAGATGGACAGCTTCACAGAAGCAAGGGTGAACTATCCCTAGATAGATATCGTCCGCCCCCTAAACTAGATGATTCGACATGACCAGAGCATCGCCCCTCATCCGTTCATGCATGGGTCACTTATGAGCTGATATCGATTTAGTGGGCACGACGGGACTCGGCAATGACGGCGGACATCTCCTCGACCTTTCTCTTGGCACGGCCGAAGGTACCGAGCTGTGGGGAGGAAACGAAGGCAGATTTAGAGTACGCCTCATGGTGATAAAACCTGGATGGGCCCGCCTTCATAATTCTCCTAGATCCTCGCCCAATCTCCAACATCGACAGATCCCTCAGTACTACCACATCCCCATGCCATTCCCAAACTCACCCTCCTCTTGGCGAGCTTCCTCGCACGCTTGTCAGCAGAGTTCTTCAACAGCTCCATGATCCGCTTCTCGTAAGGAGCGTATCCAGTGACTTCGCGGACGAGGTCGCGGACGAACTTGGTGCGCTTGGCCAAAGTCTGAGGGGAGAACCGGGAGTTTTGAGTTTTGTTAGTTTCCGACAAGGGAGGTTTGACTCGGAGGATAATGGGGAGTAAGTGGAAGGCCTATGGGACATCGGGTACAATCCCACTCCCTGGATCTGACATTCCGTCAGCCACAACCACCCCGAACACCCTTCTGCCAAACATCCTTTTCCAACTTTCTCCGTGCCGTTCGGTACGAATAGAAGTGACCTGCCCACCAGCCCTTGTTCTCAAACGACTAGGCGCCAGCCTTCGATCAATGTCGTTCCGAGACCTCCTGCTCATTCCCAACCCCTCCGCTAGCCCATTATCGTGCCCACTCACACAAACTCCTCCCCCTCCAGAAAACCTGCATAGCTTCCGTATGATCCCTCCTCTTCCTCCACCCCTCCCCATGCTGGTCCGCCGTAGAATGCGTCAACGTACCCCCTTGCGATTGACGGGCTTCGCCTTCAGCTCACGCCTGGTGGTGACGTGGCCCTTGTTGAGGCCGGTTGCGATGCCGGACTTTTGTGTGGGAGCCATTGTTGAGTGTGCCGGTGTGTGTGTTCCCAGGAACTTCGACGAGGAAGAACAAGAGGGGGTGTGTCGGTGGGGCGAAAGGGAGTTGCTCTCGCCCGCTTTGCCTGCTTTTTCCTTGTTGCGCGAGGATGACCTTCTCACGTGACCATCTCAACTGAAACTTGGTCTTGACAGAAGGAGCTCCATTTGACATTCGGGCTTGAACAGGTGTAGGTCGCAAGACAAAGTACTAGAACATCAGCATTCTGAATAAGGCGAACGGTGCCACTGAAACGTTTTGAAGCGGCTGTATTGTCCGTCAAACCTCTCTTCCACATTCTTTCCTGAGGAATTCATAAAATGTAAGCTATTCCACCTGCAGTTCTGGCTTCGCAACAAAGGTTCTAACTGAGCGCTTCCGTTCTCAGGTCACGTCTTATTGTGAAGAATCTGCCAAAGCACTACACTTTAGAAAGGTTTAGGGAGCATTTTGGCGAAAAAGGGGAAGTCACGGACGCAAAGCTTGTAAAAACCGGGTGAGTCCTTTTGTTGAGCCAGCGTATTCAGAGTCCTACATTAAGTGGTATACTCATCGCCGTCTCTTTTAACAGCGATGGAACCTTCCGTCGATTCGCATACGTTGGATACAAAACCGAAAAAGAAGCAAAAGCAGCATTAAAGTACTTCAACAACACCTACATAGACACGTCGAAAATCCAGGTCGAATTCGCAAAAGCGATCGGCGATACGTCTCTAGCACGACCATGGAGTAGATATTCCCAGGGAAGCTCGGCACATGACCGGAAAACAGACGCGGAGGCGGCGGCGCAGCGAGCGCGCGAAGAGCGTGCGGAGAGGCTGAGGAAACAGAAGGAGGAGACCAACCATGACATGGAGCGGAAGCAGAAGCTTCTCAACAACCTGTATGCGGATAAGGACGACTCGAAGCTGAAAGAGTTCCTCGAGGTCATGAGGCCACGGGCGGCCGCCCGAGGCAGGACCTGGGCTAACGATGAAGTGACTGGATCGGAGGAAGCTGTTGGGAAGGGGAAGCCTAAGGTCCAAGCGAAAGTGTTGGCGGTTGCGAACAAGAAGACCGGTGGAGACGGAATGCTTGTGACGAAAACGCACGTCACGTTTGAGGACTCCGAAGATGAGTTGTACGATGAGCTGCCTCCCAAGCAAGACGCGGCGAAATCTTCATCCACAACGAACGAGAAAGCTGGTGACGACGAGGAGGAGGGGCCAGAGGAACCAGCTGACTCGGTGGCGCATGACAGCGGCATGTCCGATCTGGAGTATATGCGCTCAAAAATGAAGGCTTTGGCGGAGCCGGATGCTGAGGAGGCAGAAATGGAAGAGGAAGGGGAGGCGGACGCTGCTATTGCTGAGGAGGAGGACACAATGGACGTAGATGAGCCGGCAGAAAATGCGTTACCGGCTGCTGAAACCGACAAGCCAGCAGAAACGGTACCAACGAATGCCACGGAGCAGATGAATTCTGAGAGGCAAGCCCTCCTGGAAGCTACAACGCCGAACTCCTTCAATTCTCACAGTCCGGCGAGAGACATCCCGCCTGCTGAGATTATTGCCGATACCGGACGTCTCTTCGTGAAAAACTTGGCCTACAGCTGTACGGAAGAGGATCTTCACAAAGCTTTCGAGAAATTTGGACCGTTGTCGGAGGTATGCGTGCACAGTACAGCTGAACCAGTTTCCCCTTGGACAAAGGCTAACCATTCATCTTTAGGTTCACATACCTATCGATAAGATGACCAAGAAACCCAAGGGATATGCGTTCATTCTTTTCCTGATTCCCGAACATGCAGTAAAAGCCTTCACAACGATGGACTCTCAGATCTTCCAGGGTCGTATTCTGGATATCCTCCCCGGAAAGGAAAAGCCAAGAGCAGAAGAGGAAACCAGCGAAGGCCCAACATCCTTCAAATCGCAAAAGGAAAAGCAACGGAAAGCCACCGCAGGCAACGAGTTCAGCTGGAACAGTCTGTTTATGAACAGCGATGCCGTAGCTGAAGCAATGGCGAAGAAGCTCGGCGTGCGGAAAAGCGAGATTCTGAACCCGGACGCCGAGAACATGGCCGTGCGGTTGGCGCTTGCGGAAACACACATCATTGCGGAGACGAAGAAGTACTTGGAGGATGAAGGAATCGACTTAAATGCGTTTGAGAAGAAGAAAACGAGGAGCAAGACTGTGATTCTGGTCAAGAACATCCCGCATAGCACTGAGGAGGAGGAGTTGCGGGAACTGTTTGGCAAATTTGGGGAGATTGGTCGTGTAAGTAAGATTGTGGCCCCTTTTACTTGGTCATAGCGAAGTCTAACTCGTTTCTCTGCAGTTGGTCCTCCCACCAACAAAAACGGTCGCTCTCGTGGAGTTCCAGCAGCTCAACGAAGCAAAATCAGCCTTCTCCCGTCTGGCCTATACCAAGTTCAAGCATCTGCCATTGTACCTCGAGTGGGCGCCAGTCGGCACTTTCACATCCGAGTTTGATGCAGCAAAGGAGACAGAGAGAAAGACGCAGAAGGCTTCTGCGTCTTCTGCGCCAAGTGTACCTGAAGAACCAGTGTCAGCTCCCGAGGAAGAAGAAGAAGAGATCTCCAAACCGGGCGCAAAACCATTAGTAGATACTACGGCAGATGCGACAGTGGAAGACCCGGACGGTATGCCCGTTGCAACACTGTTCGTCAAGAACCTCAACTTTGACACGACGGAGGCTGGGCTGATGGATGCGTTCGGTGGACTTCGAGGACTGCGATCGGCTCGCGTGGCTACGAAACCGGATAAGAAGACCGGTGGGAAACTGTCGATGGGTTTTGGGTTCCTTGAGTTTGCGACGAAGGAGGATGCTGTTAGGTGCATGAAGTCGATGCAGGTATGTTATATTCCGAAGAGTCGAATATTTGCGCTGGAGTCCGCAAGTCCTGACGACTGTTCCATCCGTGTGCAGAACTTCGAACTTGATGGCCATAAGCTTCAGCTGAAGTTCTCGAATGCCGCAGCGAAGAGCACAACGCAATCAAAGAAGCGCGGGAATGATGACCCCATCAAGGTCACCGGCACGAAGCTGATTGTCCGCAACATTCCGTTCGAAGCCACTAAGAAGGATCTTCGCCAGCTGTTCTCGTAAGTAACCTATTTCATGTTTCCTTATGCTGATTACCTACTCATCCGTCAACCCCCTTCTTCACAGCACATTCGGGCAACTCAAATCCGTCCGCATCCCCAGCAAAATGGACGGCCAACACCGCGGTTTCGGATTCATCGATTTCCTCACCAAGCAGGAAGCCAAATCCGCCTTCGAGTCTCTCGCGGCAACGCACTTGTATGGACGCCACTTAGTGCTCGAGTGGGCGGAAGATGAGAATAGCGTTGAGGCTATGCGGAGCAAGACTGCTAAGGGTTTCGTTGGGGATGGTGGCCCGAATAAGAGGCGTAAAATTGTGCTGGATGAGGAAGAGGATGATATGGAGGCGGATTAGAACACGGTGTTGTCTTGACCACTCCCCAATTTTGCAAGTATGTATGTAGGTTTCATAAATTATCCATAAATTATAGCATTACATAGTTTCGACCACGCACGCAATTACATTTGGACATGGCAGGCAAAGCATCTACTTGTTCAAGTAATCAGAAAAGCATTCGTGAAATCAGCGGGAGGTCCTCGACTTCCGATGAGGAACTGTTGGGATGCTTGGCAATGAATCCTATACACCATGGTGGTCAGCTGCTCATATGACTTTCCGATGTGAACTCTGTTCAACAGTGTAACTACATCACAAAGAAACTACGACAAGCTACGCTGGATAGACTACTACAAAGCGATGGTGCACCTAAACACTAACTTTTTGGGATTGCTTGCCGTTCCATCGCATGAGATGCCGACATCCCCCCTAGCAGCGACTACTCTTCGAACCGTTCTATGGCTCTAGCCCTCGAGTAAGCGTCCAGTAAATGCATAAACTGATCTACATGAGGCGGGGAGGGCATGTTAAGGTAGCGACCTTTCATGCGCAACCTGAACAGATCCGCCCAGCCGAGATCAATGATGACAGCGGCAACCACGACTTTCTCCCCGCGCGCGTCCACAACGTAGTGCATGGTGTGGGCGGGAATGTGCTTGTTGCGGGTGGTGCGAGCGGATGCGGAGACCGCAATGTGGGGCGACTCTTGCGCCGTGAAAGCTGCCGTTTCCGGCGGGGGCTGGATCAAGAACATGCGGCTATTGTCGGGTCGGGCGACTTCGACCCGTCGCGGCTCGCAGATCTCGACGCACCATACGTTCGGGAGGACGTTCCATTGTCGCCGGAGCGAGATATTGCCGGGGTGGAGGTAGCTGAGGAGCCAAGACGGGAATTTGTAACCGCGGTTGCGGAGACCGGCAACGTATGCTTGAAGAATGGCGTTGCCTTGCGATAGCATGTCGGCAAAGCAGTCCAGCATGCGGCAGGCTTGTTGGCTTTGGCCGAATTGCACTATGTCCGGGGACATCTGGAATGCGAACGGGTCGGGTTCTGGGTCTCGGTCCAGTCTGCGGCTCTGCTCGCATTCCCAACAGTCGACGTTGGACGGTGGTTGTTGGGGATCGAAGTACCCCGGCTCGTTGATGAGGTACGGGGCTGTAGTGATAGCCATGCATTCGTGGAAAAGATGGAGGCTTGGGGAACGAAGGTGGGCGGCGAGCCGGGATATATGCGGGGGAATGATAGGCAAGAAGCGTAGTCGGAAACTCGTAGGTACAACCTCCTTCCGTTCCGCTGCTTTCCCTATCGCCAGGGTCTCTTCCTCTTCCGTCTCAAACAGATCCGAGGTGATATCGTGACCATCACCCTGCGGCGTGACGATTCTCCAGATATCGTGACAATGGTAGTGCCACGCATTTACTTGGACCGCCAGCAGTTCTCTCTTGCCGCGAAACCTTCGAAAGATTTCTCTTTCCGCGTACTTCTTATGCGCTCTGCTGACGCCGCGAAGGGTCGTCAAAGGCTTAAACGAGACCAGCTTGAAGATAGCGATATCGAGCTCCGGGGGGAGTAATGGGCTGAAGAGCATGATGCTGATCGGATGGATTGAACTCTTGGGAAAAAGTTTTCCGGTCGAAGCAAGTATTGCTTGAAGGTGTTGACGATGAAGGCTGCAACGATGCAAACTGTAAACGACGATGGGGAAAGAGCTTTATATATGCCAGAAAGTATCTTGGCTTTGGAGAAATCTTTCCTGTTGAGGCGTCTGCGGCGTCGAGAAGAAAATATCCTTCCTCAAAGTCTCCGGGACGGGGCCAACTCGGTATTTATGGGACATAGACACAAAAGACAGAATCAGTAAACAGCGGAGGGAGAATAAACCAGCGAAAGTGGCGATGGCACCCCGGGTTCTCTATTGGCTTGGCCAAAATACGAAAAGGGTTGAGCAAGATCGTCATAGCAGCTCGTTCCCTGTCGACATCAAGCTTGGCTGGCGGGAATGCCTTTTGGGGACTCGAATGACAGGCACAGCCCAAAAATCTCCGGAACAACACGCTGTCAATCTGTTACGTGATGCTGTCTCGGGCGCAGCACACTGATCGCCACAATTTTTGGACCTGACAAATTCTGGCCATGAGAAGCTTTGCTTTTCAAAAGGTGTGGAGACAAATGACGTTCATGCGGTTCTGAGTCATTCTTCCTTCTGATCAAGCTTAGCCAAAGGTATTTGCGCAATGTACAAGGAGCCTGGAGCCCTGATTGTTCCCTGATTGTTCCCAGCAACTTCAACTTTGATATCTCCTCCGTACTCAATATGTGACAGACTTTCATGATTAAACGTATGTATACGCCCCAAAAAGAGACTCCTTCTACTGCGCCAATACGCCTTCACTCTAGCCAAAGAGCATGTTGGCAGCAGCATCCGCATTACCGCCAGCGGCATCCAGCGCCTGCAGGGCCTCTCCCCGCGATATTCCCAGATCTGTCAGCAGCTTGATTTTCTCTTCGGAATGCCGTGCACTACCACCGGCGGCAGGCCCTGCGGTCGCCGGGGCATTGGACTGAGCTGGAGCCTGAGATGCTGACGGCGCTTGGCTTCCGGGCTGACCAGAGACACCAGAAGGCGGGATTGACGGATGTAAGGCTGTGGGAGGGTGGACTGCTCCTACGTTCAGAGGCTTAGGTTCAGTGTCTCCGAAATGGAAAACCGTCCATCGTAAGAAAAGCACATACCTTGTGAGGTGGACTCCGTCTCGGTTGGTGACTTCCCTTCTTCCGCTTCGAATCTAGCCTTGGCAGGCAGTTCATGCTCTGACAAAAACCGGACTTCTTCACCGTGAATACGCAACACGTTCTTCTCCAAATCAATGATTGCCTGATGCCGCTTCAACATGTCCAGCCCAAACAGTAGATCCACTCCTTTGCCCTGCAACCGACGGTGTGAGCAACACAGTAGGGAACAAGAGTTCCGCGCTCAAACTTGTTACCTCCATGATCGTGAAGCTGCAAGGCAGAAATTGCTTTCCAATCTTCATTTGCGCCGAGTGAATGCGGCCCAAGATCTTGGCGGTTCCAACTCCCTGGGCGATTCCAGAAAAGCGGACATCCAGGAGGTGCATGATGTTACATTCCTCGGCCAAGGCTGGGCTCATGATCGTGGCCTGTGCACCCGAATCGACAAATGCTTTCACCGGGCGGCCATTTACTTCAGCATCAATGTACAGCATTACGACCTGCCCCGCGATGCTGTCGTCAGTATCGAGATCGCCACTCGTCGAATAGGGAAGGATGATGTACTCACGTTGCCGAATGACTCCGGATGATACTCCATCGCGTTCTAAGGAGAAGTCCCTTCGTCAATGATCGCTCGCACGAGATCTGGAAAAACGTGCACCAACCTCCATGTTCTGAGCAATATTTTGCTGCCGAATAGCTTCCTCAATCCTCTTCTGCGCCTCGGCATCAAACGGATCCGAGTTGTACAGCATTTCCTGGAACCCCACCCGCAATTAGGCCTCGTTGCAAATGTGCTACTTCCATGCAGCATCTCCTAACCTCCTGTTGCCGTTGCCTCTCCTCGAACTCACGTCGACGCGATTCGAGCTCGATAAACATCTGCCTGAAGGTGACCGGGTCATTTTGCGCGGCGGCAGCAAGTTGGGGATTCGACTATATGATACCGCATGTCAGCCACTACAATCGGACAAGAAGATGTTGAATGCTCGCCATATCAAACGAAACGCACCTGCTGCAGCTGTCGCAACATATGTGGATCAGCGAGAATCTGGTTTCGGACAACCTCGGCAGTTTCTTGTGGCGATCTAGCTGCTGCCCGGGAATGCCCGCTGGAAGGAAGAAGAAGGGGTTTGAACGCGCAAAACAACAAGCGATGCGACCGGAGAGAGATTCCACGTACGCGGCAGCTGGTGGGGCACCTCGCACCAGAAGGATGTCATCCTGCCTGATGCCCGCGCCGAGTATGCTTTTTGTCATATCGGTCAGCTGGGCTCCGTTGTGGTAAATGGCCTGCTGCTGAGTTGGGATGCTCATCTCGGCCTCGATAAGTGCCGCAAGGTTCACCAGCTATTGAAAGAACGGGTATTAGCCGTGGGAATGCGGTGCTGTGAAAGTTTCCTCAATATGTATACACCTCCATTTGGCCGTCGACATCGAGCTGGTGAACGTCGCCGACGTCGTTCGTAACGTGGATCCTCATTATGTTCGTGAGCAGCGAATCGATACTAGAGAAATGCTAAACTATCGAGGTCCTTCCGAAGTCCTTCTTAATTACGTACCGTCTGGTCTCGGAAGTATTGATTCTGCTGCTGGATGGACTGTTCCGGGACGCAAATGGATTCAATGGAACCAGCTTGCTTTTGAAACGTCACTTGTCGCGTCCAGGTTGTGACACATCCGCTCGCCAGATCGCAACACCCATTCCCGGACAAATACGTTTCCAGAGTAGGGTAAGCTGGTCAATTCAAAGCAAGTGCTGCGATGGCAGTCAACGGGAATGAGAATGGGCATGTACACGGCATTGGCATTGGTATATCAAAGGAAAATGAAAAGGGACGACCTCTGCACATCGATTAACAGAAAGATGGCGGGAAAGTAAACTCTCTTCCGATTGCCATAGATCTAGCGACTACATTACAAAATGTGCGCCACAGGTGCAACTTGGTAACAACAGAATGACTCTTCTGGATCTCAAAGCTCAATGAGAGGAGCCTCTGGTTGCGGTGCCGGGGGTTCCGGCTGCGACACAGGTACGGCCTGCTGTTGCACATATCCGGGAGCATACCCAGTGTTTTGCGGAGGCGATTGTTGCGCTAACGGTTGCTGTTGGACGTACGGCTGGAGTGGGACTTGGTACGGTTGCGGTGGCTGTTGTTGTGGGACGTATTGCTGGTTTGGAGGCTGGCCGGGTGCCAGTGCATATCCTTGCTGGTCTTGACTCGCAGGGGGATGGTGTGCATTCTCTGGGCCAGGACCGCCCTGATATGGCGGTTGTTGCTGTTCTTGAGGAGCAGGAGCAACGCCCGCTAGCGCGCCATAATACTGCTGCTGTGCTGCAGCTGGGTCCTGGTAACCGGCATATGGCTGGTGTTCGGGTGAAGCCTGCGGGGGTGGCTGCTGGTAATCGTAGGCCGCCTGCGGGGGTTGTTGAGGGGCGTACAAATGCGGGGCTTCGCCAGGTGCGTTCCCTACATAGTAACCCGCTGCCTGTGCAGTAGATGCAGGCGGCGTGCTATATCCTGCCGGAGCGTGATAGACGTGCGGCTGCTGCTGTGGCAGGTAGTGAGAGCCCGGTGGTGGCTGAGTGGCGCCGCCAGCGTAGGGCTTGGTCAGGTAACCGGCGGCGTTCAATCGTTCCGACAACAGTCGATCATACTCCCGGACGGCCCCACTAAGCTGCTCATGCAGGTCGTAAAACTCAGCGTACTTTCTCGACGTTTCATCAAGACTGCGTGCAAGTTTGGGTTGCATGGTAGCTATTTGGGCGTATAGAGTCTGGATTTGCGAATTGTTCAACACCCCGAGGCCATGGACTCCGACATCGGCTTCAGTTCGCTCAACGAGTTCCGAAAACAGGCGAATGTTCTCTAGCTCGACAGAGCTCAATTCGTTCGGGTTGTAAGAGGAAGCCGACAATGGGGCAGGTTGACGTCCTGCATTCGGTCCCTGCGAACCGTAATCCTGCGCTTGGGATGAGGGATAGTGATTTGGTGCCGCACTCGTTGCGTTGGCAGCGCCGCCTGGACTTTTATACTCGTACTCCGGTCGAGAACCGCCAGAATAGTCAGTCGATGCGGAACCTTGAGCATCCTGAAGGGACGCAGCAATCGCCGCTTTGAGATCCTCGTCGTCTTCCTCTTCGCGCGGTTTGGGCTTTGAGATGGACCGTTGAACTGGGGGTTTTACGTGATTGGCAGGCTTTGACGCTTTCAGGGAGAGTTCCAAAGCCTTTTGCAAGTCCTCTTCCTCCTTCCTCGCCAGATCGTTGGACGCATATCCACCAGCACTGCGAGGCTCAGGCTTCCGGCTTTGCAACGGCGTTCCAGGAGGCGACTTTGAAGTCAATTTGCTATGGCAGGTATCACAGACACGGACCTCTTGCACTATGCCAAGACGGGGCAAGGCCATGGTTTTCGAAGAACACTGGCCACAGAATGTCTGTCCGCAGTTTCGGCAGTGATGCTTGCGGTTGAACGTGGTAAACTGCGACCTGCATCTCATGCAAACATCACTATCAGTCCACTCGGGAGCAGTGGTGGTCTCGATCATCATAGCGGAGGACTCGGACTTCTCAATGGGCGGGAATGTGATACCGTCTCGTTTCAGGGAGTCGTACACTTCACTCACGTAACGAAGCTCCGATTTTGACTTGAATGCAAGACCCCACGACTGAATAGAAGCCAGAATCTTCTGACGAACGTCCGAATTCGTTCCTGATGGGGCGCGCGCGATGGAGACGAGATTGTCGATGAACTCTCTTGAGGCGACCTCCTGCACAAAGTGATGTCCCGAGTTCTTCACACAAGTATCGGTAAGTTTCAAGGCGAGAAGTTGGACGTTGGGGTTCTTATGGTTGATTCGCCGCTTGAGAGATTGTGCGGCTTGTTTTGGCGTGACTTCCTTCGCTTTGATTTTATCGGCGATGTCGAGGTTCAATACCAGATCTTCCGTGCCTATTGGAAGGTTTTCCGACGTCGCTTTGTCGACGATATCGTCTAGCGGGTTCGCGAACAGGAACGACATAAGGAGAACTGGTGCTTCGTTAACTCACGATCGAAGCAAGCCGATTTGGGCACAAGCGGTGTAACGAGGGCGACACTGAAGCTATGAGAGTTTTGGCAGGTCAGGCTTTTCTGGAGCAGAAGTGCAAGACGCTTTGGATTTGCGAGATGGTTGTGGTATCAGCGATGATTCTGAGTACTGTACAGTATGTCTGTCTTGGCAAGAAGATTGTGAGCGGATGCCGTCTGGAACGCCAAGTGGGAGGTGGGGCGGTTTGTCACGCCCCATGACAAAGAGCCGTTTGTAACGGCGCTACATAAATGTAGGGTTAGGGACCCGACACCCCACTCAAGAATGCCGCCTAGCCAACAGGGAACATACAGTAAGTCCGTGTGGGCTCAGGCAGTGATGCGGCTGTTCTAGCGGGGCACACTCGTAGTAGCCGACATTGCGATATCAACGGATTTATGTATATGCCCTCCCAAGCAAAAGCGGCCTCCCCGCCTATGTCGATGTTATGTGGCATCAGCCCTCCCAGACCTACCAATCGAAGGGTGCCGATGACACGGGGTGACTTTCCTCCCGATTGAGCAGCCGACTGCAGTCACCCGCCGCCCAAGTCCCCCGTTGTTTTTTCGGCTGTCCCTTTCTCGTTCTCAAGCTGTCACACACCCCCCACCTTCCCCGTTTCTTCAGTTTGCGGCGGACATCGTCTCCACTGCAGTAGGGACTTGCTGCCGTGCCCGCTGTGAAGGGATGCCCATACTTTGAGTGGTTTCTTGATCCTAACGCAGACAATTTCAACCTCAAAACAACGGAACTCGTATCAACCAGCGACTTCGAACTTGATCATCCCCATCTCTCAATTCCCTCGTTCCACACTCAACAAAATCATGTCCGCTAGCTTCACAACCATGGCTCACGACGAGGCCAACGCAATCATCGCCGAATGGAAAAGCCGCGAATCGAAACACACCGCCAAGTGGGATGATGACGAGACGAAACTCCTCACGGCCGTCTGCGTCGTCAAATCTACCGAGTCCATTAAGAAGATCGCAGAGGAATACATCACTATTGCGGCCCAGGCTGGCGTCAGCACGAAGAGCGAGAGGCAGGTGATTGACAAGATCGGCAATATGAAAAGGGCTCGCGGAGGTGATGATACCACCAAGAAGAAGAGGAAGTCGCCTGGGGAAGCCAACGGTGAAGGCAAGAAGACGAAAAAGCCCAAAGCGGAGAACGGAGAGCACGAGAGTGACGAAGGCGCAAAAGATCATAAAAGCGCCGCCGCTTGAGCTATTTTGTCTTTACGTAGTATCTCATAAAGTTTCCCCCCTACCTTCTATTCTTGTTCGGCGACCTTTCCCTCATATTCGTAAAAGGTGTACATATGTAGTCAGTGAACGTTCTACGCCATAAAGTTCTTGTTGGGTTCAATCTAAAAACGTGCACATACCGGCATGGTTGCGGGTTTCCTTTCTCTGTGCTGCTTTCTTCACTCTTTGAGACTCCTCCATATTTGAAAACCGACAGCCCTTTTTGTGTAAATTCGACAGCGCGTTTGGGCCGTCAAACGTCTGCCGGTTCCCCCTTCCCCGTTCCCCTTCCGAGAGTCCCTCGTCCCGCCGCCAACTGCACCATCCCAAGGGTGTTTCAACTCAAAGCGACTTCCCCTTTACACTCACCTGGTTTCACGAACACGCACTCGGAGAAGCCCAAAAAATATCGCTTCGTCCGGTTCTCGCTTCGTAGAAGTTGAGCACAATGACTGCCGAACATCGAAACAAGCGAGTCAAGTCCGAAGACGGCGCAGACGATTGCATTACCGAAGCCGAGATCGTAGACCATCTGAAGAATAACGACGGCATTTGGGCGGAAACCGTTCTTAACGATCTGCAGAAAAAGAATGTTCCCAAAACGGATGTCGCTAGGTGGGCGTCGGACGAGACGATGGGTCTCGCAGCTTTGATGATTCAACAGGCACTCGCTGAGAAGAGTCTGGGAGGAAAGGAATTGGCGCAAGTTTTCTTGCAGTCGGGGATGTGCAAAACGCCAAAGACGGAGAAACAGGTCAGAAAGAAGATGGACAATATGAAACAGAAGTGCCAGGAGAAAAAGGAGACAAAGCGAAGGGTGAAAACCGAAGCAGAAGCCGCCCATTAAGCGTCAATGATTGAAGTAGCTCCCTTTCGGCTTCGACAATTACAACGCCGCGCCCGATACGGGAAGTGTCAAATACTACTTGGAAAGCCAAGATTTGCTGATTGAGGGCATTTGCTCGAAGCTCAGAAATAATTATATGTGCAGCTTATATCAGTAATTTGTCGTGGTTAGTTAGAGCTTCAAAGTGGAGGGGGTCGTAAACGTAAAACTAGATCCCATCCTTGTATCTATTATTGCTTGCACATATAGTGTTATCAATCCGATGTCCTCATGTTCTCGTCCATCCGAGATTCATTCGATCTTCGAGTACAAGAGAGCGTCCTGTTCTAGTTTACGACGTGCTTGTGAAAAGATCGCCTCAGTCGGTTGCGCCAGTGGCCCCGACGGCGCGGGGTTGCTCAACAGACGCGATGACGCCAGGCTGAACATTTCTTCTACCGCACGGGGGGGAAGGACCTTCAATCAAGACACGCAGAGGTTGGACTCCCAGAGGCAGGTCTCTTCAGACGTCCCGCCGATTCTTTGCGGAAAGCAGGTTCTCTACGGTTTCAAATTACTGGAAGACGCAGTTATGCCTACCAAACGACTCATCTCAGACGAAGCCAGCAGCACTGGTGAGCAAGCGCAAGATCTGGTTAAAGCGGAAACCACGAATTCTATCGACACAGCTACATCTTCTGTTCCTGAAGAGCCCAAACATAAGAAGTCACGGGCCGCACCCAAAGGAGCCAAAGGAAAAGTGAAGGCTGAAGCTAGCGCGGGAACCAAGCCCAAGAAAGAGGGCAGCTCCGACATTACCATGGATCCGAGCGGAGACGTTACGAATCGCCTTCATCGCTCCGTGGACGATATGGCCTGGGCTCAAGCTGTTTTGACAACTGGCAAGAAGAAGAAAGAAGGTGGCTACAGAATTCGTCTTGGTAAAGCGTGGGCTCCTTGCTGGTCTGACTCCGTTATCTCCGCACGTTTCAGAGGCCACCAAGGCAACAAAATGGACCAAAGAAGATGAAGCCCTCCTTGTCGCCGTTATGGTCTTCAATCCCGACAAACCGCACAAACTAATCGCAGAAGAATATCTCAAGGTAGCAGTGGAAGCAAAGACGGAGCGACAAATAGGCGACAAAATCGCGAAGTTGAAAGGCCGATTTCAGTCCAAGTAAATTTGCTCAATACTTCCGGTCGTCGATATTGGGAAATCTGCCGTACACTACTCAATTCAAGAATACCAACTCAAGTAAACTGCTCGATACCTCTGCATTTTCGATCAGGGGAGATCCTCCCTCAGAATGAAATGCAATGGAGAGTATGTGAGGGCATTAGGGGCGGAAATGTAAAAGCACCGCAGCTTGCAAGTGAAAGCCTGGTGCATGCAATGGGGGGGCAATGCTGTGGTTAGCCTTCGGCTAATTAAATGTTTTTAGCAAACAATATCTGTTCATCTTGTACATAAACCGGTCGAAGTTCCATCAATCCAAGGGTGCGTCGAACTGCAATCAGGTCTAAGAAAATCGACAGCGCGTATGGTGTCAGTTTAGCAGCCTTGTGTCTTCGATTCCAAACCCCCGTGTACAGGTCGCTTTCCCCAACGCAGTATGGGAAGCATAGCTTTGGTCTTTCCGCTCACGATTAGTGAGACCTCTGTATAGTCAACCCATCACCTCTCTACTGAAAACCATGCCATCCCTTAAAACTGAAAGCTTCGAAGCACTTGATCGCGAGACAGCAGAGGAGATCATTTACAACGCGCAGCAGCGCAAGGCTGGAACTGCGCGCTGGACTCCCGCCGAGACCAACCTTATGAGGGCATTGCTGACCCTTCACCCCACAAAAACCCGCAAGGAGCTGGCTGCCATGTATGCACAGCTGGCTTTGGAGAAGACTGAACATCAGATCTTCGAGAAAATTTCGACCATCAAGAGAAGGGAATTGGCGAAACGATTCGTTTGGGTAGGAAAGTGATGCTTCAGAAGAGACGTTAGCCATCCGACTAATTCGGGGGAATCTCTATATCAGAATACCGGCCAATGTCAATGAAGCCTATATCAGTGTTGCAAGAAGATGGCGAGCGTAGCACCATTCGAGAGTGATTGTGCTCCTATTTGGCCAAGACACCATCTACGACCTGTTATATCTGGCGTAACTAGTTCCCCCCCCCCCCCCCCCACATGTTATCAAAAAAGATGTGAATGCCTCATGAAATTACCCCTACGAATAAATGCTATGCTGCTACTAAGTCTATGAAATTGAAAAGCCCTTATCCTAACTAGCGTAGCTACTGCTCGCATGAAAGTTCCCGCAGCGCTCAGATAGTGCCCATGCCGAGCCTTGAGAAGGTGTCTGTGAGCCTCATGCCACCAGGCAATGTTGGATTCTTTGGGATGCCTTTCCTCTCGCTGCGCTCCTGACGCAAGACACGGAGGAGAGGACGGACATCTTTCCCCGCGTTCTGCCACTCATGAATAAGGTCGAGAGCCTCCTTCTCGAATTCTTCATCATGAGCATTGACTGCCTCCAGTGCAGCCAGTTCGGCCGCCCGCTCTTGAGCGGCTTGTTCAGCGCGCTTTTGTTCGTGTCGTTGCTAGAAAAAAGTGCCGAGTGAGTCTGGCACGTCAGAATGTGCATTCAGGGAAAGAGGGCTCATAAGATGCATACGATTTCAACTTTGTGGTCCACCTTCAACTTGGTCAGGGATTCTTGGGCGGCATGCTTCCTCTCTTCTGCTTGTTTCATGTCCTCGATGTCCTGTTCCTCAAGGTGGTGCCGCATATTCACGGCCGCTCGTCTCTCTTGCTGCCTTTTCTCCCGCACTTCCTTATCCTGACAAAGCACACACAAAGTTAGCATGCAGCCTTGAATCACCTCCACACGGGAAGACGTCAACATACATGCTGCGCCTGAAACGTGTGGACATCGTGCAAAGCCTTGTCCCGCTTGTTTTGGTCGTCCGAGAATCGTTTCTCCCAATATCCGTCCGCGCCATGCAGGATTCTGTCGTAGAATGCCTCAACTTTTTGACGCTTCTTTTCCGCCTCCTCTGCGGCTACCCGAGCTGCCAGCTCCGTTCGATGCTGCCGTTGTCTGAAAGGCATTAAGGTTACTCCAGATGAATCGCGTTGTTATGTGCAACTCGGCGCGAACTCACTGGACGATTTCCAGCTGTGCGTTTTTGCGGCGAGCGTCGAATAACTGCTTCATCTCCGCAAACTTCGCATTTTCCTCCAGCGCCTTTTGCTCCTCCGCTGCCTTCTTGCGCTTTTCCTCCTTATTACGCCAAGAGTGAATGAAGTGCACGTTTTAGTGCGGAAACGGTCATAAACAAAGGCGGTGACCACGTACTTTGTGCAATTGGACAGCTTGGTCCAAGGCCTTTTGCTCTTCTTTGTCCCTCGCCCTCTTTTTCTCCCGCTCTATAGCCTTTTTCTGTTTCTCTGCTGCTTGCTCTGCCTCAAGTTCCCTCGCCCGAGCCTCGCTCTCTGTAATTTCCTCTGTAATTGGACCATGAGATGACTGTCGTTGCACGACGACTTTCTGGCCCCTCTTTCTGTTATTGAGTTCCTTTTGCTTTTCAAGCGCTTGTCGTTTCTGTTCTTCTGCTGTTTCCAACGCCTGTATGCGATGCTTCAGGCGTTCCTTCTTCTCAGCATTAATCGCGTCATTTTCGATATGGAGTAAATAATCTGTATCGGCATTTTGTCTGGCGTCTTGTTGCTGATCCTGCTCTTCTCTGGCTGCCAGTTGCTCATCTCGTTCCTACATCATTTCGAGCATCAGCCTGGCGACCGCTCGGGGAAGAAGAGCGAACGGCGATCTGCGCTCCTCACCTGTAAAACGTTCGCCAGAAGCAATGCCGATGTCATCTGCTTCACGCGTGGCTCCTCGATACGGCGAAGGTACTTCGCCCTTTCGATAGCAGCGTTGCGCTCTGATGCCTTTACACGGGCCCATTCCGCATCTATTCGCTGACGTTCTTCCTACGGACGGAGATGTGTTATCCATCCACCACTAATAAATATGGAGGTCCGTGTCATCAAACTGCACCTCCAGCTTTGTCATTCGCTCCTCCTTGGCAGCTAAGCGCTGTCGTCGCATTCCTGGTATTGTGTTTCCCCAACCCTTTACTCTTTGCAGAGATTTCTCATGCAGGTCATTTTTCTGTAGGCATCCAGTGAAGATTGCAGGGGTCCAGTAATAAGTTGATGAGAAGAGGCGTCAGGAATTGAATGCCCTGCCAATGCATGTGGACTTGCCCACCGTCCCGTAGAAGCTTCCTAGTTTACCTGCTTTTGGAAGGAGTACCGCTTTTGGCCGTCGAGCCTTTCCGGTTTGGCCAAAGATTTGATGTGTTGCAATTGTTTCGAATCTATGACTACGGAGTTGTCCGGTCGACGAACGGATAAAGACCTCTGATCTGGCGGTTGATCATGAGGCACAAATTCTACATGACAAGAATAAGATGATTTCCCTCCCAGATGATGAAGGTCTGGAAAACGACGCTGGACTTACTGTCTCGCATCTTCGTGAGCGGCGGTTGAGATGGAAAGACGGCAGAGGTTGGCATGCTAGCTACTCCTGTTGCAGTGTGGTGGTGGTTGAGCTATCCGGTTGCACTGTGGTGGTTGGGACTATCAAAGATATCAAAACAGCCGACCAGAAGTTCCTAGCCTTTGGATGGTGGTCCAAGTTCATGGATGCCCAAACTTCTAAGTGTGGCTTCCCCGTCGGAAAACGTCGGGAGACATTTTCCCTATAGCCAAAATTCTCCGATGAACTCTAATGACATTTGGAACATTTACTCGCCGTCATAGGTCATTGCTGTGTGCATTTTTGGTTACCTCCAACACATCTTAGGAAGCGGTTGTTGAGTTACGTAACATGCTGTCAGTGCTACGTTGGCAGCCAGAAGAAACGCTGTCCATCAATGGAAGGCACTCTGAAATTACTATCATGACGAGAACTGGATCCCTAGCTGCACGGCCGTTTCCGCGCTCTAGACTACTCTCGGACTGGAAGGCCCCAGCAGCGTATGGGCGGTTTCCCGTCCTCCCTTTGTTCTTTTATCTCATAGAAACGCTACTGTTCCTTGCCTGTGGATTGGCTAAGCAATTTGACATATTCAGAATGCCCTTCCATCCTCGACCGGTCTGCTGGATAATGAGCGCCAGCGTACAGGGTCAGAAAATTGGGATGTGGAAGGCGGAAAATGACACCGTTGAAAGTAAAAGAGCCGAAGGTAGCGCCCAGTAGATATTCTGCGCTTTCTCAGCTTCCTTCTCGGCTGCAAGAAAGCGAAGCGTACGAACGGGTTCTCAGTCACCAAGCCGAGCTGACGAGCTTCTGTTGTTGGAGACGAATTGCTTTCCAAAAATGACAGTTTCCGACGCAAGTGACGAGCGCGACGACACGCGACGCTTGTCACGTGACCAGGATTGGGATTGATTCCGCGAGTCGGCGGACGCCGGGAAGCCACAGCGACGACAGCGCATTTCAGGTTCCATTGGCACAACCAGGCATTCACAAGGTACGTCTCTGCAGGGGGAAGCTCGATAGGTATTCTGTGTATGTGCTGCGACGTTGGATGCTAGGCGGCGGGATGCTCTTGGGCTCGCTGCCTATGCTCGCTGAAAGTGGAAACAGTGGACTTATCGACCTCGTGTTCCCACAGCTGTAAATTCCCAACATGCCTTTGATGAACCGCTCGTTGCGTGTCGCCACTAGGGCGGCCGCCATCCGCCGGGCAACTGCCGTCCCCGTCCGCACTAAGACTTCTTTGATTCCTCCCAACGTGGCGTCGCTGAAGGAGATCGGCAGACTTCAATCTGCTTACCCCCAGGCCCACCCCGATATCTTCAAGAAGATGAAGTACTTCTATCAGCACATTCCCAAGGGAAACCGCCAGACAACGAAAGCCAACACTTTCTGGGGTCGCTACTACGAGAAGTACATCGCCCAGGACTCGTTCGTCCCAGTGCTGCACTTCTTGGGTATTATGATTCCTACCGGGTGAGTATGACATTAATGGTTTACCTTCGTCCAAGCTCAACAAGTTCTAACCTCACTTGTCTCTCTCAGTTACTACATCTCCTACTTCAAGGGCGGGGTATGTCATCAGATGCTGGTCAAATGAGGAGTTGAAGAGTAAACCCGAGCCTTAAATGCGGAATCTAACTTCTTTCCTCCTAACAATTTGCGCAATCCGATTTACGTTCGGAATTTTAGCACTGTATGTATTTCTTTTCGGTACCTCGATGAATGCTGAGCCAGGGAAATCTAACATGCCTTTATCTCTGTAGACCACCCTCGTTTCGAGTTCCACTAGATTTGCATTTACCATCCACAAGATTCGAACCTCCCTTCTCCTTGGTACGTTGATTCCCCGTTTCAGGGGTCTCCAAGCCCTCTTGATATGTACGCTCTAATTTTCTCTTTGCACATTTTCAGATGAAAAAACCAGAGTAGTGGGCAGTCGATACTTAGTGCAGCGGACGAATCATAGGCTTTCTTTTTGAATATGACGAAAGTAGATACCAGAGCTGGATGCATTCTTGAACTTGCGAGCGGATTTTTGATGATGCGATTCGATTGGGGAGCAGGCGTGATGCTGGTCTCCGCTGCAGAAGGGCCGGGTTACGAGAGGATTCTATGATGATCTGAGGAGGTTGGAACGAGGCCTTCGTACCTCGGAGACCAACTTCCGCTTTGCAGCACTGCTTTGCTTTGAAATTCTGGAGCGAAGGTTCCATACCGAGCACCTTTAGATCTAGGGGCGGTCGAACTTGAAGTAGCTCAGCAGACTCACTTGCGAAGGCTTACTGGACACTCTTGTGTCGGTGCGTACCCGTGGCATGTCCGATCGGAGTCTGGCTCACGGTCCGTAAGGTTTGAAAAGCTTCGCTTTGCCAAAGCCAGAGCAACTCCTATTTCCGGAAATCATTGAGCACTCGATCACTGCCAGACACTAGTGGAACACAAACTGTACATAAGATACAAAGAAAATCTACACAGGACAAGGGCTTACACACAAGCGGAGTTTACCCGACGCTCAACCCTAGCTATGACTAGCGGCAGATGCAAATCCCCGTTGTCGCAAGTCGTCTGATGCGCCATACCCTACACCCTGCCTTTCCGCTCCCGAAAGGGCTTATCACCCTCCTCACCCGTCGTCAGTTTCAATCCGCTCCATCTTAGAATCCCCTTCCTCGTCCTCCGGGGCCACCAGGTCCACCCGGTCCACCCGGCCCACCGGGTCCAGCACGTCCTCTACCTCGCCTACTGGCTTGTGCTCTTGCCACAGTCGCCCTTCCTCTTCCTAGCCCAATACCTCTCCCTTTCGTCGCCCCCGGCCCAACCTGCTTGAACATGGGCGCATTCTTGAGCATATCAGGCACGATGAAGAATCTAATTTGTGATCCTCGGACGTAGACTTGATCGAGGTTTGCTTGACGACCGTCGCGGTGTGTGACACGGATTTCTTTCAGTTGCACGTTCATGTTGTCTTCAGCGTCCAGAAGTTTGCCGCGGTAGATCGATCCGGACTTCAATTCGAGTGTAATGACATGGCCCTCCGCCTCGTGGAGGAGCTGTTTGGAAAAAAGGACGAAATCAGATCAGCAAGTTGATCGAGTTCACAAGTCCATCAACGACACCCGAAGGTATACGATTCCTCTTCGATTCCCGAATGAGCCTTCATCCTGATCCTCCACCACGGGGATCGTTAATCCCTGTAGCGTTATCATGCCCACTCTCTCACGGAACAAATCCCTCCATATCTCGCAAGGCATGTCCTGATCACAAACAACCGTCCTCCACAAAGCACTCAATTTCCGGAGCACGGCTTTGACTACTTAATATGTCTAGCTCGAGATCGAGCCGGACCGAGGCCAAACTACTCTGGGAACGATTACTTACCTTTATTGGGACGCCGATAGACATTGTTGGAATGGGCTTCCAGAAGTGAACCGAGAATCAGCCGCGAAGATCTGGCGATGTTATAGAGCGAACGGTAGGTTGCAGTGGTGCGGATTCACTTCGTAACAAGTGCGGCGGTATTGGATGCCGAGACAGTTATGATCAAGCTACGAATCAGGAGGCGCCGATGCTCGAGAGCAGAGCGAGCACACTCAAAGGACGACTTCTGCGAAGTTTATTGAGTCACGTGGGTCCTTTATAAGGCGGCAATACGTGCTACAGGAGCTCAGCAATTAAATGAGCATCCAAGCAGCGCGAAATGAGGAAAAGAGCCCAATAGTTGTACTGAGAGACATAGGGACACTATCAAATATGTACCCGCCTATCTATTTCGTTTGCGCTTCTTCGCCTTCTCTTTTCCCCAAATAGCAGTCATGTCCCGAAGAAACTTCTCATAGCCCTTGTGATCGGTAACGCAAAGGATGACCCCTTTGACATCCTTTCCGTCCGGCTGCGGCCAAGCGACGAACTGCACAACAACTCGGTCCCCGCTTTTAGAATGCTTGTAAGAGGACACTTTATCGCCGCACCCTGTGAGAGGCTCCCATGCTTGCTACTAAATTCTTTCTCAGAGGCTTGTACTACGACATCCGGATATGATTCCGCCTTGGTTTTGACCACCAGAGAAGGTCGTCCATCCGGACCCACAACGGCGACAGCGAGATTGCCCAAAAACAAATAGCTAGGATAGTTTTCATCCTCCTTCCAGTTTACGTCTAAAAGGGAGAAGAAGCGTTGAAGAGCTGTATCGAAACCCAAACATCATCCGATCATACGGTAAAGGGATCACTTGGCATGGCGCGCAGAGGCTTCCGCTAAAGTGAGAGGCTGTAAACCAAGTGCTTTGATGGTTCGCAAGGTATCCAGAGCAGCGGCGGCTTCTTCTCCTATCTCTTCGTCTCCTGAGCTCGAGTCCGTTTCGCCGTCAGATTCCACTAACGACACCGTTACCGATGTCCTCTTTTGCTTTTGTCGTGTGTGCGTGGTATTCTTGAACTTTGGGAACGCCACAGTCACTTGGATGGTGTCCGTCGCTACGACCGCGGCCATACTGGTCTTGACGCTGGGTTTCGTCGTTGCTGGGTGGGAAGGATGAAGGGGATGCGACATGGCCACCGTTATATACGTATACGCCATCTGACTTCCCCACAAGTAACTGAAACACACACATCACGTGACTTCAGATTAAATCTGGTCCGTACGTACTCGACATCATCACAATTCAGATCAGCGCTGCTCACTTACGCAGCATCCAGGTCGCAACCATGGCCCTCGCTGCCAGAGAGAAGCTCGATATCCTCCTTCGGGACGTCAAAAGCACAGACTCGGGTGTTGCGCACACTTTTCCGCTGCGTTACCCTCTCTCAAGTGGGGTACGCACCAATGGACAGTGAGAGTTCACGCGGACGATTATGATTACAGCGTAATGATGGCGTTCGGTCGGAAGCGACTTTCCCTGCTAGGCTTCATCTGCGAGGGCCCGTCACAGTTGCAGCTAGCACAGATCTCCAATTGCACGCGGATCATGACTTCATTGCGTCGGCGCAGGGGCAAGCGAGTCTCAATTCAAGCGGGGCGCTACAGCTAACGTCCGGGACGTCTACAAGTATCGCATCTGCAGCAGATCTTGCTTCGCATGCGCAGGATGATCTCCATCTCGCTTCGACTACCGGTAAGATCATGCTCGCTTCCGACACGAAGGTAAGAAGGGAATAGCTTGTCCTTTGCGGACGTATCGCTAAGATCGCCCTCGCCCTCAACCCTTCAGATTCGGAACAACGAGGACGCCGCAAAAGACGTGTCAGTGGATATCCAAGGATCTATCAATGGCGATTGTATGTACTTTGTTGCAATTAGTGTGTATTAAATGTTCAAAGTTGTACTACGGGAACAAGGCAGAGAAAGGTCAAATGAAAGGCCAACATCCCTGAACAACCTGCGGAAGGGCAGGAAGGAAACATGATCGCTGTCTAGGAGGCTATATACGAAGGGTTACAGGATTGAACGCCATACCAAACTCACTAATATCGCCAAAACGCCAAGCAGAAAGAGTTTCGTCAATGGCCCCTTGTTCAGATGCAGAATGAACTCCGTAACCGATCGATCAGGGTTAGGCTTCTCTCCCACCGCCAACGCCGCGATCTGCCACTGATGCCACATCGTCATCAGCCCGGTTCCCACGGGCCCGAACGAGAGGATCTTTTCGTAGATAGCAATTCCTTTAACCCTGTAAGGCGGTACTCGGGTCAGGGAGAATCCCTCCACGCCTTCCTGCAACAATCTCCGAGGCAAGTCCGGGTACAGTGCCGCCGGGCGTCCCAGCCCAATCAACTGGCAAGCGTTGCTGGACACAGCTTCGGCCATAACCACGCGGTCTCGGAACCCTCCGGTGACCATGAAGATGTACTCCGGGAACGCCTCACGCGCTTTGCGAGAAAAGTTGGTGAAGAACGCTTCTCGCGGCTTGACGGGCTTAGGTGACCCATTGCTGTTGAGGGGTTTCTCTACATCCAACGCGGACAACATCCTCGGTGCTTCGTAAGTTCCGCCGCTGATCTCGATGAAATCGACGCCACCATGCGCGATGATCATTCGGACTTGCTCCAATGCGTCCTCTTCGGTCAATCCTCCATCGACGTAGTCTTTGCTGTTGAGTTTAATGGAGATCGTGAAATGGCGCGGTAGCTTTTCTCGAATGCGGTCGATGATTTCGAACAAGAGCTGCAAGCCTTTCGTGGGGTTGTGGAAACCGTAGCGGTCTTTCCTCAAGTTTGTCTAAAAAAGATAGGGCATTACAATGAGCACCATTTTGCTCTCAAATTCTGAAGGTATTGCTAACTACTCACCTTTGGTGACATGAATTGCGCTAGCAAGTAGCCGTGAGCAGCGTGAAGCTGCACCCCAGCGAAGCCAGCGAGATGACACATCTGCGCACCAACTGCAAACTGAGCAACCACCTGCTGCACCTCTTGTTCCGACATCGCTTTCGGTGTTCCAAACACAATCTTGGAAGCCAGTTCATTAACGATCCCCGGTCCAAACTCTAACCGAACATCGCTGGCGGACTTGTTGGGCGTAAACACTGATCTGCCGGCACCGCGAGGACTCTGGCGCCCGGTATGGCAGAGTTGCACGATGGTTGGAGTGGGCACGGCGCCGTCTCCTTTGCATGCTTTGGCCCACGTTTCCCAGCGCTGCAGGGAGGCTGGGTTCGTCAAGTCCGCCTCTTCAACTGTCGTGTCCCCCAATGATCCGCGGTGAGTCGGGTCCACTTGAACGTTGCCCGTGATTAGCAGACCCCATCCTCCATTTCCCCATTCTCGATAGACCTAATACGCCTTCCATTAGTGACTATCACCTGACAGAAGGATTCGGTAATAGCATTGGCCTTACGGATGCGTGCAACTTGTTCGGCTGGTGCCCGTCTTTCTCCGCGGAGAGGTCTTCGGCCATCGCAGCTTTCACAAAACGGTTTGGCAAGACCAGCCCGCTGGGAAGTGTGACGGAGGTTCCCAGGATGGCAGCATCCTTGGAGTCGGAAGCGGTGTCGGTCTTCAAAGGCATGTCGGCAGCAGCGTGTGGATAGTTACAGGACTCGAAATGTGTAAACGGTGGTATGCAGAACTGACTGACGTGAAGAACATTAGACAGGCCCGGTTTTATGTGGGACGCCTACGACGAACGAGCTGCTCCGCGGAGGATCGGGATATGGTTAGCCGCATTACTAAGGGCCATTGCAATTCGCAGCAAGTGCGTATTCGGGGAACGACAACTCCGCCAAACGGAAGCGCTTACGCGACAGTAACACCTACGAAATTCTTTAATAAGGCCCACACACGCGTTAACGGCTGTTTAGCAGGTTTCGTAATTACACATGTCTCCCGCTCCCGCTTCCGCTTCCCATGTTATGTATAAGTAGAGACCTTACTCCGACCCCGACTTGTACAGTAGCAATACTTTCTTCGCTTCTCTGCCCAGCATTGTTCGCCTAAAACTGCTCGGGCGAGTGGGTGATCCTCCTAGGATTCGGAATGGTTGTCGCAAATGAGTGCTATCCAAATATGTCCAAGAGATCCGATGTCCAGCTCCATCCATCTAGACCACGTATATGTCGGTATTTTGGAAGCTGAAAAGATGCGCAAAGAATGATCAAGTATCTGCAAAATTCAGCCGTCGTATTGTTTTTGCCACCCACCTGCAGTTTTTCTCAATGCACCATAGTGCACTTGATAGGCAATTTTCTCCACTACCGGTAGCCGCAATACCTTTTCAGATGAGGCCCCGCGGCGATGACTTCCTCCTCGTTCAAAGCGTTCCGCGTCCATGGGCAAGACGCTCCTGTTGCTTGCGGATGGAGATGACTGCGCCGCAGATCTGTTCCGAATTTGCCACACTCTCTCCGATACATGCCACAGATGGGTAAAGAAGTCCAAACTTGTTAGAAGATTCGAGGTTCGAAATTGAAGCATGCTCAGTGAAACTCGCCAGGGTGAAGCCAATGTTCATCCACTTTGTCCCGGTTGTTCTTCGGAACCCGAGCGATCCATTCACTGCCTTCCTCGTTCATCGAGTCCTCCCACATTGGCCGCACGCCTTCCTTGAACAAGTGGAAATTCGCTCCCGTCAGTAATGTCAACGGACCTGGAATGCTGTTGAAGACGCTGGGAGGGCAACCGTCAGACGTCGCGGGAGAATATGGGCAGATTACGGGTCAAGACTTACCCCCTGAATTCCTCGACTGTGTCGAACGTGATCAATTTTCTCAAAGCCTGCTCCCCTTGTGTAGCCCAGTCCGCTTATGTGGGTTATCGAACCATAAAGTCCAACGATTCTCCAAGGAGTGCTTGATGCTGACATTTATGGGGTCTTCAAAACACGTGAGAATATCATCGTTGTCGAATTCGTCCTCTGAGCTTTCAATGCCGCTTTTCCCAGATAGTAGTTCATGATCCTGAGTTTCGCTGAGCCAGAGAGAGAGGTTGTGGTGGTTGGACGCGAAAGGGGAGTGATAGGATGCTCTGTCTGGCTTTCCAGACGTTAGCACGAGAGCACGACAGTTCCGAGGAGCTCCAGATCCAGGAAGTCCAAAGCGTAAATGTGGAGCCCGCTTGGGTGAGGGAGGGTGAGGAGGATGCCCAAGTGGGAAGAGGACGTCCACGAGCTGTCCGAATGTCCGAGTGTGGTTCGAGTCATGCATGAGCTTCTGGCTCGGTGGGTTTCTGTCCTTGGGAAAGAGAGGGTACACCGCCCTACCCCTCCTGCGAAGCGAGGACAACGACACAACGGCTTGCCCACTCATGCCCTCAGAATACCGAGGAGGGGCTTCTTCGGTACCGCTCGGGTCGATATCTTTGCCAAGCAGCTTTCCTGGAAATGGACCAGTCGTGGGAGAGTATGTGAAGGTGGAGGTGGCACATTTGCGGGCGTGGCTTCTAGTGGACCGACAGTCAGAGGGTCATGGAGGGAAGCAAACCATTGCCTTGCCAGGCTGGCTTGCGGATATAGCCAAAGGATGTTCCATTCCGGATGGAAGTGAGGTATCCGTGACCGACAGAGTCTCTCCTTCGAATGGGACTGCGGTTGTACGTCGCCTCAGAATTCGGAAAGTCTCCACAGAGCCATGGATACCGACGACACTGGGGATGCGAAACACCCTCGCTTCGTCGACACCGTCCTCGATGAACATTCCGGGCCTCTTGGAAACGATCGCCACCAGCTTGGAGGATAGACCTGTAAGAAGGATAGTTCGTGTCCTTAACTTGTGAGGCATGGTATGTGACCCTTCACGGCGCACATAGGTACAAACAGGGACGTTGTTCCCCGTGTCGGTACTTGGGCGCACTGCCGTCTTTCGCATTGAAGGCGTTGAATCGGGAGATGACGATCCCATGCTATCTGAGCACGTTGCGATGGTTCGCAAACAGAAGTGCGAAATTGAAATCCTATCCCCTGACCCATATACCCGGGGACGGCGGGGCCCGCGGTTTGGCGGTTATGAGGACGAGGCGGATGAGCTAGCCAGATTGATTGGTACGCCTTTTTGACTGTATATACACATTTCCAGTATCAAACCAATCTTACACTGTACTTTGTAACTGCGTAGAGGCCGCGTTGTATCATGGAGAAGCGCATGACGGGCTTAAGATTGCAAGTTTGCGAGCGATGATGGTCTGTGGGCCGACCGGAGTTGGGAAGTCTTTTTTCATTCAGTGAGTCTGAGGAGCAGCATGCCCGTTTACATTGGGAGGTTCCCCTAATCAACCTGTCTCAAGACATGTAGCCAACGAGCGGTTGCGGATCCCGGTGTTTCCCGTCCAGATCTCCGAGATCTCGGTTTGGGAAAAGGCGTCCAGCACAGCGGGTATCACCTCCGATGTCTACATCAGCCCGTTGCGCAAGGGTATCGAGAAAGCTCGCTTGACGGCGCCAGCATTGGTGATCCTGGAGGGGATGGAACTTCTTTCGGAAGGTGAGGGCAAAGCGAAACTTTCTCCCCTTCGGCGTTTATGACCTGATGACAGTCTTTCTGGTTGCAGACTTCAAAGCACCAGACTATGATCGCAACTCAGTCGCCGCAGACATCGCAAGCGAGATCCATCGCATTGAACTCGACTCTGGTGTTTGTGTGCTGGCCTCCTGTGTGGACAGCAAGAAACTACCTGGGAGGTTACGGCGGTCGGAAGAAGGAGGGTGCTTTGATCGAATCTTGGAGCTTGATGTGCCGGCCCGGTAAGCGATCGTAAGAGCATGCTATACAATTCTTCCGAGCGTTTCCTCAACAAGGATGTTCAGACCCCAGCGAGAAGCCATCGTCCGTGGGCATCTAGACGGCCTCTATCTGGCGCCTGATATTTCCTTTTCGTTAGACGATTCGCAAACCAAAAGCGTTGAGGAGTTGTACGCTCTGCAAATAAGTCAAGTGGGTTCATCTCTGTCATTGTCAGGGGAGACATGCGCGTGAACTGATTCCTTCCGAAACTGTAGAATAGCGCCGGTTTCATCGCGCGGGATCTACAATACCTCGTTTCTCGCGCTGTGCAGCATTCGTTGTCAAGGGTACCAACCGGGGAAGCGAGTCCTGCCGATACCCTTTCCGCCGACCTGCAAAAGCTTTCAATCGAAGATCAACCAGATACTGGAGCGAAAGGAACAGCAAATCTTGTCATCAACTGGACCCAAGACTTCGCCTACGCCTTCTCAATCACGCGCCCCGAGCACGCCGGCTTCGAAACCAGAAAGCCAAACATCCGCTGGGAAAGTATCGGTGGGTACACTGCCCTGAAGCAGCAACTCCAACGCCTCGTCCTCTGGCCTCTCCAACAACCGGAGTCCTATACGCGTTTGGGCGTCCGACCGCCCGCAGGACTCTTGCTGTACGGCCCATCAGGATGTGGGAAAACACTGCTTGTCCGCGCATTGGCTGCAAACTCGCCTATGAACTTCATTTCGGTCAAGGGGAGCGAGATCTATTCAAAATATTTGGGAGATTCGGAAGCTATGGTCAGGAAGCTGTTTGCTGCAGCGAGACGGTTGGCTCCGTGTCTTTTGTTCATGGATGAGTTGGATGCTATTGCGGCGCGGCGAGGTGAGATCTCGTTGCCTCTATTGCATACGTTGTTGTTCATCAAACTCATGTTGCCATTTTGGCTGCAGAGTGGGGCGACGCAGGCAGCTCAGGCGTTAACGAACGCGTACTTTCTACTTTGCTGAACGAAATGGACGGCGTGCAAGAGCGCAAAGGGGTGTTTATCATTGCGTGCACCACGCGGCCGGAGTCGCTCGATGATGCGTTGCTTCGACCAGGTAGAAATTGCCGGGTATCTCGCACGTTGTTGAGATCTTGCTGCTAACATCGCGCTACCTTCAGGACGACTGGATCATCATCTCTACGTCTCGCTGCCAAGTATTGAAGATCGTTTGGGGATAATGCAAAGCCTTGTGAACAAATCGGCTACTACAGGAGCTGCCGTGTCTTCGATCATCAGCGGCGACGTGGACTTCGACGCATTGGCGTCAAGAACGGAGGGATACACCGGCGCTGATCTTACTGTGCTTATTCGGTATGCGTGCATTGTGTGGTCACATTCCTTCATATAATTGCTCATTCGTTGATGCGTCAAATAGGGAAAGCGGAATTCAAGCGTTCCGGACATCAACAACAGCCACGCAAATCACACAAGCCAATATCGATGCTGCATTGGCTGGGGCGATTCTTGGGAATGCTGACGATGATAATCCATTTGAGAGCAGCTCTGTGGGCCATGAGGACGAAGATGAGTGCACATCAGACGAGGAGCCCACTAAGCCGACTGGATGGTGGCGACCCGCATGGATTGGGTCGGAGGAGCTGCAGCGATTTGACAAGTTTCGCTTGGGGAGGGAGAGAGTGTGACTGGAAGAAGACTGGAGGAATTGATATCGACCCCACGGCAGGTGAAAGTCAGCGGTGACTCTCTGGTACCTCTGGTCTTGGTCCGGCCTTGCCTTGCGATTTTTGGGCCCGTGGTCGTTGGACACGGAGCTTGGCTAAGATGTTATGGACGTATCGTGATAGCCTGTGAATGCCTCTCCCCCAGAATAGAACCATAGAAGGAGAGGAGATGTGCTGTATTCCCATGACTTGCGAGTCCAGCTCTGGCAGTGTGTGTGAGGGGTTCAATCCACAGATGTGTCATGCAAGACCTCGGACGTGTTTTTCTCGAACGCGTCCCGCCCTTTCCCTTTCCCAGCAGCCGGACGTCAACAAGTCCGTCCCAATTGCCTGCCTACCACCGTCAGCGTCTCGCTTGACTCCAACCCATAGTGTTATCACCATTCAGAACTACCCGAAACTTTGAAAGCCAGACGCATCTCAGACCTTGAGTTCACCCTTTCGCGGAAAGGAAAGTCGCAATTTCCACACGTCAACCCGATTAGGTCCATTCGCCTTGACGCGACCGCAAGTATGACCGACGTCGGTGCTCAAGGTAAAGGACGCTTGGACAAAGCATACTCGCCTGCGCATGTCGCATGCTTTTTGAAATCTCTTGCGAAATGTGTATGTGTTGCTGACCGTTTCCGCGCTGTTTTGCAGGTGGGAAGAAGGATAAGCGGCGCGTGAGCAAAGATATGATTTCCACGCCAAAGGGTTTCGAGTGCGTGAGTCTTGCTCTTTGTTTTTGCTTTGGCGTCTGTTTCATGCGGCCAGTCATCCCAATGCCCCGCGACGGCCGGAGAGGCTGGCCGTACCGATATGAGATTGGCCAATGATAGTGGAGTTTCGTGCAGGAAAGGCCTCTCATCACATATATCTTTCGCAATCCACTCTTATGTCACACCAGCCACTGCCTCCACGCAAGCTCGGCATCCGAAGCCGAATCAGTTCTCCAAAAGATGAACAGTACCAGGAATACATTGCCCCGCGGCCCACTCAAAGACGATCCTGAATCGAAAGACCCAACATCGATGCCCAGTCCCGTTCCAGAGGACCGTCTACGGTCCTTCAAGGCCCTCATCCAGCCCTGGCAAAAAAAAGTCGCGCCATCTCCCACCACAGCCGATTACGGCGCCGGCGTCGAGGGCGGCTCAACCGCGCAACGACCTTCTTCAAGTCGCGGTTCACGGAGCGCATCCGTGCCCAGCCCCGGCGTGAGCAGAGCAACAGTCGAGCGCTCCGTTGCGGCCAAAATCTACTTTGAGCAGTACTTTGACCGGCTGTACAAATCCGGCCCGACGGCCCGCGCCAAACGAAGACATCAGCTTGAGTCGGAGTTGGCGCAGATGACGTTGACGGAGACGGAGAAGAGGAGCGTGCGGCAGGAATGGCTGTCGCGCGAATCGGAGAGGATGCGGCGAACACGGGAGAAAGTCACTGTGAATGATTTTGATGTTTTGAAAACGCTCGGAAATGGCGCGTTTGGTTTGGTGCGCCTGGTTCGCCATAAGGACTCCAAGGAGGTTTTCGCCATGAAGATTTTGAAGAAATCGGAGATGATAAAGCGCGGGCAAGAGTCGCATGTTCGCGCCGAGAGAGACCTTTTGTCGGATGCGGCGGCCGAGTCGGCGGAATGGGTGGTACCGCTCGTATGCACGTTTCAGGACACCGACAATCTGTATTTTGTCATGGAGTACATGCCTGGAGGAGATTTGTTGAGCTTGCTCATCAAGTTGGATGTCTTTAATGAGGAGTTCGCGAAGCACTATGTCGCGGAGATGATTCTTGCAATCGAGGAAGTGCATAAACTGGGGTGAGTTCCGTCTTTCGCTTGGAACGCAATGCTGGACAATCCTCAATTAGAGAAAATTATCCCAGCGTGATACACCGAGACATCAAACCAGACAACTTCCTCTTCGACGCCTCGGGTCACATCAAAATCACCGACTTTGGCCTCGCCACCGATTTCCACTGGTCCCACGACTCCTCCTACTACGACGAACAACGCCGCGCAACCATGCAACGCGCCCTCAGCGGAAACGACGGCTCCCCAACCTCCGACGACCTCGGCAACGCATCCACAGAGGTCCTCGGGTCCCCCGACTCCCCGCCCCTGCAGAGCGTCATCGACTACACGCCCCCGCACACCAAGATCCTGCAATGGCGCGACCAGAACCGCAAACAGCAGGCTTACAGTGTCGTCGGGACCAACAACTACATGGCCCCCGAGATCCTGCTTGGGACGGGGTACGACAAAGCATGTGATTGGTGGTCGCTCGGTGTGATTGTGTTTGAGATGCTGTACGGGTTCCCGCCGTTCTGCAGCAAGAACAGGCAGCAGACGAAATTGAAGATTGTGAACTGGAGGAAATGTCTGCGGTTCCCCGCCCATCCGTCCGTGTCGAGGGAGGCGCAGGATTTTATCATGAAGCTGGTTTGCGATAAGGATACGAGGCTTGGGTCGGGGACGCCGGCGGGCAACCCGGCGGCACCTGGGTCGTTGTCGTCGCATCCGTCGGCGGCGTCGGGGATCAGCGTCTTTGGTAACATCCACGGCACGTCGGCAACAAACCAGGGCGGTAACAATCCGCGCTCGTCGGTCGTCAGTTCCGTGACGACCATGACGCCAGGCGCGTCAGTTGAATCAGAGACGGCGGAGATCAAACGTCATCCGTGGTTCCGAACCATCGACTGGTCGGAACTTTCCACCATAATCCCTCCCTTCGTTCCCAAACTCGCCGGGGACACCGACACGACATATTTCGAGAACGTCGAGCCTCCGGAAGACCCCGCGTCGCGGGAGGAGGTTGAGCAGCAGGGCCCGCCGCCGGCGGTGGGTGGTGATGCTTGCGCGGCGAATGGGGCGGATGCGGAGGATGCGGATATGCTGGATATGAGGAAGCGGTTGGCGTTTGCGGGGTTCACTTACAAGGCCCCGCGGCGGGAGAAGAGTGATGGGAGGGCGGGTGTGGGACATCACTCGTTTTCGTCGGGGATTGGGGAGTAATCTTTTGGGAAGATTTTGGACAGTTATTTGCTCTTTATTGCTCTGGACAATTATAAATGGATTCGAGTACTGCCCGTCTGAAGTTCTGTTTGAAGAGAAGCGCTTGGCTTCTTCCCTTCAACATCAGCGGCTGTCATCAGAACGGGCGCATTGCTCATTGCAACGAATGTATGGACCAAGACATGTTGAGAAAGAAAATAAACGCTAATGATTCATGACATGCAAACAAAACCTACAAGAGGTTCAAACCCATCCGGCGACCAGGTATGCGCCGTCCATTCTAGATGAAACCCCAGCCCATCCATTGCCATTAGGATAGAGTGGCACAACACAACTGGTCCTTCCTCCTCGAAGGTGAGGAGGAGTTCCTTGACCATACGGCGACAAAGTAACGTAGTAAAGCACCTTGAAAAGGGCCTTACTCTCTACTCCACCTCCGGAACATAAAGATTGCTCCCCAACTCGGTCCGTCTCCGCTCCAAGATCTTCTTCTCATCCACTTCATCCATCACGGGTGTCGGCGACAGATCCGACGCCGAGCTCCCCTCCCAGGCAGCCGACTGCGGATTGGATGTCGTCGAGCTGCCTGTCCCACGGCGCGGTTTCGGCGATTTCACGTCATCCCGGAACCTCACGTGCCCGTTCACACTGTCCATCGAGTCGGTCGAGTCCCGCGCGACGTTGATGTGCGGTACAGGCGGGTGTTGCGGGGCTCCGTAGGCCGGGTAAAAGGGTCCGACGGGGATGTGGTCGGACTTACCGTCGTTGCGGTGGATATCGCGGATCATGAACTCGGTCAGGTCTTCGCCATGGTCGTCGACGCCCGGGTCGGCGAACATTTCGTTGAACCAGTCGGCCATGAGGCGGGTGGCTTGGCGGCCTTCGGGGAGAAGGGCGAGCATTTGGAGGATGCCGTGGGAGAGGCCTTCGAGTACTTTTACGCGGATCATGGTGTCGGGGTCGCGAGAGAAGATGTGGGTGCGGATGGGGTTGGCTTCGCGGGAGGTGCTGATGCCGTTGGTGTGGGTGCCATTGGAGGTGGCGGGTGGTGCAGGTTTGGTGCCGTTCACACCGTTCACACCGTTGTGAACGCCGCCTATCCCGTACACCCCATGATTCTCCTCCGCTTCCATGTGCCGCATCATCCGTTCCCATTCCTTGCGTGCCTTCTGTTTGTTTTCTCGGAGGCGGGCTCCAAACACGACTGTGTCGTCGACGAATGGATCTTTCTCCCCACAGATCAGATATGTTTTGGGGAACCGTGCTAGGAGATCATCCGGCGCCATGACAGGGCTTAGGTAGTAATCCGATGCCAGATCGACTGGTATTGGCGAGCCTCCCAGGTACAGAAGAGCCATGGCACGCATCACTACATGAGGAAAGTTACAGTTAGTGAACGAAGCCAAGCATTAGACAGATCCATGAAGTGCTTACTTTCTGGAGAAATGATCCTGTCAGTGAAATAGCTGATCCGACTCGTCATACTCAAAGACGTAGGGATAGTGATACCCTGACTCTTAATCTGGCTCGACCAAGGCCTCATCACATCCTTATACCACGATCTCGACTTCTTGGCCGCCTCATCGTTGAAAACGTCAATCTTCCTGGGCGCATCTTGAGGAGTCAACGGCGAGTTCCTTTTCATGTTGGACTTGGACTCGGACAAGGACTTGAGTGAGAGGTTGTGGTGGGACTCGGCGCGCATGAGCTTGACTTGTTCTGAGGGCATCCAGCATGACATGTCGAAGGAGAGACATGGGTATGCGAGGATGAGCCCGTTCGGTGGGGGGATGTGCATTTCGTAGGTCTCCAGGCATCGCATTGTAATTCCAACAGCTAGATTACCACCACTAGAACAGCGAGGCATTAGTTATCGGGTGGTCACCCGGACATGAAGCATAGTCATGGATACATACGCTGAGTCACCGGCGACGACGATCTTCAGAGGTGCCCTAGCCACGCGCTGGCCGCTGGAATCCGTCTGCCAATGTCCCTGCATGCCGAGCACGGCTCCATTGCTCTCCACAATACTCCTGTAAGCGTCAAAGCACTCCTCCAAGCCGAACGGATAAGGAAACTCGGGCGCTTTGCCGTAATCAAGACTGACGATGGGAACGCGGAGCGATTTGGCCCATTGCGAGACGTAATCGTCATGGCATATCGGACTCATTGCCATGAAGCCACCGCCAGGGATCATCAGGATGAGTTCCTTTGCACGAACAAAGTCGCGTTCGGTTCCCGCAAAGTAGAGTCGAGCAGAAATGGGCTTGCTTGCCATCTCTTCCGGGAAAGAGCTCAGAGATGCTGGTGACGGACGTGGAATCGTGATGTTCTTGCGAACGCGAAGTTTGGGACGGTGCATGGCGCCCGCCAGGTAGATGTATGGGTTCAAGGACTTGTTCCATGACACTCGCAGAATGTCGACGGTAGGGTGAGCGCGGAACTTTCGGACCTAAAAGAATGGTTGCAACGTCGCGTCCTGTTAGAGATGGACGCTCGACGCTTGATCGGCTTACGGTGCATCCCCAAGGTGTTACCTTTTCGTCCGCGGTATCCGGAAAGCAAAGGTAGAACAGAGAAAAGACGATAGACAAAATGTCTCGCAGCCATTTCGGCTTGATGTTCATGGCAGTCATGAATCCTGCATCGAGACTCGTAAGAATGTACGATGATCTATAGAAGTTCTTGGTATACTGCTCGACAAAAGGCGGGGGGTGCCATTAATGATGCGGAACCAGCCCACCAAAGTAGGATAGCTCATGGGAGCCTCCACATACCATTTTCGCTAACGGTTCTGGTGCATTCCATCCCAGAAGCAAGAGAAGGTTCTTTGCGACCCACCCAGCGGTCAAGGTTCCTACAGCAACTTTCCATGGTTGTGTTGCGCCTTTATTGCAAGACACGTGAGTGTTTTCTGCAGTCAGGGTAGGGCAATGCACAGTGCCTACACATACCGAACTTGGAGTTGAACCATCTAGCGAGAAGCGCTGCCTTTCCATTGCCACTTGTAAGCCATGCGGCGTCGCCTTTCAAGAACCGGTGACTAAGAGTTGCGCGCAAGATGACCACGTTCAGTAACAGCGCTGGGCACTGCCTCGTTCATGGAGCACAGGGCCGTTCACTCACATGAGAAGCACGACGACCAGGATCTGCACCCGCTTTATATTGGCCGAGGGCCGACCCAGTGCGTGGTCCAACATTCCACGCGGGACTCTATCAGCGATAAACTGCCTGGGAGAGCACCAAGTTCACCAAGGAAAAAAATATCGTGAAAGGACGCCTTTGGCCAGCGACAGCTACCGCTAATGCTATTAGTATATGAGTTTTCTGGCGGTTGCGCTGAGCCCTTTCCCTTTGCCCATGGTGGGGGTTTGGCAATGCAGGGGCTGTTCTTATGTTTGCCGCGGCGGCTGCTCTCAACGCGTGAAAGTCCCAAAGCCATGACACTTCTGGCATGTGATCCGTGCCACCACTACGACGTATGGAATATGAAATGAATCGTAATAAAACCCCACATTCAATCATCGTCGACTCCCCGGCAGAAAGGGGAAGCGACACCCCAAGAATGCGGACTTGTGGGACGTCCGCCGCACATGTGGACATGGATCTGTCGGCCGCTCTCATCCGAGACTCACTGCCAGAGTGTGCAATTTCCAGAACGCTCATAAGGGTGAGGTACGGGCTTCCTCGCACGCCTCCATTTTGTCGGAGTTCCTTTGAATCCTCCTCCGAGACCGAACACTTTGATAGTCCCACGCCGCCTATTGAACATCGGGAGGGGTAGGTCAGATATTGATTCACCCATTCGAGCAATCATATGTACAGTACATCGAACGGCAACGTTACTCTACCGCCGCACGGATGCCATCGGATCGTTCGCCGAAAGCCTGATTTATCGAAACGGCAAGCGATGTCAACAAACCGGGCTTTGGCAAGCAAGTCCCTATGACATGTTGGAGTTCCCGTGCGGGCTTGTTGCAGCATCGAAAGAGGCCTAGCGGTTCTCCACCGAGTTGAATGAAGCTACGTAAGAATCGTCGTAGATTATACATAGATGATGCTCCCCGGGGAAAACGGGGAAAACGCGTCTGGCGCGGGTGACAGGTCAGATCTGGTCAGATGGTTGTCACTCCATCCTCCCAGCCGGCTTTCGAGTCAAAAAGGTGGTGCTGCAGAGCAAACTTCCATCGACATTCATCGTCGTCTCAATATCCCCTCACTACGAAACCAGCGCAACGATAGATGCTCGGAGAGATGAAGAACGCACCAGAGTATCTGCAAGGGTTTGGAAACTCCCACGCCTCCGAGGCCCTTCCCGGCGCTTTGCCCGTAGGTGAGACCATCGACATGGACCTTTTGGAAACCAGCATAATATGCCACTTTCTCATACCTCTCGCCACTTCATCTTGCAGGCCAGAACAACCCCCAAAGAGCACCATACGGGCTGTTCGCTGAGCAACTGTCTGGGACAGCCTTCACGGCTCCGCGCGCCGAGAACCAGAGGAGGTAAGCCAACGAATGCACATGGCTGTCCTCATCATAGCTCCACCACGCTAACTATCCGCAAACAGCTGGCTGTACCGCATTCGGCCTTCCGTCTGTCACACACCCTTCGAGGCAGCGTCCTCCCCCACCCTTGTCCGCTCATTCACCGCCGGTTCCCCAGAATGTCAGTCAACACCGAACCAGTTGCGGTGGTCTCCCTTTGAGTTGCCCAAACATGGAGGCGTAGACTTTGTGCACGGTTTGCACACCGTCTGCGGAGCTGGCGACCCTAGTCTGCGTGATGGACTGGCGATTCATGTCTACCTCTGCAATGCGGATATGGACAGCTCGGCGTTCTACAACTCTGACGGGGAGTTCTTAATCGGTATGCCATCCGTAAACAGGTGCATTCTCGCAGTATGAGCATTCTCTCAATGATCTCTTCGCTAGTCCCGCAGCAGGGTCGCCTGGACATCCAGACCGAATTTGGCCGACTAGTGGTAGAGCCTAATGAGATTGCCGTGATTCCACGAGGGTAGGAGACTGCACTTTGTTCTTGATGGCACCAACATCATCATCATTGCTCACGGCGGCCTTTTAGAATCCGATATGCCGTGAGGTTCCCGGACGGTCCTTCACGAGGATATATCCTCGAGGTGTTCAACCGTCACTTTGAGCTTCCTGACCTCGGTCCTATTGGTGAGTTCCAATGTCATCGTGCAGCTCAGGCACCTCGGATCTAACAGTCCTACTCAGGTGCCAACGGATTGGCGAATGCCAGGGACTTCCTGTACCCAACTGCCGCCTACGAAGATATTGAGAACAAGACATATACCATCATCAACAAATTCCAAGGACAGCTTTTCGCTCTGCAGCAGACCCACTCGCCGTTTGACATCGTTGCATGGTATGTTTTGAGCGCCGCTTGTCGAAGGCGGTCGCACAGTGCTAATGAATCCGATTAGGCACGGGAACTACGCTCCATACAAGTATGACCTGCGCAAGTTCAATACCATCAACACCGTCTCATTCGATCATCCGGTAGGTTGTTGGTCAAGTACCTCAAGTCGCCCTTACAGTAGCGTTGCTCATAGCATCAACCTTCTAGGACCCATCTATCTTCACAGTCCTGACTTGCAAATCCAGCACTCCTGGAGTCGCAATCGCTGACTTTGTCATTTTCCCACCACGGTGGATGGTAGCTGAGCACACGTTCAGGTAGGATTTCTCTCATTTTGACTTGGTCTGGATTGGGGTCGGAGCACTGAAGTCTCCCTTGTTATCAGGCCGCCCTACTACCACCGCAACTGGTAAGCTTGCAAAGACAGACCACAGTTGGATCCCAAGGTTAAGCGTTCTCTCCTTGCAGCATGTCTGAGTTCATGGGTTTGATCTCGGGAGGCTATGATGCCAAAGCCGAAGGCTTCCTCCCTGGTGGAGCGTCTTTGCACAGGTATGCCACCTGACCACTTTGTCAAGCTGATCGGAAACGATATCTGACTTCCTTTCATCCACACTCAGCACGATGAGCTCACACGGTCCGGACAACGCCACCTTCGAAAAGGCATCTACGGAAGAACTGAAGCCCGTCAAACTACGCCCGGACGGTCTGGCCTTCATGTTTGAGTCCTGCTACATGCTCTCGCTATCCAACTGGGCTCTGCGTCCTGACCAAGCGGGTGGGAAGGTGCTACAGGCCAAGTACTATGAGTGCTGGATAGGCCTGAAGAAGCGGTTTGACCCGAAGAATACGGAGGGAACTTGGGGTCAGGAGAAGGTTAGTGCTTAGGCGTAGAAGCAGAGCGTAACGTAGGCGCGTAGTCGACGACGAACTGTCGTCGATGAGAGGCATGCTCCCACGGTGTGCTTATCAATGTATAAAGATTAGGCAAATTGGCCCCCCTCACTCATTACTGTAACATGATGTTCTTCAAACTCATATGCTATCCTCCTAACCGATGGATCGCCTGCGGACATGCATAGAGTGCATGTCATGTATGTGCTGAAGGAGTGTGAGAACAGCGCCAGCTGCCAAATGTCCGGAACGCGGAGGATGGACATGATGTGTCACGCAATGCCCCCTGCTTTGACCGCGCTTTGCTGTCCACAGTCATCCCTCAACTTTCCCGCATCTGCCAAACCAGACCTCGTTTCAGCCCGCATTCCCACCCGCAGCACAGCAAACCCATGACCCTCCCTCAACTCCACCTCTAGAAATAGTGATACAGAGTCGCTCAGAGAGTCGGGGAATCGCCGTCAGTCCATTTTGCGAAGTAGAGAGAGACCGGGGGTTCGGGCCCACACGACGACGAGACGACGACGACGACGACTTTCTTTTTCCTGTCGAAAAACCCTCCCCCCTAGTTTCTCCATATGTCCTCTTCTCAATCTTCTGGAAACCCCCACCCCATCCCCCAGCAAAGTCGTGTCAAGCAGGTCGAAAACGAGAAGGTAGCTGTACAGCCGCAACGCAGGTATGTTGGGGGGATCTTGAGGGGTGGGAAACTGGTGTTGGAACTAGGGGTAGGAGCTCAGGTTCTAGCGGAGGAACTATGTTCAACATCGTTCTACTTGCTTCTCTACCAGGTCCCGGCGCTTGTCAGCTAAAGCGTCAACGGAAACCGACTTAGCACCCACTACCGAGTCATCAGCACCATCGTCCAGAGCTACCGCACGAGACGCGGAGAAGAGCATTCCTGCAAAGCGCCAAGCCGAATCGACAGCGTCTGCTCCTGCAAAACGGTATGTATCTGCTACAGATTTTCGGATAATCCCTTGGCGAAAGGTTGCAGTCTCAACGCTCTGCACGTCTCTAGCGCCACCACCAAGGCAATCGCTACCAGTTCTGGGCAGACGACTGCCAGTTCGAGAGGAAGAAAACGTCAGAGGCCCGCGAGCCCTGTCAAACCCGAAAGTCCGGAGGCAGCAGAGAAAGCTAGACCTGGAAAGAAAAGGAGACAAGCGGCAGTAGCAGCAGCCGAGGGCATCACCAACATCGCGAACAGCGGCAGGCGAGCATCTAGTACTGCAAGTGCGAAGGCTCACGTCGAAATGGGGAAGGACAAAGGAAAGGGCAAGGCCAAAGCAAAAGAAGGCGAGGCTGTGGACGGGGATGCTTTGCCAGAGGCCTCAACTAGCAAAGCCACTTCCAAGAAAGGAGAAAGTGGACCAAAGGAGAAGGCAAAGGGGAGGAAGGGCAAGAGCGCCAATGAAGGTTCCTCAAGCCTGCCACCTCCTGCGCCCCGTAGTTCAGGCGAGGGCTCTGGAGACACCAAGACAAAGTCGAAAAAGCGAGCCAACAAACAGTCGAAGCAAGCAGCCCGTCAAGGAGGATCTTCCAATCCCTATGATGATTCCTACGATGAGGACAACTCGGACGAAGAGTACGCCGCAGAGGCTTTGGCGGCGACAGCGGCTAGCCGGACTATGGAAGCCACCTACACGCTTGGTGGCGGGTTTGGGTCTTCATTTGGAATGGCAAACCGCTTCTCGGAAATGCTCAAGCAATTGAAGCAGAAGGGTGATCCTACAATGCAGCTGGTCGCGTTGCAGGAGCTGTCGGAGATATTGGTCATGGCAACTGGTACGTACACATACCATGCAGAAGGTGTTTCAACTGGTGTCTGCACGCTCACCTCACTTTGGGTTTTCAGAGGACATGTTCATAGGCCATGGCGGACAGCGGATGGCCGGCTTCGACACCAACGAATTCGTCAAGGCACTGGTTGACGTGTTGCGCGGCGGAGACGGTGGTGGAAATAACTTCGAAGAGGATATCCCGCTTGAGATGTTGCAAGAGATGGGGATGAGTGCCGCAGAACTCGGATTCGGTGGAGGAGGCGGGATGGCCAATCCCGAGCTGATCTTACTGGCTTGTCGCTGTCTGTCCAACCTGATCGAGGCACATCCATCGAGTACCGGTCATGTGCTGCAACACGGCGCTGTAGACGTATTGGTTGGGAAGCTCATGGAGGTGGAATATATCGATCTTGCGGAACAAGTTCTTGCTGTTCTCAATAAGATCAGTGTAGACTATCCTTCAGCAATCGTCCGTGCGAATGGGCTGTTGGCCGTCCTTCAGTATATCGACTTTTTTGGACTGCACGTGCAGCGGACGGCAGTGACCATCGCTGCAAATGCTTGCCAGGGACTTGGTTCAGTCTCAGCAGGGCTTCGACGGTTTGGAAGTCTGGAGACTTCTCTCACATCAGGTAAGGGAGCTTGTGTCTTTGTGAGCACTGTGTGATTGCATTTACGAATAAGACCCACAGGAAGCGATGCTGATCCTTCGGACGATGTCTTCAACAAGGTGAAAGATGTCGTTCCCATCCTCGAACGCCTGCTGTCATACGCCGATAGCAAGCTAGTGGAGCAAACCGTTCGGGCTCTGGACAGGATCATCGAATGGTGCTGGAAGTCGGAAGAGAAACTCGAAGCTATCGTAACTCCATCTCTACTGCAAAGCATTATCACTATCATCACCCCAAGCGGTACAACCTCAGCAAACGGCGGATTACCGGCCATCACACCTGTCTTCACCAAACTGACCAAGGTTCTGGTCAATATCGCCAAAGGATCTCCCAAGTTCGGAACGGCCCTCCTTGTCGAGTACGGCTTGATCGACTTGATCCAGAACTTCATGACCGGTGGTGTTTCTACTGGTGACGTGCAGCAAGACCGCTCCCTCGCAACGGAGACTGTCTCTGCCTCCATAACGATGGTTGTCGTTTCTCGTCCTGCGGATCAAGTTCTGGAAGTCCTGAGATTGGCTTCAGCGGTGTTGCCGACATTACCAGCCGAAGGTCTTTGGGATATCCGGAGTCTTCCTGACGCTGCGCCCGGCAGCCCGAAGAAAGCTGGTCTCTTCGCGCGACCAAGGAGCAAGAGCCCGGAGAAGTCACCCACTGTTTCCGATCCGATGGATGTTGACCATTCGGATGATGCCGGGTCCGCGTCTCGAATGTCAATTGACTCAGCTTCTACAGACCACAGCAAAACCGGTGCAGCATCCTCAGCAAGCCATTTGTTCACCGATGTTTCAGAGAGACGCCTGAAGTTGCTTGGCGCAAACCCGGACGCCATGAGGAAGTACGTGACTGTTTTGCTGCCTACGTTCATCGAAGTGTTCGGAGTCACCGTCAATCCGAATACGCGTCGAGCGGCGGTCGAGTGCGTGGCCAAAGGCATCTGGTACACGGACGATCCTAATCACTTGGGCGATACTCTTGGCGATAATCAGATGTTTGGAAAGTTTGTCCCGGAACTCTTGAGTCTGCGACAAATCGTATTCGAGAAGGATACGCCTGAGAAGGAGCGACTCGAAGCGATGGTTCTCGTCGCCAGCGGGTTGCAAATTGCGTCGACGGTCATCGACCGATGTGGTGAACGTTTCAAGTCAAGGTTCACGCGTGAAGGAGCCATGGAAGAGATTGCAAAGATAGTCAAGCTCGGTCAACAGGCCAAGACTGATCCGCAACCGGAAAGCCCGACCAAAGTTGCCTCCAGCTCGCACTTACCTGCGCCTGTCGGACGACGACTTAGCGATTTGGTACGAGACCTTAAGCGGCTTCGAGACCAGGTCGCGGGGCACATGGGCGGATCTCCCGCATCGAACATAACCACAGGGAGTGCCTCGGCGGGTTCTACCGCAGCTGCTGCTGGCTCGCTGGTGCAGGGCGACTCTAGTCGTGCGGAAGCGTCCGAACCGTCCCCCTCAACCGACGCTGAGAGGTCAGCAGCAATTCCTACCGGCACTGACACAACCCGACGAGCTAGCGATCAATCGGACAGCGGTCAAGGGTCGGATGGAACAGCTTTGTCCACATCCCCAGGGTCGTCCCTCCTTTCGGGAATGCGGAACGTTTTGGAAAGACTCGGCAGGTCCGGTGGTCATCCACCAAGTGCCCGAGCTTCCGGCAATACGACCACGCTATTGAACGGTGTAACGTATACCGAGGATGAGATTCGCACCTGGATCTTTGCGACAGCGCAGAGGCTTCTCGAGAAGTCGACTTCAAGTTCCTCTGCAAACCAATCCGGTGCTGTATTGGGGGATCTTCGCAGGCTTGGAGCAGTCCTTGACGAGCGAGAATCCCAGAAAGGCGAATTGGCCATATGTGAGGCTCTGCAAGGGGTCGCGAGGCATTTTGTAGGGGAGGCCGAAAGTGATGGAGGAGTTGGGATCACTTCATTTGAACTCTTGGAAAGCGGGATCATGCGCTCCTTCGCAGACTTTCTGAGCAAGCCCAGTTCCGAAGATCTCGTTGCGCCGGATCCTGATGTCGCCCAGCACACGACCCCTATTGGGACGCGGCTGAAAGCCTTCCTGCATGTTTTCATGAACGGCCCGTCTCCGGATCACGAAAATCGGAACTTCTATGTGGCCGGAGCCTTCAAAGCGCTTCTGCAAAGACTGCAGGAGTGTCTTTCTCGCGTGGAACAGTTCGATGTTGCGACTGCTGTCAGCTCCGCCACCACGAACTATGCTTCGACCTTCAGTATGCTCTACGGATTTGGGGGAGCAACCAACAACGCACGAGAAGCAAACAACCCAAGTTTGCAACTCACCCGCCAGCTCAAGATCAAGCTCGTTGCCGCTGAACCGGATACTGTACCGAAACCCTATCAGGCGTTGATGATCAGCGTCCATGCCGTCGCTACGTACAAGGCGCTTGAGGACTATCTCAAAGGGCGTATCGTTTTGCCACCCGGGACGGAGGTCCGGAGTGAGAATAAGCAGGCTTTAGCAGCGGAGGTCAAGACTGCTTCTGAGGACGCTCCGGCGGGTGAAGCCGCCAGCGATGCGGAGAAGAGCGCCGAGTCGGATGTGGATATTATGGCGCATGAATATAAGGAAGGCGAGGAAGATGAGCTGAATGAGGATGACGGGGAAGACGAATATGATGAAGAGTATGACGAGGATGATGATATCGATGATGATGAGGTACAGTGCCGTTAACGAATATAATGCTGGCGATTGCTATCAGCAGATCCTGACCCCCTATTTACAGATGCTGGACGTCAGTGATTTATTGCTGAAAGCAGAAGAAACCACTCGGCAACGGCGAAGGGGGAGTAGCATCACCGCCAGTGCCGCAGCCGCCGACGCTGCAGACCCTTCCGACACCGGGGAGCCTGACACAGCTGCGTCTAGACGGCGGGATAGCGTTGTGGATGTACGGACCGATAGCCCGATGCGCCGCCCATCGACAGCAGGAGCATCTTCCAGCCGTCGGGAAAGTGCTGCCCTGCCAGAGTCCAGCAGTGCGGTGAAATCTTACGCATCTGCTGTGGCATCCAGCACAATTTTCAACATTGAGTTCAGAATCGACAACACCGTTATTCCGCACGAAACGACCATCTTTGGCTCCGTATTTGCGGCTGAACAGCGGAAGGGTGTCAAACAACCCAATGTGTGGAACCAAGCGTTCACTATGGTCTACAGGAAGGTCTGGCGGGATGAGTCAGCGGCCTCTGCTACGGAAGCCAAAGCAAAGGCGGGGGCATCATCCAAGAACACCGCAGCGGAAAAAGCAAAGGACGTGAAGCTACATGTTAAACTCCCATTCCCAACCACTATACCCGAGGGAGTTCATGTCGAGGCGGCAGATGGGCAGGTGTTATACCTTCTCCGTCTCCTTTACGGACTGAATTCGCGATGGGCGGAAGTATATGCCAGCGAGGATGCGGAGCTTGATGGATTCCACGAAGGAGGCGCCTCTTCTCTGTCGCTGCAAGAAGGTTCGCAACCAATGGAGAGAGTCGCGGTCACATCGCGGACTGGAGCTCCCGTGAGTGTGGACATACTTCCTCCCGCGGCGTTTGCCAATACAAAGCTTACTGCGAAGCTGAACCGGCAGCTGGATGAACCTCTGATCGTGGCGTCCGACGTACTTCCGAAATGGTGCGCTTCTCTAGCCAAGGAGTTTTCGTTCCTTGTACCCTTCGAAACGCGACTTGCATATATGCAAAGTACCTCCTTCGGCTATTCTCGAAGCATCGGCCGTTGGCAGCATCAGCAGAATGGCCGTGGTGGAGGTTCAGGCGGCGGACGTGGAGGCGATGGGGGTCAACAGCTTGGACGCCTGCAACGGCAAAAAGTTCGTATCGCGCGTCAACGTCTCCTGGATAGCACGATGAAAGTCATGGAGTTGTATGGCTCCACACAAGCCTTGCTGGAAGTTGAGTTCTTTGACGAGGTCGGGACAGGACTCGGGCCAACGCTAGAGTTCTACTCGAATGTATGCCGTGAAGCCCGACGATCAGGAGGCGTCTCTGTCGGCGGCGGTTCCAACTTCAAGGTGTGGAGAGATGATAATGGCAAGGCCGAGGATACGGACAGCAAGGAAGAGCCGGATATGGAAGATTTAGTGGACGGAGAATACCTGAATCCGGCCTTAGGTCTGTTCCCGGCCCCAATGCTGGAAAACGAAGGCAATGCGGAGACGAACCAGAGAATCCTCACCTTCTTTACGGGATTGGGGACATTTGTGGCAAAGGCTCTGCTGGACTCTCGCCTGGTCGATTTGCCATTCAACCCAATCTTTCTCGAAATGGTTGTCGGCGAGGAGGAGGAAGAGGAGCAGGCTGCGGAGGCTGCCCTCGGGAAAGCGGGGAGGACAGGCGCCGAGTTCCACCTGCTAAGGCACGTCGATCCTTCACTATACAAGTCACTCCTGGACCTGAAGAAATACGTACACATCAAGCGGTCGATAGAAAGCAACACAAAGTTGTCAAAAGCTGAGCGCGTAGAGCGTTTGGCAGACATCACAGTTCGCGGCGCTCGCCTTGAGGATCTGTGCCTGGACTTCACACTCCCAGGCTACCCAACATACGAGTTGATCGAGAACGGCGCTCAAGTCGCGGTAAGCATCGACAACGTGGAGAAGTACATCGACAGCGTTGTGGAACAGACTGTCGGAACTGGCGTTGCTCGGCAAGTAGAGGCCTTCCGCACCGGGTTCGACAAAGTTTTCCCTGCGGCCGATCTCCGAAGTTTCACGGTCCAAGAACTCAGCGTTCTGGTTGGTGGGGCCGGAAGCACAGAGGAGGACTGGGAATACGATTCTCTGATGGAGTCTATCAAAGCGGATCACGGATACACCAAGGAATCGGCAACAATCCGAAACCTCGTCTCGTACATATCGGTTCTCACCCCATTGCAACGGCGGGAGTTCCTTCAGTTCGTAACCGGCAGTCCCAAGCTTCCGATTGGGGGGTTCAAAGCGCTCATGCCACCGTTGACTGTTGTGCGGAAAACGGTCGAACAATCAGGTCGGACCCCTGACGACTATCTGCCCAGCGTTATGACGTGCGTTAATTATCTGAAAGTCCCGGATTATTCGGACGCGGCGGTCATGAAGAAGCGATTCGAGGTGGCGGTACGTGAGGGACAGGGATGCTTCCATCTGTCGTAGTCGATGTCAGCTCTCCCACGTGGGTCCCGTCGCAGCGTGATCAGTTAGTCTCTCACAACCGGTTCCTCGTTGAGGACGCTGCGTCCCATTTATAGACGTTCTCTCTGATGTCATATTCTATGTGGCTATTTCTTGAAGTGCCCATACTCCCATGGTTGAGCCTTATATCGTGTGCTGTCAGCCGAATGTAGAGCTTTGTAGTAGTGCTTCGACGTCTTTTTGTAAATGAAAGTAGCATGTACTGTATTAGTGGAACATGACATGGTGGGAAACCGTGCTCACGGAGGAAACGATGTGAAGATACTGAAATGTGAGAAATTCGACAGCGCGCCAAATTGATGACTCACGCGACGCCGGGCGGCTTTTGCTGTTGGGAGTTGGGGAGTCGAAATGATGGAAGGCAGCCCCATACGCTCACAAACAACGGCAAGGGAACCTGGCGTCCCACCTGTTTCGAACAACTTCTGCTGCCCTGCTGTTGCCCTAGAGCCTGCCATATAACGTCTGTCCGTCACATCAAAGGCCCGCGAAATGTCTCTCGCAAAACATGTCCTTCAGCCGCCGCCGGCGCTGCCATCGAAGCCGACGCTAAGGTTCGACGATGTCCTCAAGGAGAACAGCCCCGTAGAAGCGGTGGTACGACAGGTAGGTAGCAGTATCCGGTTGCAATCGCTCTCTTCGTAGTTATCAAGTTAAGACACTACATGCTAACATCCTCCCCACTTGGTAGAGTTCCTTGATGCAACTCACACGGATGCTCGACCAGCTCAGCACGATGTCCACCTACGCCAACGACATAATATCGGGGATGGTGACGGCATCCAGTACGACCAACGAGCGCATCGGCGAGCTGCAGGCGCGTTTGGAAGCATTGAAGGGCAATGCGCCCACTGTGGATGAGAAATTGGAGAATGCCACGATTGCGGAACTAACGTCTGCGGAAAGTGAGTTGGCCGTGATGGGATATGGATGCGATGTTTGGGGAGTGGGCACTCAAGATATCCTTCCTGTGTAGAGTTTGATTGGAAGTCCAGAGCGGTGCTTGTCACCAAACTGTTCAGCAAAGACACCGAGGATCCGACGCTGAAGCTTGCGTATGATGCTTGCAATGAGGCGCCGAATCTGGGGCTGATGGATCCGTACAGGACGGATGGACAGAGCTGTATGAAGGTACAGGGCATTGCGAGAAGTATGTTGCTGCAATGATTTGGCGCGTTCAGAAGCTGATATCCGACTCTTTCGAAAATTTCCAGTTCTATTCGTATCCTGAATTCTTTGCTGAAGAATGGAAACTGTTGATGGAGAAAGAGGAGAAAGAGGAGAGGCGGCGGAAGAAGGAGAGAAGAGAGTTGCGGAAGAAGGCGAAGGTAAAATCACACGCTTCGGTCTCTATCCTACCGGACTTTTGCCTGATATCTCGTCCATGTCCCGCCAACAGTTACAACGTCCAACAACCGTCAACAAGTCCCAACTCCAAGAACTCCAAATCAAACGCTACAATTCCCAAGGCGAAGTCATCACCGACGCAGCCGACGACCCCACCTCCCCATCACGACACAGCCTCAGCGCCGCCTCAACCCAAAGTCGGGGCGCACTAAGCGCCCTACGCCCAAAACCTCTAGGCGGGTTACCCCAACGGTCAGCAACCACAACCGTCGCAAGCACAAGTCGGTCGTCGTTGCTGGCGAGAAGCAATCCGCTGGTGTACGACAGCAGCGAGAGTGTGTCGTTCGGGAGGGCGTCGAGGGGCGCGTTCCAGGATCAGGCGAGATTGATGAAGGGTGGGAAGAGTGCAGCGGCGCCTCCACCTCCGCCGCCGCCACCGCCGCCGCCACCGCCTGGCGGTGGGCTGGGGTTGATTACGCCAGGAGCGCTGGCTACGGCGTCGTTGAAATCTGCTGCTGCCCGACCGCAGGTTGTCAAAGCGGATAGTTTCTTGAATGATATCAAGGGAGGGCAGGTACGATGACACTTTGGGCGGATGGGTTTTTGGTCACGGCTGACATCAGAAACTCACCTTTTTGATATCATTGTCCGCAGTTCGTGTTGAAGAAGGTAGATGCGCCAGAACTGACCGTCGCTCAAAAGACCAAAAAGCGTGCCGAGACGAGCGATGTAGCCGCCATATTGATGAGACGTGCGGCCATGGAGATGAGCGATAGCGAGAACGGTATGCTCGAATATTCCTCTTATCACCGATCTGCTGAGTATGTTACTGGAACTAACGATGCGCGACGATTCTGCAGAGGATTCTGCGGACGACGATGATTGGGACTGATTTTTCAAGACCTGCGTTGAGTGTTAGGCAAACCTGTAATCTTCGGCGTTGTGCATACCCAATCATAATCGAGCATGCGTTGATGACCATCCTCCATCATTCTTGATCAACGCATCACGCACACGCCATCTAAACCCGTATCTGCATCACAAGTCCCTGGAAAATATGACATTTTGCACAAAGTAAATCATAAGAGAAATGACCAAGCGAGGAAAACTATACATGCGGTATCTGACACAGAAAAGTAAAGGCACAGTCCTTCCGCTATCAACGGAAACCCAAAAAAAGGAAAGAAAACACATATTTTTGTTTAAGCTAGCACATATGGGATGGGATGGATATCAAGGGCGGAGTGAGGGTGGGAGTGTGGTGTTTTACACTCTTGGCTCTTCATCCAATGTCATATCGGATTTGGCGCCCGCGAGACGGTTAGCGTTCGGGTTCGGGTTGTGTTTGTCCTTGACGATGTATTTTGAGGAGTTGCGGGCGGAGATGCCGGAGGTGAACTGTTGTACATGAATATTTTAGTTCATCGTTGCCCCAAATTTCACAATTTACTCTGAAGTCTCGCTACTCACCATCTCATCAACGTCTTCAAGAGCGAGACCTTTAGTCTCTGGAACGAAGATGTAGACAAACACCCCGCCGGCGAGGATGAACGCTGCCCACAGGAACGCGATCTTGGCGCCGAGGTTGGCTTCGCCGACGTCGACGAGGTAGGGGGTGGAGAAACCGAGGGCCCACTGATACGGTGATGGAGCACAATTAAGATTAGATGACGCACGGGAGAGAGTCAGAGCTCGTTCATAACACGATCTCTTACGTTCCAGAACCAGTTACTGGCCGTCGCGAGGGCTACACCCTTCGACCGGAGACGTAATGGGAAGATCTCGCTAGAGACGACCCACGCGGCGGGACCCCACGAGGAGGCGAATCCAAAGATGAACAAACACTCAAAGACGATCATCCTACACAAAACAAACACATGAAATGAGTTGTCTGAATGCACGGAACGTTGAGGTTGCAAAGACGCAAGATTTCCGACAACTTACACAATCCCAGCGTTAGAATCGACGTTCCCAATCGGGTCGCCGGTGACGGGGTCCAAAGTAGGCGCGCGGGCGGTCCCGACGACCCCGACAACGAGTTGGGCGACGAGCATGATCATTGAGCCGAGGATGAGGAGCTTGCGGCGGCCCATTCTTTCGACCCACCAGAGAGCTGGGATTGTCCTGTTCGATGTGAGATACGATTTAGAGTTTGCCTCCTTCCCGCGTCCTTCTTCCGTCCTGGGACGGGAAGACGATTTTCCCACTTACGAGAGAACGTTTACGACACCAGTAATAGTCGAAGTCAAATACGCCTGCTTGATCCCCGCCTGCTTGAAGAACGTCGTCCCATAATAAAACACAAAATTGACCCCCGTCAACTGCTGGAACATCTGGATCCACACCGCAATATGCGTGCGTCTCGCCGCATTTCCCCTGAAACAGTCCGCATAAGATTGCGCCTCTCCGATCTGCGCCTCGAGTGCCAGATTCGACTCGAGTTCCTGCATCTCGTCAACGATGAGAGGGTCGTGCGGTGGGCGGCCGCGGAGACGGGAAAGGGCACGGAGAGCTGCGTCGCGTTTGTCTTGGCGGAGGAGGTTGCGTGGGGATTCGGGGAGGAAGATCATGCCGATGAGGAGGACGGAGGCGAAGAAGAGTTGGAGGCCGATTGGGGTGCGGTAGGAGGCGCGGCCGGAGATGTTTTGGGTGCCTTGGTTGATGCCGAAGGCGGCGAGGATGCCGATTGTGATGGCGAGCTGGTAGGTTGAGACGAGGGTCCCACGGAGATGCTTTGGCGCGGCTTCCGCTTGATACAGCGGAATCAACCCCGACAATAACCCCACGCCCATCCCCGCAATCAGCCTTCCCGGGAGCATCAGTCCCAAATTATGCCCCGCGGTTTGCAAGCAGACACCGACGATGAAAACGGCAGCGGACTGCATGATGGCGATACGACGGCCGAACTTGTCGGCGAGCATCCCGGCGACAAGGGATCCGACGAAGGTTCCGACGGAGAGGATGGAGACGAGGAGGGATTTGATGTGGGAGGCGACTTGGGCGCCGTTGCCGGGGCCAAAGTCATCCTTGAATGCTGAGGGATATAGACGTCAGAACGAGTGATCTTGGTGGTGTGCATGCTGTCGGACATCAATAGGTCATCTACGGAGCTTGGTATGGCCTTACCTCGCATCTCGAGGATCCCCGAGATCAATCCTGTGTCGTAGCCGAAGAGGAACCCCCCGAACGACACAAAGAGACATATCAGGATTGTTGACGTGTTGACGGATTTTGCCATCTTGTCAAGTTGATGATACAAGTATGTGTGTTTTCTTCAAATAGATTGGGAACAGAAGCACAGATAGGCCAGATCAACTGGCAGTAGGGGGTTTGAGTATGGACAATTAAGTAGGCGGAGTGAGCGAAGAGCGTGAAGAAAGGATATGAGTTTGTAAAGCCATTAACGGCTACGGATATCGCGGGAAAAGAAAAGCGTCCCGCCGATTTCCCTGCTCGCTCTTTTATATGCGAGCCAGACCAGCCATAAACATCATCAATCGCATGGGGGCCAATGGATCTTGGATGTGGATTGGCGGGTGGCTTGAAATCCCCGAATTCAGTGCGCATTGGGGGAAGAGGCTTGAGATGAATCATCCCTTGCGCTGCAAAAACAATTCGATTCCTCCGGGAAGTTCAGCAAAAGCGGGGGAAAATGTCCACGTCATGCGGGTCATGAGGTGCGTTTACATGGTGGGCGGGCAAAGCGTTTACCACTGCTTTGAAGCTTATGAGCGTTTGCAAGCAACGGGCTTGACCCTTGGGAACCCCTCGATTGTGAATTGGTTGAAGGGACATGCCCGGTAAGCATGGTTAAAAGGGAGAGGCGATGATGAGATAGGGCCGGAGAGGCCAGGTGACCGGCCCCTTTCGGTTGCTTTCCGCAATCATCCCTTCCGGTGTTCATTTGATTTATCCAAAGGGCAAGCCAGGGTATTCATTCCTCATTGTGGTATGGGTTTCCCGTGCATTGCTTTTTTGACGCGGAATCTGTCGCGTCCTGGGATGGATGGATATTTGGATGGTGGCCGTGAAGATCCAATCAATCCCATGGGCAATCCCAGCTCGCAAAGAGTGACAAGATAGTGAGTGGTTCGGACAAGGAGATCCCGCGGTCTGAATTCGAAGAGGATAGCGGCACGATTTCCTTACGACACAGCTGGATCCTGCTGGAGTGGGATGTGCGTTGTGAGCGCGTACGTTTCGCGTGCCCGGCAGCAGACACCATATGGCCTGCGCCCCATCGCACAAAGCGCCGCACATGGAACAAGATTATCAGCAGCCGCAGCCCTGTCGTTCCATGTTGTTGTTGTTGTTGTATGCACGGTCTGCGCAAGGGGATTGAAGTCACGTCCGGATGACGACATTGGTGTGTGCGAGAGGGGTCTCCGTGGGGGGGTGGCTGGCTTTGAAATGGGAGGAAGCAAATCATCAGAGACCGCGTTGCGTGCAGAGGCCAAAACAAGCCGCTGCGACGTCAAGATCAAGGGTGCGAACTCCAGCACCCGGAAAAGCAACCCAAGGCTGACCGGGAGGCTGACTGCATCTGCAGGTCGTCTTCCGAGATCGACTCCGATTTCAGCTGTGGAAACGGAACGGGAAACCTTTCGCGTTGAGTTGCTAGGGCCGCTTAGCAACGAGGCGCAACGTCGTTGCAGTGAAGACCACGAAATGGAAGCAGTTTGCGCTGGGCCTTAATCTCGAATCGCCTTGAGCGCTGCCACCGTACTGGGCGAGACAACACCATCGCCGTTCAAAGATTCCATCGACATAGATTGCGAAAGGTTGGGACGGCTGTCGCCGTTGGAACACGAACTGACAACGACTGACGCACGGCACCCGGGGACAGAAAGCGGTTCAATGGAGAGGCCAGAGACGACGAGGGAATGTCCATCAGGCACTTTGCTTTGCCGCTCTGGGAACGGCGCTCAAGGGGGGTTCAGCAGTGGGCGTGCAGGATCACCAGCGTATATGATGGGGCAAACGGAAATCGCATACGGCTGGTTGACATTGAAGGCGCCGCAGGACACTCCAGCGATACTCAGGGATGGAGGGACAACATTTTCAAGGTGCATGCATTGCTCCGCAAGTGGGTTAAGAGGGAAGCGCGTTAAAAGCAGTCAAAACAATCCGGCGGGCGCCGGCACCGGCGTTGCAGGACACGAGAAAAGGTGAACGAGGCAGAGGTGAGAGAGACTCCCCCGCGTCGGACTCTCTCGCCTACCTGATTTGCTTCGTTGCCGTTTCTTCAGGCATGCAAGCCCAAACTTTCGCCCTATATATATACAGCGGCGAACGCGTTCAGATCTTGATTCATGCACCTTCTTCATAAAGCCTGGACCTTTTACCAGGCTCGCATCCCGGGCGCAACACCCCAACGCTTACAACCCGGTCCACGCATCTCACTCTCGTTTGTCACTTTTGCTGGCCCGGCTCGATCCAGCGTTTTGGAGGAGAACTCGTCGAGATTTATGTCGTCCGCTCACCTCGGAATAACTCCGCACACTCGACCAGTCCCGCGACTCGCGCGCCATCGCCAACGCTCCAAACCCCGAACCACTCACCTCACTGGAAAGAACTGACTTGGAAAGAACTGAATCCTGTTCGTTTCTCCATAATGTCAAATCGAGGCACGTGACTGATCGAATTGCACGCGTTTTGTTCGAGTTAAACTCAGGGGAGGGGGGATGGATGACATCACCGTCATCCGCATGAGTCAGCTAGTCACGCTCCCTTGGCGGCCTATCGTACGTACTGTACGTAATATACCAATTGGAACCCCCCGGAGCAGGAAATGAATTAGCCAAGGGGGTGGCATCAGAAGCCCCTCCCGCTCCATCACCCAGAATATCAGAAACGCATCACGTTACCCTCCAGAAAGCCTTCTTTCACCCGTGTGCGACGTATGGAAGAAGGTGTTGACGGGTAGTGCTGAGCTGCGGGTATGAACGCGTACAACACTGCACACTTTCACACTTTCTCGGGGTATTGAGGCTGGGCGCCGTGGACGGGTGTGTGAGATCGATTTCGCTTGTGAACAGCCCGCGGTATAAAAGGGGCTGCCGGCTACTGCAGGCCCGCTGGTCCCGCCCGTGGATCTCTATAGGTCGATAGATCTAATACCAGGTTATCCATTAAGATAGCCCCCCCCCCCCCCCCCCCCTCATAAACCCTCCTTCCCGTCCAAGGAAGTGAACCAACACCCATCATGCGCAACATCTTCTCCAGCGCCTTAGTCCTCGGCGCGCTGCTCTTGACGCCGCCGCCAACTGTGAACGGACAACAGGCGTCTTGCGACTCGCCCATCTACTGCCCGGGCCCGCTGTTGGATCGGATTCAGAGAGCTAAATTGTTTAATGATTCCAAGACGTATGTACCGTGAGCGCAAACCGAGCGCTTGCTTGAGGACGTGAGCGAAAAGCGAGGAGATTGCTTTAGGAAGCAACTCAACATCCTTGTCACGAGCGGAGCGAGCAGGGTCTCGTTCAACCCTCCATTCCACTCCATGCGCATGCAGTCCAGGCATTCTAATCTTCTCAACCCCCCCCCCCCCCCCCGCGCTCCACAAACTATACGTAGTTTCGTAGACAAACCAACGAAAAAACCCGTCTCGGCCGTCCTCGCCGCCTTCGCCGCGCTCCCGCCCACTGCCACCCGCGACGACCTCCTGCGCTTCGTCGACGACAATTTCGGCCAAGAGGGCACCGACCTCGAGGCCATCACGCCCCAGGACTGGAAGGCCGACCCTAAATTCCTCACTGGCATCTCCGCCCAGCCGTTGAGAGAATGGGCCGGCGTGATTCATGGGTATTGGAAGGATTTGTCGAGGAGGGTGGGGAATGCGACGAGTGCGTGTGAGGGGTGCGCGAATAGTCTATTGCCGCCTAAGAAGCCCTTTGTGGTGCCTGGTGGGAGGTTCCGGGAGATCTATTACTGGTGCGTCTCTTGGACTTTCAAGCATCCACCCTCACACGCATGACATGGTTCTGACCCATGTTGATCACTCCCCGTAGGGACACGTACTTTGTCTTCTTGGGATTGGCATTGAGCGAGATGAACCAGACCATGAGCGACATGATCGACAACTTCTTGGACTACGTGGACAAGTACGGCTTCATGCGTAAGTTTCGCATGAGGGCTTGGCCATGCCTTGTGTGCTTGCTCGCTTGTTAGTTAGTTAGGGTCTACGTATCTCACCCATTCGTCCTTCATCATAGCAAACGGCGCCCGAATCTACTACCTGAACCGCTCGCAACCCCCCGTCCTCACCCAAATGGTCTCCCTCTACCTCCAATCCACCAACAATACCTCCTCCCTCTCCCGCTGGCTCCCCCTCCTCGACAAGGAATACGACTTCTGGCACCGCAACCGCACCGTCACCGTCACCCGCAACAACTTCTCCGCCCAACTCAACCGGTACGATGTCACCAACTCCCAGCCAAGGCCGGAGTCGTATGCGGAGGACGCGGCGACGGTTGAAGGTGGGAATTTTACGGCCGCGCAGGCGGCGGAACTGTATGCGGATATTGCCACGGGAGCGGAGTCGGGGTGGGATTTTAGCTCGAGGTGGGTGGACAACCCCGTGAATGGATCGACGCAGGACCAGAATCTGAGGAGGCTGGTCACGACGGAGATCATCCCTGTCGACTTGAACGCTATCCTCTACGCCAACGAAGTCACGCTGCGCGACCTGCACGCCAAGTACGGGGACGCGGCACAATCGCTGAAGTACAAGCGTGCCGCGGAGGACAGGCAATTGGCGATGTGGAACATCCTGTGGAACGACGACCTGGGCCAGTTCCGCGATTGGGACAGACACGATTCGTCGGTGGTTGAATGGACCAGCGCGAGTTTCTGGCCGCATTGGGCCGGGGTGGCCGATACCGACCCCCGCGGGAAGAACGCTACAAGCAAAGGAGACACATGCCAGCGTGTAGCGGGGGCGTTCAAGATCCTCGAACAGGTCGAGTTACCTGGCGGTATCCCCACCACGCAAGTCACGACGGGCTTGCAGTGGGATTACCCCAACTCATGGCCGCCACAGACGTACATCGCTCTGAACGCACTCCAACGCACGCAAAAGATGTGTCCCAACACGACTGTGCCGCTCGGAATCTACATCGACACCCTCTCCACCAATTTCATCCGTCAATCCTTCTGCTCCTGGCGCGAGACCGGCGGCGCGCTGCCCTCGCTCCCCGCAATCCAATCCGGCGGTGCGTCTACTTCCGGCGGGAAGGACGACGGGCACATGTTTGAAAAGTACAACGTGACGCAAGTCGGGGCCAGTGGGGGTGGGGGGGAGTATACCGTGCAGACAGGGTTTGGGTGGACGAACGGGGTCGTGCTGTCGATCTTGCATAGTCAGGGGGCGCAGTTGGGTGTGCCTGGTTGTGAGGTTGCTGCGACGACGGGGGGTGGGAATGGGACCTCGGGCGGCGGAGGTGGGAACAGTACTGCGGGGAATTCGGCGAATTCTGCGGGACATGGGATGAAGGCTGCTGCGCCTGTGTGGGCCGCTGCCGTCGTTTCTGTCGTGATGTGGATGGCGCTTTGATGACGTTGTCCTACTTGTAAACCGTGTTTTTCACCCCGCCTTTTTCTTTTGCACATTCGTCTTTTGAACCCCTTTTCCTTGGGTGGTACAGTATATCTCGTGGGATCTGACACTTTGAGTCCTCGCTCGTCCTTTCCCTTCCCCAGTACTCCCGTTTCCTGTAGATTATTACTGTACATTTGGCCAAAAGTTCCCCTTTCGAAATCGTCTTGTTGAGAACGAGTTTCGTTGCCGTTGATCAACGCGTCGAGGGGTGGGGTCAGCCCGTCGTGACGCGTTAGGTCATCGGATGCGCGTCACCCGCGGCTAAATTTAGGATGCATGGGTGGATCACGTTTCTCACCTTTTTTAAGCCAATTTTTGGTCTCTTCTTCCATCCGTATCGCACCTCCGAATCGGACTCCGGCCTGATGAAAAAGACGTCTTGGCTTCCGTGGCGACGGCCGGCTGGCTGATGGATGTTGGAAGGGAATCCGCGCCTTGCAAGTTGGAAGGGATTCAAGGGAAGGGAGCCGGGCCACGGGATTCCTGTATTAGCATGTATAAGCAAGTCGCTGTCAGTACGTCCCTTATTGTTGGTCTGATTGTTACGTAGGATGGCATATGCCAACCGGGCAGCTGCTTGGTCACCCAGTCTCTCTCCGTCTTCCTCCTTTCGCTCCTTTTGCCCTCGCTGATTTTTACTCATACCCTCCCGCTCGGAACCTGCTACAAAAGAGAGAACGTCGCTCGACGACCCCTCCTGCTGCAACGAATACTGTCCACGAAAAACAACGCCTGAAAGAAGAAGCCCCTACAAAAAACCCCAGGTGGAGAACGTTCCCACGCAAAAGTCACTAACGCCCACGTCACCACCACAACCACCGCGAGGACCTCAAATCCCACAGATCGCTTCAATGACACCGCCAACCATGCCCACCCCTACGCCGGACGCCCCCCGTCCGCGGCCACAGCTCCTCCGCTGGCCTTCAGGCTGGACGCCAGCCTCCGAACTCCTCCTGAGGCTGTCGCGGAGGGATAATGAGACGAGGAGGGAGACGGAGAATGAGACGGAGAATGGGACGGAGAATGAGACGGAGAGGGAAGCTCACAACAATGGACGGTCGCCACTATTATCGGCTGCATACTATGAGGATGAGGATAGCGTACCCTCGCCCATGTACACCGTCTCCGTCGAGCCCCCAATCGCGGCGACCACAACAGCATCACCAGCAACCACCGCATTATCACCACCACCTGCCACAACAACAACAACCACCGCCACCACTACCACCACCACCACCTCCCCCCTGTCCTCCCTCGTCCGCGCCCACGTAACGATCCTCCGCCTCCTCGTCTCCTCCGCCCTCCTTTTCGCCCTCATCCCCGTCCTCGCCCTCCTCGCCGCCGTCGTCCCCGCTCCCGCTCCCGCAATCCTCACCATCATATCCTCCTGCGCAATCTTTCCCGCTGCTACATTTACACTCATTCTTGCGGTGAGGAGGATGAGGAGGGAGGAGGGGAGGGTTAGGTGGGCCGCGGGGCAGTTGGAGATGGGCGGTGCGGGGGATGTGAGAGCGAGAGCGGGGTTGGAGAGGTTGTTGGGGCTAGCGTTGCCGGAGTATGCCGATATTGAGCCGTTGCCGCCGTATGACCCGAAGCCTGCTATCGCACCTGAGACGCCGGCGGTGGTGGTCTGCGAACTTCCGGATGTGCCACAGGTGGCTCAGAGCGCCGATAACGTGTAGAGCGCCGATAACGTATGATTGGCACTCGCGCGGAGTAGTGTATAATTTGTATTATCTGTCTTCCTTGTGGGTGGCCTCTAGACGGCGTTGAGTATCTTACTGAAACCTCTATATAGAAACCTGATACCCCTCAACCTTTCTTTTCTGGATCTTCCCATCATATACCCCAATAATCGAAACTTCTAATAGACATCTTCTAATCGCTTATCTGCCTCTTTCTGTCGGGGACCATGATTGTTGCGCGCATTCACACGAGAAAGGGGAGCGTTCGGTTGGTTTACCAGAACATGTATGATACAGATATTCACAGGGAAAAAGTGCCTACTCTCGACTACATACACAAGCCTTGTCCCCTCTCAAGCGCACTCAAATCCTCAACCTAAAAACACCCACAGACTCCTTCCCCAACACCGCCTTATCCCCCTTCACCTCCACCCTCCCATTCGCCAGCAACACATCATACGCCACCTCAAAATCCTTCGCCTCAGCCCCATGTCCCGGCGCCGGCCTCACAAGAGGCACCGTCACATCCCCATCCCCCAGATTGATCGCCACCGCAACCTTCCCGCCCCGCCTGACAACCATCCACCGCGCCGTCTCGTCGTACTCACAGTCTACTTTTCGGATCTCGTTGACGGCAGCGAGTTCCGGGACCTCTCTCCGTAACCTGATCAGCTTCTTGTGCCAGTCGAGCAGGCTCGCGTGGGTGGGTTGGGTCGGTTCGGCCCAGTCCAGTTTACTGCGGTTGAAGGTCTCCGGGTCCTGCGGGTCCGGTACATCCTCGGTGTTCCAGCCATGTTCCGCAAACTCGGCCCTGCGCCCCTTCTTGACCGCCTCGCCGAGCTCCTTGTTATGGTTCGTGAAGAACATGAACGGTGTCTTGGCGCCCCATTCCTCGCCTTGGAACAGCATCGGGGTGAACGGGCTGGTGAGGAGGAGCGCGGCGCCGATCTTCAGCACGGCGTCGTTACATGTGGCCGAGATCCGGTCGCCGATGGCGCGGTTACCGACCTGGTCGTGGTCTTGGAGGAACACGACGAGGCGGGAGGAAGGGACGGTGTCCGGGATCTGACGGCCGTAGTCGCGTTTGCGGAAGGAGGACCATTCGCCGTCGTGCACGAACCCGCCGGTCAGGGCTTTGGCCATCACCGCGAGGGAGCCGAAATCGCCGTAGTAGCCTTGGCGCTCGCCGGTGAGGAGCGCGTGGAGGGAGTGGTGCACGTCGTCGGCCCATTGGCCGTCGAGGCCGTAGCCGCCCACTTCTTGGCTTCTGATGAGTTTCGCGTCGTTTAGGTCGGATTCGGCTACGAGCCATAGGGGTTTGCGGAGCTGGGCGCCGAGGTTGCGGACTTCTGTCGAGATCTGTTCGAGGAAATGCGTGGAGCTCGTGTCGAGGAGCGCGTGGACTGCGTCAAGTCGAAGCCCATCAATGTGGTAATCGCGCATCCACATCAAAGCGTTGTCGATGAAGAAACGCCGGACCTCGTTCGACCACGGACCGTCCAAGTTCACCGACGTGCCCCAGGAATTGCTCTTGGTGCTAAAGTACGGGCCAAAGCACTCGAGGTAGTTTCCGTCCGGTCCCAGATGGTTGTAGACGACGTCCATCACAACACCCAATCCCTTCGCATGGGCAGCATCCACGAACCGTTTCAGGCCGTCAGGTCCACCGTAAGACTCCTGCGCAGCATACAGCCCAACCCCGTCATATCCCCAGTTCCATTTGCCAGGGAAGGCATTGCAAGGCAACAGTTCCACCGCATCGACGCCCAATTCCACCAGATGGTCCAACTTCTCAATGGCAGCGTCAAACGTCCCCGCCTTGGTGAATGTGCCCACATGCAGCTCATACAGCACGGATCCCGCGAGAGGCACACCCCTCCATCGCTGATCAGTCCACTTGAACCGGGAGTGGTCATACAGTCTCGCGGGGCCGTGGATGCTTCCAGGCAACCAAGCAGCGCGTGGATCCGGAAGGGGCGCCTCGACGTTGTACTTGTTCTTTTCGACGATGAAGCCGTAGTCTGCGCCGTGCTCGACGCCGGGGACGGTGACCTCCCACCAGCCGGGGGAAGGGTTGCCGGTTTTCTTTAGTGGGTGGGACTTGCCTGTTTTGGCGTCTGGGCCGAGGACGAGGGTGACGGAGGGTGCTTCGGGGGCCCAGAGGCGGAAGGTGTGGTGGGTAGCGGCAGCAGACATTGTGCGGAAGGTGGTGGTGCTGAGGCAGGGGAGGATGTGTGGGGAAGGAAGCGTTTGGCGAGAGATGAAGCGACGATGCGTTTGCAAAAGGAGGGCGGAGCGGGGCCTCGTGGGTTGCAGCTTTATGAGTTGGGCGAAGCGTGGAAGCATTACCCCTGCGGGGCCGATCTCTCTCTGTCTTCCCAACACAGAAAACAATGAAGGAGGGAAAAAGGACTGGCTATGTGGCATGCGCGTCAAACTGCCCTCATCGATAATGATCATTAGGCCACGGTCCGCCGGAGACGCCCACTTCATCAAGCGCCGCTAATCAAACGGGCGTGTTCTGACAAGGTGCACGTCTAAGCATCGAGGGACAACGCGTGAAATGACATCACGCCCTCGTGCTCCGCGTGTCTTGTCGCCAAAATCAGCGCCCAAGCGGACACTGAAATCGGAGCCAGCCCCAGCACTGCAAGAATTTGTCAATGGACAGCGTAAATGGACTTCCCTTCAGATCCATTCCATGTCCGATCCCGGTTCGCCCAGACTCCCGAATGAAGCCATCGCTGCAATGGCTGGGATGGCTTGTAGTGTACAATACATGTATGAATTTGTGCGATACCAGACGGTCTAGGATACGCGGAATCGTGGAATATATTCGATATGCCCTGTTCGAGCGGCATACCCGCCGATTTGCCTTCGGGGTGCAGCCCCTTTATGAAAAAAGATGCAGCGCCGTCTCCAATGATGCCGAATATGGAAGGGGGAATCCGGCAAATCCACCGGAAACCGAACAAGCCCGCGCCAGTCGCGGGAGCTCTCTCCTGCAGGAGAGGTTGCATATCGCTGATACCCCTGGCAAAATCGTGTCGGTCGTGCCGATGATAGCGGAAGATGCATTGTTACGAGGAAAACCGGACGAAATCAATGGACCCAATGAAACCAAGAGCTGCTCTGAGCGCCTCCTGGAGGAGAGCGCAAGGACTTGCCCTCCTCCGTGCTATTTTCGCTTGGGTCGATTTGTCTGGTTGATCCTTGGCTAGGGGTCGGACTGCCTGGACAACGGACCAAACGCGTCCCCTTCCGGTACTCGTTGCGACGCGATTTTGCTTACGCGAACACGCGCATGCAATGATTCCCCCTGCGAGGACACATGCAGTCCGCGATGAAGTCGACCCGGCATTAGCAATGGCATTCCGGGACCGATCGCCATTTTGTCTCGCTTCCGGCGATTAAGAAGCAGCGCTGTTTAGGCGAGGTCTTCGTTTAGGCGCTGTTTCCTGTATCGAGACTGTTGAAGGTGTGACTTAGCGCTGCCTCGCGCCACATCTGCGCCACGCATCAAAGTCCAGTCTTCGGACATCCTCGCCCGCATGTCGGATCTGGATCTGGAACCCACCAAGTCGCCCCGCAAATTCGGCTCCAAATTCCTGCAAATCCCTCCCGACTCAAAACTCGAATTTATCCTCGACCCACCTCTCCAAACCCACCCGGAAATGCTCGGCGGCGCCATGCGTCGTTCAGAAGCCTCCAGCTCGCGCGGCACAGGGTCCAGCAGCAGTTGCATGTGGGGTCTAATGCTGGTCTATACTACAGGGGTGTTGCAGAATGCGGGTTTATGAGCTTGCTCGCGGGGGCGAAAACGCCCCTGGTTTCGCGCTATAATGATATTAAATCGGGGGCTCGTATTCGAATCACTTTCGGGAAGATGCGTGGTTGCCGCGGCGGTGATAACGAGGGATGCAGGTGCGTGACGGACGATGATGTTGTTGGTGGGGTGGGTAACATCGATTCAGGCCGCTGCTTTACTCCCTCGCCTGCACAACGCCAACCTGCGCCGGCCGCAAGCACCTGTTTCCGAGCTTGTATCCGATCTTGGCCACCTCAAACACCGTGTTCGGCTCCTTATCCGGGATAGGAGCCTGGAAAAGTGCCTCATGGAAGTTAGGGTCAAACACCTCCCCCTGCGGGTTGAACACCTCAATGCTAAACCGCTTGAACGTCGCCTGCAGGTTTGAGCGGGTCATGTCGACTCCCGTATAGAGATTCTTCAAGGCTGCGTTCTCTTCCAGTTGCTCCTGGGGCACAGCTTTCAGGGCCAGGTCGAGGACGTCAGCAACGGAGAGGAGGTCTTTTGCGAATTTGGTGATTGCGTATTCTTTGGTGTCGGCGACTTCTTTGCGGGTGCGTTGGCGGACATTTTCGGCGTCTGCTAATGCGCAGCGGTAGACATCCTAGACGGAAGATGGCATAGGTTAGAAATGCGCTCTTGAAGTTCAGTTCTTGCACGGAGCGGCCGGGCATTACCTGTAGTCCAGCAATTTGCTTCTCCTTCTCCGCAAGCGCAGCCTTCAGCTCCGACTCCGTTATTGTCTTCGGCTCGTTAGCCTCAGGGCCTTCCTCCTTTGTCGTCTTCTCCGCGGTTTGTTCCGCACCTGCAGCAGCTTCCTTGGGTGCTTCCTCCGTCGGTGCGGTGGAATATGTCCGGCTAGCCAAGAGTGGTGACGACCGGGCGGTGGTGTGGCAAAATATGGTGGGGAGGGAGGAGGTTTGCGAGAAGGTGGATGGACGGGCTTGGAAGAGTGCTGCTTCTCTTTGCAGAGAGCGCTTGATCACGCGGAAAGATGTGTTCATTGCTGGAATAGGTTTGGTTCGGCCGAAACGCGGGTTGATGCAGAGTTTACGAGTCTGTCGGTTGTTTTCGACGAGTGCTGGGGAACTGCTTGTGGCTTCTGATACGTATGAATGCGTTCGACGGAGAAACGTTTGCGAGTTGCGAGGGGAACGAGTTGCGAGGGGAAGAAGAGGACCGCCTGGAAAGTTGGAAACAGGCCTGGAAAGATGGAAACGCACACGCGATCGGAATATTGGCGCGCTATTTGATGCTTTTGATGCTTTTGCAAATTAGATACAGGACGAGCTTCGCACTCCGGCAACGGAATGCCATTATTTAGATTCGTCAGCTGCCATGATAACATTCAATACGTAGCATGAGCTGCAAAAAATAGTCCCGATTGGAAGAGCTTTCCATATGTTCATCTGAGCACCGTATCTAAACGGAGTACCTAGGCGGGCTGTATCCAATTTCGATCAGACTCGTAGATCCCTTTGGGACACATCATGCCTCATCAATGTCCTCCCACTGAACCTGGGGAAACAACCCCGTTATCCAGGTCGCACTGGCTCTAACATGTTCGACGAAGCCTTATAATGTAGTTTGCAAGTATATCATACGCACGCGGGCCGAAGGGAACTCGTGATGCTGCTGTCCTTACCCAACTCACATCGAAGGCATATATACAATCACCATCACTTTTGCAGTGCTGACGGAGGCTAGTACGTAGCGGGGTAGTAACGCGGCTTAATCTGGGTCTGCGGGGAGCGAATCCTCGAACGCGTGCACTGAAGAACACGCTGCTGTGCGACTCGCACTTCTCGCCTTCAAAGGCTTCCTCCCCTCCTCGCATATGGATTTCTGGCTTCTGTCGCTGCAACATCCCTAGTCCAGTCTCCTGCAAAACGACACTGCCCTTCGGCCCACAGCAATGTCTTATTCGAACGGCGGATACAGAGGAGGAGGTACGGCCTGTCACTACTATATCGGTTTCACGGATGTCGCCCTAGAAACAGTCATTTAATGATCTACCTCGATTCGTTGGTTCTTTTTAGGCCACCCAAGGAGGTCGAGGTATGAGGATCAGGAACCTCAACAGAGCCCGGAGGAAAGGAAACAGCAGGAAATCTCCTCGTATTTGTTTCGTCTGGGCGATGCGGTAGGTGGTTGCCTGATTTGCGGCACTCTATAAGGATAGTTGGTCTCACAGTCCGTCCTCAACCAGGGAAGCGAAGGACACGACCAAACGGTTGCAGTGAATGCCATCGCTACTCGATTGGATAAGGATCATGGGGCATACCCAGATCTGGTTAAGAGCGCCATCAATGCCTGGTAAGGTGGCTTCGCTTGCCTTATAAATCCCACGTACAGCTAACCACAAAGGCTTTTCTTGCAGCATAACGCAGGTCCCACAAAAAACCTGCATATACGGCGCTCTGGTCCGTGTGATCGAATCGAATGGATCCCCTGTTGCGCAAACGTTTGTAGATGTCGCCGGAGACGCGCTGCAAACGGCGCTGAACGCAAACGACTTCCGGACGGTGAAAATCGTCCTACGGTTCCTTGCCGAGCTTATGAGCAGGGCGATTATTTCTCCTGCACAGTTGATTACAGTATACGACCTGTTTCTGAATGTGACGAATGAGCCAGGGGTGCAGGTCGAAAGGGCAGATGCGTTCGTTTTTTCGATCCTAGCGAGCATTCCCTGGGGAGCTGAGCAGCTCAACGCGCGCGCCCCTGAAGAGCTGTCGCGGATCATGGGAACGGTGGAGAGCTACATCAATGCGCGAAGGGAGACGTTCTCTAGCACAGACATTCCGTACGCTTTGGAAGCGCTCAGCGAATACCGTGACGTTCCGGCGGACTGGCCTTATGCGCCGCGGGATCGACTGGAAACGCTGTGGAATCAAATTGTCGACCTAAAGACTGCAGATCTGTGGGCGTCCAGGATACTCTACCGCCTTGATCTTGGGCCGGCCCCTGCGATTGGGCAGGCAGCACACGCATTACAGGAGTTCAGTGTCACCCCGTCCCTCGTGGAGGTGAAATTCTCGTATCAACCGGTGCTTAGAATCTTCGACGATTCTCTGATGACGCCCGAGAACGCAATCATCAAACTCCCCTCGACGAACAGTATTTCTCGATACATTCTGGAAGACATGATATACGACATCGTCCGCATTTTCTCACACAACCACAAAGAGGCGTCCAGGCTGTTATGGCAACTGGAAAGCTTCTTGGACGGATTCTTCCTCGAAGACGGCAAGATCTCGTATTTGGCGAGCGTTGTGGAAACCCTCTTTGCGGAGATGCTTCGTCTGCCCCGCAGCGGCGAACGAGGGATGTACTACACCACACTCCTCATGGATCTGATCAAAGAAGATATCCAAACGGTCCCGAAGATGATCGGACGGGCAGTGAGGACGCTGTATTCACGGCTTGACGGACCTGAGCATCTTGGCGGTGGAATGGACGTGGAAGGCATAAGGAGACTATCCGAGTGGTTTGCGGTCCACCTCTCGAACTTCGGTCATGTGTGGCCATGGCAGAGTTGGTAAGCTCGAAGTTTCACACGGTGGAAGCTGCCCAGTTGCTAACGTATCTGAACAGGGAAGCGGTGTTGAATGTCGAGCAGACGTCAGCTTCGTTCGTCTTCGTCCGTGAGACACTGGAGCGATCTACACGACTAGCTTACTGGGAGCGTGTGCAAGGGAGCATCCCGGAATCTTTCGCTCAGAATGCGGCAATATTCCCTCCTCACGCCCCGACAACGAATTTCAAGTTCCAAGATCTGGAAGGTATGTCTGTGGGACAACTTGGCTTAGACCGCGCTTGATGCTGACAAAAAACCGTCTTCCCAGACTCGCCAAAGGCCGAGCTGATCGCGACATTCAGGAAATCCATGGCGGCGAGAACACCAGCACCAGAGTTGACCACTATTCTCCAACAAATCGCTCAACAACCTACAACGGATGGCATGAGCACCTCGGGTGAAGAGGACGCTCGGGAAGTTCTTGTTCAATGTGTGATGTTGCAAGGGAGCAAGAGTTTCAGTCACTTGCTGAATATTGTGGAGAGGTGAGAAATCAGGCGCTTTATGTCCCAACGCAATTCGGCCAATTCACTGGCCGGTCCCATCAGATACGTTGGGTTGCTACGGGATTACAATACCACTGAAGAGGCGCGAGAGCACACAGTCCGCATCATCGCCGACTTCTGGAAACACAACACGCAGTTTTTGGAGATTGTGCTGGATAAATTCATGAACTACCGGGTTCTGGACCCCAAGAGTATCTACTCGTGGGTACTCAGCCCGGATGTGCTCGATTCCAACTACACTCGGTAAGCGCCAAGCCAATCGTATGAGGGCCTTCCACGGGAGCACTTCTCTTACGCACGGTTTATTCCCGCAGATTCTACTTCTGGTCCATCCTACGGTCGACATTAGCAAAAGTGAACCTAAAAGTGGAGCAGCTAACGCTGAAAGTGCAAGCAGCGAAGAAAGAACAGGACAGTTCCGACATGGACGTGGATGGGGATGCTACTGCCGCGCTTGATAAGAACAGAAGCGACGCGTTGCGCGAGCAGAAGGAGGTGTTTGTGCAGCTCTTCCAGAAGTTCGTGGACGTGATACGTGAGCAGTATGCCGTGTTTGAGTCGCAAGGAGTGGATCCCACCACGACGGCTTGGAATCGATGGGTGCTGGGCAATATGCGGGAGGTTGCTAGAGGGGTGAGTGCATCCTATGCTCTGTTGTCGTCTCCACCCAACCCGACAGTGACTATATGATCTTCATCACGGCCCGCAGTTCCCCAACGAAGTAAAATCATACAAAGTCACACTCGACATGCTCGTCTTCCGCGAAGACATCGACGCCCGGATCCTGAAGGTCTGGCGCGAGATCAAGGGGATGTACGCCATTCACACTGACACACTGGTGTAAAGATTGCCACATAGCGAAGATTGGGTGTACAATGTTTCTGAATCGATGCGCCAACGTATATATATATAATCTCCAATCTCGAATCGATCAGTTTAGCGGTAGTGGTATGTAGCTGTGCGATGGGGACAGCACAGGAGGTGCTCTGAGCTTCTTATATTTGGTTTGCTGTGATAAATAAAGGCAGCGAATACCGGTTCCCTCTATGCTGAAACCACTTCATGCTACTTTCGATCTAGTGCCGGGCCGTTGCACTACCTTCTACGTGCACAGGGGGGGCGAAGGATGTCGTCGTCGATTTCAGTGCGGACATCGCGCCTACGTGCATGACATATCCGCACTGTAGCGTAGTCCATAGTCCCCACATGGATCTCTTCCAGGGAGACTGTGATTGCTCCAAAAAGATGCATAGCATTCGGCCATGCACACCATCTCATTTATACCCAGCATCGATACGAAGCGCCTCAACATCAATTCGGACGCATATTCGAACCCTCTCTCTCGCCTCCTGCGTCCCCCTACTTCTTCTTCTTCCCACCCTTCTTCGCCTGCTGCACCGGCTCCGGCGCCTTCTCGATCTTCTTGCTCTTCTTCGCCTGACTCGCATCAGGCGTGAATTCCGCAAAACTATCCAGATCAAAGTCCCCAAACGCCTTTTCGAATTTCGCCAGCTCGCCCGTCTGGTCGTCCAGGACGTTCAGTGCCGGATTCCACAGGGCGTGGTTGCGGGAGTCCTTTGTGAGTTTGAGGAGGGAGCGGGGTGAGGTGGAGCGAAGGGTGAAGGTGCTGCCGTCGGAGTGCATGATGGTTTGGTGGAAGGCGGGTGGGTTGGCGCCGACGGGGCGGAGGAGTGGGGTGGATGCCATTGTGCGGCGAAATGGCGTGGAGAGGCATGACCGGCACGACGAGGAGACAGCGAACTTTAGCGGCCGTAAGTGTGCGGCGCTGAGCTTTGTTGTTGATAGCGGCATGGTTGGAAGATGAGCGTTGGATTCTGTGTGTGGAATGCCGGTGCAAGAGATTGTCGATGCAAGTTGGGCGAGTTCCGAGACGCTTTGGACGAATCCAATTGGTGTCACGTGACGGGGCCAGGAGTTTGCCCGGTCTCCCAAGTGCCTGACGACAAGTGCAGTTTCCCTCACCCATCCGGCTCGAATTCTGGTGATTTAGGACCCCAATAGCTTCTTCCTAGATACACAGATCATATCGCAGGCGTCGAGTGACGCTCAGGTTAGCTTTGTTCGCATTGCGTTTTTCATTCCGAGCAGGAACCGTTCATTTCCGCGTCGAGTCGCTAATACTCTTCGCAACCCAGCTCAACTTCCGAAATCCCATGTACACATCGGCATCTCGCTCATTACCGCGGTTATCTCGCTCCGCTCCGTCGTTAGCGGGGCGGGGTGGGTCCGGTGGCAGCTCATTACCTCGCGCATCACCGACAACGTCCCCTCGCGCTACCCCCAGACAGCAACCCTCCCCCTCAGCCAGCTTCTCGTCCTCCGCCTCACAATCCGCTCCTAGTTCGCCATTACCGCAAAGCACGGCTTGCAAATCCTCCGTACCAAGTTCTTCAGGGTGTGTGGACTCGGTGAGAATTGGGGAGGGATAGTTCGCAATCCCAAAAGGGCGGCAGCTCTAACCAGCGTTCGTCCCAAATCATGTTTATCCAGGTCCCACCTGCCCTCGCGCGTAGCATCGCTCAGTCGTGCGTCCTCCGCCGTATTGCCATGCTGGACGCCGGTTCCTGCCTTGCCGATGATTTATGAGATGTTTGGAGAAGATGATGAGGGATAATGGGAATCGACGGGGGCGATGTGAATGGAAGGGATGTCATCACCGCAGGCGTTAGAGCCGCTGCTATTAGCCGTGTTTATCTTCACCATTCGAAGGGAACACGCAAACATCTGTCGTAAAAACGATGCACACGAGTTCAATACATGAGAAAGGCACCGCCGCAATCGCAACTGCTCGGATGAATCTTCGCATTTCTTGGAGACTGTTGGTTATTGTTCTCGGTGCTAACGCAAGCTGTCGGCACAGGAAAGTGATCTCTGAATGACGCCTCTTACAGGTGCGGCCTGGATGAGTGTTATCCTGCGTCGCGTATGAAGGGATGCGTGGTCTGGTTCTAATGAACCAGGACGCCGCGAAGATTGACCGAACCGACCCATGGAGCTTGTCCTCCATGCGCGATGGGCTCACCCCTTGTGGGACTTCTAAGGACTTTCGCGCGTGGACAGTTATGCCGGCTACATTTTGGAGGGACATGGAGCTCAATATTTGTCAATATCGAAAGTTAACCAGAGCAACAACAACATAGTGCAAGGACTAGGTGGTGGGTATATATGTTTTTGGATTCAAAACTTCTGAATGGGGTTGCAATGCTCTGCACACTCGTTTATATACACATGTGGGTATCCAAAAATCCACGCTCACTCTAAGCGACGTAGCCCATAATCTGGCTTTGGGCCGTAGAGGTGACCTTGCCAACAACAGCGGCAATCACCTTCTTCTTCGCGGCAGCGGCGGCGTTGTTGTACTTTTTGCCCATGTAGTCAAACATGGTCTCTGGCACAAAGTGCAACACGAGGCAGACCTTGCCCGCCGGCTTATCCTTATGCCTCAACTCGACCCACTGGGTGAGCATTCCTTGCTTGTTAGCAGTCAAGAAGCCCTGAGGCACGGCGACGATCCCGGCGCCGACGAGATCGTGAGCGTTGTAGTCCTCGTCCCAGATGGAGACACGAAGCGAAGTGGGGACGGTGCCAGACGATGATTGGGGGACAGGGAACACGAGACGCTCGTTCCAGATCGGGGAGGCGCCCGGCTGGACTTGCGTCCTTTGGGCGGACTCGGTGGGCTCCTTGATGTCGTGGATGGCGGCTTGCGCCTGGCCGGCGGGGGTGTGGTCAAGTTCAACGATGACGTACTGTGTTGCGATGAAGGAGAGAGGTTCAGTTAGGACTCGTGTAAAAGCAAGAGGATGCTCGATAGACTCGAACTTACGTTGTCGTTCTCGCCGGTCCAATCCATCTTGGCCAGGTTCTCAGCCTCGAGAACGGTCACGGTCAAGATACCGTGTAGACGAGCATCAGGGTTGGCAGCGGTTGTCGCGTTTGGGTGCACCTTGGCGCTAGCCTCAGGGGCGTGGGGGAGGAGGCCATTTCCGGGAGCACCTGGGGCCTTGCTGGTGAAGTGACCAGGCTCGTTGGTAGCGCCGGCCATCCCACCGATGACACCCTCACCGTACTGGTGGCCCTCGGCGGCGGGGGCGACATTGGGGTTGGCGGTGGGGTTGGACGTGCCGGGAAGGGTGTTGACGCCGCTCTGGGGAACGGAGCGAGTAACGGGTGGGTTGGTGTGGTCGGTAGTCTTCAGAGAAGCGTCAGTAACGGGGCCCTCGTGGTGAACATCGGCAGCCTTGTCGTGGTGGACGGCGGACTTAATCTTGTTGGTGATGGAGGAAAGCATTTTTAAACTGTCGATGATAGTTTTGTGTGATTAAATGTGGGGTTGATGTGCTATGCTGTGTGCAAGGTGTTTGTCTGGGGAAAGGAAGGACGGAGGCGAACCTCCCTTCCTTTTATAACCGGCCGGAGGCCACCGGCCAATGCAACGGACAGCCTCACGACGTCACGACTTCTCCCCGATGCTGTGCCTGTCCTGCCGAATGGTCTCGAAGAGTCGAACGGCGGCTGTCACCATCACATCCCAATTTTTGAGAAGGCGGGAAGAAGTGATGACGAGTGAGTGCCAAGCCGCATTCATACACAGTATTACGTTGATAAGTTGTGACCGTCATTTGGGTCAAAAGCCAAAACCAAAAATGGTAGGTCGTAGTCGTACGCGTCCTACGACGCGTCTGCACGACATCGGACGCCGAGTGAGGCTTGCTTGTGCCAGGTCGGACGTGTCAGGGTGCTCCCGTGCTGTGCACCTCACCAGGATCCCTGTCGATTCTCGAAAGAGACTTGCTGTCATCCGTTCCGCCTCAAACATGAGGGGCGGTCCCCCCTTTTCCTACGGCAATGCTCATCGCATCTACATATACTGTACATAGTTGTTGAGCTTCATTCGACTCATCAGAGGACCCTGCATCTCACGCAGGATTGATGATGCTTTGGCAGGGATGGCAATTATTCAAAGAATCAAATTGAAGCCCCAACGTGGGGCTCTGCGTCCAAGACTCAGCAGCCTCGTTACGTATTTCTATTCGCCGGATGTCAGCGGGACGCAAGCAGTTATGGGGATTCCTTGACAGGATTCGACAGCGCGACTATCTCAAAGCCAATCTCCGCCGGTTTCTGGTGCCTGGTGCCAAACGCGCCAAAGAGCGAGAGGGTCCAATGCTTGCCTGTTCCACTCACATTGTCCCGCTGCAATCTATGTGCGAACTTCGCAGAGAGATTCCATCGTAACCATAACTTGGAAGCACATAGACCATCGTTTCTTCGATTTGGAGGGAATCATACGCTAACTAACACCCACTGCGCGCTGGAGATCCTCACAAACCTCTTCCCGTAAGAATCTCCGATAGAGGCCGTTCGATTCAACATGGCAGTCCGCAACCTTCTCTTTCTCGTCCCTCTCATCTCCGCTCTCCTGCTTCCATCCACATCCATTGTCCAAGGGGGTATGGGCTCCAACCCCGGGGCAGCCGTCCCAGGGGCTGTGAGCGATACCGAAAACATCGCCAATGCCGAAACGGTCGTAATTGCCGAGCCGGGCTCTACGGTGAACATCGCGGACGTAGGAACTGTTCCAATCATAATCCCCGCAGAGCCGCTCGTTCCCAACACTACAGACGCAAACCGAGAAGTCGACCCTCCGTACAAGCGCGACAGTCGATTCCATACCCGTGGAGCGCAGTCCTGGACGTCTGGCGCTATGGCAAATGGGTGGGAGTCGGATTGGAACCTGGCAAAGGACTCGTACGGGAGTCAGAACCGGGCAGTGGTGCCGGATCCAGCCGGTGCTAAAGGGAAGGTGTTGCAAATCACATACCCAGCTGGTAAGTTCCCTCTGTACGCGGGTGTGAGTAAATCTGCCTAGGTTGACACAAAATAACGCCGGGCATCCGTTTGAATATAGGCAGCAGGAATCCAGCAGGCAGCAAAGTGGGAGGCACAGGTTTTTATGCCCAGCCCATCGATGTCACAAAGGCATCCACTATCACTTTCTCATACAAGATCATGTTTCCGGCGGGTTTCAACTTCGTAAAGGGCGGGAAGCTCCCTGGACTATATGGTAAATATCTTTGCTATGCACCGCAATATCATGCCCCGCTGCTCACGATTGTTTCCTTATAACCAGGTGGCCACTATGGTTGCAGCGGTGGGAACTCCGCCCTGGACTGCTTCTCTACGCGTTTCATGTTCCGCACCAATGGACTTGGGGAAATCTATCTCTACGTGGATCGCAGTCTACAGGACCCTGGATTCTGCAAAGTCAAGCCGGTCACTCTTTGCAACCCCGTGTGTAAGTTCACCCAAGTCCAAGGGTTTATCCTGTGTTTCCCAGCTTAACGCTTTCCATAACCAAATTCAGATGGCGCTTCCATGGGGCGCGGCGCATATTCCTTCAAACCCGGCCAATGGGTAGCCATGAGCCAAACGATAACGCTCAACACGTTCAACGGGAAGAAGCCCAACAAAGATGGCCGTGTCCAGGTCTACTCGAACGGAAAGAAGGTGATCGACTTTGCGAAGGTGGTCTTCACACCGGCGCCGAGCGTCGGGTTCCAGGGTATCGATTTCGAGACGTTCTTCGGGGGTAATGACGACGCCTGGATCACGCCGACTACGCAAAAGGTCTACTTCAAGGAGTTTGCACTGAGTGCATACTAATTGGGTGGAGGCTCGAGGAAGCTTAGCGCCCACGCTCCAGCGAAGCTCAGAGACGAATGCGGGAGGGTCGTCCAACCCGAACTGTAGTGCTCTGCTGATTCCGTGCACGGTTACCTTATTATTTAGTTACCCTACGTTCTGATGACTTCAGTGGTTAGTGTTAGTCCAGTCAAAAGATACGTGTACTGTAGATAACTTCGGAAACTGGTTGCGGCTTTTCCGTTGGATTTTGAGCAGAGTTCATCACTTAGGATCTTCGGTGGCCTGGTCTCCGCCGGAAAGAAACCTTCCATCGGAGTCTCCTCAAATCACAGCATTGAGTCTTGAAAGTACGATAGGCCACCTGATGGGGAATCGGATCAACGCCTTGCGGGACTTGCAAAATGTCTGGTTATGCCGGACGCGACAGGAGATCCAACGTCACTACCTCTTTTCTAGCGGCTTGTCTGACTTCAAGCATCAGCCCAGTCCTCCCGAGCGCACCACGCACAAGACAGAACCCCAAACTCAAAACCCTCTCTTACTCCGAACCTTGTACTCCGCTGCTCAAAATGGCATCCTCTCCAGCAGATGGTGTCAAGGTCACAATTTTCTACTCGTCGGTAGCGGGCTCCTTACAGGTACGCGTTTGATCTCCGGGCCCTCGCCATGCGACGAGCAGATACAGTGCCCCTAGCTCGTATCGGGGCCGTGAGGACCCGCGTCCTAGCATTGCGCACAGTGCGTATGTCGGCCAGTCTATCGTCAACTCACGAACTTTGGAATGAATTTGACAGGTTAAGAAGAACCAAATACGAGTAGAGAACATCCTAGCAGCACGGAAGATAGAATACAAGCTAGTTGACGTTGCGGCAGAAGAGTAGGTTTCGAAGCTGCTTATAGCTTTGCAATATAGCATGAGGAAGTAACATACCTGGTCGCGCTTTTCAGGGAGGAGAGGGACTTTATGCAACGCAAGAGTGGGAAAATCTCACTTCCACAAATATTCGTCGATGGGGAATACAGAGGGGTAACTTGGAGCAGTCCATCTTTCTACCTGGAATGGGAAAGAGAAGTTGTAACACACTCTGTGTCTTTGTCTAGGGTCCGGAAGAGCTCGAGGAAGCGAACGAGGATGGTGAAGCCGAGGTCCGGCTGTTCTTGGGATTGTGAAGGGATTGTGAGGGGAGGGGATTTACTGGACGCTGCTCGATTCACGAAAGACGACGTGTGGAGCCAACGTTCCATGAATAGCCAGAGATTCCTCGAGATACATACGAAACGAGATGGACTTATACCAGCTTATAGAAGGAGGAGGCCTTGTGATGAAGGGGCCATGTTTATCTTGTGCTAAACGCAAAATGCCAATACATCTGTGCACAACGGACGTGAAATAACAATGTGGTGGCGAGAAAAAGGTAGTATATTCATATGGAATAAGGGTGTTCACGAGTGTGGGGTTGAGGAGTCAGAGGAAACAGAGAGTCTTTGTAGCTAGTCCCATTCCTTCTTAATGTCGAAAGACTGCGGACGGGGGGAGAGGAAGGAAGAGCCGATGAGTTGAGTTCCGGGAACTACGTCGCGACTGAAGAAAAACTTACCCATGCCCATTCAAGATGAGCTGTGCCATCGTCGTCGATGAATCTGCTTTTCACTTCGTAGTGGCCACGGGCAAGCATGCCGCTAGGGGCTTCCTCAGCCAGGAACTGGGAGTCACAGGACGATCAGCATGTCAGTCCATGCAGGAGATGGTATAAATGATAGCACGGACCTTCTTCTCGTAAGGTTCCGTTGCAGGTCCATAAGAGCCGAGCATTTCCTCCATCTTATCCACTGCAACCGAAGTGTTAGTGATCATCTAGGCATGCCTCCGAGTGCTCCCCCGAGGCGAAACTCACCCTTGATTCCCTTGCGCTTGACGACGTGCAGGTACTTCAACCCAGAGACGACATCGTGCTGGACCTTGAAGGTGACCTTCAGCCTGTACTCGACACCTTCCTTGATTGTCATCTTCTGGTCCTTCAGCTGGGCGATTGCAGCTAAAGGAATTGTCCAAAGGGTCAGAGATGTAACGCGTGGCAATGGCCCTCGTTTAGCCATCAAGCCGAAGTTCGCCGACACAGCGGATACAGCCGGGCAATCGAGACTAACCAGGTGTAGACAAGTCGACAGTAACATCTGGTCGTCCAGGGCTCTCCATGCCTAACGCCAGGACAACCACCTTTCGCGGATCGTCGGAAGGTCCAACGGCTACAACCAGGGCAATCTGAGTGAGCCGATATTGCATGCAATCTTGGTGAACCTGAAAGCAAATCTCACCTGCTTTGAGACCCAAGCTTTCTTTCCACTTCTTCAGAGACTCTGCATAAGTTAGCAGTGAGTTAGATATCGTTCTCGAGCCCCGCAAACATAAGGCCGCGGCCACGGAGGGTGGATGTTTCCACGCGTTCCCATGGATGCACTCCATTCCCGTAGAAAGGCTTGCCGTCCCTACCATCCTGAGCGTCGAGGTTTGCAAGCTCCTCAACGGTCTTCTTCTCGGGAGCCTTGTACCCAGTGGTCGCGGTAGGCGCGAGATCTTCTGTGGAATCTTGGTGGTCACCCATGTTGTAAGGTTCCTGTTTTCTTTAGACTGTGTCGGGACACCACTTTGACGAGCTGATGGGGGTCGGAGTCCTGCTGGTTTCTTTACCGCTCGGCAAGAAGGTTGAGTGGGACAACGAGTGAATGGGGTTGTGTCAGAGAAGCAGGGGCTAATGCGGCACAGTCTCGACCGCAAGCTGGGGGTAAGTTTCTGTGCAAGTTCTGCGCGTGTTAACCGAGGCTCAGACCGAGGCTCTTGCGGTCGTCCCTTCACGCGTGCGCCGCGCCGTCTTCCCAAGTTTCCACCTCGCAGAGAGGCGTCAACATGGGAGATTTCGAAGGAGGGCCAGGCAGCTGTTCTGCCTCTCTATCTGTCTTGTAACTGTTGGTTAAAGAAAGAGTACCATCCTTTGTGATGCCTGTGTTTTTCGTATATTAATGATCAATTCCGTTGCAAGTCGAGGGTTCACTTGCAAATCCGACGATGTCCATGGACATACTGTACTGCACATACTGTACATGTCTTGAATGATTCGTACATAGGCAAACTAGTACCATTGGGTCCCCTCGAGACTCCGACTCAGCGGGGGTATGCCATGGTCGGTGGGTTGTCCGTGCGGGCAACTCTTCGCATTCTCCCGTGTCGCATTGAATGAGCGACCGATCCGCCACATTTCATAACGCGGCCGCACGGAGCTGCTGGCGGAGGTGACATCGAGCAAGCTTGAACCTGAACAACGTCCTAGAAATCAAAGTATCCTCGTAGTCCGCTGCACTCCTCTATTACCTAGTACCGTACGTGCGCTTGAGGTGGTATCTTTCCCTTAGCTCGTATCGACTATCATTCCAATACCAACAACCTACGTTCACTCGAGTCGGGCGACAGCTTTGTCGCCGCTGCCAAAATGTCGGAGCCTTTACTACCAAAACTAGCTTCCACATTTTCCCACGCCGCTTCCGTTGTCGGCTCGACGGTTACAGCAGGTACGAGGAGAAAGGCCAACTTTTCAGTACGGGCGCATGGAGCTCTCCACGATATCCTCCTTCTGATCTGCTGAATTCCGTGTCCTCCAGTTGCCTCCGGAGAGGCGCCCGTTAACGGACAAACGACAAGTCGATGGGGAGGCATTTGGCCTGCAAAGCACCAGCATGGCCGTCACTGCAAGCATGAACACGATGGAGAGAAGGAGGATGCCGTCGGGCTTTTGAATAACGCGGATAGGTCGCATACTCGAACAATACGACCTCCTCCAGGAGAAGACGACGACATGATGGATTTGAAAGGTAGGTGTTGGTGTGCATACCTCAAGTATTTAGGCTGGCGGCTGCGAAAGTAGCAATGGCGGTCTTGGGGTGCCATTGGGTCGCGGACCTTGCTCTAACGAGAGACACGCAGATATGCTCGAAAAAGGCGCTCCTCCCGAACCGGACCTCTTTCTTGCCTCACAACAAGGCATCTATGATCGCGTGAAGCAGCTTTTGGACTCTGGCGAAAATGCCGCAACGGATCGGGATGCGGAAAACTGTACTGCATTACATTGGGCCAGCATTGTGAGTCTTGGACTTGCACGTTCGCATGAGGGTGGTATACTGATTCGAGTCCTAGAACAACCATGTGCGTATTGCACAACTGCTGATAGAACGTGGTGCTCAAGTGGACGCAACTGGAGGTACGGATGACATTATGAAGTGTCCTGGCGAATCGTTACTTATGCTTTCCATAGGCGAGCTTCTTGCAACACCTTTACACTGGGCAACTAGGAGTGGACACGTACAAATCGTGTCGATACTACATAGCGCTGGGGCCGATCTGACGCTGGAGGACAATCAGGGTTACAATGCACTGCACCTCGCTGCACATGCGGGGAACGCCTTAATGATCGTATTCCTCCTGGCGCTTGGCATGGATGTGAATAGTCTGGACACGATGGGGCGCACGGCTTTGATGTGGAGCGCATATAAAGGCAACTCGATCGATTCGTTGCGTGAGCTATTGCGGGCTGGAGCTGCGCTGGATCTTGTGGATCAGACCGGGTACTCGGCGCTTCACTGGGCTGTAAGAGTGCTTGAGAGCAAATCTGGAACTGGGAAGAACCCGGCTCTCATACATTTTCCATTCAGGTGATTGCTTGCCACATGGATTTCGCCACGAAGCTTATCGAGAAGGGAGCGCGAACGGACCTGAAAGACGGGGAGGGGAAAACACCGGCAGATTGGGCGCGAGAACGTAATCAAACGCGGCAATTCGAGGAGATCATTGAGCTCTATGCGCCAACCGACAAACCAAAGCATGAGGATGGGCGGCCCTTTGATCAGGTACGTAATGACAGTGTTCCATGGCGCTAATGGATCTCACGAATCCTGACATCGGTTGGATCTACAAATTCCAGCGCACCACCAATCGAATCGTGTATCTTGCCCCATTTGTCGTTCTGTTCTTCTCATTCTATGCGGGGTCGACTCTCCCATACTACTTCAGCATACCCACCGTCGCCCTTCTCTTCTATCTTGTGCAAGCAAAGTTGGTCGTACGATATCTGTTGCACGGTGCGCGGAATCTGGTCAAAACGCCGTTTATCACCGCTATTCCTCAGGCGACTTTGACCTTCGTCGGTCTTTGCTGGTTGATGATTGTACCATGTAAGCTCACGGTATGGTCGGAGTACCAAGGGCCAAACTCTTATGAGGCGTTCGCATCCTGACAGATACCGGATTCTTGTACCTTGAGCACATATTTTTCCTCGCGTGCTACGGCACGTGTATTTACTCTCTGTACAAGACGATACATACCGATCCTGGGTATATTCGCAGCCAGACAGTTGATGAGCGTGTGCAGGTAAGGTGTGTTTTCCTTTCGGATTGAATGGCAGAGCAATTGGAGTAACTGTTTCCCTCGTCAAGACCGTCTTGTCATTAGCGACCACAGGAAAACTGGAGCCAAGATCATACTGCATCACATGCTGTGTACGTTACTGAGGCTTCACTGCATTTGCTGCAAAACTGCCGACTTATCAGGTCTTCAAACCCACAGAACAAGAAACCAATACGTAGCAAGCATTGTAAAGTGTGCGATCGCTGTGTGATCAAATTCGATCAGTGAGTAGCATCCTCGTCATCCCTACCTCTTTGAATTTTGATTACTCATTTCACGGTGTTCGCTCAAACAGCCATTGTCCATGGACATACAGTTGCAGTAAGTCATCTAACATGAGGTGCCTTGTTCACGAGCAGCGCATGCTAACATCACAACTTCTTCTAGTTGGTGCACTAAATCATCGCTACTTCATCTTGTTCAGCGGCACTCTGCCGCTTGGAGCATGGATGTTCGTGCATATCGTCTTCGCATGTAGGTCTTCGAATTTAACTTCCACTTTTAAAGCACACCAGACTCACATGAAGTACCAATCAGATCTGGACTCCTTATTTGACACACCGCGGCCGCCCACATACTACGAATGCAGCCTCCCGATCGACGGTCTCTGCGGCTACTTCGCCTACGACGGCTTCGCCTTCCTCGTCGCCATATGGACTCTCTTGAACTCCATCTGGTGCTTCTTCCTCTTCTTGACACAACTCTGGCAGATCTCACAAGCGTACACCACGAACGAAGGCGCCAATTGGTGGCGGTTGTCCTACATGGTGGTACCCGGGGACATGGCCCAGCCTTCTTGGCGGAGACGGATGCGGAATCCGTTCAGCAGAGGGATCTTTAGGAACTGCGGGGAGTTCTGGGGTGGTTCTGAGGTGCAGCTCAATAGCAAACGGACCAAAACCAGGAGTCGATGGTAATGGAGATCTGCCTTGTTTGTGGTGCACCCGGATTGATTTCCTTACTTTCCACTGTCTTTCCCATTTCAGGTTCGACGTTTACGAGGTGCCATCAGATAGTGATCACTCTGGGTCATTTCACAAGGGAGGCGATCTACCCGTCTAAGAGGGCTCTCCTTCCCAAGTTACCTTCGCATCCTGAAAGCTTCATGCTATATTCTCTCCCGATATTCGACATGTACTAGTGGCACTTATTTTTGGATACATACGATAATATACGTTCTCCCGCGCTGAGATACCTGGAATCGAAACGGCTGAAGCCCTCCTGCGCGTTTCTTGCCGCTCCTGGGTTGCATTGGATGACTGCACCGGATGTTCGCTTCGAAAGACGTCGAAACATGCCAAAAGAGTAAGCTTTGCCAAGCAAATCTTCGTGACATCGAGCACCTCAACAGGGCTGTGGCTGCGCGTTGTTAAGTCTTGGCCGCACACTGTGTGTGCCGCGGGGAAGCCCTAGGTGGTAGTACGCTGAGAACCTAAAACTTTACATAGCTCTGTCGCCCGACCTTGGTCGCGGGACCCCCGTCAACCTTCGAACTTGGCATCTCTGTCCAGTGATCCAGTCCACTTTGGCGGACTCCAAGAGCCAGCCTGCCAAGACTGACTGCGGGTGCGGGATGCGGGAGCGGAACCTTGTTTGAATCATGATGACGCAGGGCGCGCGTTCCCGCAGTCGCGGTGGATTGTCCCTTTGTCCCTGTCTCTCTGTGGCCGCGGCGTGCGCTTTCCCCCCGAATCTCCACTTAGCGTTCTTCGCAACAAACACCCAAGCATCCCGGCCATCCCATCCCACTCCCCACAACCGACATTGTTTAGTAGTGAAACGTGTCCCCACATACAAGCGTCCACCCGTATATCAAGCCTGTAGCCTTCTTTCGGACCCCTAGCCCCATCCGAAGTGTTTTTTGCATACTTTTAAGCCTCGCTTGCAACTCGTAAACCCGCAAGGAACACCAAGCAACAAGCAGTGTTCCCTTTATCGCTCTTACTCTCGCCTACTGCCAAACTTAGTAGCTACTCAGAATGTCGATGCCCGAGAGCCGTAGAGCATTGGATTTGACACCGCCCGATTCAGCCATCTCATTGGAAGCGACGAAAAAGTCACCTAACTCCTCAACGGAATTCCAACCTGTTCCGCTCGCCACGCTAAAGACAAGCGCCGAAGACGCAAGTGCCGAGTCTCCACCTTCAGTAGCTGACTCGGCTGCCGCACGCCGATACAACTCCATGAGCGAGAGTGCAGTGAGCGATAAGCATGGTCATGGAGGACTGAAGTTCTCAACATTACCCCGCGCCAACGTGTCGTCATGGCTCCTGCCAATACCCCACCGAAAGAGCCACCGCCGTACGTCCTCACAATCCTCCAAAGAATCAGATTCATCACTGGACAACGAGGGATCGAGTGCAACCGCGCCCCGCGGTGTCCATGACTCCGAGGCTGCGGTCGCTGCCAGCGCAGAGCCTCAAGGCAGCAGCGGCCACCTTGGAGTTCGGGATGCCATCAAGCGGAAATTATCAATATCCCGGCCTTCGCGGCACACGGTCAATGAGAATTCAGGGGAGGGCGACAGATCGTCGGTGCCCACCTCAGTATCTGTGACGCCGCTGCCGTCCTCGCCAGGGGAGCAGCCGGCGAGCTCCTCGACGTCGGAGGTGGAGAGGAGGGCGAGTGGAGAATTGCCAAGGGAGATCGCGTATCTTGTGGATTATTCTGAGCGACGAAATAGGGAACTGCATCGATGTTTCCCGGAACTGGACAAGAAAGAGATCCATGTCGATGGTGCGTATCCTTATATCTGGAGATCTCATCCCACAATTACGCTGATCGTACTTTGAACATTCAACAGACTACGTTTGTGCCTTACAACGCGACATCCTCGTGCAAGGACGAATGTACCTCACGATCGAGCATGTCTGCTTCAGCTCCAACATTTTTGGGTACATCACAAACCTGTTGATTCCGTTTGCCGCCATACAAAGCATCGAGAAGCGTACGATGCTTCTGATACCCAATGCAATCCAGATCAACACGAAAGACGGGAAGGTGAGATGTCCTTATCCCCTCGAAGTACGTAGAAGTACGAATACTTACGCGCTTCATTTCTCAGCAATACTTCTTCGCTTCCTTCGTGAAACGTGAAGAAGCATATATCAAGCTACAATCGATATTCCGTGCCGCCTCGGCAAAGCGTTCTAATGACTCGACCGCAAGTGAAGCATCACTCAAAGAGGAGTCGCCGAACGGCGATACCCGCGAACAGTTGGCGGATGATGATTCAACCGTGGTAACGGAGGCTGCCACGGTCGGCCAAAGGGCGATCCACGAAGCTCGCCCGAAAAGTGAAACCGAAGGGCTGACGATGGACACGGTCCTGTACGTTGCGGTAGCCCTGATGCTATTATGGAGCTTGTTCACGACGGTGATGTGCACAGCTCTGATATGGAAGATCAAAGGAATGGCACAGCGATTGGAGATGGCGACGGAGGGCATGGCGCTTTTCGGAATCCCTCAACGATAGTTCCTAGCTTAGGAGAGGGAACTTTCCTTTCTGGCGCGAGGGGAAGTTTACCGCTAGCGTTTTTGGCGTGTTTTTGTATATAGTAGTTGAGATTTTTGGGAATCGTGATAGTCCCATGTAAAATACCATCAAACAGTATGTCGTCAAAGTCATAAATCGATCATGACTTTGGTTGCGGTGCGAAGCACAGAGGACTTCGCTGAGAAAGCTAGACATATGCGAAGTACTACGAGCAACTTTGTCTTTCGGGTTGTCCGTCTGTCTGCATCCGGTTTTCTGTCTGTCTGGCTGCGAGTAAGGTCGGAGACTAAAGTCAGGCCTGCACACCTCCGACTCCTCCGCCCGGAAAACTTTGGCGTTTGATGTTGACGCTGTTGACGGCCTTTTTTGACGCGGGAAGCGGCGGAGAAAGCCTCACCGCGAAGCCTCAGCCCCGTTAGGAGCCTGTAGGACCCATATGTGCATGCACAACTTCACAACCCTACTCAAAAAGACAGCACTTCGGTCCTCCTCAGGCTGTCCCAAATCCGTTGTCTTGCTGTTAGCGTCCATTCCGGTTGAAAAGTTGGGAATTTGACACGAATTCGCGGTCTGCAATAAGAATTAGTGGGACAAGTGCACTACGAAAAGAAGCTCTCGGTCCGAGTCGATAAACATCAACCATCTGAAGGCACGAGCGAGGAGGGTGGCTCTTCTGTTTGCTTGGAAAGCCCTTCCGAAATATGTGGGCGTTCACGAGCAAAGAACGAGCGAACGATGTGCTCGTAAAGATCATGCTCCTGGGCGACTCGGGCGTCGGCAAGTCACAGATATTCCAGCGCATATTACGGCGACCCTTCAGCGAGCGGCATAAGCCGACTGTTGGGATTGATTTTGGGACTATGACCTTGAAAATTGCGTCGGAGCGGATATTGAAGGCGCAGGTGTGTGTTGAACGGGTTCGTCGAAAAGGATGAGCTGGAGGGACTCCGGTACTGACGAAAGTAAACGAATGCAGGTCGTCGACACTTCAGGTTTAGATCGATACCGTTCAATCACCCAATCTTACTGGAGCTTGGCGACCGGCGTGATGGTGGTGTACGATATCACGAGCAAAGAGTCCTTCCAGCGTGTGCGGACGTGGGTACGGGATTTCCAAAGCAAGGTGTGTTTGCGGCATGTCAGCTGATGTCTCAAGGCCGAGAGAAGACACTTCTTGTTCTGACCCCGTTTTTCGCCTTTCCGCCTTTCCGCCAGCACACCAACAAGGCATTCCAGCCGGTCATCATGATCGTAGGCAACCACTCCGACAAAGAGTCGCTTCGTGAGGTCCCACGGCACGAAGCGCAAGCCTATGCCCTAGCCAACACCTTCCTGTTCAGCGAAACTTCAGCTTTCACAAACACCAACATAGATCTCGCATTCAACATCCTTCTAACGGAAGCTTACTACGCCCTGGCCGCCGTCACAAACCAGAAAGCCCCACAGTCAACATCCGCGCCCTCATCGGCGACTTCATCACCCACGAAGCCGTCCACGAACAACGGGCTGTCGCCGCTGATTGCTGGCAAATGGCGGCCACAGCCACGGACGTCGTCACTCGAAGAGGGGGGATCGCTGGGGCTGGGAAGATCGCTGTCGGCAGCGTCGGCGTCGATGCCGTCCCTGGCGCCGCGGCATAGGTCGTTTGATGAGCGGGTATTGGATGTGGTTGGGTGGATTGGGAGGGAAATTAGCACGCAGGTGGCTGCTCTCACGTCGGAGGACAAAGGGAGTGCGGAAAGCGAAACACCGGCGGTTGCCCCCAAGCCTGTGGAGAAGCCATTAGAGAAGTCGGTGGAGCCGCCAGCGGAGAAGCCGATGGACTACGCATCCCGTGACGCGAAGCCAGCGCCGGTGTCGACAAAAGACAAGGACTCGGAGCCTGCACCGGCCCCTGTCCCACTCTCTGAGCCTCTAGTAAACGGCAGCGACCTTACCGACGACATGCATCCGCAAAGCAACGGCGCGAGCGACCACGGCAACCACTCGCCCGCTGCCGCCGCTGAGCCCCACGTTGCCGGTGCCTCGACGCCTGATCTGGCCAAACAATCGCTCACTCGCGTCGACAACCACAACCACCATTCGGGAACGCCAGAGCCGGAGTTGCGGATGGGTCGGTGTGGGAGCATGGGCTTCGATGACCCGATGTTTTTGGAGGAACCGTCGTCGCCTATTGCGTCCAAGGTTGCGAGGTCGAAAACCACCTTTGTGCGGCGATGAAAGGCCTTTTAGCTATATCTACCATCCACTGAAACACGTGGCTCTCGGGTGTTAGGATGAATGGGCGTTAATCCTCTTAATGACACCCGATGGTATAACACACATAATCATCATTGCCATCAGAAGCACCATAGCATTGATATCCCCACCTAATGCACATAATCGAATACACAACCACGACCCGCCGCTGGATCTGTCATACTTGAATAATTGTAGTATTTTTGTTGTGCGCTGTTCATTTTGATATTCGAAATGTACAAAGGGCAGCGGCAAAACCTGCGACGCCATTCTCCCTTCGCCGCTTCCCAAAATCTCAACCATCTAATCCATACGAGCTTTAAGGGTCCGCGTAATGACCCCTTCTTGGGTGATCACGTGGACGACCACACCCCAACCACTGCTCGCGTCACGGTCGACGGCGGCCATCATCGCTTGGGAAATTGTCTCGAAGAGCTCCTCCGGTTCCTGTGGGGGAATTCGGAATGTCGATCAATATTCAGGCCAAAGTGGGATCAACAAGTGCAACTTCTTTCTCTGCTCAGTGGCCATTCTTACAAGATCGGGCTCCCATAGACCTTCCGCGGTACCGTACATCTGCGACGATGCGGTCCCGCTAACGACGATATCTTTTGCGTGGTTGATGCATCCCAACATGTCCATGGAGCAGATGTATGGCGAGCCGTCCTTTTCGAGGCCTGCAATCACGGGTTCACAGAAGTATGGTCCAAATCTGGATTGAAGAATGACGTAAGAAGCTGGAAGATGCCATCAACTTCTGCGAACGATCACTGGCCGCTTCGCGGACGATCCGTAATGCCCCCAAGGCTATCTCATACGAACAGGCACATACCTCTTCTCGTATAATGCTGAGGATACCATGTGGGAAAACGTCTTTGGGCTGATATCCCGCTCTTCGCGCAGTTTGTACATGTTGGTCTTGAATCTGAACAGCTCGGACCTGCAAAAACGGGGGTCATAAGTCTCAGATTACGCGTCCATTTCCCACGCCTGGGACAGCCTTTATCCTCAATCGCACGAATGAACTCACAGCGTCTGAACGTCGGTAGCGAGTCCTGGCAGTCCAATAAAAGTCCTATCGTTGACGGCAAAGATCTTTTGAAAGTCGGTGGACATGGTCATGAGCTGGATTCCGAACCGGCGGTCGGCTGCTATTGCGACACAGCCTTTGCCTTTCATAGCCATGATGGCCGAACCGTTATACTCCATAATCGACTACATGGCGATTCGCGTGCAGCATACGAGAGAGGACACATAGTATTCGTTTGGAGTGGACAGATGGAAGTGGTGGAGTCGGACGAGTGCGTAGATCGGGGATCAGCATGCAATATTATGTTAGTCGTGTCATACTTTGCAGGATTGCCAGACAATGCAAAGGCCCAGACACTAACCATGTTGACGACTTTTTCCTATTGCGACAAAGGAGTTAGAAGAGTTGATAGGCTCAGGCAGAGCGAGTGGGAGTGAACGACTTGGGTGGGAGCTGACGGACGATTGCGTTTCGAGCTGCTCGTCTCTGGGAAGGGATGTTGCCTTTCCAAGTTGGGTCCCAACAGACTTCTTGCCCGAGAAAGCGCATATGGACGCGTCTATTGAAGTGACGCTCGCGGACACTCCCAGAATTGCAGTTGGACAAACGTGGGAAGAAACGACCAACAGACTCTCCGACGGAGGCCCACGGCGTTGCGCCGCCACTTCCTCCTATCAACAAGGGAGATCACCCAGGCGGCTGCAGGAGGCCAACGTCTCGTATCATTCTGCTCTAGGCGTCTGGCCAGGCACAGTGCAGTATGAACCTTTCTTGACCTACTCCCACTCTTGGTTTCCCACCCCACGCCGCCGTCGCCGACTCGCCTGTAATGAACACCCTTCCGCCGCTATACCCTCCGTTTCGTTATGGTCAGGTTGAAGATGACCTCTACCGGGGCGGATATCCGAAGCCACGCAACTTCCGCTTTCTGACCCGTCTTCGCCTGAAGAGCATCCTGTCGCTTACCCCCGAACCCGCAAACGCAGACCTGGCCGCCTTTTGTGCCGAGCAAAAGATCACCGCCCTGCATGTCCGTGTCGATAAACCGAAAGAGCATATCCCGCTGACGTTCCAGAAAACCGCTCAGATCCTCGCAATTGTCATCGACCCCAACAACTACCCGCTATTCGTCCACTGTCTTGACGGCGCCGGTGTCACGAGTGCCCTCATAATGTGTCTGCGCAAGCTACAGTGCTGGACTATGTCGTCTATACTATACGAGAGCAGCAGGTACAACAAGGAAGGGACGATCGGGTCGGAAGAGGGAGAGTTTGTCGAAAAGTTTAGCGCGGAGGTCGAGCTGCCCATTAGACTGCCGGCCTGGTTGTGGGGCGGACAGATGGCTTTCAAGAAGCATCCCAGCATCCGGTTAAAGCTGCCGCCACAAATCAACAGCCCGGCGAGACCGCTAACTGCTAACACTGGCGGACCAGCGAACAGCGGGGATCCCGTCGCGAACTCTGTGACCGGCGCCGATGCCACTTCCGCCACGGCAGGTATACACGATCTACAGACAATAGGGCAGCCAATCACCGGCGTGATAGTCAGTGGGAACGGACTCGCGAGCGACTCATTCATAGGCGGCTCTTCCGAGCACACACCTGTGCGCCGAGCTGGCGACGCATCCCAGACCCCACTTCTGGACTCACTATCCCCTCAGATGACACCATCAGCTTCGGGCGTCGGCCTGTCTGGCATGAAAGATGCCACCGTGCAGTTTGCGCCCACAGTGAACACCTCGAAATCCGACTTCAGGAGGGAGAAGGAAGATCTCCGACGGCGAGCGGTGACGGAAAACCTGCTTGGCGTAGACGTAGGCAATCGGCTAGACGACGCGTTGCTGGGTGGGAGGATCGAGGAGGATTTACTGGACGAGGATGTGGAGGATGGCATGTCAATGACGTTGCAGGCGTTGGCGTTGGAGATGTCTGGCTCGTTTACCAAAAATGCAAAATAGAAGCTTTCCCATCCATGTGTGATGTAGTTCATTTGAGGGACCTATTCATTGAATGAGAAGGTCTCTAGTGGCTACCAATGTTGCGACCAAAATTGAGATTCAAACAAGGTTCGATAGAGTTATGATACAACAAGGATCGGGTAAAATATGTCATCAAAATCCCAAAAACTGTACAGGGAAGGTGCTGCATGTCCAGCGCAGGATGGCAACCATGTCCATCAAACGAGTTCCCACAATCAAACCCTCGTAGGCGTTGATGCGCTTTTCGTCGTCCGTAGTTCGTCACCGACAACACTTTTCAACGCGCTAATCCATTGGAACATGCTGGGATCACTGCCCGTATAAAAGAGGACGGTCCGTCGCGCGCCCGGTCCGGGAAACAGGCGGAGAACGTGTTTTCGCTTTTTGTAGTGGGCGGGTCCGACGCAGTTGCCTTGTCGGAGGAGTGGGATCGTCTCTGTGAGGGATAGATGTGGTGGCTACGAGAACGCGAAATGTCAGAACAGCGGACGCATTCCATGGGACCAAAATATAGCCCAGTGTGGGACGAAAGCTCACCTCCTGCTCGGCAGACTTCCCAAACAACGACTTGGACCCTCTCGCAGAACCCGTCGATCCCATCCGACTTCTCGCATTCCCACTCCCCTGTGATCCAACCGTCGATCCGCTGAATCCGGACATGGCATGCCACAGCCGTCGTTTCTGGCCCAGCGCCTTTCCCGCTGGCCCAGACGTGCTTGGCCGCTCCCCCTCGGCGGGGCATGGGCTGCCCGTGGATGATAGACCTTGTGCGGGAGATGATGGGCGTCCTGACCCCGTTGACAACTCGCTTCGGACAGGTGTACCGGGACTGCCGCCGTCGAGCATATCGGTGCGTTCCTGGGAAGAGCTGTTGCCGTTCAGCGGACTGCCCGCGCGGAGGGTGGGAGGTGTCAGACCAAAAGTCGGGATGTTGCTCGGGTAGTCCGTCGGGGACGTTGGAGTTTTCGGTGCCAAGTCGCGCGGAGAGCTTTTCCCGCTATCAGCCTTATTCTGCTGATAGATCTCCAACCGCGGCGGGTTGCCGTACAAGGCAACCCATGCACGTGCCCATTTCCGTCCCGGGACTTTCTTCCCGATATCCGTGAGCTCTTCCTTCTTATCTAGATACCCTTGCAAGATGGGTTCCGGGAGGGTATTGCTGCGGATGGACCCTGAGAACGACGATCCACTCCGGCCTTCGAGGATCGGGGGCTTATCCCGCGCATCCACCATCGGAGATTGGCTTACGTTCAGACTCCCGCTCGACGACGCTGGCGATGCCACGCTACTCGGCGACGAGTTGATGCGTTTGATCTGCAACGGCATGGGTTGGTTGTGCGGTTGTACGTGATTCGCGTTTATGTGCGGATGTTGATCAATGACCGCCTGTGATGCTTTCGGTGCCAGGAAATTGAAATCGTAACCCCCGTCGGTGTTGGGGGTCATGCAGTCGATGTCGCAGGTTTTGAACGTGAAGTCTTCGAAACTGGCGGATGTGTTTTCGGCTCGATCGCCGTCGCCGAATGGTAGCATGGTGACGCTCAGATCTGGATCCCCAAAGTCATGTGAGCCTGGTGCGATGTATCCGACGGGCTGGTCCAGCGCAACGAGATGTAGGCCTTGATTCTCGACGGGGGTGACGAGTTCATTTAGGTCCGTTGTTGAAACCAAGTCACCGGCTGCCAGTTGCGGCTGTTGCAGCGACCGACTGGATCGCCGGACACCGGACGAAGCGTTGGATGTTGTTGATGCGCTCACGTATCGTGCGGAACTCGTCAGTCGTCTTCCACGACTATTAATCTCAATGCTAGCAGAATGCGAAGTCGACGGGCTGCTGATATCCGATTCCCGGCTATCATTCATCAACTCAATATCCTCCTCATTCTCATCCACCCAACCTTTCGACACCAAGAAATCCGATATCGAGCCCATGGACAGTCGCGACTGCCTATGCGTCATAGGTGTCGAAGCCGGCGGTGAGCCGTGGTACGTGACGGCAGCGGATCCAGATTTGCTTCTCCTATGCCCGCGCGCTTTTCGTTTCGCGGCCGCCGCGGCGCTCATCTTGTTGGCGGCCAGCGGCTTAGTGTCGCGTGTGGATCGAGCGGGCGGTGTCGCCGGCGTCCTGCTGGGAGCCGGCGTCCCTAGTGGAGATTGTTTCCGGTCGCTTGTTTCGCTTCCTGATCGTTTCCCACCTAGGTTGGAATGGTTTTGGACACTGCCATGCCGTTCGATCGTGCGGTTGCTTCCCGTCCTGATACTACTGCCGTCTGTCACCATGGTATCCGAGAACGCGGTGCTCCCGTCGTCGGACGCACCATCCCCGATGTGCAGCTCCAAAAGGCCCGCATTGCTAGCCGGCTCACATCGAATGCTCGCGCTATTTCCTCGTATCCTATTCCGTATCACTTTGATCGTACCGGACTTGCCGCTACCGGTGGTGTCCCCTGTCCCGACAGTGTCGACCCCACCACCCTTCGAGCTCGACGGCGTGATCTTCGGCTCGACAATTTTGCTGCGTAGGTACTGGTCCTCCTCGATCTTGTTGACGTCCTGAGACAATTGGAAAGAACTAAAAGCATCCTGGATCCCTTGGACTACTTCAAGCTGTGGGTATACGCTGTTTTGCTGGTATCGGGATATATCATCCAATAGAGCATCCATCTGCGCTTGTCTTTCCACAAGTTGCTGGGCGCGATTGGGGTCATCCTTTTCTTTCTTGATGCACTCATTCAGAAACGTCAGATCTCCTAACCATACGCCCAGATACGGTACGCAGGGCGGCTTTGTCTCAGTCAACCGCCGTCGGTACGCATCACTGTTGCTCAATGGCGACATGAGGTCACACATCTTGTCAAACACCGCCTTCTCTCGCCGCCCAACCATCGCCCACGTCCGCTCTAGTCTGTGAACGGCCGTGGATTGCAGGCCAGCAGTGATGCTGCGAAGACCGTTGAAATTGTTGAGGTCCATACAGTACTTTGCAACCCCAATAAAGTGGCAAACGAGCTGAAAGCGTCTTTTGACCTTCTCCGCCAGCACAATCTGCTCCGCCACCCACAATGCAACTTGATTGAAATGCTGTGTCGCTGCGACAATCTGTGGGGCGCGCTGCTGCTTGTCCTGCCCAGTCCACGCAATTGACGCCAGCTCTGCACGCGGAATTTCCCGAAACACCTTACTATCCATCAACGCCAGCTGCCTAGCCACTTCTTTCGGTGGTACATCCAGTATATCCACGACTTCACCTTCGTATTTTGATCCCGATGGCGTTTTCATGTGTTTGATGGCTTTATCCTTGATTAACGTCCCCGTTGATGCTAGGCTGGCTGGAATCTTTGACACTCCCGTCAGATTCCGCAGGGACGTACGAGCCCCCTCATCCTGCGTTCGCTTCTTCGTGGACTCATGATTCTTCGCTCGAACGCTGCCAGCGCTGCTGGTATGCCGCCTTACATTATCATCCCCTTGGAACAGATCCTCACTACTGCGGACAATCGAGCTATCCGCCGATGCCCGTCGTGGCACCGCGATGCCTGCCAGTTCCGCTTCCGCCTGGCTGAACGACTGGGTATGTGCCAGAGAAGGACTCGATGCCCTCCTTGCAAGATTGGAGTACAAGGACGACATAGATGCATGAGACCTCCAAGATGGAGGGGGTGAGTTTCGGCCCTTTGATGTTGGCTGAGGACTCGCAGCAGTCCGAACAATGTAAGGCGTTTCGGGAACATGGGATGGGTTAGGAGGTAGCGGACTAGCGTTCCCGCTTTTCAGTCCTTTTCCAGTGACCAGATATCCCATTTTCTTCTTCCCCGAAACACGTTCGTTCATCTCCGACGCCGGGGTGCGCTCCTCGCGCTGGTGGTTCCCTAACGCCAACAACACCCGTTCCCGCGGTGACATGGTTTCCCCATTTGTGCTTCCGCTCGTCACAGGCGATGCCGAAGCCGAGCTATCCGTTGTTGAGTAGAACCGCGGCGATACGGCACTAGGCGACCCCAACACAGCTGTTTTATACGCGTCGAAAGGCGGTAAAGACGGCCCTGTCCAGGCACGGGTGCGCGAGGCACCCGCGAGCCCCGGTCTCGTTCGCAGCAGAATCTCATCGTCGCCAGCGACTTTCAACTCGCTCCTAGGCGTTCGATATGCCGTTTCGGGTTGCCGTGGACTTACGCCGGGGGTCCGAGGCGAGAGCTGAGGAGTTGCATTCACAGGTCGTGCAAGGGGGGAATTGCCGGGTGGATTGAAGTTAGCGGGCTGTTGCGGTGGGACACCTTCTGCTGGAACCAGCCCAGTAGGCTGTTGTGGCGTAGGAACCGGGGGCTGAATGGGTGGTCGTTTTACGTCCATTGCGGGGTAGTCTGGGTAGTCTAAGAGCCCATTTCCACTTTGAAGTTTGAGACTTGCAGCCAACGCGTTTCTTCCCGTTTGACTGTTTTTGGCCGGCGGAATCCGTTCCAGACTCGCATCCACACCGCAAAACGTGCGGCGGTGAGGACCGCAGGGAAATGGTATAAAACGCGAGGTGGGGCGAGGTTGCCCACCGTCCTTTCAATCAACCATGCCCTCTAGATTTATTTTAAAGTCTCAAGATCCAACTTCCAAGTGCCAGGATAAAGTTCATCCACATAGGATTGCCAAACACAAGGAGGAGAAAGAATAGGAGGGATGCGAACCATCAGGCGAGGGTGTCCGGAGGAAAAGGGCTATGGGGTATCCAAAACTCTATGCTGTTCGACCAGAAGAGTCACAAATAGCGAGTGGGGGAAGATACGATGACCAGAAGAAGGAATGAAACGAGTACCGCTCTAGGTGATCACTGCTGTTTGATCAAACGCCCTGGCGAAACCCTTCCCTGCGTGATACGTGACACAAATTCGCCTACGCCTGCTTCCTCGACGGCAGCACCAGGTACGGAAGCGCTAGCGGCGATGGCATTGAGAACCTGAGCCATTCTGCGGCCTGCATGGACGACGCGTTCTTCAGCCTGCACAATGACCGCATCAAAATAGGCGCCGGCGAGATCATCCTCTCTGAGAATCTCGCCATTCTTGTCAGCAGCTCTCTCCGCTGCATCAAGGTGCACAAAGTCCGAGCGTTCGTGGTGAGGGAGCGCCGGGTAGACAAGTTTGCAGACGAGAGCGGCCGACTCGGTTGCCCAAAGCGCAGGGCAAGCGAAATATTGGGATTCGAGGAACGGATCGCATGTTGCGGGCATGCTTGGATAGGTGCTGAGTAGGTAGTCCGCGTATGAGGTGCGACTGTGATTGAGACGTTTCTCGCGGAGCTACAGAATCAAAAAGTAAGGCTCAAGGTGAAGTGATCTCCCAAATCCCAAGCGATCACAGACCTCCAGAAGTCCATAGTCCCAGACTTCATGGAAGGACATTCCAGATCGACCATTGAACCGCACAGTTTCGGTCGTGCCGCCTCTACCTCGCGAGCTGACATGCAAAGGCTGGTGCACATCGCCAATGTAATGGATCAAAAACTTGATGGCTTCGGAGCGATCTTCCAGAGTTGGGCCGACATGCGTGATCCGGGTATAGTTTTGAATGGCGCTCAGGATGCATGTGCACGGCGACGATGGCGACGGTGCAGGGAAGTTAGCGGTGCAACTGTCTCCGGTCGGCGGATTGACGTAATGATACTTGGACGCCCACGGGAGATGAATCTCTGCGTAAGGGAATGCCAATGGTTGAAGATGGTAATCCAAGGCAGGTCATGAACCACTCCTAGGTCATACCATCCGCCCAAAGACTGGCTCTCGCCAAGCTTCCGTCATAGTCGGGCAACAAGAAGCGAACCCATGCTTCGGCCTCGCTGGTGAGCAGCTTCTGTGCGATTTGACCCGTCAGCCAGTGCCCTAGATCAAAGTAGATTAGGCTGGAGTCGGGTCATTCCATTCCGGGGGCTGAGCTCACCAATTCGTCCATATCCTTCCACGGGTGCGACAACGACAGCAAGACCGCAGAGGATGCCTCCCAGGCGCACGGAGGCGTGCATCCAATGCATTGGATCGCTCCAACGTGGCCACAACGGCAGATAGTAAGTACGGGGTGGTCGACTTGTCTGCGGATACTAAGAAGAAAGAGAGATCGTTCCGCGAAGATGGGATGTTCTGACGGCGGGAGTGGCTAAGACCGACGAGGCTGGACACAGGAGGAGAGAGGACTGCCTGCCATACGCAGCTGGACTTTATATACTCGGCTTTCGGGGAGTGCCGGTGGGGTAAGGGTCCTCCTCAATAAGATGCGTTGATTATTGCACTTGCCAAATATTAGCGCTCAGCAGGGTGTCATCGGACGTGCGTGTTTGGGGAAGTGTTTGTTGGAACAAGGGACTTCACATCCGTCCAAAAGCCGTAATAACCTGAGGAGATCTGCGATAAGATCCACATAGCAATAATAAGCGACCCCCCATAATATCTCGCACATGTCGGCACAACTGCGCACACGTGACCGGAAATGGATGCTGACTAAACCTAAGCCCCGCGACGCGTCGACATGGGACAATTCAATGGTTTGCCAAGGGAAGTCGGCACAGATGGCGAGCTCGGTCCACTTGACTGTTGCTATCGCCACATTGGAAATTGCGGCAGCAACTACGCTGTTTTGTCCCTCATAAGCTACATCTTTCTACGTCTGCTGGACGTATCCTCGCAGACCTGCCATCTCTTGCAGCAGCTCGTAGCAGGCCATAAGGTAGTCGGTGGCTTGGCTACGAAAGTGAACATCAAGTCAAGTTAGTCAAACACTCATCATTCTTCCAGGAAAACGTCAAGTATGCCCCTTCTTGGTCTTGAATAATGCGGTAACTCTGCAGATCTTCCAGGTTTGGGGTCGTGACGGGCTCGCTCTTCTTGCCCTTCTTGCTCTTGGCATTCTTTTTACCCCGCTTGCCCTTTGCCCGCTTCGGCTGCCTACGCGGCCTAACTCGCTGAGCGGTCTCCTGGCTTTCCACATCATCTTCCTCAAGTTCCTCCGACATTGCAGCAAGGAGTACTTGTTCGAAAATGTGGCTTGGTCGCCGGCATCTTCGTCGTCCTCGTCCTCAAGTTCGCTGGAACTGCTCTCCTGCCTCCCGCTACGGGTCGCCCCCAAGGACTTTAAACGCCTTGGTCAGGGCCGCAATGTAATGCTTGTGGCGAATCCTGCTCCCTTCCATGTCTGAATCCGAACTCGATTCGACATTTTTTCATAGGCCTCGCTCGTCCTTTTGTCGGGATGATGGACGTTTTGTCGTGAATGAACTCGACGAACGTTCGATGATGGCGCAGGCGGACAGAACGATGTGATGCATGTTTCGGAGGGATGGAGAACTCCCTCAATTTTATACCTCTTCATGGGGCGTCCAAGGAACCAGGCCTCCGCTCTTCCGCAAGACATCAAGGCTGCAATGGCTGCATCAACCGTCGTCCAGCCGTGTTCAAGATGAGTGTTTCGGTTCACCAAGCACAGGAACCGGATCTTTGAAATGTCCCATTAGCGTAACACGTAGACTGGTCAACAGCACAAGAGCTCAAAGGAAGATGCCCTTCACGCGCGCAACTCGAAACTCCGACGAGTCGCCGAGCCACGTCTTAATCCGCCAGAACGAGGCGGTCTTTTGAGTCCGTGCATGACGCAATCAACCACGTCGCTACATATGGACAACACCCTCTCCTCTCCTCTCCTTCGTCATCAAGACCTTCCTTCATCCAGAGGGAGGGAGGTCGTACGGAGTCCGGTGCAGATGAGGCTCTCGATCGGGCTCTCAGATCTCACGCAGACGGGCTGCCGGTTTAATATATTTTACCTTACTTCTCAAGGTAAGGGTACTTAATACCACTCAGTGCGGCAGAATCTCGCGGCGACTGCGCACACCGGTCTCCTGGATATAATACATGAGATTCTCCCACTTTATATAATGGGAGTTTCATGCTGTCAATCGCCACGACGCCGATCCTGTCAGTCCGAATCGGAGGGAGCGACACGGGCGCGAGGCTTGTCCAAGAGCGAGCGAGTCCTTGGCAGAAGTCTCTCCGCACAAAACGAAAGCGCTTGCACCGACATTCCCCTTCAAGTCCACTTCGACCATCTGCATCACTGCTGCTCAGAATTTGACTGCTATAGACGAACGGAAATGAGCTATCACCATGGAAGCCATAGCGGCTTCGGGGCCCCCAGCGACAGGGTATGTAGATTGACCGCACCCATAGTGGCGCGCAGCATTCTTGGAAACCTCATGCTCAGCGCTCTGAAATTCTCATTCGCCCATCTACTTAGGTTGACAGCGAAAGCACTCTGGGAGGTTACCCTGCTGCCACACACCTGCATGCAAATGACACCCAGTACCCATCGTATGGACGGAGCGGCCACCAGGATGCCTACCGACATGGCGAAGAACAACACGAAGAGTACGCCACCAGTGACAGGTCTACGCCACCGAGGGCACACTTCAAAGCCGGTCAGGCCCCAACAGAAGCGTATAAACTCCTCGACGACGAGCACAGCCGACGAGGCAGTTTCTCTCCACCGTACGATCGCCGAAAGCGGCGGGGTTGCTGTGGGAGGGTGTTTTGCAGCCCCATTTGTTGGGTGGTGACGTTCGTGCTGTTGGCGGGCTTGGGAGTCACTTTGTTCTTTGTGTTCCCACGTATACCCGACGTGGCCATTTCGGACCCCTTCGTTCCGGCGGGAGGAGCTGCTGCAGAGGCGTTTACGAAGCAAGCGGACAAGTCGGCTGGAACCTGGACGCCTGGATTGACCAACTCTGGCAATCCCGCAGCTGCAACGCCAGCGAACCCGTTCGTGCTCGCTTTGGGACTGGGTGTCAACGTCACCGTCAATTCCGCAAACTACATCCCGTACAAAGTCAACAGCATCAACGTGGTCGGTGCCTTGAGGGACGTCAACGGTCGCGAGATCGTGATGAGCAACCAGAAGAATTCACTCAAAGTTTCCGCAGTCGTCAACGATGTGACGATCGAACCGAAAACTCAAACCCTGATTCGCATACCGGTCTCGGTAAACTACACCGTGGTCGGGCCGCTGACGGCGCAGACCCTCCTCCAAGACCCGGTCCTGGCGGTCTTGGCAAACGCATGCGGAATACCTGGACTGCAAGACAAGCAGGCCGGGGCCAAGTTCCGTCTCAAAGTCACAACCACTCTCGATCTGAAGCTCGTTTCATGGACGGGTTACAAGCCGCAGATCGACAAGGATGTGGCCTTTGATTGTCCCAGCACAATCTCAACTGCGTTGGCGGCGATCTTCAGCGGCATGGGCGGTGGGTTGGCTGCCGCGCTACTCGGGCCTGGGTTTGGTGCTGCGTTTGCACCGACGTCGGACTGATGACGCCGGACTTGTTGAGCGTATCTATTCACCTTTAGCCGATCTGTAAATCCTCATTTCTCCCCTCTTCTGTCCGGGCGTATCGCCGTCGCTCTTCCCTTGTCTATATGCTCCGTATTTCGAACTGTAAAACCTCCCAAAGAACTTTGTAAATAAGCATCACGCCACTGTTCATCAATACCAAAGCTGTCACCGCATTTTAAGCCAATCTGTTTCGCTGAGCGTTGCACCAACCCCGTTCCAATGTTTCGCTGATGATCCCTGCGAACGAGTTCATCTGCTTCTACTCACTCCTATTCATCCCACGGCCCTACGTTATACTTCTATCTGCACTTGAATCTCTGCCTTCTACCTCGTCATCACGTTCGCGCCCGTCAAAGCTGCAAGCTTTACTTTGCATCCAGCGCTTGGACGCCTTTGTTTATCGATTCCAACGTTGCCACCAGGTAGTTGACCAACGCCAAATTTTCCGCTCTCAAACCTAGGAATGAAAGGGTGTTCAGCGCATGGCGCTGCTACCAATCATAGAGCCACACGCCTACTCACCTTCAACCTCCTTCTCCAACCCGGACAATCCAGATCCAGTAAGTTCATCCCGCAGCGTTGTTGGCGGGTTGCTATTCAGCAACGACTGAGATATAATCCTCTGCAAGGGCGATGGCGCTGGCGGCTCTTCGCTGTCTGATGCACGCAGTTGCAAGAGTTCGTGCACGCTGGATGACCGCGATGGTATTTTCGGTCTTGGCGATGGGGCGCTCTGGAGGGAAGACAGAGGCGCGGTCTGAAGTGGGGGGCCCGGAGTAAGCAGAGAGCTCCAAGAGGACCAAACATGTGTCCTGTAGCAACTTACAGCACACCGACTACATATCGTCTGCACTCCATCAAGCGGCTGCGTCGCGGCTTCAAGCTCATCCCTCAGCGCATCGTTCTCTTCCTCCAGCTGCTGAATTAGGACATCTCGTGGGTCTGGAGGTTTCGTGGAATCCAGCGAGTCACTGGACTGGCCAGTGAGGAGTACGTTGCTTCGAGAGGGTCGTCTCCGTAGATCCAGTTCAGAGAGTTTCAGCTGTCGCAAGAAACAGAGCGTGTGAGAAGAGCCGAGGATGTCGCTGTGCAGGTCCCCTCTGCCACCTACCTTTTCCATCTCTGCTTCGAGCGTCCTCATGATGACCAAGTGCGATGTCTGTTCATGCTGTGCCCCGCGCTCCGCTAAGAGCAGCTTTTCCGATAGCTCATCCGCGTGCTTATCCTTTGCCTCTAACTGAGCTGAAAGGATGCATGATTAGCGACTGGGTAGCGGACCCCTCCCACAAGATCACACACCTTTCAGCTCCGCCACAACAAGATTTAATCCCTGCACTTGCTTGCTGAACGCCGCTTCAGCCTCTGCGCGTTCCTCTTTGATCTTTGCCAATGTCGCGGTCAGGCTTTCCACCTCCTTCGCTGCGGTAGACTGTCCCTTTTGCGCTAATGCAACTTGACGCGAAGCAGCTAGAAGATTCTTCTTCAACGATTCTGTCTCCTGTATATTCCCCTCAAGCTCCTCATGCAGGTCATGGTGTTTTTCCTCCAGGTCTTCATATTTCTACTTGCAGGGAGACGTCAATCCTCCGTTCCTGGTTCGCGAGTGTGTTTCATCGCGCGTCACTGCACCTTCTGCCATATCGTCGATTCCTCTGATGCGAGCAAGAGCCTGCCTTCGAGCTTCAAGACGTGGGTTCACGCATGAAACTAAAAGAAACGGGCGTGGGAAATGGCCAGGCAGCTCACCTGCCCTATCGACTTGCTTCGGTCCCGGACGCCATCTTGTGGGCGAGACAATGGCGACGACGAGACATCGTGGTCGGTAGACGGGTTAAGCGGGGATCCGTATAGGGAGGTTGGCCGCGACTTTGTTTGCCGTGATGGCGTTCTGGGCTTCTAGATTTCCAACGGTTTAGATGATGGCGAGTAACCTTCTAAGTAATGTGGCGTGAATGTAGTACCCTGAACGATGGACTCCTCGCAATCTCCTGTGAGCTTTCAGAGCTACCGTATCCCGTCAACTCAGCGTGGCTTGCCATCGTTCCTGCGTCAAGGTGGGAGGCTTTATTTGACGACGTCGCACTTTCTCAGAGCTTTTGCAACGTTGGGTGAATTTGAAGCCGCGCATGCGAAAGAAACCATTCTGTTGACCGCAACCTTCCCAGTACAGTAACGTCTCGTTTATTTCAATTCCGGTTACTTCAACTTTCGCTTATTTCAACGGTCAGAGGGTTTGGGTTAGGGTTAGGGTTAGGGTTCGGGTAACAATGACTTTGACAACACTGAGAGCACGAGGCTTGAGCACTGAAGAGTTCATTGCTCGCCAGATTCTTAGTGAGGAAGGGTTGGAGGTTATGGGGTTAGCCTAGGGAGTGCCTGTTCACCGAGCTTAGCGTACGTTTTAGTTGCGCACCTGTTTGTATACCCTTAGTATGAGGAGGATTTCAGATATTTCAACTTTCGCTTATTTCAAGGGTCAATGGTGTTGAAATAAACGAGACGTTACTGTAGTAAAGCGTCGAACGCTCGGAATTCGCGTTCCTCAAGTTTGAACATCCCAAACACCATCCCAAACAGCAAAATGCCTTCCCTCACCACCCCAACAACCACCGCCCCGTCGTCACCATCAGCAGCAGCAGACGACCTCCTCCCACCCTATTTCCCGCTCAAATTACGCAAATGCATCGACGTCGCAGACACATTCTTCGCGTGTTTCGAGAAGGTGCGTTAACCGGGGCTGTGGGGGAGAATGGGACGGAGGAGGGCAGGCGGGGAGCCAGGAGTTTTCTGTATCCCGCTGAGAACGATGGGAGGAGGGTGTGCATATGGGCCGAATGTCAGAACCTGCGTGAGTACTCATTCTTTATTTTCCGAACCCCATTACAGGAATCATTTCCCAACGGGGTACAGTATCCCTCACGTGCTCCTGTGGGTTTCGCCCATCCCCGTGATAGCATACTAACATCTTTTTGGAATGTAGGATCCGAATGTAGCCCGAGAAGCGGTTCGGAAGTGCGCGGTGCCGTTGGATGCGTACAAGGCGTGTATGGAGAAGTTTGTGGGGCCGAGGGCGGAGCGGCGGTGAGGAGGAGGGGATAGCAGAGGAATGAGCTTGACGAGGCAGGAGGGAAAAATGGTTGGGTGGACTACTTATGGGCTGAGGATGAGCGGGAGTGCACGTCGATTAGGACCGCCACGGTGAGGGAAGATACGAACGGAAGGACGAGCGGTCTTGCAGAGAGACGCAGGACACATCAGGCCGTTTTGCCGAATGGTGCGCGCAACCTCCGCTTGTGGTTTAGATCAGGACCCCATACCCGCTGCTCTCGGGGTTGCAGAATAGCGCAGATCGTTATAGCCGTCCCTGACTATAGATAGGCGCGAGAACATCCGCCCGGTGTACGAATGAGTGTGCGTATGTGGAATCACACTCAATGATGCGGCAATACTTATGAACCACTGTATGCATGCATTTATGGTAGTGTTCGTACTCAGATGAATCTATGATAAGCAAATGGTATTCGTGATTCAGACACCACAATTCGATATGCTGAGCACGTCAACACGGATTGGTTGCCCTTCATGACCAACCGACTATACAACTCCCATTGGTCATCCCTCCACCCCTCTCCTCGCGAAATGCAAAGCCCTCAGCATCCCATTTATCCCCTCATAGGTGCCACCCGTCCCTCCTATCTCAGTCGGCGGTGAATACTGCTGTTGATGGTGTGTATGTGTAGCCCCAAACGACGGCCCAGCCTCCAGATCAGCCCGCCGACGTGTCTCGTGCAGATCGTACAAATATGTGTTTATGTCAGCGTATGGGTTGGGGTGTTGTAAGTGGGGATTTATGTCATCTGGGGTTGATTGTGAGTGCCGGTTGGGTTGGTGGAGGGAGCGTGTGGAGATGCGTATGGAGCTGAGTGGGTTTTCAGATGGGATGTGATTCTGTTGTGGGGCGTGATGTGGTGGGATGTGGTATTGTTGAATGCGATGTTGTGCGATATCCGGTTGTGGGAAATCCGCCGGCGGATGGGTTGCAAATGTATCTTCAGCAGAGCGGCTTAGCAGCCTGAGGAGAATAACAGCGTGGGGACAAAGCTCTCTAGCATGGTAATGCATGTCCTCCTCCATCAAACACATACCTTTCCTTGACCACAGGCTGTCCCTCCATCGCCTCCACTCTCGCACGCTTAAGATGTTGATGCTGCCCAAAGTCCCCTTCTCCGCCTACATACCCATTCCCTTTCCACCCATTTATCCCACTTCCTCCATTCCCACTATCCATCTCCACACCCTCCCCCTCCCTAGCCTTCCTCTTCAAATTCCTCACTGCCGGCATGGCAAACTCATACCCTGGCCGCTTGTACGAGAAGGAATTATGTAATGGGAGGGGGTATACGGGGCAAGCAAGCATCGGATGATCATCTTCGTCGACGTCGGGATGCGGCCAGGGGGGCGTTGCAGTGTAGGGAGGTGGTGGAGAGGGGACTGCTGTTCCGGGGAACGTTGGGAAGGCGGTGGGGGTTTGGACGGTTGGAAATGACATGCGGGGAGTCTGATGGTTCTGGGAGAAGCCGACTAGGCGGGGTATGTATGCTATGGCCCGTTTGAGTGTCGAGAGGATTGCCTCCGCAGAGGTCTATCGGTGGAGAAAGCCGTGGGAAAATCAGCAGTTTGTGCGTGAAAATGTCCCCGCAACGACGCGTTTATCGTTGCCCGAACTCTTGACAATCTGACCGCGAGGATGAGAAGTTGAGACGGTTCTCCGTGTACTCTCCTCTCAATGCCACCTCGCGACCGCAACGGCATGGCCTGTGCCATCAGGCCCGTTTCCAGCCCTCTAGATCTAGGTACAGAGGTACACGGCATGCCAATCTCACATGCAATGCATATCCATGTGGAAGTCATCACCGTGGGACCACCACGACCATCAGTGATGTGCAACAAGTGAATGTAATCCCAGCGCTCAGATTGACAGGGCCCATCCATTTGAGTCAGGCCCGTGTCTCCGTCCACCTCGCGTAATTGTCCAAAAATCCCTGGGAAAAGGCCCTCCAAACAGGACCCTTGGGTGTCCCATTAACCCCACCGGACGACCAGCATTCAAAAATCTAATCTTACAAAAGCCTGGTGGTAGACAGGGCAAGTCAGTAGGACGTCGTGTGGTGGATACCCCTGTGTTTGGGGAAGCTGCGTTCTGTTGACTTGTGCGTGATCTTGGCAAGGTAGGAATTGGGAGGGGATCATACCCGCAACATTTTCTGCATTTGCAACCCCTGCAACCTGGCCCCTCACTCACCCGTTATGTTTCGCTGTATCAGAAGCAAAAAGCGGCTTCCACAATGCGCGACTCGGAGTTGGGAGAGATGGTGATGGTGTTCGAGGATGACGATGTGGCGACGCAGAAGGATGAGGTTCACGGGACGGACGTATCTGTCTTCGTTAACGGTGACCTTGACGACGACGATGCACGGTCGGATACAACAGTCCCATCCCACCCACCTGCTGTTACCGTCGCCAAAGGGGCCCTGGATATGCTCACGGGAAGGGATATTATCTTGCCCGCTGACGCGTGCTTCATGTCGCATCACGATCATCGACCGTTGCTCGACCCAAGGATAGCAAGGGTCGTCAGTTCCGTGTCCAGTGCTTGCAGGATATCACTGCGAACCGCGTCGATTCTCGTCGAGATCATTTTTGAGTCTCTCAAGTTCTCCGCTACAACATCCTTGTCGTTCACACGCCGAGCGCTGGTTGCCGCTGTGTCCTCAGCGCGTACCGTGCATCTCATTGCCATGGGCAAAGGCCGAAAGTGAGTCAGCAGGCGCCCTCTTTGAGGAAAACGATGCGACTTGCCATGCTGACGCCTTTCTGACGCGCCATAGAGACAGCCTGTCCTTCTTCAAAGTGTTGGACAAGTACACATCTGCTGGCGTCTACGTGATCCACAATGTCTTCTCGTTGGCAGAGCTATTGACGCACACTACATTCCATTTGGCTTCATCGACGATTCAGTTCTCTTTGGAGGTATGGAGTCTATGATAATGGTGTTTACGATCTCAGCATCGCACCTTACATTCGGAGGTTCAGGCGGCAGAAGAATGTGTACAGGTGCTGGATGGGCTCTTCGGGGAGACGGAGACATCGAAGGCATTGGCTGCCTTCATCTGCTTAGTCAAAAAGGAGCTGCGCGGGCATGAGGATGATCTTTTCATCAGTCAAGGAAGATGCGGCAGATTGTCGGCACTGGGCCAGATCACGAAAGCGTTGACGGTGAGTTGCGGTGTACAACCCTGTACTGCCTGGCTCAATAGGGTCGTACTCATCCAGATGAACACCATCAATCAGGCGTACTGCTGTCTGCAATATGTGAATCGGAAGCGCTGGAGACAGTCACTCAAACTTACGCCGATCTTCGAAGGTCATGTGCGGGTTGCGGAACTCGAGGAATTACCAGCGCCAGACATCCCCCGTCAAATCACCGACGGCTCGGAACAGCGGAAGAAAGCGGATGACATGAGCTACACAGATCTACTTTCGCTGGCGCTTCAAAATCCCGACCATCAGCTTACGTCTATGCCACTGAACCGGGCGCGGTTGCTAAATGCAATGGAACGTCGACGGATGTCCAACCCAGAGCGGTGCTCCACGTTGCCAATCCGATTATCGGACATTGATGGTGCTGAACCGCGTCGTGCACTTCTCCAAGATTTGGTCGGACTGAATGGGAATGTTGCTGCCTATGGAGAGCTTTCCGACGCTGACAACTTCGAGAGAACAGAAGATCATCGGCATTCACCTCTCACTTTCGATGGAAGACGCACCCGGACAAAATCTGGCCAAAACATTCCATATCGGTTGCAACCAGAGCAAGTCAGCAATGTACTCCAGATGCTCGAGACAGTGCAAAGCACTAGCCGCGAAAAACATGCCCACAAATGGGAACGACACTATTCCGAATGCAAAACGATGAAGCACAAACTGCGGCCACACTCCCTCGTTCAGTCCACTGCTCCGCTTCTCCTACGACCACCATCACCTCGTCAAAAGCTTTTTGAGAAGATCACCCGCTATGTCCGCTTTGCAAGTGGAGCATACGGAACGAACTTTCTCAAAATTCTGGGGTACGAATATTGGGTTTGAAAACACAACTTGTTTCATATTTTCAAACATAGGCTCACCTCCCGTTTGCAGAATTGGGAGAGCGCGGGACTTCCTCCTTGAACATTCGACGGACCATCACAACCACCAAAGCTTTGCCTTTCACACTGACGTGCCAGTGGAGCATATCCTCACGTCCTCTTTTCGTGATCCAACTGTGCTGCATCCGCCATCGTTGATTGCACCAGTGCACTATCTCGTTGTGGATGCCAAAACCTCCGCGGTTGTTGTTAGTTTGCGTGGAACCCTAGGTCTCTCCGATTTGATCACAGTACGTTATGACGGAGCCTCCCGAACCTTATATACCGCCGTCTTTGTTGACCCGAGGTATCTCAGGATTTGACAAGCAGCTACTCCGCATACACAACTTTCGATGGGCATCCGGGCAAAGTGCACTCGGGAATGCTCGCATCAGCAGAGAAAATAGCTCGAGGACCCGTTCGGAAAGCAGTCTGCGAAGCATTGATCAAGCATCCTGGATTCAGCCTTGTGCTCACCGGGCACAGTCTAGGCGGTGGGGTTGCTGCACTGCTGGCACTTCTATGGTCGCGAAAGTCGCTGGACAACAATGGAGAGCACGTGTTTGTCACAAGTGATTCGAGTGGCTTCCCTGAACGACAAGTTCACTGCTTCGTTTATGTGAGTATGGACTTGGAGTGTCAGTCTGCAAACGGGACTTAACTGACAAATCGAGCGGTCCCAGGGTTCACCGGCAGTCATGTCACTCGACCTCTCCAATCACTATAAGCACCTCATTACCTCTATCATTTATCGTGGGTACTGATGCCGCGTCTTCATGCGTTCCAGAATCCTTTCCTAATAGTTATCTAGGCCATGATATCGTCCCATGTCTGTCGCTTGGACTGTTGCGCGACTTCCGAAATGTCGCTGTCAACCTGTGCCAGGAGCAGGGCATGGCAGAGCGGGTCATCGGTAACGTTCTTGGTGTATTTAAAAAGTATCCCTCCGCCACTCCGCCGGAAGAAGCAAACCATGAAGATGATTTGTGGTATTGGGCTTTGCTGAAAACGCTTCGAGCTGACATGTGCGCCGAAAAGCTGTATCCACCGGGTTCAGTGTAAGGGCAGGCCCTGGAAGCTCATTACTGGCTTGAGGCTCACTTCATTTTGGATTTCAGATACTGGATCGACGCCACGACACCGGCAGTCACAGCAGCATCGTTTTCTGATCTTCATGGTCCTCCATCTCCATCGGCCGCCCCAGCGGCGGACTCTTCGAAACCGCCCAAGAAAGCCACGGCGCTCACGGTGCACGAAGTTGACGATGTGGAAACGGCCTTCTCGGAATTCACTTTCTCCCGGACAATGTTCCTAGACCAGTGAGTCCAAGTCTTGGGAGAAGCGGGTTCTGTTATGAAGTCGCAATATTTACTTGATGTTTCACGCCAGCTCGCCATACTCGTACGAAAGAGCTTGCGGAGCACTCACGGCCGCCATGAAGACTCAAGAATGGGAGTGAGCTCGGCATTTTATTCGACCGTCGGACACTTATGCAACTGGACAATTATGAGCCGGACGACCCGCGTTGCGTTTGACATTGAACCTTTTCGGCACACGGACATTTCCGATTTGTCACCGTACTTGCGGACATTTTTGCTTTTTTCCCTTCATTCGGACTTTCGACGAACAATTTTTCTCATCCCTGTACAATCTCTTTGTCCCCACACGCGATGTGCGATGTGGTCCCATGACTTATTTTCGTTCCCATGTATATTTCCTTCCCATATTTCCCGAGACCAGCCCCCATCCTTCTGGGATGGCGCACGACCCAGGTTTCATGTAGCCATACTCAATCCTATATTTTTGATACCATGTTGTTTCATCCTCGGGAAGTAGATCCCGGGTCTTGTTACTGACTATCTTTTAACTCAAAGGACGTCTCCCAGAAACACAATGTTGAGGTCGCGGAAAGCGGATTTGATTGCGGTCGTCTCAAATCATGCAAGTTTTATGTACTGTACAGCGTGGAGGATGCAAAGATGCATTATCAAGGGTCGGGCCTCGCTTTGACTTATCGATAACGATCTACAGCTCCACCAAAGGGGAACAGGGGCACAGGCGCTTCGCTTTATCAACGATTCGGAAGCAGAATGAATGGCGGACACATTCTCGTTGTTCCACGCGGACTGCACTCTCGTTATGATTGTGCTGATGGGTGGAGGGGGCGTGTCTATCACTACGGGGCCATGTCGACCGTGACAGGGTGTGCATACTACGACCCATGGCGTTTGCTCCTGCTAGCGTATCTTGCCGTTGAACTGCCAGCCAAGCGACGTCGTGGAGAGGTAAGGCCGAGTGACCAGCAGTGGGCAGTTCCGGTGGTTGGACAACCGACAGACTGAAGCGTAATGAGGCCCCTGCGAGGAGCGGTAACCGCAGGCCAACTCTGCCCAGGTGCCCACCCTGCAGCGCCCGTGGTTGACGGTTCAACAGTCACGCCGAACAGAGCTCCGATCATAAGACGATATAATCGGAAAGATGCCCTCCCCCAGAATGCAGCGGCAAGCTCAGCTCCGCTTTCCGAAGCGCGTCCTCGAACGTCGCAGGTATCCCTTCCGCTTGCCCGTCCCTGATGTTTATGACACCGACGTCCACTTCCGCCTCATGCCCCTCAGCCCCATTTGCGCCACTAATATCGAGCGACGGTGCAGCATCCTCCTCTTCTATGTCCTCGCCAACCTTCCATACAGCGACCGCGTCGATGATCGCCCTCATATTCGCCAGCGTATGTCTCAGATTCACAACAGGAAGATGTAGATGATTCATCAACTGTTCGATATCCTTGTTCAACAAGAATACAGCGTAGTCGAACCGTATCCGCTCCACACCCTTGGAATACAACGGGAGAATTTTACTGCCGGTATAGTGCTCCGAGACGGTATCGGTGACAGTCGAGCGGGATGACATGGATCTCAGGGGGTATCTGAGTGGGACGTCAAGATAGTGGGCTATCATGTTCAGAAGATGGGAGCTGAATCCGAGGGCGGTAGCTATTTGGTCATCGTCGTGGCCTGCGAAATTTGAATTGGGAAGCCGGAGTCCCCGTATCGTCCAGGCGTCGCCGTCGCTGTCGATGGGTAATATGGATGCGGCGCCTGCAATGAGATCTTTGCGTCGTCGGCGGATCTCTGCAGCCATCGATGCGACGGACTCTTCTGTTTCGCCCAATGACATGTGATCCTGCCTCAGCTCGCTCGTCTGCTCCACCAGCTCTTCCCAGAAGGATGATAGGCCTTCTTCACTCGACAAACGCTTCTTCGGCAGGTCCGACGCATCCTTTCTAAGCTTCTCCACCTCTTCTGTGTCTACTTTCAGTTTTTCCCTTATCAGATTCAGCCGGTGAGAAAGATGCCGATGCTGTTCCATCCGGTCCCGCCGGCTGCGATGCTTCGAGCAAATCTCTTCCGCCTTCTCAATAAGACCGGACACGTCCTGCTGCTCATGACATAGCTCCCGCTGCGCTGCCAGCACGGCCATGAGCGTCTCATAGGAATACGAGTTGCGCGATGCTGCGGAATGCACCGAGACCTTGGTCGGCTCTGAATGATCAGACTCCGACGCAGGCATGTCCCTTGCGGGAACATAGAATCGTCCACCAATCTCCAAAAAGATAGCGTTGCGTTCCGACGCTTGTGGCTCATGATCTATGCTCGTCCTTATGCATTTGAGCCGCTGTAGATCCACCACCACCTCATCGCAACATCCGAAGGGTTTTTCAGAGTGTTTCGCGGCCCAAACTTTGAGCACGAACTGTGATCCGGACCATGGCGTCTGGCGTGAGCACGCAGAACGATCAACCGACTGCCACTTCGGGTTCCGAGACGCCTCGATGACTTCGCTGATATAAAAGGGTGAATCGTCCGGTTGGGACCGCGCGGTATCGACGGGGGAAAGTGTATAGTACGCGTCCAACAAGTCGGTCGATGTCGCTGTTTTGCTTGCTCCGTAGCGTTCGTCGAAGAGGCGTTGCGCACTCATGGAACGACTGATGCGTCTGATGGGCTGCTGGAGGCTGGGATGCGAGGACTTTCGCCGTCGCGCCAGGATTTGGGTGATCGCAAGGCTTCCATGAGGTGGTGTAGGTGATGCGGGCGCTCCATCGGAGCGATTGCTCTTCGACGACCCATCGTTATTATGTGTGACGACTGCCCTTGGCCCAACTTCCAAGGGCTTTTCCAGATTCCTTATAAAGATGCAGTCCAAGTGCCGGATCCTTTTCTGCACGGGTCGACATGGGGGGTTTGAGAGTTCAGCAAACCGGGGGGTTGAGACCAGCGATAACAGGACCTACCGTTTGACTGTTGCTGTCGATGGCTGACCCGTTATTCATGCTACATGAGGATGCTAGCCGTCAATACGAAGGCCGTTGTCCCGCTTTATCTTGGGCTCCGCAGATCGCGAACTGTCGAGGAATGTGATCTCTGGCTTGCGGAGAGTATGCTTGTGCAACTTCCGCCCAGAGTCCGCCGACTGCTCAAAAAGTGACGTTTACCGCGCTTGCACCAAGTTGTACGTAACCGTGCGGGAATATCATGCAAGAGAGGGAGAAGGGCTATGGAAAAAAGCACAGAAACCACTCCTAGAAGGTGGGCAGGACAGGAAAGACAGTATGATCTCGTTCGATGGTGCCAGTTGCCGATTCCTTGCATTCATTGTGGACGCAGCGTAAACCCCAACATCCCAAGCTCGTGCAAGCAGCAGATCTATAATATTAACAATTCGGAAGAGTAACCTATGTGCATTTACAGTTGAAGCCATGGGCCGGAAACAAAGTACATGCCCTTTCCGGCAGCAAAGTATCCAGGATATAGGGGATTGCCAGAAGTGAGTGAATTCACGACCTCTATCAAGTACGCCACCGAGTAAGTACGCCAGTGCGGGTACATGAGCTGTCGAAGAGCAATGTCATGCTTCGACTAGTACCGGGAAGGAGTCGCTACTCAAAGACTGGCCGATAAAGCACCCAATACGCCTGCTACGAATGCGCCAGCCAGTGCAGACCAAGATCCGCCCAACACCTGCTTAGCCGAGTTGGGAGCTAAGCTATCGGGGTACACGGTCAATGGGCTAGCAGTCAAGATCTTGAACGGCCTGCTGTTCACCGATCCAGGGAACGTATCGGGGATGCAGTTGGAGGTGCTCGCCGCGGGCCGCTGTGGGTCGATGTCGTCAGCAGCGATATGGAGGAGGAAGGTGCCTCCCTGCATGGATGGAATGATCCACTGGTAGCTAGTGGCCTTTGGTGGGATAGCCTCGTCGATGGCAACCCATCCGTCAGCAGTGACCGGGCCGGGAATGCTGCGTTGGTAGTAGAGCGCTATTTTCTTGGCTGGGAACCGTGACCTGTCCGTGAGGTCGCTGTAGCCCCAGGTGACGTTCAGTGCGTTTCCGATAGAGCCATATTGGTTCGGGTTTGGGTCAATGATGTTGAACTGGCCCTGAGAGCTCCCACAAGGTGGTAGAGGCAGCGCTGAAGGGGTGGGGGTGGTCGAAGCGGAAGCACTGGGAGTGACCGTCACATTACCGGTGGCGGCAGGTGGTCGAGCAGTGCCAGAGGCGGACACGCTGGGTGTCGCTCCCGACGGCGCTGGGCTAGCAGGAGCCAATGGTGTTGGCGCCGGAGCCGGTGCCGGTGCGGGCTGAGCATTGACAAATACTGCAAGGAGTAGGCAAGCAACGACGGACAAGGTAATGGCCCTTGTCATGCTGTAAAGGTTTTTGTTGTTGACCATGTCTGGGAACTGGTGTCAGGAGGAGTGTGAGCCTCGTGAAAGAACTGCGACGGGAACCTGGCCGATTGTAGTAGAGCGTCTGGAACTATGCAGTGGTAAGACAACGAGTTTTGATGCCGATGCAGCAAGTGTGGCTAATGTCAAAGCTTGCAGAATGGGGGTTGCTGCGAGAGCCTGCGAAGTCTTTTGTGGCCATACCGCTCTCTTTTGCCTTCGCCCGAAACAAATCACAGGGGTGGTGTGCCGCTAACAACGTAGGCCGCATGGAAGACGCGTTCCCATAGATCAGAACAGCCCCAAGCTGACAAGAGAAATAAGGGCTTAAATCTACGATGGAGACTCAGATATGTACAAGACTATGCAAGATATATACAATTGGTGCAAATCCATGGAAACTCGCGGGCACTTGCGTGCGCAGAATTTCTACTTTCCGGCTCTCACCCACTCAGCAGCCATATCGGCCTTTCTCACAATCTCCCACGTCTTCGCCGCCGCTTTGTACCACTCCCTCTCTGACATCAGATACCAAGCAGGAACGCCAGATGGAGTAAAAGATGAAGCTCCGGCGCTAGTCAGATGCGCCTTAGACGACGTTGGTGTCTCCGAAGGTGCCGACGTCATCCCTGGTCTTCCGCTGTGGTTCGAATGTGTCTGGCTTGGTAGAGGTGATGTTGCCACCTGCTCGTGTGGGCCAAGACCCTTCCTCCTGCCCAGCACCGAAGCAGCTGGTGGTGAGGCATGAGGTGTCATGTTCATCTGTACAGCAGGCTGATCAACCCCGCCTTCCGGATTCATGGTGCTCGTAGTAGTGTGGGTATTCTGCTGTTGGGTATCTGTATGACTGCCAGCCCGGGAGAGTTTACTTGTAGGCGTAGGAGCGGGGGTCGAGGGTACGTAGCGAGGCGTCTCGTAAACCTGAGTGAGAAGGATGGACGCCAGGGTATCATAGCGCGCGGGAATGCCAAAACCAATCAGGCGAGATGCGAGGGATCGCCGTTTTCGAGGACTCATGCTGACATCTGGCGCGGTATTCTCTGAGTCTTGTGAGTTTTCTGATATTCGAGGAAGTAGGAAAACATTTCCTTGAGAAGTTCCAATGCTATTGATGTTGGCATCCGACGGCGGGTACATCTTGGGAAACGCGTGTCTCAGTCCGATCGTCGGATGCCCCGACACTCCCGCTCGCGCCCCCTTGAATCTGGCCACAAATGCTTTTTCCGTCAAAGCAAGCGCATGTCTTTCATAGGCTGGTCCGGTGCAGTTCGTCCTCACAAACACGAGCTGGGGACGTGCTTCGTCCTTGTTGCCACTGGATGATGGAAACAGACGATGCCGCAAAGCCTCAACTCGGTGAAGAAACGAGAACGTATCTTCGTCGACGAGGTGCCGGAAAGATTGCTGCCGCTTGTGCGTGGTCGCATCCCCTCCATTCGCGAATTCCGTAAGACCGCTGCGCGATGCACTCTGCAACAACAGAGGCTGAATATTCTCGAGCTCTTCCTCAGCGGTGAGGTTAGCTCCGTCGCTATTCAGTGATGGGCTCACGATGAGTAATACGTGACAGACTGTAAACATGAACGTGGCAACCCTGATCGACTCCATGGTATCCTGCCTTCCCAACTGCTGTGTTGAAGGGGTATGTCCTACCAGCGACTGCGAATCCAGAATTACTACACGCTCTGGTGTTATGTGTAGATCGATCCCTGCTGTGGGCAACTGCGACGACGGACTTGCCGTCGGGTTCAAGAAGTGGGAGACGAGAGTGCTTTTGCCGGAGTCTCTCGGACCAATGACACCGACAATAAAGGAGCCGGGTATCTCGGATAAGGAGCGATGTATGGCCTCTGAGGTCTGGAACCGAAAATATTGGTCCACAAGCTTATGCGTTCGAGTTGCTGTGATGGGTAGTTGCTGCTGCGCGTACAGTCTTTGCGGCTCGTGAATATGGGCTGGCTCGTCTGCAAGCTTTGTACCTGTTGGGGTTGAGTGATGTTCGGGTTGCCCTGCTATCGCTTGTGCTGGGGGCCTTCTGAGTAAGAGACCTGTCGGCATTATGGTGGGCTTCGAGAGTTGTCCGCCACCGCCGCCGGATTGCGGTCTCCTTTCCAGCAATGGACCGTTTTCCGCATTTTTCCTTCCCTTGTCTCTGCCCCTTCCACGTTGGTCTCCCCTCTCACGGTCACGGTCACGGTCGCGGTCACGCTCACCATCCGGGTCTCTCTGACGGTCGTGTTGCCCTCCACGACGGGAATGTTGACCTGATCCCGAGCCGGATCTCTCGACCCTGGTGCCGGAACCCCCTTCCGCGCGGCCTGCCAAGCTTCTTTCCACGCGCGGTTGTCTTCCATCGTTCGCTCTGCTGTCTGCGGTTGCTGCATCATCTCTGTCATCGGGTGCAATCGTCAGGGTCCGCAACTCACTAACTCCGCTACGGTTTGGTGAATGCTCATTCGGAGGAGCTTGCTGTCTCCGGCGCGGTGCCCGTCTGTTGGCTGACTTTGGCGATCCGGAGGCAGTGGACGGCGGTCCTTGTCCGCCTTCTGAGAACTCGTCCCTCCGTGAGTGCCATCCCTGCAAAGGTTCCGATAGCTTTGAAGGCTGAGCCGACAACGAGACTGCCTGAGACGGCGGCTGGGGTGGGTTCAGACCGTGGGGCGGGTGGGGCGGTTGAGGAGGACGAGGAGGTTGTGGTGGCTGAGGCGGACGATTAGGCTGCGGCGGTCGAGGCGGCGTCGATGACATGCCCTCTGCGTTTCGATACTTTCCGGAAATGCCCGTCACTGTCGCTCAAAATGGTGGACGGGCAGGACAGTCCCAAACCCCTCTAAGGAAAGCGCCGCAATAGATAATAACAACTACATCACGTGACTCAGTCCTGTTTAGTGGCTGCTGTCGCGTGTTTTACAGTTCCCATCATGTACAGTACTGTATATGTACCGAGGTGCGAGCAAAGCGCATGAATAGCGGTGAAACTGGCAAATGGTGCCATGTGTTTTCTCCTGGGGACGGTATCCTATTAAAGGGCCAACATGTTTGCTCAGTCCGAGGACCCGGCGTGACCGTCTAGGCGATGCCATCCTGAAAACCCGGTAAAATGAAATGGCCCTTCTACTTCGACTGAGCCATATGTGTCTCTGATTTGGTTCCTCGCATTGGTAAGCTGATAATACGCCAATTCTCAGAGAATTGGGTATGTTGAAAGAGTATGCCATCTCGGTTTTTTTGTCAGATAGACAGCTATTGCTTGCAGCACGTTCGTGGACCCGCAGCACTGCAAGAGGAGAAAACCTGCACGATCGAGACTATATATGTATATATACCTAATGTGCGAGGTGTGAATGAAGCTGCCATGCACTGAGCGCAGACATTGTCGTCCGAGCAATTGACAGAATCAGGACTTGCATTGTGGGACAGGGTGGTGTAAAAGCATTTCAAAATGCCAAAATGTGCAAGCTGCTGCCCAATTTGGGCAGCAGATCACATGAGCCTGCACTAGTGACGACGCGCGTGTTGGCGAGTCGGACAAGCATCGCACATTTGGCGATATGAAGTCCGAGCGACCTTCAAACCCTATACATAACTTGGTTCTCAATATTAGCCCAATTCAACCAATGAACCCCAAGTACTTCCAAACAGCAAGGGGTCTTGGGGGCCCTGCAGTCTCCTTCCATGGGGGTGTTTTCATTCCCGAGATGAGGACAGCAAGCAAGGATAGCTGCAGGTAAACTATATCCGAACCTCGTTCACTTCACAAGTCATCCCATTTACGATCCCTGTTGCAGACTGTACGATCCCAGCAGTCTGTTAGAAGCCCTCGGAGTTCCGAAGCTTCGGGTCCGATGTGAGAAAGGGCCCACAATGTTCGTAAAAGCAATGTGCTATGGGGAGACACAGAGCACATTGAAAACCTTATGTTCGGCCGATGGAATCAAGGAGGTCCTTATAGTGCATGGGAAAGCTGTTGTTCGCTCCATTTTAGCTCAGGGTCGTGTCAGTACTGCACTTCTTTGCCTTCCGACTTCAATCGGTGAATCAGCTGAAGGTAGAGAGGACGACCCAGCCGATGACATGGAGAGTGGTTCGGACACCATCGGGAGTGGTTCGGGGAACATTCGGAGTGGTTCAGAGAACATTGGGACAGCTGGACATCCTTCTGGAGGTATGCACGAGATCCCATTCAACAAACAAGCAATGGACAAAATGACCAAGTGTTACCAAGCCTGGATTCAAACCCCTCGGCTGAATGAGCAACCTGTCTCTCGTACTGCAAGTGTTCGCTATACCCATCAATGAGCTGGGAGTCACCGAGAAGAGTGGGATGAGACATGTCGAACGACCCACTCAGGAACTTGCGTCGCCCGTGGACAAAGAATGATCACTCCAGTGAGCGAGGTGGCCGGTTCGAATGCCTGCAGGTATGATGATACTGATGTTGTCGTTGAAAGCATCCCACTAATCTTGGCCTCCATGCAGGGCTCCTGGGGCAACTGCTGTTCACCGGGCTTACGCCAAGCATGGCATCGCCAAACTCATTCATGCGATGGCATGGATCGCCTCTGTTATGATCTCAACGACGGAGGCGGAAGCGAAGTAGAGAAGACAGGGCGAGAGCGATAGGCGACAAGAGATTGTAATGGCAAAACAAGAAACAAGGACTAGAACAGGAGATGAGAAGAACTGGTGTTGATCTGCTGGGGAGGAAGGGAATGGACGAAGAGAGGCCGGCTATTTATAGATGGGCAACCCAGCAGATCAGAGAACAACAACAACAAGAGGGGACTTGGGGGGCGCCAGCTATGCTCCTAGAGCGTGCGTGGCGAGCGTAGAGAGCATTGCTACAGCTGCTGGCTATGAGGAAGTAGTGGGGGGTGTGGAGAAGCCGAGGGGGGATTGGCGAAATGAGAGGAGAGAGGAGGAGTGGCGATATTGCAAGAGGATTGGCGAAATGAGAGGAGAGAGGGGGAGTGGCATTGACATTGACATTGACACTGACATTGACATTGACATTGACACTGACATTGACACTGACATTGACATTGACATTGGCGTTTGACATTTGGCGGTTGACATTGGCGGCCGTCAGTAGGTAAGCTTATGGTATGGGCTCGTCGTCCATAACATCACCCTTCTCTTTAGCGGCCGCGGCGGCGGCGTCGAGTTTGGTGTGGCCGCAGAGGAGGTGCTACAGGGACAGAGGAAGGCTTGTTGGGGTACGCGCTGTGGAAGTCCTGGAGGAGTGCGTCGGTATGGGTGAGGTGTTCCACGGGCTCCCAGGTGTTCTCAGAGTCAGGCCAGCCCTGCCCTTTGACCAAGTACTGAAGGCGACGACGATGGATGCGAGAGTCAAGGATGACTTTGACAACCCACTCTTCTTGACCCTCAACGGTCTCTGGGGGCGCGGGTTTGGGTTCGTGTCGTTTGGGGATGGTGAAGCGGGGTTCGAGAAGCGAGACATGGAAGACATCGTGGATTTTGTACGTAGGCGGGAGCTTGAGCCGGTAGGCGACGGGATTGATTTTTTCAACGATGGGGAATGGCCCAATCTTGCGATGGTCGAGTTTCTGAGAGGGCCGGGTTGTATGGAGGTTTTTGCGGAGGAGCCAGACGTGGTCGCCATGCTTGAAGTCCGGTCCAGGAATTCGTTTGGCGTCGGCGTAGCGCTTCATTTGATCTTGGGCTTTCTTGAGCTCGAGGGCGAGCTGTTCATGGACTTCCCTGATTTGTTTAGCGCGGGCTTCCGCGGCGGGGTTGACGGATTCGGAGGTAGCAGAGGCCGCAAAACTGAAGCGGGGGTGGAGACCCTTGTTGGCGTAGAAGGGGGTGGTCTGGGAGGCAGACTGATGGGTGTTGTTGTAGGCGAACTCGGCGGACGACAGAAGCTGTTTCCAGTTGTCCTGTTGGTGGTTGCAAAAGCATCGGAGATACTGCTCCAGGATCTGGTTGGTGCGTTCTGTCTGGCCATCGCTCCGGGGGAGGAAGGCCGAGGAGAGGTTGGCTTTTGCCCCAAGGAGTTCAAGAAGTCGACGCCAGAACCGGGACTTAAACTGGGGTCCTTGGTCAGAGATGACGTCGTCGGGAGGCCGTGGAGACGGATGATGTTGTAGAAGACTAGGTCGGCGGTGGATTTGGCGGATTCTGACTCGCTGCAGGCGATGAAGTGGGCCATCTTGGTGAGGCGACAGTTGACGTTCAGGATGGAGTCGTACCCGTCCACGGGAGGCAGACCGGTGATAAAGTCCAGGGACCAAGATCCCCAAGGGCGGGTAGGGATACTGTTGGGCTGGAGTAGGCCGTATGGTTTGTGTCGACTGGATTTCGCTTGGCTACAGGTATCGCAGGACTTGACGTAGGCCTTGACGAAGCGCCACTGGCTGGGCCACCAGTAGTTGCGGGAGGCGAGTTCGAGCGTCTTGGACATCCCAAAGTGGCCGGCTAGGGGAGTATCGTGCATGTCGTGGCAGACTTCAGCTCGGAGCTCGTTGGTGGGGACATAGACCAGGTTATCGTGCAGCAGGATCCCATCTTCATCTGAGAACCGCTTGATACGATCTTGGGTTTCCTCAGTTCGTTGGGCGAGGGGTATCTTGAGCTTTTCGCGAATGGCCTTAGCGAGGAGATCAGAGGCCTGGGCGGCCTTAATCTTGTCAAGCAGCGTGGTATCCATGGGTGTGAGGTAGGCAGCCGCGAGTCGAAGGCGTTCGGGAGTCAAAATTGTGGTTGCCTGGGAGCGGAACGCTTCTTCCCCCTTTTTTTGCTCATGTTCGGAGCGTCGGGAGAGGGCATCGGCTTGGTGCTGCTGGGAACCGGGGCGATAGGTAATGACAAAGTCAAAATCCGAGAAGAATATCGACCAGCGGGCTTGGCGGCGGTTCAGGGTGCGGGTGGTCATGAAGTACTGAAGGTTTTTGTGGTCGGAGTAAACGGTGATCTTGTGACGGGCGCCAATGAGATGGTGGCGCCACTGGGCAAAGGAGTCTTGGATGGCCAGAAGTTCCTTGTCGTAGATCTCGTAGTTGATCTCTTCGGCCGTGAATTTGCGAGAGTGGAAGGCCACGGGGTGGAGCTGATTGTCCTGGTCAGGTTGGAGGAGAACTGCGCCAAGAGCGAAGTCGGAGGCGTCAGTTTCGACGACGAAGGGCTTCTCTGGGTCAGGGTGAGCAAGGATGGGGGCGGTGGTGAATGCTTTCTTCAGGTTCTCGAAGGCGGTGTTTGCGGCGGGTGTCCAGGCGTACGGGATGTCTTTCCGGGTCAGGGACTGTGAGCGGGGTAGCGATCTTGGAATAACCTTGGATGAATCGGCGATAGAAGTTGGCAAAGCCGAGGAACCGCTGGACGCCTTTGACAGTCTTGGGAGGTTCCCAATCCGTGATGGCAGCGATCTTCTTGGGGTCCATCTGGATGCCTTTCTCGGAGATGATGGAGCCTCGGAACTCAACGGATTCGCGGTTGAATTCGCATCTCTCCGGTTTGGCGTACAACCCATGCTGTCGGAGGCGGGACAAGACTTCGCGGACATGTTTGGGGTGATCTTCGGGGTTCTTGGAGAATATCAGGATATCGTCGAGGTAGACGACAACAAACACATCGAGAATGTCGCGGAAGATGTCGTTCATCAGGTACTGGAAGACGCCAGGAGCATTGCTGAGTCCAAAGGGCATGACATTGTATTCAAATAGGCCGTAGCGGCAGCGGAAGGCGGTCTTCCATTCATCGCCCGGGCGCATGCGTAAGAGGTTATAAGCGCCGCGGAGGTCGATCTTGGTGAGACGGCGGGCGCCGCGCAAACAATCCATGATACCGTTGATCAGGGGCAGGGGGTAGCGATTCTTCACCGTGATGCTGTTCAGGCCTCGATAATCGACGCAGAGGCGGAGAGAACCGTCCTTTTTTTTCACGAATAAGACTGGTTACCGGCAGGGGACTTTGAGGGTTTGATGAATCCTTTGGCGAGGTTTTCTTCGAGGTATTCGCAGAGTGCCTTCATTTCTGGTTTGCTGAGGCTGTAGATCGGGCCGAAAGGTGGCTGCTTGCCTTCTTCCAGATCGATTGGACAGTCGTAGGGCCGGTGCTCGGGGAGAGTGTCAGCATTTCTCTTTTCGAAAACGTCGGCGAAGTCTCAATACTCAGGGGGCAGGAAGTCTTTGATGTCTTTCTCGGGTGTCGGGGGTTTACTGGGGCTAGGAGAGGCTGGGAGATCGGGTTTCGCAGGGTTGGCGTAGCCGACAAAGACCTGGTCATGGCTTGCTGCGACCCGGGAGGCTGGGGCGGAGATGAACGAGACTCGGAGCGGCGTGGGAGCCGGTCCTGGGGTGCTGAAGCGAGATACCTTGGGTACTGGAATCGACCATGTTTCGTCGACGGGGACTTCATCCTGGGGGATGCGGATCAAGGGCTCGGGGGTTCTGGCGGGTGCTGGGCTTGGGGGTGCTGGAGAGTTGTCCCAATTCGCGAATTCATGGTACAGACAGTCGCAACGGAAACCGACCGAAAGGTTCTTGAAGTCAAGGTTAATGTCGTGGAGGCGGAGCCAGGGGAGACCAAGGGGGATTGGAGCATGGGGTGATTTGGTGACATGGAAGACAAGTTCTTCGAAGTGGTCGTCAACCCACATGCCTACTGGTTGGGTGTGATGGGTGATTGGCCCAGCAGAACTGGGTTGACCGTCAACGAGTTCGATCTGTCAGGGGACGCTGATGTTGGACTAGGGGGATGCGGTGTTTGCGGGCAAAGTCTCTGTCGATGAAGCAGGACAGGGCACCATTGTCGATCATGGCTGAGGTAGGTATTGGGGCGCGGCTGGATGATACCATGATGGTAACGGGGTAGTTGAAGGGTTCGAGGGGACCCAGCGCAAGCATGGCGTGGGGGTTAATTCCGGAGTTTTCGACAAGGGCAGCGGCTAGGAGGGTTGTGTCGGCTATAACGGAGTTGGGAACCAGGGGGGTGGCCTCTCCCGTTGCAGGAGCTGTGAGGTTAGGAGGCCCGGGGCGGTGTGTGTTGTCCAGTCGCTGGGGCTTTACTGCGGCTGGACTTTGGGAAAACCCTGTTTGGTGGAGGGTTCTTTGATGTCGACGTTGGCGGCACGGATGGTGGTCTTGTTCTTGACGGGGCAGACTTTTGCAATGTGCCCCGCACCACCGCAGTAAAGGCAGAGGCTGTTGGAAATGCGGCGTTGGCGTTCCTGAGGGCTCAGAGGGCCGCGGGGACAAGCGGCGTCAATCTGCATAGGCTCGCTGTGGTCGACAGTGGTGGTAGTAGTAAACGAGGTATGGGGAACCGGGAAGGTCTGGCGGCTTCCGTTTCGCTCCAGGCGGCGCTCAAACAGCCGGTTATCGCACTGGATAGCCTGCTCCATCACCACATCAATGGTGGCCGCAGGGGGCATTGTGAGCATCAGGTCTTTGACGTCTTCTTTGAGGCCACGGCGGAAGGTAGCGATCAGGGCCTGGTCGTTCCAGGAGACATCGCATTGTAGCTGGCGGAACTCAGCGACGTACTCGGTTGCTGCACGGGTTTGGCGAAGGTTCTGGAGCTTGTTTTCAGAGGTGCGGACCGTGTCGCTGTCTCCGAAGACCGATTGCATCTGACTGATAAAACTATCGAAGTCCTGAAGGCTGTGATCTTGGCGTTCGACTAGGGGCGCCATCCAGGCTTGCGCAGTGCCGGTGAGGTAGGTGCCAATAGTTTGGATCTTGATGATGTCGCTGGGGTAGCGGTCGGGCTGGAGAGCAAACATCAACCGGATGTTGTTCAACTACCCACGGAATTTGCTGCGGGTACCATCAAACTTCTCGGGCGAGCTGATTCTTGGCTCCAGAGCAGGGTTGGTGGCTTGGGGAAGGGTGTACGTATCGGCTTGAACCTGGGCGGCGATGCTCTGGGCAGCTTGTGCGTCGGCTTGGGCTTGCGCTAGGTTGGCCTGCAAGTTGGCGTTTTGGCTTTGCAAGGCGGCGATGGCTTGGCACATATCGTTCCATTGCTTGGCGGTGAAAGGTACGGATTCGGGTTGGGACATGGCGAAAAAGGTTTGTCGGATGCAGGGCTGGACGGGTTCTGAACTTCGCAGTGTTGGAGCAGATCAAACTGTTATGATCTCGACGACGGAGGCGGAAGCGAAGTAGAGAAGACAGGGCGAGAGTGATAGGCGACAAGAGATTGTATTGGCGAAACAAGAAACAAGGACTAGAACAGGAGATGAGAAGAACTGGTGTTGATCTGCTGGGGAGGAAGGGAATGGACGAAGAGAGGCCGGCTATTTATAGATAGGCAACCAAGCAGATCAGAGAACAACAACAACAAGAGGGGACTGGGGGGGCGCCAGCTATGCTCCTAGAGCGTGCGTGGCGAGCGTAGAGAGCATTGCTACAGCTGCTGGCTATGGGGAAGTAGTGGGGGGTGTGGAGAAGCCGAGGGGGGATTGGCGAAATGAGAGGAGAGAGGTGGAGTGGCGATATTGCGGGAGGATTGGCGAAATGAGAGGAGAGAGGGGGAGTGGCATTGACATTGACATTGACACTGACATTGACATTGACATTGGCGTTTGACATTTGGCGGTTGACATTGGCGGCTGTCAGTAGGTAAGCTTATGGTATGGGCGCGTCGTCTAGTAGGTAAGCTTATGGTATGGGCGCGTCGTCCATAACAGCCTCCCCCGATGAATATTATTCCAACCGAGACACGATCAAGGGTCTCACCGATATCGACAAGGCATATCTCTCAAAAGACGATTGCTGGTCTACCCACACCCACATTTAGAATTCGACAGTTGATTGCCACTTCGATGTCGAGGACAAGGGTTTCACAGCTCAGTACACCTTTGGCGACTTCGACGATGGGGGAGATCTTGAACTCATCGATGCAGGTTTTGTTCTGAAGCAGGAAGTGGGTACCTTAACCCTGTTCCGAGCCGATCTTCTTCATCATTCAGTGACCGACTACTCGAGGGGGAATCGGTATGTGCATTCGATGTATATGCAAAAAAAAGTACGCAACGCTGTACAGAGGAAACCTGGGGATGCCGAGTCGTAGAGTCTGTTTTTGTATGTACTGTACTTTGTATCAAATATATTCGAGTCTTTTTGAATTATTTTGGTGAACTGCTATCTACGCCTACTTCTACGTGTGCATGTTTACGTGGGGTCGTTGTCGGTGTAGAGCTTGGTGTTGCCAAGTGTACAGTGGTTGCGATACTTGCTGTACGCTCAACAACATCGTGATCAACCCGGTGAAAGGAGCGAATGGCAAGGTATGGTGTTGCGGTTGTGTCGGCACGAGCCCTTTTCCCCGCGAGTGTTGTGACTTTACTGGCTTGAGTACGTGTCTGGCCGGTTGACCACTCGCTCAAGTTGGTGATGTCTTTGCAGTAGCTCTTTTGTTCGTAAGAGTGGCCGTGTGCGACGGGTCGGGAGTATCCAAGCTGGCCAGGTACGCTCATCTTGTGCTGGAAGCGGTGCCAAGGATCAGCCATTTTGCATCTGCCACCAAAAATTGTGACATGTACCTTGTGGACGATGAGAAGCTTCTTCAGCGCAAGGAAAGCATCGGTTGGGGAGGCTTTGTTGACTTGATCACGTCCACCTATGCAAACTCCAGAGTGTAAGTGGCACAATATCATGCCGACAAATAAAGCTGCATATCTTTTCCGAGGATTTGTTTGAATGCTGAAAAGTGATTCTCCACATCATTGGATTGTTGCCAGCGATCGTTGAAGAGTGGGGTGTATTTCTCGGGATCGGGAGAGGTTTTGGCATATGTTTTGTTGCAAGGAACACTTTCCAAGAAGCGAATCATTGCTTTTCGCCCAAAACACAGGATTAGTGTCGCCTCCAACAGTTCAATCGGGAGAGCAGTCTCTTCATTGTGCAGAAGCGCCGAGGGGCAGGTGAGCCTCGAGTGGCGGTATGCATAAGGGGTCTGAAGAAGATGCGATCAGCAGGGTTCACCATACATGAAAGGTAACACCTTGTCGGCCAGCCAATCAATCATACGGTCAACCCTTGCTTCTCGATCGTCCTGCAAAATACCAGACAGATCAAGTGCTTCAAAGAATTCTCGAAGAACATTGCAAAACTCAGCTTCCGTCGCATATCCTGTTGTTTCCAGAATATCTGCGACCTGCTTGCAAAACCCGGTCTTTGCATCAGGGACACACTGATCGTCACGCTTATACCACCAAGTTCCAAACACCTCGTTGTGTTCAGGCATTCCCGCAATGCTCAGCCAGGCTTCTTTCCTCAAGTGGGCTCCGCACCTGGATGTTGTAACATGTTTGATAAATTGCTTCATGACGTGATCCAGGTCGATGGAAATGATCAAAGGAAGGTCTCGGTTACAAGGGTTCCTTTCAGGCACATAAAGGGAAGAAAAGAAATCGTTGCCAGCCCTCCTCCTCTCGGCCAATCGCCTTTCCACCCGGATATGTGTGAGCCATTCTCGTAATGGCGACATGGATGTGCGATTTGTGTTCGCTGCCACAATAAGCGCCGAGATCGTGAGAGTTCGTGCAAGGTTAACAGGATGTCCCCGCTGGCCTGGCAAAAATGCTGACATGTTGAACTGTCATTCCTGTTGTGTCAGTGCCCAGATCTCAACAATCTCCAGAAGGTTTCGCAACTCAGGGATGCCGACCAAGTCTATGCGTCCAAAAACATGTAGAGTTTCAAGTAGCGTTGCAAAGAATGGGGCACCCTCACTGCGATAGTTTCTCAGCAGTGTTTCCAAACCCGCAGGTAGATGTGGAACAAATCGTGTGCCGATTCCGTAGGGCATGCCATCCCACTGTTGAGCACGGGATTGCAGAATATATTCATGGGCCTCTTCCTTCAGACACTCCACGATCTCGGCTTTCTTCCTGCCCTCTTTCACAACCGCATCCAGCTCGGCGCGCCAAATCTAAACACGACACGATGAGTTACTGTTCATTATTGGAGTTGCAGGAAGCAAACCTACCGCATTAATAAATTTCGGCTGGTCAAGCCCCCGTGTTGCAAGAGAATGACTTGCCCCATCGCACAACACAGAGATAACAGGAATTGAGCGCTTCTGGAATTCCTCGAGCAGAACTCGAAGAATTGCGGTATTCTGCTGATGGTTTGGTGCTTCCACAAAGCAGGCAAAGACAATCTGTGATTTCAAACGCTGGGAGTTGGCGAAGGTCCAAAGCTGTAATTTCTTTGCCCTTGGCAAAAGATGCAGCCGTGCAGCAAGGAAGTACTCTAGCGCATTCCGACATAGGCTGACTAATTCGTCTTTGTGTTGCAGTAACAGCCATGTCGACGGCAGAAGGTCGAGGGGGTTGTCGGTAACGTCGGGGGGTTGCGCCAGCTTCAACTGCCAATTTGCGCATTCGGTAAGAATTTTTTCCACGGCGGTGCGAAGATTGTTTGTTTTCACCGCATCACTTTCGTAGGCTCCTAACGCAGCTGCCGGGCGCTGACTGGAAGGTGCAGTGAGCACTGTCCCTGCTTCAAAAGCAATCGCACCAGTCTCAATCTCGCGTCGTTTCGTGGTTACTTGTTTCTCCGCTCCAACTGCATACACAGTCAGCTGCGCTAGGAGGGCTACAAGATTGCTTTCACATTCCGTCAGCCAGTGGGTAAATTGAACCGTCAAACGTGGGTCGCCCCATGTGTATTCAACATCTTGTGCGTCGTTCATTTGTGCCATGCACAACTGTGTGCTCAACTCGAATGCGTTGAGGGCTTGTTCAACCTGCGGTGCAGAAATCAGGGTGCGCCGACATGAGTTGAAATGTGCACAGAGACAATACCGTTGCCACATCCTACAGTCCCAGAATGCTCTCAGTCAGTCCGGGGCCAAGGTCGACAGTTCCCGTCAGCCGTCCTTTGCTTCCACGTTGAACAGTCGAGATTCCGTAATCGGTTTCATCAACCCCAATGCCGCCGGCCAGGTAGCGCAATCCGAGACTTTCCTGCAGCCGAGCGTGTTGTGCACAAATCACGTCTATGCGGTCCGAATCCAATCCAACAAGCTGCACACCCACATCTGCTCGAAGCTTCTGCTGAGCACGCTGTGATGGGAGAACCAGGTTTCCGTCTTATTCGCATGGCTTCCGCGGCCCACTGCGCCCAACTCCTGCCCATCCTTTGCCGACAAGAAACTTGTAAGCCCGACCGCCAAAGCGGGTCTCAAATTCAAACCAGAACTCAGCAACACGAGAAGAGAAGATGCTGCATCTCCGCCCACGGTAGTCCTTCACCGTAAAGAACTGTAACTGTATCGGATAGCGTGGTAGGTGTCAGTGATGGCAATTGTGACAATGGCAAGATTGGTAGGCAAAATAAAAGGGGCAAATGGGCGAGCACGACGCACACATACCTGACTCGCGATGAATTCCCAGAGCCAGTGAGTGGGCCTCAGGCATCCTGAAACTACAGCCCGCATCGCCATCAGAGCAATGTCAATCACCTCCATATCCTCGAGGTCGGTGAGCTTGTGGTACTCAGTGTAGAGCTTTGCTGCTCGATACACATGTTTGTTCTCCTTTTCAAAGATGAAGGCACCTTTCTTGTCGTTGGCCAGGACTCGCTTGGTAGGCAGTGCTCCTTTTGCCAGCAACTGATCGTGGGTGAGACTCCCATTCCGACCTCAGAAACCCATGAGGCCAGTCTGCAGAAGATCTCCTTGCATGGCTCTGTTCTTGTCGACCAGGCATTCAACTCTCTGCTTTGTCTCCTCATGTTCCTCCTGCAGTTTGGTGTAGGTCGTTTGCAGTTTGGTAAAGTCGTTTCCGAGTTTGGTATGTTCGGATTGGAGTTTGGTGGCCAAGGAAGCCTGCAACAAGATCCCATTCAGTTTCCAGGTGTCCTTGGACTCATTGCATTAGGCATATACAGTGCCAGAATGGTGAACATATTGTCGCTGTCGATACCATAGATGATTGAGTCGGTGGTGAGAAGTTGAGTCGGGGGCTTCAAGTTCGCATCAGGGGGAGTTCGATGGTAGCAGCCTCGGACACGATTCTGAATCTGAGCAACGATGAATACTGTCTGTTTGTTGTCAAGCCACTCATGTGTTATGGACGACGCGCCCATACCATAAGCTTACCTACTGACAGCCGCCAATGTCAACCGCCAAATGTCAAATGCCAATGTCAATGTCAATGTCAGTGTCAATGTCAGTGTCAATGTCAATGTCAATGCCACTCCCCCTCTCTCCTCTCATTTCGCCAATCCTCTTGCAATATCGCCACTCCTCCTCTCTCCTCTCATTTCGCCAATCCCCCCTCGGCTTCTCCACGCCCCCCACTACTTCCCCATAGCCAGCAGCTGTAGCAATGCTCTCTACGCTCGCCACGCACGCTCTAGGAGCATAGCTGGCGCCCCCCCAGTCCCCTCTTGTTGTTGTTGTTCTCTGATCTGCTGGGTTGCCTATCTATAAATAGCCGGCCTCTCTTCGTCCGTTCCCTTCCTCCCCAGCAGATCAACACCAGTTCTTCTCATCTCCTGTTCTAGTCCTTGTTTCTTGTTTCGCCAATACAATCTCTTGTCGCCTATCACTCTCGCCCTGTCTTCTCTACTTCGCTTCCGCCTCCGTCGTCGAGATCATAACAGTTTGATCTGCTCCAACACTGCGAAGTTCAGAACCCGTCCAGCCCTGCATCCGACAAACCTTTTTCGCCATGTCCCAACCCGAATCCGTACCTTTCACCGCCAAGCAATGGAACGATATGTGCCAAGCCATCGCCGCCTTGCAAAGCCAAAACGCCAACTTGCAGGCCAACCTAGCGCAAGCCCAAGCCGACGCACAAGCTGGCCAGAGCATCGCCGCCCAGGTTCAAGCCGATACGTACACCCTTCCCCAAGCCACCAACCCTGCTCTGGAGCCAAGAATCAGCTCGCCCGAGAAGTTTGATGGTACCCGCAGCAAATTCCGTGGGTAGTTGAACAACATCCGGTTGATGTTTGCTCTCCAGCCCGACCGCTACCCCAGCGACATCATCAAGATCCAAACTATTGGCACCTACCTCACCGGCACTGCGCAAGCCTGGATGGCGCCCCTAGTCGAACGCCAAGATCACAGCCTTCAGGACTTCGATAGTTTTATCAGTCAGATGCAATCGGTCTTCGGAGACAGCGACACGGTCCGCACCTCTGAAAACAAGCTCCAGAACCTTCGCCAAACCCGTGCAGCAACCGAGTACGTCGCTGAGTTCCGCCAGCTACAATGCGATGTCTCCTGGAACGACCAGGCCCTGATCGCTACCTTCCGCCGTGGCCTCAAAGAAGACGTCAAAGACCTGATGCTCACAATGCCCCCTGCGGCCACCATTGATGTGGTGATGGAGCAGGCTATCCAGTGCGATAACCGGCTGTTTGAGCGCCGCCTGGAGCGAAACGGAAGCCGCCAGACCTTCCCGGTTCCCCATACCTCGTTTACTACTACCACCACTGTCGACCACAGCGAGCCTATGCAGATTGACGCCGCTTGTCCCCGCGGCCCTCTGAGCCCTCAGGAACGCCAACGCCGCATTTCCAACAGCCTCTGCCTTTACTGCGGTGGTGCGGGGCACATTGCAAAAGTCTGCCCCGTCAAGAACAAGACCACCATCCGTGCCGCCAACGTCGACATCAAAGAACCCTCCACCAAACAGGGTTTTCCCAAAGTCCAGCCGCAGTAAAGCCCCAGCGACTGGACAACACACACCGCCCCGGGCCTCCTAACCTCACAGCTCCTGCAACGGGAGAGGCCACCCCCCTGGTTCCCAACTCCGTTATAGCCGACACAACCCTCCTAGCCGCTGCCCTTGTCGAAAACTCCGGAATTAACCCCCACGCCATGCTTGCGCTGGGTCCCCTCGAACCCTTCAACTACCCCGTTACCATCATGGTATCATCCAGCCGCGCCCCAATACCTACCTCAGCCATGATCGACAATGGTGCCCTGTCCTGCTTCATCGACAGAGACTTTGCCCGCAAACACCGCATCCCCCTAGTCCAACATCAGCGTCCCCTGACAATCGAACTCGTTGACGGTCAACCCAGTTCTGCTGGGCCAATCACCCATCACACCCAACCAGTAGGCATGTGGGTTGACGACCACTTCGAAGAACTTGTCTTCCATGTCACCAAATCACCCCATGCTCCAATCCCCCTTGGTCTCCCCTGGCTCCGCCTCCACGACATTAACCTTGACTTCAAGAACCTTTCGGTCGGTTTCCGTTGCGACTGTCTGTACCATGAATTCGCGAATTGGGACAACTCTCCAGCACCCCCAAGCCCAGCACCCGCCAGAACCCCCGAGCCCTTGATCCGCATCCCCCAGGATGAAGTCCCCGTCGACGAAACATGGTCGATTCCAGTACCCAAGGTATCTTGCTCCAGCACCCCAGAACCGGCTCCCACGCTGCTCCGAGTCTCGTTCATCTCTGCCCCAGCCTTCCGGGTCGCAGCAAGGCATGACCAGGTCTTTGTCGCCTACGCCAACCCTGCGAAACCCGATCTCCCAGCCTCGCCTAGCCCCAGTAACCCCCCGACACCCGAGAAAGACATCAAAGACTTCCTGCCCCCCGAGTAATCAAGACTTCGCCGACGTTTTCGAAAAGAGAAATGCTGACACTCTCCCCGAGCACCGGCCCTACGACTGTCCAATCGATCTGGAAGAAGGCAAGCAGCCACCTTTCGGCCCGATCTACAGCCTCAGCAAACCAGAAATGAAGGCACTCTGCGAATACCTCGAAGAAAACCTCGCCAAAGGATTCATCAAACCCTCAAAGTCCCCTGCCGGTGCGCCAGTCTTATTCGTGAAAAAAAAGGACGGTTCTCTCCGCCTCTGCGTCGATTATCGAGGCCTGAACAGCATCACGGTGAAGAATCGCTACCCCCTGCCCCTGATCAACGGTATCATGGATTGTTTGCGCGGCGCCCGCCGTCTCACCAAGATCGACCTCCGCGGCGCTTATAACCTCTTACGCATGCGCCCGGGCGATGAATGGAAGACCGCCTTCCGCTGCCGCTACGGCCTATTTGAATACAATGTCATGCCCTTTGGACTCAGCAATGCTCCTGGCGTCTTCCAGTACCTGATGAACGACATCTTCCGCGACATTCTCGATGTGTTTGTTGTCGTCTACCTCGACGATATCCTGATATTCTCCAAGAACCCCGAAGATCACCCCAAACATGTCCGCGAAGTCTTGTCCCGCCTCCGACAGCATGGGTTGTACGCCAAACCGGAGAGATGCGAATTCAACCGCGAATCCGTTGAGTTCCGAGGCTCCATCATCTCCGAGAAAGGCATCCAGATGGACCCCAAGAAGATCGCTGCCATCACGGATTGGGAACCTCCCAAGACTGTCAAAGGCGTCCAGCGGTTCCTCGGCTTTGCCAACTTCTATCGCCGATTCATCCAAGGTTATTCCAAGATCGCTACCCCGCTCACAGTCCTGACCCGGAAAGACATCCCGTACGCCTGGACACCCGCCGCAAACACCGCCTTCGAGAACCTGAAGAAAGCATTCACCACCGCCCCCATCCTTGCTCACCCTGACCCAGAGAAGCCCTTCGTCGTCGAAACTGACGCCTCCGACTTCGCTCTTGGCGCAGTTCTCCTCCAACCTGACCAGGACAATCAGCTCCACCCCGTGGCCTTCCACTCTCGCAAATTCACGGCCGAAGAGATCAACTACGAGATCTACGACAAGGAACTTCTGGCCATCCAAGACTCCTTTGCCCAGTGGCGCCACCATCTCATTGGCGCCCGTCACAAGATCACCGTTTACTCCGACCACAAAAACCTTCAGTACTTCATGACCACCCGCACCCTGAACCGCCGCCAAGCCCGCTGGTCGATATTCTTCTCGGATTTTGACTTTGTCATTACCTATCGCCCCGGTTCCCAGCAGCACCAAGCCGATGCCCTCTCCCGACGCTCCGAACATGAGCAAAAAAAGGGGGAAGAAGCGTTCCGCTCCCAGGCAACCACAATTTTGACTCCCGAACGCCTTCGACTCGCGGCTGCCTACCTCACACCCATGGATACCACGCTGCTTGACAAGATTAAGGCCGCCCAGGCCTCTGATCTCCTCGCTAAGGCCATTCGCGAAAAGCTCAAGATACCCCTCGCCCAACGAACTGAGGAAACCCAAGATCGTATCAAGCGGTTCTCAGATGAAGATGGGATCCTGCTGCACGATAACCTGGTCTATGTCCCCACCAACGAGCTCCGAGCTGAAGTCTGCCACGACATGCACGATACTCCCCTAGCCGGCCACTTTGGGATGTCCAAGACGCTCGAACTCGCCTCCCGCAACTACTGGTGGCCCAGCCAGTGGCGCTTCGTCAAGGCCTACGTCAAGTCCTGCGATACCTGTAGCCAAGCGAAATCCAGTCGACACAAACCATACGGCCTACTCCAGCCCAACAGTATCCCTACCCGCCCTTGGGGATCTTGGTCCCTGGACTTTATCACCGGTCTGCCTCCCGTGGACGGGTACGACTCCATCCTGAACGTCAACTGTCGCCTCACCAAGATGGCCCACTTCATCGCCTGCAGCGAGTCAGAATCCGCCGAAATCCACCGCCGACCTAGTCTTCCACAACATCATCCGTCTCCACGGCCTCCCCGACGACGTCATCTCTGACCGAGGACCCCAGTTTAAGTCCCGGTTCTGGCGTCGACTTCTCGAACTCCTTGGGGCAAAAGCCAACCTCTCCTCGGCCTTCCACCCCCAGAGCGATGGCCAGACGGAACGCACCAACCAGATCCTGGAGCAGTATCTCCGATGCTTTTGCAACCACCAACAGGACAACTGGAAACAGCTTCTGTCGTCCGCCGAGTTCGCCTACAACAACACCCATCAGTCCTGCCTCCCAGACCACCCCCTTCTACGCCAACAAGGGTCTCCACCCCCGCTTCAGTTTTGCGGCCTCTGCTACCTCCGAATCCGTCAACCCCGCCGCTGAAGCCCGCGCTAAACAAATCAGGGAAGTCCATGAACAGCTCGCCCTCGAGCTCAAGGAAGCCCAAGATCAAATGAAGCGCTACGCCGACGCCAAACGAATTCCTGGACCGGACTTCAAGCATGGCGACCACGTCTGGCTCCTCCGCAAAAACCTCCATACAACCCGGCCCTCTCAGAAACTCGACCATCGCAAGATTGGGCCATTCCCCATCGTTGAAAAAATCAATCCCGTCGCCTACCGGCTCAAGCTCCCGCCTACGTACAAAATCCACGATGTCTTCCATGTCTCGCTCCTCGAACCCCGCTTCACCATCCCCGAACGACACGAACCCGAACCCGCGCCCCCAGAGACCGTTGAGGGTCAAGAAGAGTGGGTTGTCAAAGTCATCCTTGACTCTCGCATCCATCGTCGTCGCCTTCAGTACTTGGTCAAATGGCAGGGCTGGCCTGACTCTGAGAACACCTGGGAGCCCGTGGAACACCTCACCCATACCGACGCACTCCTCCAGGACTTCCACAGCGCGTACCCCAACAAGCCTTCCTCTGTCCCTGTAGCACCTCCTCTGCGGCCACACCAAACTCGACGCCGCGGCCGCGGCCGCTAAAGAGAAGGGTGATGTTATGGACGACGAGCCCATACCATAAGCTTACCTACTGACAGCCGCCAATGTCAACCGCCAAATGTCAAACGCCAATGTCAATGTCAATGTCAGTGTCAATGTCAGTGTCAATGTCAATGTCAATGTCAGTGTCAATGTCAATGTCAATGCCACTCCCCCTCTCTCCTCTCATTTCGCCAATTCTCTTGCAATATCGCCACTCCTCCTCTCTCCTCTCATTTCGCCAATCCCCCCTCGGCTTCTCCACACCCCCCACTACTTCCCCATAGCCAGCAGCTGTAGCAATGCTCTCTACGCTCGCCACGCACGCTCTAGGAGCATAGCTGGCGCCCCCCCAGTCCCCTCTTGTTGTTGCTGTTCTCTGATCTGCTGAGTTGCCTATCTATAAATAGCCGGCCTCTCTTCGTCCATTCCCTTCCTCCCCAGCAGATCAACACCAGTTCTTCTCATCTCCTGTTCTAGTCCTTGTTTCTTGTTTCGCCAATACAATCTCTTGTCGCCTATCACACTTGCCCTGTCTTCTCTGCTTCGCTTCCGCCCCGTCGTCGAGATCATAACACATTGCTTTTCGCCCAAAACACAGGATTAGTGTCGCCTCCAACAGTTCAATCGGGAGAGCAGTCTCTTCATTGTGCAGAAGCGCCGAGGGGCAGGTAAGCCTCGAGTGGCGGTATGCATAAGGGGTCTGAAGAAGATGCGATGAGCAGGGTTCACCATACATGAAAGGTAACACCTTGTCGGCCAGCCAATCAATCCTACGGTCAACCCTTGCGTCTCGATCGTCCTGCGAAATACCAGACAGATCAAGTGCTTCAAAGAATTCTCGAAGAACATTGCAAAACTCAGCTTCCGCCGCATATCCTGTTGTTTCCAGAATATCTGCAACCTGCTTGCAAAACCCGGTCTTTGCATCAGCGACACACTGATCGTCACGCTTATACCACCAAGTTCCAAACACCCTGTCGTGTTCAGGCATTCCCGCAATGCTCAGCCAGGCTTCTTTCCTCAAGTGGGCTCCGCACCTGGATGTCGTAACATGTTTGATAAATTGCTTCATGACGTGATCCAGGTCGATGGAAATGATCAAAGGAAGGTCTCGGTTACAAGGGTTCCTTTCAGGCACATAAGGGGAAGGAAAGAAATCGTTGCCAGCCCTCCTCCTCTCGGCCAATCGCCTTTCCACCCGGATACGTGTGAGCCATTCTCGTAATGGCGACATGGATGTGCGATTTGTGTTTGCTGCCACAATAAGCGCCAAGATCGTGAAAGTTTGTGCAAGGTTAACAGGATGTCCCCGCTGGCCTGGCAAAAATGCTGACATGTTGAACTGTCATTCCTGTTGTGTCAGTGCCCAGATCTCAACAATCTCCAGAAGGTTTCGCAACTCAGGGATGCCGACCAAGTCTATGCGTCCAAAAACATGTAGAGTTTCAAGTAGCGTTGCAAAGAATGGGGCACCCTCACTGCGATAGTTTCTCAGCAGTGTTTCCAAACCCGCAGGTAGATGTGGAACAAATCGTGTGCCGATTCCGTAGGGCATGCCATCCCACTGTTGAGCACGGGATTGCAGAATATATTCATGGGCCTCTTCCTTCAGACACTCCACGATCTCGGCTTTCTTCCTGCCCTCTTTCACAACCGCATCCAGCTCGGCGCGCCAAATCTAAACACGACACGATGAGTTACTGTTCATTATTGGAGTTGCAGGAAGCAAACCTACCGCATTAATAAATTTCGGCTGGTCAAGCCCCCGTGTTGCAAGAGAATGACTTGCCCCATCGCACAACACAGAGATAACAGGAATTGAGCGCTTCTGGAATTCCTCGAGCAGAACTCGAAGAATTGCGGTATTCTGCTGATGGTTTGGTGCTTCCACAAAGCAGGCAAAGACAATCTGTGATTTCAAACGCTGGGAGTTGGCGAAGGTCCAAAGCTGTAATTTCTTTGCCCTCGGCAAAAGATGCAGCCGTGCAGCAAGGAAGTACTCTAGCGCATTCCGACATAGGCTGACTAATTCGTCTTTGTGTTGCAGTAACAGCCATGTGGACGGCAGAAGGTCGAGGGGGTTGTCGGTAACGTCGGGGGGTTGCGCCAGCTTCAACTGCCAATTTGCGCATTCGGTAAGAATTTTTTCCACGGCGGTGCAAAGATTGTTTGTTTTGACCGCATCACTTTCGTAGGCTGCTAACACAGCTGCCGGGCGCTGACTGGAAGGTGCAGTGAGCAATGTCCCTGCTTCAAAAGCAATCGCACGAGTCTCGATCTCGCGTCGTTTTGTGGTTACCCGTTTCTCCGCTCCGACTGCGTACACAGTTAGCTGCGCTGGAAGGGCGACGAGATTGCTTTCACATTCCGGCAGCCAGTGGGTAAATTGAACCGTCAAACGTGGGTCGCCCCATGTGTATTCAAAGTCTCGTGCGTCGTTCATTTGTGCCATGCACAACTGTGTGCTCAACTCGAATGCGTTGAGGGCTTGTTCAACCTGCGGTGCAGAAATCAGGGTGCGCCGACATGAGTTGAAATGTGCACAGAGACAATACCGTTGCCACATCCTACAGTCCCAGAATGCTCTCAGTCAGTCCGGGGCCAAGGTCGACAGGTCCCGTCAGCCGTCCTTTGCTTCCACGTTGAACAGTCGAGATTCTGTAATCGGTTTCATCAACCCCAATGCCGCCGGCCAGGTAGCGCAATCCGAGACTTTCCTGCAGCCGAGCGTGTTGTGCACAAATCACGTCTATGCGCTCCGAATCCAATCCAACAAGCTGCACACCCACATCTGCTCGAAGCTTCTGCTGAGCACGCTGTGATGGGAGAACCAGGTTTCCGTCTTATTCGCATGGCTTCCGCGGCCCACTGCGCCCAACTCCTGCCCATCCTTTGCCGACGAGAAACTCGTAAGCCCGACCGCCAAAGCGGGTCTCAAATTCAAACCAGAACTCAGCAACACGAGAAGAGAAGATGCTGCATCTCCGCCCACGGTAGTCCTTCACCGTAAAGAACTGTAACTGTATCGGATAGCGTGGTAGGTGTCAGTGATGGCAATTGTGACAATGGCAAGATTGGTAGGCAAAATAAAAGGCAAATGGGCGAGCACGACGCACACATACCTGACTCGCGATGAATTCCCAGAGCCAGTGAGTGGGCCTCAGGCATCCTGAAACTACAGCCCGCATCACCATCAGAGCAATGTCAATCACCTCCATATCCTCAAGGTCGGTGAGCTTGTGGTACTCAGTGTAGAGCTTTGCTGCTCGATACACATGTTTGTTCTCCTTTTCAAAGATGAAGGCACCTTTCTTGTCGTTGGCCAGGACTCGCTTGGTAGGCAGTGCTCCTTTTGCCAGCAACTGATCGTGGGTGAGACTCCCATTCCAACCTCGGAAACCCATGAGGCCAGTCTGCAGAAGATCTCCTTGCATGGCTCTGTTCTTGTCGACCAGGCATTCAACTCTCTGCTTTTTCTCCTCATGTTCCCCCTGCAGTTTGGTGTAGGTTGTTTGCAGTTTGGTAAAGTCGTTTCCAAGTTTGGTATGTTCGGATTGGAGTTTGGTGTGCCTCGTGACGAGGTGGGCAAGGAAGCCTGCAAGAAGATCCCATTCAGTTTCCAGGTGTCCTTGGACTCATTGGGATCTAGTGCATACCTCCAGAAGGATGTCCAGCTGTCCCAATGTTCTCCGAACCACTCCAAATGTTCTTCGAACCACTCCCGATGGTGTCCGAACCACTCTCCATGTCATCGGCTGGGTCGTCCTCTCTACCTTCAGCTGATTCACCAATTGAACTCGGAAGGCAAAGAAGTGCAGTACTGACACGACCCTGAGCTAAAATGGAGCGAATAACAGCTTTCCCATGCATTATAAGGACCTCCTTGATTCCATCGGCCGAACATAAGGTTTTCAATGTGCTCTGTGTCTCCCCATAGCACATTGCTTTTACGAACATCGTGGGCCCTTTCTCACATCGGACCCGAAGCTTCGGGACTCCCAGGGCTTCTAACAGACTGCTGGGATCGTACAGTCTGCAACAGGGATCGTAGATGGGATGACTTGTGAAGTGAACGAGGTTCGGATATAGTTTACCTGCAGCTATCCTTGCTTGCTGTCCTCATCTCCGGAATGAAAACACCCCCATGGAAGGAGACTGCAGGGCCACCAAGACCCCTTGCTGTTTGGAAGTACTTGGGGTTCATTGGTTGGATTGGGCTTATATTGAGAACCAAGTTATGTATAGGGTTTGAAGGTCGTTCGGACTTCATATCGCCAAATGTGCGATACTTGTCGGACTCGCCGACACGCGCGTCGTCACTAGTGCAGGCTCATGTGATCTGCTGCCCAAATTGGGCAGCAGCTCGCACATTTTGGCATTTTGAAATGCTTTTACACCACCCTGGACGGAGATGGCCAAAAGGCGCAATTTCAAAGCGACCTCAGCTCCAGATACATTTTCAACTTCTCTTGCTCCAAGTGGTAAATCCTTGAAAAGGGCCCAGCATCCGTGCACTTTCCCTGACTCTTCTCCTCCCATCAGCGAAACCGTCGACCGCGAAATAAGTGAGAAGGAGCTCGTGCCTGGGTCGACCAAATGAGAGTCCCACCTACGATTCCCACAACACTGCTCCCTCGTTTGGCTCAGACGCCGAACGGAGGCAAAAGCGCCGGCGGACGTCAACGAATACATCCAACTGCCGATATGCTAACCCAAAGCTTATCCACTCCAGAAGGAGGACCGGCCGTCCTCGCGGATGATGCATCCGCCCCTTCGAACAGCGAACGACATTCGCTGAACGAGCTTCCTCGAGAACTCCTGCTGTGCGTCTTCCAGTTTATACCTCTGACGAACCTCCTTCGCTTGAGAGGAGTCTGCCGTCTCTGGTGGACCGACGTGCTTCATATGGTGGCATTGCGTTTAAGAACCGCTGTAGAACCTCAAGTACCGACACCGGAGCAAAAGTCCGTGCCAAAGACGGAACTTATTGTCGTACGCGCTTTGACGGACGGTGATTGGTACAAGGAGAACTTACGCAGCGCTGCATTGAGCTGCTTGAAGGTGCAGGGATCGCTACGTGTTTTCGAGCAACCTGACCGTGACGACAGCAGGGTTTCGTCGGTCTCCGGAATGCAGTCTGTGCGCTTTGTCTTCAAACCAGTTGAAGACTCGAAGCAATGGCCTTTACTAGGCTACTATACGAACGGCGAAGGACAGATCGGGCTGGAGATCAATGGCTGGACATTCACATTGGCCGACTCCGTGATAGGCTCCCTGTCGTCAAAGCGCGTTTCACATCGCGACAACGACATCTCATTGAGCTACTCGGTACAAGGGCGACCGGATATCACTCCGGACACTGCCGAAGCCAAAGGGATTCCGATGTGGTGGCCCAGACGGGGAGTCTGGGGCATGCCATCAGAGTGCTACTTCCGTGAGATACGGGTCGATGAGTTCTCGATGACCGTCGAGTTTTTGATGAAGCTGCTGCCTGGGTGTGGGACGGCGCTGCTCGAGCAAACCGAAGCGCCATCGACCGGTCGACGAGCAGTGCGTGAAGATTGATGGCGGCGTTATTGCATAGGCATTATCCTCCAGTCTTCGGTCCGCCGTAGTTCACCAGTCGTGGATGCTACCTTGTAAGATGTATACCTTTCATTGAATAGCAAGCTTTTCTGAAGGCTACGATTGTTTTGCCTCCGTGCACTTGCTTTTTTGTGGAACATGCTTTGCCGGCCAAACCGCAGATGGAGGCGAATCGCAGACGATGACGATGTAGACGCAATCATGGTGAACTTCGATGGACCCGATTTTGAAGGCGAGGCCAACGAGGACTTCGGAGCAGATCGAACCCGCACGTCGCTTGAAAAGTGAATGACGAAGAGCACAACGGATTGCGTGGGAGTGGGCGATGTCTCGATTCTTGCACATCCCGCTTTCACTGAGAAATCCTGAGGATATTGAGGTTGGCGACGGACAAGAATGAAAGCTACAACCAAGGAGAGGCCTGCACTGAGGGTCGGGCGGAGGCGGTTACAGCTTGCCCGGAATGTCTTTCACTAGCCGGTCAACACCACTCGAAGGGATTCACGCTAGGTAACAACTTGAACAAGGACCCAGTTCATCAGACTTTGACCATGTCGGCGTACAATCATAATAGTTGCGATCAATACGCTTCCAAAATTTGAGCTCCAAGCATCACGACGCGAAACGTCCAGCCCTTTTCATTTCGTCGTGAACACCAAGGTATTCTCCCCTCCATCTCGATCCTTGACAGCACTATCCCTTGCACGCCTCTGTCTAGCACCAGGAGCCACGTCGCCTGTTCCGAAGGCTTTGCCGGTCCGGGATCGCGGATATAAGATCGTCAAGTCCGCCTTGATCTTGGTGCTCACCGCCCTTTGCGGGATCCTGACGGGTGCTTCGCGCTTTTTTGCGGCGTCGATCTTCTCGATCCTGTTTGTATCGGCAGAAATTCATTTAACTCCCGCCAA